TTTCCAAGCAGCCCGTAATAAGGGCGTCTGGCCCATCTCATCTTTTCCCTCAAGGTCAGCTCCCTTATCAAGCAGCAGCCTAGCAACAGCCTCATACCCATTCTCAGAAGCCCATAATAGCGGCGTCCTGCCATACCAACGATCTTGCGCCTCAAGATCAGCTCCCTTGTCGACTAACAGCTTTACAACAGCGCGATGGCCAAAGTGTGATGCTATAATAAGATCTGTAAGACAATCACGTGGGATGCCATTTACAAAATCCTCATAAATCGTATACCATGCTGAGAAGCTCTTCGAATCAGGATCACAAATTCGTAGAGTCGCAGGTAATATAGCAGCGTTATCGACGATATTGGCTTCGCGGAAATGAGCGCCCCAATTTTCAGAGGAGTATCCCAAAAAAGCGTAGCTATCGGCTACATGTGTGTAGCCGAATTCCCCATTCGCTTCTGTAGTAGGGCTAAGACTGGAATTAAACAAGCTGAGGTAGAGGACGCAGAGCTCGGCGAGAACAGTATGTGCTTGTTGAATAGTGATAGAGTGATGCCAGTGTAGCTCTGATGGGGCAGCTGTACGAGATGCCGAATCTGCGAGGAGGAATTCTCGAGCAGTCTGGTGGAGAAAGTAAACCTTGCCATGGTAGATCGAAATGAACAAACCACACAATGACCTTAGGCGTGACCTAAAGTCGTCTTCATCCTCTAGGTCGATATCCTGAAAGGATTGTGTTGTGTCATTCTGTGCTGAGTCGTCTATATTCATAGCGATATTCATTTCTGAGAGTGACAGCGGTCGACTGGCAGCCAAGATGATACTCAAAGCTTTCCGAACGTCCTTCCCGTTCTTGGACTTGCTCAGAATTCGTTCATATGCCTCATTAATACTCTTGGGAAGTGTATTAATGAGAAGTTCAATCCCTTTCCGTGTTTTCTTGAAGATTTCTTTCTCCAAGTAGTCAAATATAAGATACACCCAGAGATAGGTTCGGTGGGTAATCTTCTGTAGGCTTGTCTTCAAGTAGGCCTTGCTCTCGAGTGACAGTCTTTTCTTTGCTGATAGCCGATTGACTCGATGAGTGATGACATGATTTACCTCCTGACTGATGGCTTCTGACTCTTCCTCTCCTGGTATGTGGATATTTGGAAAGATATTCAAGAGGCCGTGGAATTGTGCGGTGATTTGCTCGTACGGGCGACAGGTGAGAAGATATTTCAGCTTGCTATTGCTTGACTGATCGTCCTGAAATTGGCTCTCGACATTCTGCATCAAGCTCGCAAACTCAGACTCGGCACACTCATCCAAGGCATCAAAGACGATGATTATAGGTCCTGCCTCGGGATCTCCTATAGCACCCCGCAAGATCTTCCAGAGCGACTCTGTGGAGTTTATCAAACCCTGCCCATCTGTGCGAAAATGCGGTATGGCATGCTTGATCAGAGACGGCTTTTGAGAGAAGAGCTGGTGGAGTACTGCAGAAAGTGCTTGACGGGAGGTGTTTTGGTCCTGATCTTTGAAGAAGAAGTAGCAGATGGTTGCTGATCGTGGCAGGCCATCATCGATGAGGTACTTGGCCAACACCGACTTTCCACAGCCAGGGTCTGCTGTGACTAGTAAGGGACCGGACTCCTGTTGCAGCCACGCCTGAAAGTGGTCATGCTTGAGAAACCAGAGGCACGTGTCTTCAACCCTTCTTTCGACTCGATCTTTGTACCACTCGTATGTGGCATCTTTGCCACTAGCCGTTAGACGGAATAGCTGATGACACTCTTGTTCTTCTTTGGATAGCCTCTCCTTGGCGAAATCTTTCTGGATTTGGAGTTGCTCTTTTGCAATATCTCGGCGCTCTTTGGCAAGTTCTTGGAGGCCTATAAGAGTTTAATACATGTTCATGGTAGGATTCAAAGCCCTGAGACTGACCAGATAGAACATCTTTAATCTTCTTCTCCTCTTCAATCTTGTTTGGAGCTATTTGATGGAGAAGATCTTTAGCATATGCTGCAGCTGTCATTGCGGCATAGCCTTGCCAGTCGTCATTCTTATGTGAGTCTGAGTAGTCGCAGATGCCACGAATGACCAGACATGGAAAGTGGTTCATCAATCCGGCAGCTTCCATTTCAAAGCAAAGGACGTCCTTCTTTGCTATGAGTTTATCTCTAGCCAAAGCATCCTTCATGAGTGTATTTGCTGAAGCGACAAGACCGTAGTGGATCGCTGGGACATCGTCGTCTTTGTCCCGCTCAGGTCGCTCAACTAGGCTTGATGGGTCGTTACCGCAACTCGTTGAGCAATCAGCCCTGCCTTTTGGTGAGTGAACAACTGGACTCTGGTAGAGTCTGTCAGAAGATGCTTCCGGCCGCCCGTATTTCTTTTGTAGCCTCGGATTCTTGGCAAGTGCATTGTCGACGGCTTCTTGGATCCGATTCCCTTCACATTCATACTCTGCTCTGAGTCCACCAACTGCCGCCCGCAACAACATTGGTGCTTGATCTAAGAATCCCATCTCTTGGAACTCTTGGCCCTGCACGGCCTTTCCAAAGTCGTACTGAACCACAGCACCCTCTCCCTTATTCGAAATGCCTACCACAACGTCACCGAGACGGATGTCATGGTGCTTACTCGGAGCGCCGCCGCCAATCCCGACCATGAGACCAATTCTGACGTTGGGGAAGCTGTGCAGCATGTCTCTCGCGACGCCCGCCGCAGATGATAGCCCATATTCGCCATCAGGGAGGACTGCTATGACGACGTTGTGCCGTCCAATCCTGCCGAGCGTGTAGTTGTTGTTGTCGTGAGGGGATACATATTCGGGCTTTTCGTGCTTTTCCTCTAGGAACGCCTGGGCGGCAACGTACTCGGATGTGATGGCGCAGATCCAACCGACGGTGTATTTTTGCGGATCAGACATGATTGAGCTTGGAAATGTCGTGTATCAACCTGCAGAGAGTCCCAACTCGATGATATGTTCATAGCATGGAAGTAAGCTTGTTTGTTAAAGCAACAATCATCGCAGCAGCAGAAATCACCTGGGTCGCAATTCCTCTGATCGGGCAGCAAGGCTTTTCCCCGCTCCTGTATCAAATAGCAATACAGCAAACACCATAAGGCATGTTGCATAACCGTCCAATGACATTTGTTGGCACCCTTGACCAATCATACGAGCCATTATCGAGGTACGCTGGAAGTTCCTGTACGGTAATGTAATCAACGGCTCGTCTGTTGTACATGGTTAAATTCACTTCAAGCTTTAAGTGTGAAGGTTTATATATACCTAACGTACTCTAGGTAGATCTTTGATGATTTGTATCCGCGGGTCATTTGATGAACATGTCCTCATGAGCCTGTCGGCTGATGGACGGCCTCTTGGCTTGGTTGATGTAACAGCGACATCGATAATATCAGGTACCTGACTGGCACCTGCTAAGAAACATATGGACATATCAAACTCCAAGGTGGTTCTTTTCCAAGGGTGCTATACCGGGCTGAGATGGTTGATGAGGCTATGAACAAGGCTATTGGCCACGGCGCATCCATCCTCTGACCGGATTGCCTGTCTGTAGCCCGATTGTAGCCACTGGTGGATATCGTCCAATCCGAATCCCTTAAAGTTTTGCTGTGCAATGATGCTGTATGCAGCTGCGCAGCTTGTTGTCGATTCGCCTGGTTGTGGAGGGGGGAGATTTTGGGACTTGTATTGGGCGACGAAAGATAGGGCGAGGTTGAAATTGTCCCTTTCTGTGCCGTTGGTGAGTGATGAATTGATCATGACATCTTGATCGTGTGTGGTTAATTTGCCCAACTGTCTCTGTGAACCTGACATCCAGCAGCAGCGTGGCTCTAAGACCGGCTGATGGTCGTGGGTGCTTGTATGATGGTAGGCGGGTGTCAAAGGAGCAGAACAAGGCTCCCTCCTTGCCTCGCTCTGTAACTGCTCAACTTCGGCTGTAAGCGCCTTGATGCGATGCTCCGCAGCAGCCAATTGTCTCCGTGACTCGGCCAGTTCTGATTCAAGGTCGGAGATGTGAGCCTTGACTTTGGCTCGATGCCGCCGCTGGTTGTTTCGGATTCGAGTTGCTTTTTGTTTTGGACAGCTGGATGACCATTTGGATATCATTGCTGAGGGCGGGGCACCAGGCATGAGTATCGGACCTATGGCCGGTCAAATAACAAGGAGAAGGCGACAGTTGAGTCGAATGCAATGATTACAGCTCTCTACTGTATACCCACGGGACCACGAACAGAAATTGGAAATGGAGATTTATGTACACTCTTTTTCGACCGCGGTGTCGGGGAGATGCGATTCGGACGATGAGAGGGGCGGTGACATATCGAATAGTTGCCATATCGAGGATAGTGTGTGTATGATGTAAAGAATGCACACCCAAATGAACTCAATTGGCTGGAAGGAGTTCGAGTCAAGCACTTGATGGTAGCACTGTTTGGCCCCAGCGTTTGATGGTTGACTGGGGGTGCATATATGGGTATGTTGGTAGTGTCAAGTTGATTCAGGTATAAAGAGACCTCAGATTCCTCCAGCCCACGGCCTTTCCCTGCCATTCATTACTGAAGAACGGAGACCGGCATTGTACTATCTTCACCATGAGCGCTCAGGACATTTACGCCGAAGTGGGCAAGCGATACTCGGCTGCTGCAGAAGGCGTCGAAGCCCAGTATGCCTCTTCTGTCGCAAAGGCCTTTGGATACTCAGTGGAAGAGCTATCAGACATCCCTCAGAGTGCCAACCTTGGCCTCTCTTGCGGTAATCCCCTTGCAATGGCCACTCTCCGTGAAGTTCGCTTCCCTAAAACTGGAATGTCTCTGTGAGGTTTGACTGACAAGTGACAATAGGGAGAGACTGTCGTTGACCTTGGGAGCGGTGCCGGGTTTGACGTTTTCCTTGCCGCCAATAAAGTTGGTCCAAAGGGTCGAGTGATTGGCGTGGACATGAACGAGGTGAGCTTTGGTCATGAATTGCAGGAAGTTATTCACCTAACTATCCAACACGCACAGGATATGCTTAGAAAAGCCGAGGAATTAAAAGCTTCCTCCGGCAAGCACAACGTCGAGTTCGTCAAGTCGCAAATCACACATATTGCTCTCGAGGACGGCATCGCAGACTGCATCATCTCCAACTGCGTCGTCAATCTTGCCCCAGAAGAAGAGAAGCAGCTCGTCTTCAACGAAATTTTCCGTCTGCTGAAGCCCGGTGGACGAGTTGCCATTTCGGATATCCTTGCCAAGAGCGCACTGCCGGAGAAGATTAGGAAGAGCATGGCCCTGTACGTTGGGTGCATTGCTGGAGCGAGCCAAGTGGGCATGTACCGAAAGTATTTGAGGGAAGCTGGTTTCCACGGTTGGTGAACTGAAGTTTACGGTCTTGGAGACCGGTTACTGACTGGAAAGGCTAGGCGTTGTTATACAGGATACAGGAAATGACTTGAATGTCTACCACAGGACGGCTGTGGGCGACTCTGCTAGCGATGGCACCGCTCGAGATGCTTACGACCGGGGGCAAGAGGCGTCTTGCTGTGCAAAAGGCTGTTCCAGTGCGACAGAAGATGACTTGATCATCAAAGATGTGGACTTTAATAAATGGACTGGTAGGTGAAGCGTGATTTCTCTTTCATTGCGATGCTGACCTTATCACTCACGCAGCTTCGTACAACATTTTCGCGGTCAAGGAGTAAGAGGTGGGCTATTACACGCGGATGACAGGACATATCTAAATCATGTTAACAGAGGATCTTGCCTTGGATAGCTCATACGTCTATCCTTCTTCTTCACACTCATTAACGCATATTGTATCTTCTCATGCTACTCAAGGTTTGCATACAAACCACACGAATAGACGCTCGAATTCACCTCACCTTATCCAAGGAAGAGTTGTCTCAAGCCCTCGGCATGACTGGCTAGCATACGCCGACGCCGTGAACTATAGCCCTTTCTGGTAACCTCGGGCACTCAAGAACCAAATTTAGTGACGAATCCCAAAAACTGGCGTTGCTAGTGGAGTCAACCGAGCAGGGAAACAACCACAGCGTGAACCTCAGGATGGGCACCACGAATGATAAGCTGGCTAAACACCCTGGGCATAGACCTTTCTATCACGCTCATCCAAGTAACGCCTTCTACTTGTCCTGTAAATTAAAGCTGAATGGACGATTCACCATATGCAGATACGAGCGGCCTGCTGGTCACAGCCGCCAATCCGGCGCATGATGACTTGCCGGGGATAGATCACAGTCGCTGTGTCGCTCTACACAATCATCTCGTCCATTATGCCTAGATAGCTGAGGGCCGCCCGCCTACAAAATTACATGGCATCAACAAGACCTTCTTCACCGCCTACGGGAATGCCGCCGAGGCACTTCGCAAACAACTCAACCCCTCGCTAATTGCTTTTCTTGCCGCCGCTCAGCTGCCTCCTAATGACCACGACAATATTAATTCTGCGCCATTGTTCATCTAGGCTGCCGGCATCTCTAAGCCAGACGACTTGTTTCTTCAGGAAGCGGCCGACCTTTTTGACGAGCCAGTTGACAGCCTGATCTGTCTGTATTATCCCAACATCGGTCACGGGGGAGAACGAGGAGGCGGCCTTTTATATCACCAAGGCCATCATCGAGCCGCTGTGTTGATGCACATGGACGACTATGACTATGTGCTGCCATTTGAGGCGCATAGAGAGCTTTGGCATCCTCTCGAGACGGTCCTTTCCAACTGGATCAGTCTTATTCATCTTGGAAAGGCTATTGTCACAGCCTCGCCTAGAGATGAGCCTGGTCTCTTTGGCAACGAAAAAATTGGACCTTGGGAATGGAGGCCGTATAGCGAGGCTCAAGTTTCTAGTTGCGTAGACGCATGGAATCAGCTCTGTGAAGCCATCGAGGAACGTATCCCATCAAAAGGCAGCAATATTGATACGAACAGTCCTCAGCCTTTACTCGCCTCCAGTGCCTTGGATACGGCATCAATCCCGGATCCTTGTTTTGCTCGCTCATTTCTGACCAGCGCACGCCGGCCCTGCTTCCAGCGCATCGCACCCGGTCTTTTCTTGCCTCCTGCTGACGCCGCAGCGTTTGCGGCAATACAGCCATTCACCGGATTGCCTCGCTCTCATGGTGCGGTAATACCACCGGTATGCCTCTTCCCCGCCGCACCATGCGAGCGTGAAGCTGTCTTGACGGCATCATCAAGCCCCTTTTGCGGCGACTTCCGTCCCACACCCGCCAATTCGGCCGTCCCGTCCAAAGTCAGGGCAGGCGTGTACAGTGAGTCCGTGGATAGAAACTCGGGTCACGACTACGCGGAGGAGGGGTTTCGGCTGCTTCTTCCGTACGGCTTCGACAACGATTGGAATGGCAGTGATGGCGCCCGCAAAAGCGACGGTTCGCTTATTGACAGAGGCAAGCTGGCGGATCTCTTTCAGCATGGATACAAGCCTTTTGGGGGAGACTATTATCGCCCTCAGCGTCTAGAGCGTCTACTAGACTGTTGGTGCAAGCTGATCGAGGAGGGCGTCTGGTCTGTTGGGCCGGAAGGCGTACAAGGAACCATCGACAAGTTCAAGGATGCGGGGACGACACATTGGAGAGACTATGTCATCCCGCTGACTTGGTGACGACTCGTACATTGGGGGGTGTTTGGCTCATCTGGAAAATGCTGCCTCGCTTCTTGATTGACGGCCCGGATTTTGTGTATAAAGCTGTCCTGATGTGGATCGATTCGCGCGTCTTCACCTGAGGAAGATCGGAAGTTGGACAATGCTTTCCTTCTATAGCCCCCTTGTGAAGACACTTGAGCATTGAGACAGCCAGTTAATTATCGCCGGTGAAGATCCCAAGCATCTCGGCCTCCAGCTATACTTGGGTCATAGGTAGGTATGGACAACAGCTCGCCATCCGATATACACCTGACTCAAAAGCAGATAGTGAAATTCCACGCTGGCTTGTTCCAACATCAAAAATTGCTTGGCTCTCGGGGGCCTCATTACCATACCGCTTCGCACTTCGTCACAACAGAGGCAAGGCCTTTCACAGCTTCCTGTAAGTTCAACGAGACAAAAAGAAAAGATTTATAAAGAGCAAAAATACAAAAAACATACAACAGCCGGTGTTCGCTGGTGGTCACCCACCCAACTACTAATCTGCCGGTTAGTGGCTTATCTATGGGGGAGCAGACGGGACCCCGAGTTTTCCACTACCTATGGTCGTATGTGCTAGAAAATAGCTCAGTTGGGTATATATCAGGGAGGTGGGAAGTTAAAATTTGCACTCATGGAAATATCCTCTACAAACTGCAGCATAGTCTATATAGCTACCAAGAACTGATATACACCTTTTTACGTATGCCGATGTCTTTGATGATTGTAGTACAAAGGCCGTATCTTACATACGACTGTGATGCAAGTTTTTTTAGATATTGGGAGCAAGACAGCGTTTGGTTCAGTATGCCGCCTTCATCACTGCCATGGCACTCGCTCACATCGTCTGCAGTATGTTTGTGAATGCTTCTAATAAATATCAACCTTTCTAAGAGAGAAATTACCAGGTAACTTTATTCACAGCAGTTACCTTGTCCTTCTAGTCCCATAAGATCTGCATCTGTAAACGAAGTCGCCACATCATTGTATTCATCTAACTAGCCAACGGTGCATGACGCGTTCTTCCTGGCCGGTTGGCTCCTCAATCGTCAAATCTGTCATAGTACTTGACATCGAACCTGCCATCGGCGTTTTGGACCACACGGGCGTAGAATTTGCCCATGCCCTCGCCTTCACTGAAGTCAATGGTAGCACCATCCCTGGTAACAGCGTGATAGTCAACAATTTCGCCGGGAACCTGCTGGCTCTCGGAGACGTAGAACTTCATCTTGGGGCTGATTTGGACTTTCATATTGTTGTGGGGAGCAACCTAATACTCCACAGATCAGAAACTGGAATAGCAAAGTTGACCAGGGAGGTTAGATAGAGTAACGTACCGACGCAACGGGGGCGACCTGCCCACGGTTATTGACTTTGGCAAGTCCCAGTAGGTACGTGTTGTTGGGCACGTTGAAGTCGGAGCCAGTCTGGATTTCAAAAGCCCCAGGGACGGCAGTCGACTCGACTTCGGTGATCGTGGGGAAGCTTTGAATGACCTGCTTTTCAAAGGTGCCTGCTCAGAGAGAGGATTCAGTCAGCCTTGCCCTTCTGAGTGGATTTTGCTAAAAGAGAGAGGCATCTCCAGCTTCTAATTACTCACTTCCAGGCACAGTACTTGTACCGAGACGGGCCAGCAGATTCATGCCACTGTTGATGACGACGCCTGGTGCCGGTGCGGTAGGAGCGGTACCGACCCCTTTGATAAAGTATACTCGTTAGCACAGGCATAAGAAAAGGTTCGGTCCAGTCTTTTCTTACAGGCGAAGAAGTCCAGGCCAGAGCGAATCTCGAAGTTTCCATGGTAAGGCACGAACGAGGTATACCAGACGTTCATCCAAGGCTGCAGGCCGCCAGTGAAACTTGGAGGTTCTATGAACACCGCATAGTTGGTGTTCGCACCGCGCTCATTTCCAACAGAGATGGTCCAGCTGGAAGACATTCTGGTTGAGGACTCGAGTAGTTAAATGGCCTTTAAAGAGTGCCGTGTTGTTCGAGTTGTGTGTCAAGATGAGGACAGGATGGATGAGAACGGAGGGAGGCGGACACCTGCTTATATACATGAGAGGGGATATGCTTTCTGATTAGCAGATATCGAACCTAGGTAATGCATGCTCTCATGGGAAATGTTGTTCATTAGAAAGCCTAATGTGCGTATCATCTATTAGGAAGGTCATTCTAAGGTGTATCAGCTGTGGCTGGCTGAAGTGAATATCCAAATGTTTCCTGCAGGCTCCTCCCCCTTGCTCTGTCGGCTACTCTTCTGTTACATAGTATGACACTCAATATGCAAGCCTTGACTTACAAGGCCCAGGCTTGATGATGGTGACAAGATGAATTACGTGTCTTGCCGATCAAGGAAGAAAAGTGCGTATGATGTATTAAGTGAAGTGTCTCTTCCCTGCCAAGCAGACCGGTATATTTGACGATCCAGGCTGTCACCACAGTGTGTTGGGTAGCACTTGCAAAAGTCTCGGCAACGCAAAAGCTGAGGAGTTGTATGCAGGCCGCCTTGTCAGTGTCTCACCGGTCAATGCCCGCAGCCACTTAGACAACAGGTGTTGTAATGGAAAGTGGCCGCTAACGCAGCTGCACAGCGTCCTGCAGGGCCAGTGATCTGGGGCAAGGAACCTGCAGCCGGTGAATGCAAATTCATGTACTAGTAAGGCCTCGAGCTCCTCAGCCGCATCCCCGCTATGGCTGCCATGAAGCAGATGGGACGCTATATTTGGTTTTAAGCCGTGTAACAGCTGTTTGATGCCAAGTTTCTTGCTGTTGAGGGGAGTTGCACATATCTGATCAGCAGTGGTCGGCTAAGCTGAGCGGATTGCATCTCAGCTCCATATGTTGTGCATCAGTGCTTAACCTACTGATCGACCACCATCTGTGTACGTCCAGCTTGCCAAAGCATTGGTTGATCTGCGTTAATAAGGACCAAATAGCGTCGATGGGGATCGCACGTATCACATTCGCACATACCACCGCATATGCATTGCAGCCCCTTATGGAATAAGAATGTGAAGAAAGGCCCTTCTTCCATTGACATAGTCTTTTTTCAGTTCGGGACACACCTATACGTACCTTACAAACGCTATCTCTCGGGGATCTGTACCGGCCTGAGATCTCTCGATCATGGCCAATGCAAAGAGCCGCTCACTGCTTGAAGAGGCCGAAATTGGATCATATATGGATTAGACTAGCATTTGATTCCCTCGCAAGATCAATTATCGCATTACGTTACTCCTATGGGGTTAACATTTGGTTGATGCGGCTGCACTTCAACGTGGCATCCATCGTATTGCGAATTCGTTCAGACGCTCGATTGCGTGCATCTCCCTTACAGGACGTAGGCCGCCTCTGTCTGCCTCATTACATCTTTGAGGTGTAAGGCCTGAGCTTACATTCCAGATAACCTGTCAGCCTGAGACATACGGACGCCTCTATCCCCTGCCATGAAGCGCTAGCATGGTCTTTGGCAAAGGATCTGCATGTATCATTGAATCAGCTCTTGATGTTTGCATGCGTGTCTTGGAAGTATTAGGAATGAGACAAGCTGTGGCTGCGAACCAAAAAAGAGGAGAGCTGCGTCATTTGTATATGAGGTAGAAACACCAATTGGGCTTGCAGGCCGATGGAGCACGATGACTTGGCTACAGCCATGGTCACGCAGCCGATGTCGACAGACTACCGAGGAAGTTGGTGTTTCTATCTGTACCTAACGTGCAATGAGCAAAGAGCATGCCAAAGTCTTCTAGTAAGAGTCGTGAGCCCTGCAATCCTTACACACATCCTCTACATGTTTCGACATGTCTTCTCCATTCAGCGGCTGCACCTTGTCTTGCAACATCCACCACCCCGATCGAGGCTGAAAAGTATCGATTTCCCCATGTCTCTCACTTGCAGTTGCTGTTACACCCACTGACCCGACAATGATAGTGGTATCATAGTCAAGCATCGTATTTCCGTCCAGAACCTTGACCGGCACCTCGACCACGGCTCGTGGCACGCTTTTGACGCCAATAACTGGGAAGACAACGTCATCGATAACCTGCCTCTTCCTATCTTCGGTTTGTTCAAACGAGTGGTCTGCTAGCTCTTTGTCCGTATACTGGTGGATCATGCGGCCTTTCTCATCCCAGAAGCAGAACGCCGTGATCCAGCCCGATAGTGAGATGAGTCCCCGCCCTGAGCCCTCCTCACCGGCTTCATGAACTGCCCTCATCCAAAAGTCCTTGACGTCTTCATCGTCTGGTCGATCGAATGTTTCGACCATCTTCTCCACCACCTTGGTGAGCAGCTTGCTCCAGTGCGCAGGTTCTTCGCCAAATGTCGCCAGCTTGGGCAGTCTTTCGAGGAGCTTTACCCAGTCATCCCTCTCCCCTTCAAGCGTGACACTTGGGAACCCGCAGCCCATCAATATGATGTACTCAAAGTATGCCTTTGTAGTGGCCATCATGACCAGTGCCCCGACGCTTATGTCATTGTCGGTTGTAGTTGTAAAATCTGGCAAGATCCAGCTTCGAAGCTCAGGGTCAAGCACGTTGCTCTGGATCAGTGTGGTGAACTTCTCTGCCGCAGATGCAACGTCTAGTGTCGCCATGCTTTGGGGCGACATGTCGACGACGAGCTTCTTCTTGCCCTCGTGATTGACGAAGTGACTTCTTAATTCCTCGGCGTGGCCGTTAACATAGAAGCTAAACTGTACCGTGATAGCCAGCCAAATGTCGTCAGGCCGGAGAACGAGATGAAGATCTTGCTGAAACGCGCGGATGATGCCATGGACGAAGCCGTTTGCATATGGTACCACGTTCAACGCCTTTTTGCGATCGATATCGCCAAAGGAATGATGTAGAACCTTGCGTGCCTCGGGACCTTTTGGCTTATCGGTCCTCACTTCGTCGGCGAACTCTGCTTCTGGACCTGGCACGTATGTCCACTCTCTTGATGCCTCTTTGAGGAGGTTGGCGGAAGATGTGACTGCCGCGTCATTGTTCGACCCGACGATGTCGGGCTTCGGCCTGGTTACCACGCGGGTGGAGGTCATGGCATAGACGCCGTCTGGTGCTGGCTCAACGTCGTTGATCGGAATGAATCGAGAGCGAATTGAGTTGACCGGCAGGAACTTGAGTAGCGCAATCAGTGCGCAGCAAAAGAGACACAGCCTCCAGATCAGGCGCACGCTTTCAAGGGTTATTCTGCGAGAAGAACGAGAATTAGAAGTATCTTTTGTCATTTTGTCTCTTTTCATTCTTTGTTGTGGTTTGCCTTTGGTTGCCAGCTCTCTTCTCAAGAATAGGAAAGATTTTTTAAAGGAGATCCAAAAGGCCAGATGACCGCTTCTCGTATTATGATGCTCGTGTCAACATTGTGATAGCCTAATTGCCAGCAAGAAAGCCTTTGTGCCTAGAATGCCAAGCAAGTGTACTTTAAGCAATGGATGGAATGAGAAATACGATATCTGGAAAGGACACGGAACCCATGGAAGTCGTTCGCCCCGATTAAGCTTGAGTTAGTGTATGCAACTTTAAAAGAGGCGGGTGGTAAATGCAACCCCACCACAAGAAGATGGGGTGAATCCGGACTCTGTTCTTTTCATAACTCGAGGTCAGTCAATCAACTCTTCTCATCTCTGCGCCGTCGGGGTACCCATTGTTATGGTCTCTCAAAGTAGAAGCATCTGAGCAGATCCATCTCGCGCAGCTACTCTCTGTGTTACAGACCAGTACGCACTCTTAAAAATAAATAAATGAAACGAATTGTATATGTCTAATTCTACCTTTCTAATCTATAATATCTGGTGATGCCTCTTTCTATACTTGCACCAAGGGTCCGATATGTACAACTCCTCTAATCCGCACAAGCCTTTTTCTCCCTCCCCTCTCGACTACATCAGATACTCTCTGCGGTGTGTATGAGACATCAAGCGATTCCTCACATAACCCACTTAGGCGCTAGAAGTAGCAATCTTGGCCTTGTGAAGAGCGACAATCTCGGCCTCATCCTCAAGGGTCTTAATAGCAGCGGGACGAGCCTCAAGGCGTTCCTTCCAGGCAGCAATGTTTTTTAGGTGGCTGATGTCAACACCAGAGCGGCTGTTCCACAGGGTGCCCCAGACGTAGGCATCGGCAACGGTAAGGTTCTCACCAAACAGGTAGGGATTAATAGCCAGGCGATCGTCGAGCAGCTTGTAGGCCTTCTTGAGCTTATTGGAGTGGAATTCGATGCCCTCAGGAGTCATGAGCTTGCGCATCAGAGGGATGTGTTTCTGGGCAACCTCGGTGGCCAGCTGGACGAGGACCTGGTCGTACTTGACACGGTCCAGAGTGCCTGCTGTGGGGATGAGGCCGGCCTCGGGGTGCTGGTCGGCGAGGTAGGAGCAGATGACGATGGTCTCGGAGATGATGTCCTGGTTCTCGTTGTCCAACTTCAGGCAGGGGACGTACAGGAGGGGGTTGACGGCGGCGAAGTCATCGCCGTTGGAGGTGCTCTTGCCGACGACGTCGAAATGGACGAGTTCGAGGTCGAGGTTGAGCTCGTTGGCGATGAGCTGCGTGGCGCGAGAGCAGGTGTCGTGGGCAATGTAGAGTGTGGGGGCCATTGCGATGGTGGTTGTGTTATTATCTTTTGGTGAACTGGTGTAAGTAATTGCAGTGGTGTATCACTTGAATTGCCGAATCTTATTTGATCTGCATCGAAGACCGTCGTGGTTTAAATGTTCTCAACTGCCGAGTTCAGCTGAAGCACGGCTCTTATATACGTCTTTCCTATCCCGGTATCGCTATTTCTTGCTCTTCAGAGTGATTAAAAGACATTGACGAACATCCCTTTGGTGCTTCACCGACACTGTCTTCGCCATTATGAGATGTCAAAGGCGAACGGCAACTATTTGCACCAGAACGGACCTTCAGGCGGGGAGAAGACGCCAGGCAAGCCACTCAAAAGACAACGGCCAGCGGGGTGGCACAGTGTTGGCTCCGGCCCTAAGAACGACAAAGCTGGCAGCTAGCAAAAGCTGGGAAGAAAATGCGACGTTTGAGGGGCTAGTGCCTCTGTGATTCTGAGGGACAGGCCTTGCAAATCGTTGCGCAGGGCCTCAGGAGAGGAACGGTGGCTCTTAGATATATACTTACACGATTGTGCCTTACGTGTCCCCGACGCTACCGTTTGTGCCTGTTGATCTAATGCAGGACCCAAATTTTATCAAATTAAATATCATTAATGTTGACTGCTCTTTGTATGTTCAGACGAAAGATCGGACGTTGCGAAGATTGTGTGGCCTGCCGAGATTGCGCCAAGTCGTAGATCTGGCAACCATTTCGTTGCTACGCTGCTCAGGGAAAATCTCCCATACACCTCTACCGCATTTTGACAATTGGACAGGGCCTTAGGTATTTAATTCGTAAGTGCAGGCGGTAAGCAAGCAGTTGAGAGGTACCAGAAGTACGGACTTCTCATATTTATGTGTAACAGATGACGAGTAGTTAGATGTGTAAGTGCCGAGGAGCTGCATTGACGGAATGCGATTGCATTTATCCATGCCCGATCACCAAAACAACGCTCTAAAAGTATGTAAAAGTAGTACAGCCAGTCATAACGTGACCTGTGTCCATATTCAGCCTTTGATACCATCGTTTCTCACCAGCACTTACACCCACGGTCCGCCTTAGGTCCCCCTCCACCCTCTCACATCTTTTTTGAGACCTCTTACAACAGTGACACCAACCGACGGCCTACCAGCTTCATCATACCCAGGCCCTCAGCTTATCTGATCATTATTGCACCATTCCTGATGAAGCCTCCTAACCAGACTTGCCGTAGGCCATCCCGTATCGGCCTCGACATCCTGCAAAAGCTGGACCACGGCTCTCCTCTCCCGCGGCTCCTCCAAGCACTGCCCAGCCAAGAACAGCGGATGCACCGAGTGAATCCGAGCAGCGTACCCCGGCCGGGCCGCGGCTATTCCGCATATTTTCACACAGTGGTCCTTGATATCCAGCAACCTTTCTCTGTAATCCTTCAGCTGAATCAGAGGGTTTGATTGGTCGATCGGTTTTGCGAGCAGTAGAAGCACGCGTGAGAAGTGATAGTACGACAGCGTAGCCGCGGATACGGCAGTTGGGAAGAGAATCTCGTCGAAGACAGGCTCTGCTGGGCCTTGAGAGAGAGTCAAATGGCTGGAGAGCGCGTAATGGGAATATGGCTCAAAGTGTAGGTCCAGCTGGGTGTGCCACCGGTCCAGAGCATTCCAGAGATGGTGCCAGCTTCTGGGTTCCACAATCTTCGTGTTACCATCACTGCTTCTGGTAGTAGCGGTAAACTTGTCAATGATCTGTGTTACCAAGAGGAAGAGTTGTGCCCAGGGCGTTCTGGCCATGGATGCAGATTCGCTAGGGTCATCAAATTCACTACCGAGTACCCCTGGATTGCTGCTATACGGAGTTTCAAGGTCTAGTAACGGTATTCGTTTTTGGTCATACGAGGTAAGGAGATCGTGAGGCATGCAGTGCCAGAAGCTGGCTAGAGCTGCAGGGCTGCCGTGGAATTTGAAGGGAGTGAAGATTGAGTCAGGCGATGAGCCCTCGGTGGGATTAGGTCTCATAAGACTGCTCTTGATGTTACGTATCCGCCTAAACTCTTGTCAGATCTGTCTGCCGGTTTACTATGACGAACTAAATCAGATGCAAACCGTGAGAAGAAATTGTTATATAGAGCATTAGAGGAGGAAGTATGCCAAATGCGTCAAAACAACAGCTGCTGCAGGCCATATGCTTTTGAGAAATGCACTTACGTATAAAATTCATCATAATTCGAGTCGAGCAATTCATAAACGGTCAATATGGCATTACTCGCCATCGCAACATCCGCCAAGATAGAAGAACCCGCCTCGCGCAGAGCAGATTCGCTGGCGGTGTGAAGCGGCGAAGTGGTAGCCGCTCGGTGATAGTAATTGGCAGCCTTGAACGCCCAGTCGACATGGACCGTATTTGGATACAGCTCCGTCAAGGCCAAGTTGCTCCTCACGCAGTTCTGGGCGGGACGAAAGCCGCCAACGTTGCTCAAGTGCTTCGCAGCGAGCGCGGCGATTGCGTACTTGATTGCTGCGTGAGCTCCTACAAGACGAGGCATACACGTCTGGAAGAAGGAATTGTCTCCAAATACGTCCAGCCTAACAATTATGGTTTAGAACGCCTGAGATACGTCAGGACAAGATGGGTAACATACCACGAAGCCAGGTTGTCCGTATAATGCCGCAGAAGAAAGACCATCTCCTGCTCGCTCTCCAGCATAAACTCTGAGGCTAGGGCAGCAAGCCCCGTCTCAAACCCGCTGCCCGATTCAGAAGACATCAATCCCGGAGATGCCTCAGGGGCAGGTCCAGGAGCCCCGAAGTGGCCGGGCTGCAGACCACCATCATTAGCTTCACTAACACCGCCATTTCCGAGCTCAAAGACGAAACCGTCAGAGAGCGATAATGACGGGTCCAAGCTCTGTAGTGCGGCTTCAGATTCTTTCGAATAGTCCAATACCGGAATGTCCAGCGGTTCTGGTCTCTGGGTGGTGGTGATGCGACGGACCTCTACTGTAGTATCCTCGCGTAGCCGGGTCTCGGGGCGTTTCTTTACCAATTCCGCAGCTCCCTTGATTCCGTGTGCCTCGCCTGCGCGGGAATTTCGCCTCTTCTGCCGCTTCGGAGGAGGTCTGGCGCCGTTGTTGATGAACTTCCAGTCTTCACTGTATCCGGGACAGTCATGGTTGGCCGAGGTACACTGCTTGCAGCTAGGCCTTGTTGCATCACACTTGGAGCTCTCGGTCAAAACTCAATACATCAGGCTCATCTGAGGGTGTACAATTACCTTGATATGTCGCTTCCTGCATCGTTGGCACGCCGAGCCGGGGGACATTGCCGTTCGCAGGCTCCAAGCCGGAGCGTATAACGACGCTCGCTACCATGTAACCGCTCTTCCGTATACTGTGCCCCTCTCTTCAGCTCGGCTCTGCGTAGTTGTTGGTGGCAGCCAGAGGAAGATGTTACCCATTGAGGCAACGAAGCAACCCCGTACGGAGGTAGGATAGATATCAATGAGGTAAGTGGAAATTGAAGTTGCCTTGGCTATAGTTTTATCTGATGACATGCGAGGGTAAGTCGATTAATTGACTTTTGATTTGATCAAGCTCTTCACCTCTGGTCTCGACAGAGCTGAGCGGGCTAATGTCGGTAGGATGACGTTGCTGCTTTGGGGTAAACGATCCGTCTCATGCCTGTTTGGGCAATTCTCCCCAGTTGGGAACGTCTCTGGAATCTCTTCTTGCATCCACATAGATTCCTGCTTAGCCAACTGATGTCCTACATTTGTGGTTGTATGGAGCATGACTTTGCTGTCATGACATCTTTCAGTTGTACTTTGACCCCATTCACAAGTCTAGAATATTGTTCATTCACTTGGGCTTAATTCACATCATTTCGTTTGCAACGTTTATCATCATGGCAGAATCTCCTCAGTCACAAGCCAAAAGACGGCGGACGTCGACAACCGAGACGAGCAAATATCCCGTCGTCGCCGGCTACAGAATCTCTACCTATGCTGCGCCGGGGACGTCTCTGACCTTGAATGAGCAAAGAATTATATATCATGCTTGGAGAAGTGAGTATCCATATCACCCAATCATCTAGACTTGGACTTGTCCTTGGAGATGGAGGGCGGACTATTCGCCATTATTGAGTCGTAATAATCGGCCATATGTCTGTCCATTTGAAGCGATCCGGCCTTCATTAAGTGACAATATCTCATGCATTGGGCACATTACACAAGATCTTACGTCTAACACTTCACAGAGAGCGGCTCACCACACAACCCACTATGCTATACTTGCCGCAAACCAGGCAGCATGCTGCATTGCGACACATGCTGCCGATCCTATCATCAACATTGTGTCGTCCCAGAGATGCCAGAGTCACAAAAGACTTTTTACTGTGGCGCATGTACAAGGAGAAATTGGCACATTCAGCCGCCATTGTTCAACGATGAGAAGTCGAATCATCTTCTTAAGCAACCTGCCGATCAGCCGGCGCCAGAACCTGCAGCCAAACCTGAAGAAGCGACGTCAAACATGGAGGCTTCTAAGAGTACTCGGCTGATGAAAGACGCAGTCAAGTCTGACGATTCTGAAGACTCATCCTCCCAGCCAGCCTCAAGCAAAGTGTCTGAAGAACCGAGCCATAATGTACAGGGTGACGTGCTTCGCTCACTGCAAAGCCTTCGCGAACGAGTGACGATGCTCGAGAAAGAGAACGAGGCAATACGGCAAATTTCACAGACCAATAATTCAAGGAAACGAGAGTTGAACCAAGCGGGCGATGCATAGAGTCTACGCTCCCGCAGTGTTTCCCTCTTTCTTCCCCGAACATGTACATTACTACAAAAGTACAGGGATCGTTATTCGCGTCTTCTCTATTAGCGATCAAGGTTTTCTTTTGACTTCCAAGTTAAAACATCTGAACGTCTCGAGGGTGTATCCAGTCCATCTTCTGAACTCCAAGGTCAGGCTTTTGTAGTCAAAATCCTGCCTTGATGCTAAAGTCACCTCCACCTCCCACTATCACGATACCAGAAACCCACGATATAATTTCATATGCTTGCAACCCTTCTTTAGGTTATTCATGCCAACTACCCTGCGTCTTTCTATGATATCCATCTGCCGTCTCAATGAAGTCATATGAAAATGACGTCAATCACTCTATCTTCTTGTTCAATGCTCGGATCGTCTTCCAGTAGCGGGCGATATTGCCGTATTTGGCAAAATAGCTACCTCGACTACCAGGTGAGACGCCACGATAGACATGCCTCAGAACGGAATCCATCGTGCAAAGTGCCTGAAGAAGGACACGACCTCCGTATCAATGAGATTACGGTCAACGTATGAAGTGAGTAACATGGTACCATGTGATACCAGAAGAGTCGAAGAGGAGCAAACTCGAGAACTATAAGAAAGCATCAACTCTCCTTCATCACAAATTTATAGATCTCTCATATATCCATTACACTTACATCAAAAGGCTACACTGATTCAACACTACCAATACGATTCATATCAAGTCATCGAGCTGTCCAAGATGCCTTCCTTTGCAGATCTCCCTATCAACAGGAACTCCACTCCAGTCCCCTTTACGGTGTCAGTATCGGAGCAACAACTAATTGAGTTTCGGACCCTACTCAAGCTATCGAAGATTGGACCAAGAACTTATGAAAATGAGCTGACCGACGGTCGGTTCGGTATCAGCCGAGACTGACTTGTCAAAGCCAAAGCGAAGTGGGAGAATTGGGACTGGTGAGCTTATAGACCCTTGCAACGTCATCCACGCTGACTGAGTCAAAGGTCGCCGCCATAACGCGTGAAACTTTGCTGCCAATATCCCCACCCTGAACTGCATATCCATTGCCAAAGCCCAGTTCAACCATCAACGTGTTCATAATGCTTGCAATGTTCTGGAGTTGAAAGTCTCGTGTAAGTGGTGGCGGGGAAGAAAAAGCATAGCCAGGCAGAGAAGGAATAACAATGTGGTAGGGAAGTGTCTCGGGGGTGTTTCGGTTGGACAAGGTCTCTAGGATGGAATAGAACTCCATGAAGTTGCCCGGCCAGCCATGCAAGCTGAGGAGGGGGATTACATCCTGCTTCTGCGAGAAGAGTGCCACGAAGTGAATACTGAAGGTATCTCCGCCTTCTGTAATCGGTAGAGTAAAGTTAGGGAAGCTGTTGATGCGAGCTTCACATTTACGCCTGATGTTATCCCATGTCATGAGATCTACGTCTTTTTCTTCTGTACAGTAATATCATCAAAGACCATATTACCTATTTCGAGTAATGGATACTTGGTACTCTGACGGTTGCATTTCATGGGGTCATACATAAACTTGAACCCCATGAAAACTAAGCCGGCACAGGAAATTTATGAATCCCCTTCTATTACTTCTAAGGGCTAATGATCACGACAATCAAGTTGCTGTCTCTGCCTGATACGCCCGGAAACACTCGCGCGTGACACAGCAGATTCATAGTATTCATATATAAATACATCTTTTTGATATGTGACAGCTCGACGATCATTCTTCAACGGTCCAACAAAGTCTCACATAGCAATACATCTCGTAAAAAAGGATTATCATGACTTCGCAACTGGTGTCCAAAATATGTGTCATTGGTGGCACCGGAGTCCAAGGCATGTCCATCGTCAAAGCGCTCGTACACGATAAGAAATACACAGCTCGACTTCTGACCCGCGATACCTCGTCTCGCCGCGCCGCTGAGCTTCTCGCCCTCGGCAATGTCGAATTGCTCCAAGGCACATTCGCAAGTGAAGAGGCCCTTCGCGACGGCTACCGAGGCTGTGATGGGGCTTTTGCCAACATTGATGGCTTTGACGGTGGAGAAAGGGGCGAGATGTACTGGGCTATTCGCGCCCATGAGCTTGCTATTGAAGAGGGCATCAAATCTTTTGTGTACGGCAGCCTTCCCTATGTCCTCAAGCTGGGAGGCTACGACTCCAGGTTCTATTCCGGCCACATGAATGGTAAAGGAAGAATCGGGCAGTGGATTCTGTTCCAGAATGTTAGCAACAAGGAGAGAAGTGGGTGCAGCTCTGTTCACAGTCGCGCCTTACATGGACATGACCATCGGCTCCCATACTCCCATGGCACCCACCATCGAAGACGACACTCTCACCTGGCGTGTGCCCCTCGGAAATAGTTCTATGCCTTTGGGCTCCCTCGAAGATTGCGGCTACTATGTTCGCTTGCAATTCGATAACCCTGAGCGCGCCAATGGCTTGGACCTCAGGACCGCGGCTCAGGGCATCACTTATAGCGACTTGGCCATTGCATTTGAGCGCCCTACGGGCTATCGCGCTAGGTATATTGATGTGTCGCTGGAAGCCCGAATATTGGCGAAATGGGCCCCTGTCAAAAACCGCTCACGCCCCAATTGGTGCCGCTGATTTGAGCGACCCCAGTGCCATGTCCTCGCAACGGAACTTTACTGCATTGTGGAACTCTTTCAGACATGGGCTCTTCGGGATAGACTATGCTCTTCTGGACCAGATTCAGCCAAACAGAGTCAAAAGAGCAGAAGACTGGTCCCGTCAGCAAGACAACTTATTGAAGAACTCGGGAAAGGGAGGCTTATGGGAAAGACTCCAGCCCGGAAACATCACATTGGTTATTAAGCGAAGCGAAGATGGAGGTCATTTGTAAGTGAAGCCTTGAAGATGCTCGAGTGAATGGTATACACTATTCTATCAGTCTATATGTTGATATCTACGGTTTTTATCTGGCTTCTGTTTAGCTTAGCAACGTCTATATGAGCGCCATATACTTAAGCCGTCTGTAAGGCTTCACTTTTGTTCTTTTTCCATTGTTCAAAATCTGGAGCTTCGAAGATTTTGCCGTCCATGACTTTCTGTATCGTGCCTGCGGCGATTACAATCCATAGCAGCGTTACAATGACTGCGGCAATCTGTTTTGCAGTACATTAGTCCAGCTGGTTCTTCCGCAGCTGTAAATATTCGAAACGTGGCAGAGGGCGCAGACTTACAGTGCCTAAGACATTGAAGAATCGAGATGGCATCTCCTGCCCAATGGCAATTGTTGCGCCAGCCCAGACACCAAGAGGAAAAGTAAACCCCCACCAGCCAATGTTAAAGGGAAATCTCCGTCGACTGATGCTGGCCAGCGCAAAGAAGATCCATGCCAGGCCATTTGCCCACATGATGAACCCGACCATCCAGCCAACCACATATAATATCTCTCCAGAGTGGCTGCCCATCTGTCCAAGGGTCCCAGTTTTTGGAAACACTTCGGCAGCGACCTTGCCCAGCTGTATAATTGCAAATCCACCCTGGCCGAGAGGCGCCACGGGTAGGAACATAGACACGATGGCCTCAGGGGGCGGCAAGCTGTGCACTGAGAGGCGGTGGAAGAAGATGACCAGGCAGGTGAACGACAGCGGCATTGCGGTGCCCCAAAGGAAGTAGGAGGTGATGAGTGTCCAAAGAGCATGCTGTTCGTTTTCGAGAGCTCCGGCGAGAACTCCTCCAATGGCAGACGCGACGATTGCAGCAGCGACGGGAAGAAGCCAGGTTGCAGAAAGCGTGGCCAGCTTCACGTCGTGGATGTGCATACTGACGTCCGTTAGTTAAAGTAACCCCTTATGACCGTATTCATCACTTACATGACGAATGGCATAAAGTAAGAAATGACAATGGATATAGCAGCGTCAATCCACCACAGCGTCCAAGCCTGTTGAGAGGGTCAGTACATTCCTCGAGCTGGTATCCTCCGCTATGACTGACCAGAGTGAGCGCCCATTCACCCCATGCGGGCACGCAGACCAAGACAATCATCTCGATGATTGTACAGAGGGCAATCGGGAATGCCCCCAGGAGTAGCGGTACGGCAGGATGTCGAATCATCGTCATAAAGAGCCCAGGATATACAAAGTACCGAAGCACTGATATGAACGTAAAAAGGACAAAAAGCGCCAGGTTCAGAACGAAAAAGATGACTGAGATCCAGTATAGCCACGCTCCGTTATATGGAAGGTTGTGAAGAAGAATCGAAACAATTCCGGTGCCCATATTAATTGTAAACCACCTGAAAAGCTTTAGAATCATCTCATAGAAACGAGGCTCAGTTGTGGTCCGTTCACCAAGACGTCGACTGACAGGGCTGTAATAATGAAGATCCGAAACAAGAACTTACGCCGGAGTAAATGCGCGAACGGCAATCCAAATATTCCTCTCCCGCCTCTGAAGCGCAGGCGAGCTAACATCTTCTTTGTCCATCTCATTCTGCAAAACCTTTGCTGCTGGATCTGTCGCGTCGTCTTCCTGTGGCGGCGACAGGCTCGTTGAAGAGGCGACGATGCCCTCCGGGCCATGCCTTGGGACAATTGCAGTGCCGACCACATCAACAGCAGACGATGCGCCTCCCGCGGAGGATGCCATGATGATTTTGTTCACGCGAAATCAAGAGAGCGTCTGCCTGAACAGAGGTGATAACATGAGATGATCAAATGGGAGCTAAGCCACAGCATCAAAGTATTACAACCTCGACGTGCGGTTGAAGGAATATGTACGTAGACACGCGCATATATAGCGTCAGACTGCAACATCGTAGGCTCGCAATCACTGAATACACGTAGGTAAGTGGAACATTTCGGCTCAGTTCGCTCGACTTACTCGAGTTCTCGTGACAATTGCCGGACTACAGATCATCTTACGCTCCATGTTAGGCAAAAGGGCCCATTGCTTCGTATAACAAAGCCCATCGGCCGTGTACAAGAGCCAATGAGAGGTATTCGTGAATTGCCAGAGCGAACACCGCTATTCTTTAGGTTCTCCATGAAGAAATAACCTCCGCAATAAGAATTAAGCATCTCCGGTTAAAGGCTGTTCGCACCGCAGAAACAGCGTGTTATTGCCCCTGTATTTCCGCAAGCCCTGCCACTTATACCGTAGGGTGCTAGTCAGGCAATTCTCATTAGTAACTGCATCATTGCTGAGAAACCAAATCCGCGGCAACTGAATCGACCAGAGCGAAGCACCAAAGAGATGGATATCCCGGCATTGCTCCCAGCTGAAGGAGCCTCATTACACCAATCAATTAGTTCACTGGTATGAATGAGGTCTTTCCATTGGCAGAGACGGGCTTCATTCTCTTACTCCATAACACATCACCGACGATGTCCAGGAAAGACATCAGGGGAAAAGCTGGCAATCCGCCATGCAGAGCTGGCATGTCTTCAATGATATATCAAGCCCCCCTATTCCTTGACAATCTTATAACGTTGTCGAGAACACGACGTGCACGAGAGACAGCCAATTCACAATGTAAGTTGTGTCCAGACGACCCTCAGCATTATCACTAGGACAAGAATGGTTGTAAGACCCGGTATGAACACCTTCCTGGTGCCATCTCAAGGATCATAATTGCTCTTATACTCCCAGCAAAAGGGTAGCTTCGCGGAAAATGTGCATCCAACCAAGACATATCAAATGAACGCGAAGGTTCGAGATCTCGTTTATCTCAGCGTTGGTCTTCCTCTCTTGTCTGAAACTCTTAGAGTGATGGTTTACTCATCCGGGCATTCCCTACTCAAGAGAGTATTCAACGCCATATTTGCTCAGGCGCCAGTCTCAAACTTCCAGAAACCATTGAAAATCAGTGACAAAGCGAACCGATTCAAACGGAAGAAAAATATTCGACCGTTATGCGAGGGTCTATGACAGCGAACGAGCGGTGTAAGTGAGGCTGCCGGATAGGCTATCCAATATCCGCTGACGAAGAAAGCTTGAAGGCGTATTGCATCTGCATCCATCTGTACTTTTCGGTGCTCCCTCCGCCGAAATCACATCCAACTCCAGTTGTCCTACCAAATGGCCTCCAGCTGTGCAGAAGACTCTATCCAACATCATTCAAGATCCCCCCATGGTCTCGCCCTCTCCGCCATTGCTGCTCTTTTACCTCTACCAAAAGAGATGCACTATACCTTAGATACGTGTGCCTCTTTTCAAGAGTCTGCGACTCAAAAGTACATGCTGTCACGACCCAACACTTCAAGGTCGCAACAAGGAGGCAGCCATAGCTCCTAGGCTGACACTGCAATTTGTTTCCCGATAGGACTCGTTTGGCATGGTGCAACGGTTCTATGTATGATCACAGATTCTTCCACGACAGACAAGCTGAGTTCACCCCCTGAATGCGAACGGGATTTCTTCAAGCACGCAAACTCAAGATCTTCGCCCCATGTTATTATTTATAAGGATGTGGGCTTCGCCATGAGAGCAGCTGTAGTCAAGCAGATTGGTTCATCACTCGCTTCATTGAGATGGGCGGCAGAAGTTCTTGACGTCTATGTATGATTGGCATCGGCCACAGACCCTGCACAAGCCGGGGAACTGGGGGTCAGCCATGATAGCTTTTCCGAAGAAATGACTCCTGAGGGATTCGAGAGCCAGTCAGCCGGTTATTGTTGTGGTTGTATCAGTTGGAACCGATATGGGATATATCAAGGCCCCCAGATGATGTCAATAGCACATGCGACCAGTCTCCTTCCGGCATCGTCGCGGCCGCGGACCCATGGCCTGGTCGACTTACGACTTGCTGAAGCCCTGAGTAATTCGGCCTCGATCCATGAGCTCCAATACATACACATATATGGCAAGTAATCCCCAAGCCCCCTACAGATCAATCTCCTTCAACCGGATGTAGCACTGTGTCGGCTCCCTCGCAAACTTCTGCACCGCCTCATAGCCGCCCAGCTTCTCCGGAATCGGCAGCAGCTCAAAATTCCACACAATCAGCGCAAAGTGAATCTTGAGCACTTGCAGCGCCAGCTTTCTCCCAAAACATCCCCTAAGCCCCAACCCGAACGCCAGCGACGGCCCAGCCATTATGTTGAACATCTCGGCCCCGGTGTCCGGATCCGTCTCGAGCCAGCGCTCGGGCAGAAACATGTCAATGTCGTCGTCTGACCAGGCAACCGTCAGCGCTGACTTGGCCGTCTGGCGGGCCCCCGGGCTTCGTGCCTCGTCTGCAAGCTTCATGTTGGGTTCGAGGTAGCCTGGGCCATTGGCCATGAGGAAGACATTGGTGCCCTTGGGGATATGGCGGCCGAGGACGGTGGTATCCTGCTGAGCCTGGCGGACAACGAAGGCGATGGTGTTCGAGTGGCGAAGAATCTCCTCCACTGTAGCATCCAGGTAGGGGACCTGTGAGTTTCTGAGCTCCGCGTAGGTCAGGTCGCGCTTCTCTTGGACGGCGGTTCGGAAGGCGGAGCGGAGCGCGTTACGGAGACGGCTCTGCGCGGCTGGGTTGTCGGTCAGCATCTTGAGGCCCCAGGCGATGGTGGTAGCAGATGTGTCGTGGCCAGCTGTCATGAAGCCAAAGAACTCGTCGGCGATGGCGCCCTTGCGGTAGTCAGGCTGGCGGCCTTCTTTGGTCGCCACGTCGCGTTCGCGAAGGAGGACGGAGTGGAGCGCGCTCTTGGGCTTGATGCTGGCATCTTTCTCGATCAATCGGACGGATTCTTCTACCTTATCCCGGATGTACTTGTCCTTGATACTCTTCGCCTTTCTCATGTAGGGGAACTTGCGAATGACCCACGAAGTCAGCACCGGCGCAGGAGAGAGCTGAGTGTCTGTGACCGAGTTGGCCAGGGTGAGCACGGCCGAGAAGACTTCCGGAGTGTGACCTTCGGGGAAAGCGACGGGCTCGTTGACATCGTCAGGGACCATAGGCTCAAAGCTGTTCAACGCCTGGATGCGCTGGATGGTGTTGGTCCCGTCCTCGGCCAGACCAAAGGAAGAGGCAAAGATGGAGTCCAACGCAGCAAAGGTAACGTCCTGGTGGGCCGAAAAAGGACGGCCCTGGGCCATGGTACATTTTACCTTCCACAACTTCATAAGGGCGCTTGCGGCCATATACACCTCAGGCGCGCTGACTTCCCGGATGAAAGTCGGGGCCATCAAGTGGTTGATCAAGTTCCGGTTGTTCTTGAACCGAGGGTCGGTCGAGATGAATTGAATATGTTGCTCTGGCAAGATGCCATTGATAAGCTCGCCAAAGAATTCGCTGCGGTCGAATTCTTTGATTCTCCGAAGCAGGATATCCTGGCTTTCGAAAGGGTCTGTCACCACAACCCATGGTAGTCCTCCGGGCTTGATGAAAGCCTGCACAATAGGGCTTTGGAGGCGAGTGGTTAGGGACGTTAACCAGCACTGCTCTCATTCAAGCTTCCATGTTAGCAATCTGCATCCGCCTGGACCGATAAACAGCCAGCTCATGTCGGCTGTGTCTTACAAATATGCGTCGTGTACGCATCACATAGCCCATCATCTCTGGCACATCCCCAAACACCTTTGCAGCCGCATTTTTGTTGTACGGGATATCAGGGATCGGCTTCGGCAGGATCCGTCGGTAGGTCATGTACAGAGCCAGAAAGACGATCCCTACAATCCAAATTCCTCCTGAGGAGATAGTCACCGCCATTGTATTTGCCAGAGTGTTGCCTGACTGTATGCACATAAGCCTGGTTTTGAACAAAACACGAACGGGGAAGCAAATGGAATATTGATGGCTTCCAGATAAGAACCCACCGTGCCAGCAGCCTATAACTACAGTTTGAAATCCCGCCAGCTCCATTTGAGTTGGCTATACGAATAGGACCCTGACTCGCTCCTCCATACGACATGAGCAAATTGCCTTTGCAGCCTGGCATCAGCCTGTCCGGAACCCCGAAACAAGTCGACCGTAATACAGCGTTTGGAGGAGCACTTTTGAACGTCTAGGTTACACCCACAACGTTGCAGGGTGTCTGGCCGCTCCTCATTTCCCCACCTCTCCGCTCAAGAGGCAAGATTTGGGTTGCAAGCTTGCTACAGTAGCGTTGAGAAGCAAGGGTCAAGGCAACAACAAGCACAAACCTTGAACCAACAGATGTAATCTGTCAACCAAGTACGGAGTATGTACTCCGTAATAATGCCCCAGATGAGTAAGTTCCCGTCTCTCGGTTTCCCCTCCCGGCGGTTAGCCAGACGGCTGCACCCGGAAATACACACGCGGTTTCCTGCTGGTCTTCTCCATTGTTGTCTTGGCTGTGCTGACCATGCGCCCTTGTAACCGCCGATGGAAGACTTATGCCGGAACCCCGACGCCCCTCCAACGGCCCGAAGGCAAAAGCAGCAGTATAGCTTCTCACGGCGAGAGCATCATATCACCAGGGGCCGCGACTACATCCTACCAATGTCACAAAGGTTTGCTCGATACAAATTTGGCACAAGCACAGCAACTTGTGACTCAGCATATTATAGTATAGATGTAAAAGTTTCGCGGCTTTAGTGTATAGACATAAAAGAGTACCTCAGAAACGTGCCTCATTCAGCCTTCAATCGCAATGGTAGGCTCTAAAGAAGCTTCTTATAGCTATATTGCGGATGAAATATGTGTCTTTACCATTTCCTATGACTCCTGGAGTGTATCTGCTGTTGCTTTTATAAGCATATCTTTATATAATATAGCAGAGAGAATACATACGCTGATCGTCACTGTAGAGTTCATCATATCTCACAATGTCTACAAATAACCTTCGTGATGCTGGTGGGGTATATAGCTTCATGAATCCGCGGCACAGGGGAGTCCTGCCGTGGGTGGTTCCATAGCCTTGATAGCTTGTAGAGAATGTCTGTACTCCTAGCCGTAAGTGGCTCCATGGCTCCGGCCGTGAATATCACAATGATAGTTTGCAGCGCTCTATCGTTGATCTTTATGAGCCTGCGATTCTCCAGCAAACATCTTGTGTCTACAAAATTCGGCATGGATGATGGGGTGCTTCTCTTTTCTTGGGTAAGGTTATGCCATGTCTCAGTCTCTCGGAACGTACCTAATCTTTCATATCCTTCTAGTTGCTCTTTGTGGCATTCGTCGTCTTGTCGATTTACTCTACAACACTCGGCTAGGGAAGCACTATAAAGGCGCGGATTTGCTAAAGCTGCCAGGCCTGGTATACTTGCTACCAATTAGTCAATTCTTCGCCGTCATCTCGGTCGCCGTGTCCAAGTCATCCTTCATCTTGACACTGCTGAAACTGGTCACTCAGACCAGGCAAAAGGCTGCGTTGTGGTTCATGCTCACGACCATCAACGGGTCCATGTTCCGCATTGCTGTTGTTCAGTTCTTTTAATGCTCAGCTCCGCTTACTACCAGGATGCGTTAAGAACGATACTGTCATCAGGCTGGGATCATACGCCGCAGGGTACTCGGCCACCATGGATTTGGTCCTTACGGCACTCCCAGCTGTTCTTATCTGGAAGTTGCAGATGAAGCGCAGTGACAATCTTGGCATTATTGCCTCTATGAGCTCGGGTGTAGTGTAAGACGTCTCGCACCCTGTATATTGCATTTGCCCCGGACATTGGAACACTTCCTTACTTTGAAAATTGTAGAGCTGGCCTTGTTGCTCGCAACTCGAACTTTACCTACGGAACGGCATTCCCCCTGATCTGGCTTTCTGCTGAGATCAGTGCAACTGTCATCGCCGCCTCTATCCCCTTCTATAGACCGCTGTCCGCTTGATGAGGACAAGGAGGTAAAAATGTCTTCCTACGCCTTTTCCAAAATCAGCCGACCTGGGACGAGCCCTCTCAACAGGGCCCACGAACAACTAGAAGACAACAGCAGAAGCTACCCGTTTATCCTGAAGCCGGGCTCGCATATCTTGCACGAGACAACTTACACCTTTCAACACGGCTACGAGGGACAACTCAAAGGTAGCGATATCAGCCACACACGGCGAGGAGACCAGTGATATTCACTAACATGTGGTTAACTATTGAGAAGATAGGCAAAAAAAATGAAATCACATACAACAGCCGGTGTTCGCCAGTGGTCACCCACCTGACTACTAATCTGCCTCTCATTGGCTTGACTCTGGGAGAGCAGACGGGATCCCGTATTTTCCAATGGATATGGTCGTATGTGCTCTGTCTCACACCTATTCAGCACTATAACCACTTCTCCACAACAGCAGAGGGGAGCAAGAGGGCAAAAAAGAAAAGACATACAACAGCCGGTGTTCGCTGGTGGTCACCCACCCAACTACTAATCTGCCGGTTAGTGGCTTATCTATGGGGGAGCGGACGGGACCCCGAGTTTTCCACTACCTATGGTCGTATGTGCTTAAAGTTTGACTGCTAAAACTTATAGCCTTAGTCCTAGGCTTAGTAGGGCACAGCACCTCTTAGTAGTGGGTTCCTTGTATATAACTTTCCAACCTGCTCTGCATCTTTCAATCCTAGGCGGAAGTCCTTTCGATGTTTGATATAAATGTTACACTCAGCTATCTAAGTGTAAGACTTGGTATTAAATCTACTAAAACTATTACATGCCTATGTTATTACAATCTGTGACGTCCTGGTTCCTTACAAGGACACAGCTGATTGTCCATATGTACATGTATTAACGCTCAGGGGTTACATGACCAAGTATGTATGATTGCTCCTCGGCAGGCATCAACCCAATTGGTAAGGCTCTAGCCAAATGAAGGCTGGCCGGAAGGCGCACTGCAAGTCATACATTGACTATTTGTCAGCAAATTCGTGTATTTAGGCCGCTGCATGCGGCACAACAAGTGTCAGGTAGGGAGCTTCACGGCTCGTAAGACCTGAATTCCTATGTTACTTACGACTATTCCTAGCGTTCCGTTCAATATATGTGAAAACGGCTCTCAGAAAGGATAACATGAATGCCGCGATCAGTGTAAAGTCCTGGCAGCAGTGTCCTCATTGCAAAGAGATATTCGGCCAGGTGTACGACAAGCGGATTAAGTTGTCAAGCATCGTGGCGTCCAAGTGTGCAAGATGCTGGGCAGTGAGGGAAATTCTTTCGTGCGTAACAGACACCGCGAACCCAGGGACGGAACTGGTTGGTAGTATATGGCACGACAACACGCTGGAGATTGGCGTCATTACGCCAGAGGATAGTTTTGAAACAGCAAAAGGGCATAAGATATACATTGTTGCTGGTAAAATCACGGAATCCCAAACCTTGCCAGCACTGAATGCTGAATCTCGTTAGATTCCGAAAAGCACGCCAGGTTGGACTCTAGGCTTGGCATCCCCATTGCCTACACGCCCACGCATAGAAACTACCGCCCAATAAAGGACTCCGACGCAGAACGAATTTCTGTAGCCAAGGAATGGCTTGCAGATTGCGTGGCTTCACATGAGGCATGTAATGCAGAGTGTCAGGAATACGAATGGCCCAGGCGCGTTCTCGATATCTCACAGGACGAGATGATACGGCTAGTCAGCATCGAATACCCTCCCCCCGGAGCAACATATGTCGCTCTCAGTTACTGTTGGGGTCGCAGAGGCGGCAACTTGTGCACATACGAGAGCAACTTGGCCCAGCATAAAAAAGGCATTCCCTTGAAATCCCTTCCTCAAACTATCAGAGACATTGTTTCCGTCTGCAAGCAGCTCGGGCAGCAGTATCTGTGGGTCGATGCCTTGTGCATCATCCAGGACGACCCAGCCGACAAGATGACTCAGATACCGATGATGGCAGACATCTATTCGGGAGCGCTCCTGGTCGTCTCTGCTGCGGGCACCGCTGATGTTCTAGAAGGCTGTCCTCTTGGGCCACCTGAATTGCAGCCTATACAGCCAAAAGTACTCGAGCTGGAGTATCCCCGATACCTGGAAGCCAACCCCGAGAACAAGGGAGCCGGCAAAGTAACGGTAGTAGTAGAGCGGATGGAGCACGAGCATTGTCGACGCCTGCCGGGCCACTGGGCGCGCGAGACATTTGACCAGGACGGCGTGGATCTGCTAAATACCATCGAGGACCGCGCCTGGACGTTCCAAGAAAGATTCCTGGCCAAGAGAGCTCTCTATATCGGAAAAGGCGAGCTATCATGGGTGTGCGCCAGCGCGGTCCAGTGTGAATGCAGAAAGAGTCGCCTAGAGGTGAAGACCGAGGACGGCGACCGCGTGTTTAATCATCGATATTGCATCGGCCATGTCTCTACAAAGAGGCTGTTTTCCGATTCAAACAAGGACCTTTACAAGACCTTTTCGTATCTGTGGGCCGAGGTTGTCACAACGTACTCTGCGCGTCTGCTGACGCAGTTCACAGACCGCGTCGCGGCACTCGAGGGTTTGTCTGCAGCTTTTAGCCGACGATGGCCTGAAGTTTATGCAAGAAAAGACTATGCCTTTGGGTGCTGGGAACCGTTTCTGAGGGACCTTCTAGTCTGGCAAGCATCCGGAGAGGAGCCGGTGTCCGAGAATGTACAGAGAGGCCTCTTCCCATCCTGGGCGTGGCCGTCAAGTGGGAGGGCTGTAAGCTTTACGAGCTGGGTGTGGTACGGCGTGGACCCAAAGTCGTGGGTCGAGGTGGTCCGTCTCGAGCGAGGTCCGCCGGCTGATGAAGTTTTCGGCAGTGGAAAGGGAACACTGACGATCCGGGCTCCCTTGATTGCTTGCACAGCAGAAGCACCCGTCTTCGACGATGGCAGCCAAGGGGATGATGTTGTCTGCACGGCCCTAGATGCCAAACTGCCTTTTTTGAGGGGATACCCATCCCTTGACGATCCAAGTCAAAAAGAGGAATGGAAGACGGTGACGCACATGATTCTGCTTGCGAGTTACCCATTCAAGCCGCATGGCTCGTCGCGTCCCTTGTCGTTTGCTCTCCTCTGCGTCGCTCCTGTTCTAGGGAAAGACGAGTTTCGCCGCATTGGCATGATAACAACCGTGCGACCGAAAAGAACGTTTGAGGCACATGAGTTTGAAGAGCTGCTTTTGCCGCATATGTCTGATGTGAACCTTGTGTGAATGTTATTCAGCTGGTGGCACTAAAATTTCTATTGCAGTTCTGTCTGTCTCGCGAGGGCTTTTCTTGTCAAGGGGTACCATGATGCGCGGATTTATGGTGTAACTACTCCTATAGACATAACAAAACTGTACTTCCGATTTCAAAGCCAGGGGTACCGGAAACAGAAGACATTGTACCGCATCGTAGAACTTGACGGGACCCCGAGTTTTCCACTACATATGGTCGTATGTGCTTGACAACCAAGTGTTTCCAGCTTATATCATGCACTTTGGTGGTTACTGCATAATATTGCTATTGAAATCTGTTGCTGGTCTTATAAGTTGTAGCCAGTCAAAAAGCACTCATAAAGATGTCAAGCCCAGTAATATCTTATAGGCCTTGGACAGCTTATAGAAGGTGAAAATATAGGGAAATAGCTTATCTGTTTGAAGTGAGGAACCTATTGTCAGGCTAAATGCATAAAGAGCGCGTTTAGCTATAAACAATCTTGCTGATACCTTGTCAAGGGGTGGGAGAAAAAACGCCACTTAGCACATATAAAATATAGTAGCAGACCGGCGGTGTTTTCTTTCCCACTTCATGACCTCCCAAGCTGTGAAACCTTGTAGGCACACTATCCAAGAACCCCCACCTCTTGCGTAGGTATGTTGCAGTTCTTTTATTGGGATTTGCCAGTTTCCAATCCATGATATGGTTCTTCCTTTGGGGTCTCTCCCAACCAACGATCCATCATCACGTCCTGGTGGTTGGCAGTATCCAGCTGCTGAAGTAGGGCCTCGGACAGCGGGGCGTTGGAATTCACCGCCTTTAGCCGAAGTTAGCAAGATATGTTTCCTGGATTGCACGGTAGGCTCACTTGAACAGATTGTCTTCCAGACTTTTTCTCGTGAGGCCGAGGACTTGATGGTGTGGGCTTCGCGTGAATCCATTGCTTCTTGAATGAGAACAGCTTGTAAAGCTATGATGTGTCCCTTTCTCGCTGGAGTTTAATGAATAAAGCCCACAATGTGCCAGAGTTGCTTATGGAGTAACAATGAAGAAGAAGAATGATTTCGTGTAATATAAGTCTCGGGATCAGAGGGGTTATATATAGGAAACAAAGGAACTATTGAGTATCCTTGTCATCAGAAATCTTTCAATTGAACCAGCTTTTGGTATTGAATAGAAATGTTTAAGAACATTCATTCATAAAAAGATAAACCATAAGCCAGGAAACTTGCAAGAACCAAGTAGTATATAGAAGAAAGATACTGAGGCTGCCCCAGGGGCAACTTTCATTTGGCTGCACTGTTTGGACTTGCGTGCATTTCTATGATAAGCCTTAGATTTTCAAAAGATTTAAACTTCAAGAAGGGTTACTTTGTGAAAAAAAAAAAAAAAAAAAAAAAATGTGAAATTGGTTTTCCAAGGGATCATTACTTCCAAAATCTTTCAGACACCCTTATACTTTGTCCTCGTAGGTCGAGCTGTCCTCCTCCGTTGTTGGGAAACCTTGACTGCCTGAAGACTGCGGGCTCGTCTCACTAGGAGTCTACGCGCCAACCTCCACTGTACAAGAGACTGGATTTGCTTCTGACTACGTTCTGCACAAGGGAAAATGTCACTGCTTTCGCGCTCAAACTCGGGGATAGAGGCTTTCTCGCAAGCGATGTTGATGGTTGGGAATAAAAGGTGGACGGCCGACAACCCAGAAGTAAGGCAAGTTTCTGATTGATATATTCCAAAGTCTCAGAAAGTTTCACGAAAGAATATAAACTTTGCCTAAAAGGGGTCTCCTCCACTGCCTCTCGGAACTTTCAAAATATTGAACCATGCGTTTGACTGCGCCATGCTGAGTCGTGGCTTATGATGTTCTCCCAATAAAATCCTCCCCCAGGTGCAAGTGCCACGTAGTCGGCTGTGTGACGGAAACTTTGAAGAACTTTTCTATTGGTGTGGTGGTCAAGATGGTGTAGGAAGATCGAAGTTCAGTCAGAAAGTTTTTTACCCCTGCCAAGAATAAACTTTCCGGCTCGCGAGGTGATTGGTCTTACCTGCCCTGCAGAGCTTTTGCTGGTACGGCGATGCAAGGGATTGGGCTTAACAAAAGTTCAGATTGGGCACAAAAGTTCAGCCCGAAATGTTCAACCTCTGCTGAAAACTTTCAGCTCGCGAAGCAGCGATTGGTCTTACCTGCAGGGCGTTCTAGCTTGGCATTGCAAGGCGTCGGGTTTAAAAAGTTTGAACTTCCCAAAGGCACTCCCTGTCTATTAATATAAACATCGCCGTCAGAACGCCTCTTCAGTTGATTCTCTTGAATTGAGCAATCTCCTAGTTTTCATATTCTCCTCTTGAAAGTCAATTGGTCCCCATCGAAGTGCCATGTCTCTGAGCACAAGCGAAAGGGTGCGGAGCCCACCATTGAATGTGTGGAATCAGCACAGAAGCGACATTGAGCAACTGTATATTGTACAGAAATGCACCTTGAAAGAAGTTATGAGAGCTATGGAGGAGAAAGGGTTCAAAGCTAGGTTAGGAAGCTCTTCGAAGAACCATTACAAGTCAGGCTAATTGAGAGTGCGTACATAGTCAGCAGCAGTACAAAATCAAGTTCAACGAGTGGCATATTTCCAAGTACAAGAAGCGAGGAGCGCAGAACCGAGCTGATCGAGCTGATCCATGTACAAGTACGTGCCCAATTCAATACGCTACTCATATAATATCTGAGAAATTGTTTAGGCCAGACTGACGGAACGAGTGTAGCGAATCCCCGGCTAGCAAATCCCCATCTAGCAAATCCTCAGCTGGCAAATCCCCAGCCTCTGCGAGTAAGCTGATTTGTGACAATAACAATGTTCACTTATTGATCGATATGATACAGACGTCCTTTGTAGACGCACCTATTGGGGATTCAGGTTCGGATCCTATGATGGACTACCTTCCATACGATGTTTCCAATCTGGCTTACCATCCCCACACCTCCGAACCAATGAATCTCGGAATTCAGCAGGATGAAGGAGCAGTGGTGCCGTTAATACCACGAACACCTGACATTAAAGTCCGCCAACCTATCCATGAAGCGGCCAACTCCGGATCCCTCGACATGGTGAAACTTTTGCTAGAGAAGGACCCTACATGCGCGGCAATTTCTGATGGTGATGGTGAGACAGCAATCTGGATTGCCTCCCATCAAGGCCACCTCGAAGTTGTCAGACTATTAGTTGCGTGCCCTGGCGTCGATGTCAACGCCGCTACCACGGAATGCAAGCGCACACCCATTCATCTAGCTGCAAAAAACGGTCATGCTGATATAGTGAAGCTGTTGTTGGATGCAAATGCCAAGCACGATGAGCCCGACAGCAAGAATACAACACCGCTATGGAGCGCGGCGGATCAGGGCCACGCTGAAATCGTCCAGATCCTGCTCGAGAAGGGAGCCAACAAAGAAATCACTTCTACCAATGGGAACTGCCGTCCCATTCACCAGGCCGCACTACAAGGCCACGTCGAGGTGGTCAAGATACTGTTGGAGGCTGGTGCTCAAGTTGACCCGCACAAGGACGACTACGATGATGAGACGACTTCTCCCCTATGGCGCGCGGCTGATCAAGGGCATCTTGAGGTTGCCGAGCTTTTGATTCAGAAAGGCGCGGACGTTAATCTTCCATCTTTTCGATTAGAGGCCTTCCCAATTCATACAGCGGCCGCGAACGGGCATGCCGAAGTTGTCCGTCTCCTTCTCAAGAATGGAGCGGATGTAGACGCTCGAGACTACTATATGGACTGGACTCCACTTATGCATGCCGCGTGTGGAAACCATATTGGGATCATCAATCTTCTCCTGGAGCAGAACGCAAACGTGAACGCCATAGATGAAGAGGGTACGACTGCGTTGTGGATGGCTGCCGAAGAGGGACACGTGCAGGTTATTCAGAAGCTTTTGGACAAAGGTGCGAAATCTATCCCAGATGAAGGTCGAAGGCGGCCGATTCACGTGGCAGCACAAAACGGACACCTTGAAGCAGTCAAGCTGTTATTGAAGCTAGATCCGGGGGATATCAACATAGAAACAAAGAACGGCGCCACCCCATTGCTTCTTGCCTCGGGGGGGGAGACGGCTAGTCATCTCGAGGTTGCGCGCTACCTTATTGAGCAAGGCGCGGCTATAGTTATTCACTAGGTAAAGCTTGCGACCCAATATGTCGACGCATGACCACGGAAGACGATAGGATTGAAGGATTCAATGGAAAATCACAACAGACTGGCCCGTCGCCACTTATGAAGTTGGCCACTAGTCCTTCATCAAGAGGCTACGCCATCACTTTAAGTATCAGGCAAGTTGAAAATAGTCTCATTAGGTGTCCAATAAAGTGTATACGAACTTGGTGGTCTGCAAATTTGGTATATATAGTTGGCATGACAAACGGTCCGTCACCCATCGTCTCGGGGTATTAGAACAACTCACATACGGAACCCAAGTATGAGTCCGTTAATACTCCCCCTTGCATTAACTCAAAAAAAGTACTGTCTGAGATTCGACTTAAGTCTATTGTAATTATTTGTAGCGAACTAATGTTGCAGAGGTCACGCATATAAGGAGTATAGCAAGAGATCTTTTAGTTTGATATTCCAGCACCAGCTGAAATCGATTGATTTGCCACAGTGACTATACTAGATGTTTTCTTACGATGTTGCAATCCATATGTGCGTATCTAAAGTTGGGACCTCCTCATACACCGTACTTAACTTCTGAGGAAATTCAAGATCTGGATATGAGCAGAACTTCTATTGGTTCACGTTCCCCGCAGGTGGCTATGTATATTGGTCCCTTTGAGGCTCTGGGGGGGCGGGTGCTACTTCATGGAAAGGGTTGCCTTCTTTGCCTCGTTTTGTGATTTGCCAGAATGAGCTGAGGGCAGCTCCGTTTGGACAATTCAATCTTCAAGAGGCTGAAGATAAGGTCATGTGGTTTGCAGCCTGTTTGCGCCTTCGAGCGGGGTTGGACATATATTGATGTTTTTCTACTTCAATTCCTCGTCAACCTCCCAAGAGGTGAAGCGATTGTGCCTTCAATTTCTTTCACCTAATCATTGCAAGGTGGTCGTTAGCACTATGGCTACACAGGACAGCAAGCTATCTCTTGCGCAAGTTGCACGAACACGCGTGCTCATTCGGCGAATGCATGCCCTGCGAATGTACTGCTCAGCCCGCTCCATGTCTCGACACGGTCACATACTGATTCTGAGCTGCATTGTAGTGCGCGCCGTGGCCGATGGGACGAAGCGTTCCGCCTCCTAGATAAGAAGGACAAAGCGACGCTTGGCGGCGATAGAAAATCTCGCTTTAACGCACGAACAATTTACCAGTCCCTAAGAGACAAGCAAGCCCACTGCGAGTCAAAGAGGTGGACTCTCTTTACCAAAAGTGACGGGACGGAAGTTCAGATCCGAGATGTTCTGGAAAATATCGCATGCTGGGTCAGGAGATTCGAGTCTATCGGAGATTCTATCGTGCAGTTTGATCCAGTGCATGCTGCATTGCCTTGGGCAGGGGTGAAGGCTCTCATTGAGGTACGTTCATGTTGTCTCTTACCACCTTGATCTGAAGAAATCAATACTGAAAGCTTGCAAGGTTGCTGTCGGTGAGTTCGAGACGTACGCCAAGGTAATAGAGGGATTGGAGTTCGTCTCCCATATAATCGTACAGCTCGCCGAAGTAGAACAAGATATGTCAATCTCTGGAGGCTTGGTGTCAGAGCTGTCTTCAACGATTATTGGCTTATATGTCGAGGTCCTGAAATTTCTGGCAACTGCTCGGCGGTTCTTCGATCAAAGTGCCGGTGGTAAGTTACACCTTCCCATGTCTTGTGCAATACACAAGGAGTACACTGATTTTATTTATGCCAGTCCGATGGGTCAAGGGCGTATTCCAGCGCTTAAAATCCGCCGTGAAAGACTTTATCGACGGTATCTCCTCAATGATCAGCGATGTGTATCGCCTCTCAAACGAGGCAAGGTGGCAAGGTACGACAGTCTATAACCTATCTAGAATCCATCCGTCTCTCCGTTCTTAGGTATTGTTAGTACTAAGAAAATATCTCTAGATAATACCATGAAGGATGAAGCACGCCATAAGGAGTTGATGTCCTCTCTTAAGGTCCTTATGGAGGTCGTCACCAGCACCACCAACATGTCCGTCGACGACAACCGAGCTCGAATCCGAGGCTGGCTAAGTCCGGTATCGACCGAAGATGCTTATAAAGAAGCCAAGGCCCTTCGCCACGAGTCCACATGCGATTGGGTGTTTGATCTTGAGGCATTCCATGAGTGGACCACTCGGGAGGGCAAAACTTCCAAGCTATTCTGGCTCCATGGACCCGCGGGCTTCGGCAAGACCATACTGTGCTCCAGGGTGATTGATTACATGGAGAATCAGAACAGTTCCTACGGTCGGATTTTGTTCTTCTTCTGCTCTGGAGAAGACCACGAGAGGACGCATCCATTCGCGATTTTGAAATCGTAAATTGGACAGCTACTCATCAGGGACGACACGGCCATTGACATCGCTATGAAAGATGACCAACTGCAGCTGAAGATTAGTGAAGGCATCCCTGTGTCAGAGGCCGACCAAGATTGCCTCTGGTCACTGTTTCGCAAATTGATCAATGAGGTGCCGCACTGCACCTTAGTGATTGATGGATACGACGAATGTACTGAAGCTACTACTACGATCTCAAAATACCATACCCAGCAGTCCTGCCGGACCCAGTTTCTCCAGGACCTTGTAAGGGTCATTGAAGGGACAGGGACACACGTCCTTCTAGTGAGCCGCCATCAGCAAGACATCAGAGAGGTTGTAATGGGGCGTTGCGGGGATGGGCAATCGTTGAGAACCATCGAGCACTCGATCACAAAGGCCGACACAACGAAAGACGTGTCATCATTCTCGGAGACGCTGTTCGCAAAGAAGCTCAGCAAAATGGGGCCAGACAAGAGGAGTGACATTGCAGGTCGCGCCGTCGAGAAGAGCGAGGGCATGTTTCTCTGGATTGCTCTGCTCAATAAAAGGCTTCTGGCGGGCGCAACTAAGAAACAAGTGGACAAGCTTCTTCTCGATACGCCCAGCGAGATAGGAAAGGCTTATCAGAGGGAGCTGGAAAGAATTCTGCCTCCTGGAGGTGACCCATATCTCGCATCGCGGGCCGAGGCGATCCTGAGATTGGTCCTCTTCGCGGCTCGACCGCTGACAGTGCGCGAAATGGCCGAGGCTCTCGCCGTCCACTTCAACGAGGAGTCAGCCGAATATCCCCATGATGACCTCCCAGATCCTTTTACGGAAGAAAGCGTGGACGAAGAGTACGTTGGCAGCTACGTACTCAAGCCCTGTGGTTCCCTCATCGAGCTGCGCAAGGAGCATGCGAACATCGCGCTGGCATCGCAGACTATTCACTTTGTCCACTTTTCCGTCAAAGAGTTCCTGCTTCAAGGACCCCTTTACGAATGCGGGCCGGATCACAGACCATATTTCTCGAAAGAGAGCACGGAGCACGATTGGATGGCGGGCCTGTGTCTTCGGTATATGTGCTACGAGGAGTTCGACGACGATTCCAACAAGTGCATTCAGAGTGCGGAGGCCTTCATTTGCACTTATCCATTCTTCTCCTATACGGCAACTAGCTGGCCAGGGCACTTTCGTCGAAGCAGATCCGGCAATACTCAGCCAGACACTCCGAACCTGGTTTGGGAACTGTTCAACAAGAAAAATTGGAAAGTTTGGGCGACGTTGTTCGAATCAATATCACAAGACACTGGCAGAGATCCGAGTGGTCTACAGAGGCCTGCATGGGTCAAATCTCTTGACCGTGCCGACAGTGGCTACGGATCACTGGAAGCAGATGAATCGGAAGTGTCAGATATTGAACAGGATGAGTCGGGCGAGGAATCAGATAACGAGTCTCTTGAGGCCCCCACTCCCGCTGCGGCACGTAAAATCAGTCCATCTCCGGTATACTACGCGACTATCCTTGGCCTTACTGACATTGTAGAGCGCTTGATCGAACTAGGTCATGACTGCAACACCCTAGGGGGCGAATTTGGCACTCCCTTACAAGCAGCGGTTGTGAACGAGCAGAGACCTACCATCGAGGTGTTGCTGAAGCACAAGGCTGACCCATCTAAAAAGGGGGGAACTTACGGTACTCCTCTCATTGCTGCTGTTATTTTGGGCTCAGGCGACATCTTCAATAGGCTGCTTGTCAACTGCAAGAACCTTGATGCTGCAGATGAAAGCGGAAAGACTGCTCTGCATCACGCTTGCGGACTGGGGGCTATTGACATGGTGGCGAAGCTTGTAGATGCAGGCGCCAGCCTGAGCCTCGTATCGAAGTCAGGACGCACGCCCCTGGTACGAGCATTAGCACGGGGGCACCTCAAGGTGGTGCAGCATCTCCTGGAGAAAGGTGCTGACGCGAACGAGAGAGATTATGGACGGCAGGCGCCGCTTCTACTAGCCATCGAGATGAGGAACGAGGAAATCACCAAGCTGCTGCTCGATCACAACGCGGATCCGCATTGCCAAACGCCTTGGGGCATGAATGCACTGCACGCGGCGTGTTATGTCGGGTCAGCACCTCTCGCCCAGCTGCTCTTGGAGCGCGGAGCCGCGGTAGATGCGACAGACGACGAGGGCTGGACGCCGCTCCACTATGCCGCGAGCTTTGACTCCAAGGAATGTGCTGAGCTCATGCTTGATTCCGGGGCTTCTGTTCTGGCCAAGTCAAATGATGGCTGGACGCCGTTTGCCCTTGCGGTAAGGCACGGCGCCGCAAGCGTGGTAGAGGTCATGAATAACTACGAGGAGACGAGCGCTTCGGGTGCAACTTCGCGGCCCCTCAGACTGGCCGTCGCCCTCGAGGAGGGTTATGTCGACCTGGTTTCGTCACTCCTCAAAGACTCCAGCTGGTCTTCCTTCGATGCTGAGATGGTTCGAGATATCCTGGCCTTCGTGCTAAAGACCGAGCAGGAAGCCATCTTCCTCGAACTGGTAGCCAATGTCTCCAGGCCTGATGAGCTGGGGGACAGCTCGAGTGGCATGTGCGAGGGTCTAATCTGGTCAAATGAGGAAGAGCGTATGCTCAGGGACCGGCACTGGGGCAGCCCCTTACAAAAGGCGATGATGCTGCGCCCTGACTTGCGGTACATCACAGGGGCGCGGGCTGTCGTGCCCGACGCGATGCTGCCAGTCGCACTCGCCAACCGATCACACGACGTGGTGAAGCTGCTCCTTGAGCGCGGTGCCAACGCGTACCGCCAGCCCAGATCGGGGTCGGCATGGTCCTCGCCGTTCCAGCTGGCTGTGAACCAGGACTCTCGTGAGCTTGTGTCCCTTATACTGACAATAAACCGGCATCCTGCCCCAGAGGGCGTCCTGCTAGCAGCCGTCGAGGCCTGCGCCCAGAATGGCATGGCATTCGATGACATGGCCAAGTTGCTGATCTCGGACGGAGCGCTAGGCAACAGTCCCTATACTACCAACGCCAATGCCATCGACGATGATCGGGACCTCGATTGGTGGGCGCACGTACTCGTGGGAGAGTGGATAGGGAGCTACGACTTTGGGTCAGATTCATCCAAGGAGACTACGGCATTCCAGATCGAGACGGTCTCTACGGAGTCTCCGAGGGCGTCGAAGAAGGTGGTCATCTTGTTTTCCGGTAGCGGGCAGGACACAGTCGCAAAGTTCGTCATCCGCGGCCAGGTCACGTCTGGAACAACCCTGAGGTTCGTAAAGTTATACCCTAAGTTTGGGTGGGCGTACGAGGGCAGTGTTGAAGACGCAGAAGGGGGGTACCGTATCAATGGCCAATGGGGCAAGCAATTCGGAAAAAAACAGGGCGGAAATTTTGTGCTGGAAAAGAAGCGGTTGCATTGAGCCTGGTTGGTGATATTGGAAATGGATTCTTTACCCGGGTTTTACAACATGGCTTTCTATCTGATGAAGCCCACTTCGATAATCAAAGTCATTCAGTAAGAGCGATTGCAGCAGCACATATTTCCCTCTGAGAAGGAGGCAAGTTTCAAAAAGTCTCATTAGGTGTCCAATAAAGTGTATACGAACCAGTCATATGATATCAATACCCTTAACAAAAGTCAAGGAAAAAGAGTCAGGCCCCTTGGGCAGCCTCCAAAAGTACGTGTAAGAAGAAATGATAAGATCTACAATAATCCCTTTTTAAAGTCACAACCCCCCACGCCACCGTCTCCGTCCGTTTGTGGTCACATTAATGCGCCTCTTATGACATGGCAGCCACGTTCATGGGGAGAGCACCTGCAAGTAGATCAGTCAGTACTGGTTCCTTTACAAATGATACGAAGGAGAGTAAAACTTACCACCCCAGCCACCGTGGGCACCAATACCCTGAGCAGCGTTCACGGGGAAGCTACCAGGAGCACACTGGACGAAGCAAGAGCAGCTGCCATCGGCACCAACAGTTCCCTTGCCGGGAGTGACGCTGCCGCTGTCCGCAGCAGGGGGAGCGGCGGAGGGAGCCGCAGCAGGAGGAGCAGCAGGAGGAGCCGCAGCGGGGGCAGCGGAAGAAGCCGCGGGAGGAGCAGCAGCAGGCGGAGCGCTTCCACCGGTGATGGGAGTAGCAGAGCCAGTGCCGTTCTGAGCAATGGCCATCTGCTGGAACTGAGCCTGGGTCTTGGCAGCGGTAGGGTTGATGGAGAAGACCATGCCCTTGCCGCAGTGGCCGGCCTGTCGGCAGTAGAACCCTGCGTATCGATGTTAGCACGCTGCTCTCAGTGGCTTCATATCGTCATAGGCGAGTACTTACAGAGGGGAGTCGTGGCCATAACCTGCATAGCGACCTGGGGAGCGGGAACGATGGTGTTGTTGGGGTTGGCCTGGAAGCCAGAGTCCATGCCGCCCTCCAGCTTCTTGCAAGGAGTGTCGAAGGCAGACTGGGTAACGGTGTGGTTCATGGAGTGAAACTCGAAGATGACGGTGTCACCAACGGGGATGTTGTCGAGCTGGGGAGGAGAGTAGACGAGACCAGCAGCTCCTCCAACAGTGACGGTGTGAGTGGCACCGGCAGCGGCGGCGGTCGAGGTCTGTCCTCCAACAGTCACGGTCTGGGTGACGGTGACCTTCTGGTTGTAGGTCGTGGTAGCGGCACCGCCACCGGGGTTGGCCCAGATGATGATGATCTCGGTCAGAGAGTTGGCGGTGATACCGTGGCCGGCCATGCCTTGGGCAATGGCGATGCTTCGCTCATCCAGCTCCAACTCAACTCCTCGGGCGGCGTTGTCGGGGTAGGCATTCTGGACCTTGTTGGCCAGAGCAAGAGGCGCAGAGGCCAGAGCTAACCAGGAGCAAAACTTCATCTTGGCGTTGTGTGGGTAGATATTGAAGATCTGACTTGAATTACACGTAAAGGAAGGCTGTCGAAAGAACTTGAATCAACCAAGTTCAAGGGCGGTTATGGCGAGGGCCTGCTCGTGAAGCGAATGGAAGAAAACAGAGAAAGAAATGAAAAAGAGGGAAAGAGAACAACTGCCGAAACAATTCGAGACTAGTGATGAAGAAACGAAGGAATGTTTTGCTCGTCTCGGGGACAGCCAGGCATTATATCTGTCCAGGCGCCATGCGGCCGAGCATGAAGCCAGCCGTTTTCTCCTGATGGAGGCAGACCCTTGAACCCCCCGTTTCCGAGCTAAAGAGTTGTATTCCGGGGCGCGATGCATCCGAATCAGCGGCGCTCCGTACTGTTTTGCGCATTTTGGTGGTTTGCAGGGGTTCAAGGAGACAACTGTAACAGAGTTGTCTCGGGTGGCGTTTGGCCATGTTTTGGCGTGGCCCAGTCGGCGACCCTGGTCTAGCGGCTAGGGTCTTGGGACGCAAGACAGCTGCATGTTTCTTGAGAAGCATATCCAAGACTCAAATCAAGCATTTCACTTCTCATCTTTGTTTGATCGAGTTGCGTCTGGGCATCGCTCGCCACGTTCAGACCCCTGTCGTTGATGCTCGAGATCCAGAAGCGAGTGGGTGGAGACGCAATGCTGAGCACCCCGGATATGGCAAATGAAGAGTGCACCAGCAACGGTGCGCCATCCATCTCAGGTGTAAATGCGTGCTCTAATCTCTCGATTTTCTCCGAGAGACGCCAACATGAGATGGCCTTCGGTCCCGGCATCTGAGTAATGCGCAATATCAGCGCCCACGTTAGCCTTCATGCCGCTCATGCGCCTAGAAACGTGCCTCGACGAAGAAGAAGCCAACGGCGGACGCAGAAAAACGCAGCAGAAGTTTTGGCGGCTAGATCAACAGCAGGAGGCCGCAGGCTTCGAATCATGCCAGAAGCAGCATAGACTCGTCACAGTCGTCCGCCATAAGGGGTTGAAGCCAGAACAGCGTCAAGCGCTGGCAGGCCAAACTAGTTCGCGAGGGTCTTCAAACCGCCATTGTGGAGGATGAAACACGGCTTTCTCATGGGCCGGGGAATGAGCCGTAGCGCAGCTCTTATCAATAATATGTCGCTCTGCAATCCCATCGTTCATGCGATTCCGACTTGGTCTTCCCGACTTAGGTTGCCTCGACCGGATCTATCGAAGCGCGCCCTAGCGATCTCCTCCCTTCAATCTTAGGTATTGTCGCTGCTGAATTGACAGCAGGCAGGAAAGCTCGGGGTCGAGAGTCTAGAACAAAGAGGAGCAAAGGCGTCTGCAGGATCCTGGCAAAGGCCGCCTGAAGTGTTCACGATCAATTGTAAACCACGACGTTCCGATGAAGGAAGAGAGGATTGAAAAGAAGCAGTGAGGATCAAGAAGGCATGCAGGGGCGGTGCACAAACAGGCCGCAGCAATTTCCATCTTGTTGAAGCGAGTGCCACTTTCAAAGGTCAGACCAAACAAATGCGTAATTCTCTGCCATACACCGGGCACATCGGCCGCGATGCAGATATCTTAGCATTTCCGCCGCTATGTATTTTGAAACAAATCGTCCGATAAGAAACCATCAGTTGGCGGCGTGGCTGAAATCGGTAGAGCCAGAATAATTTGAAATGCACTGACACGTTGTTTCCACCAGGCGCTATCCTGAGACGCCAGAGACCAGAGTCATCGCGACGGTTGTCGAACTAGCAGGCCTGTGGAACGCCATTTGTCGCAGTGTTTCCACCCCAGCTTCACCATTCAACTTGTGGCGCAGCACCTTACTTCCCCCACGATCAGTTAGTTGACGCCGATAGACCCAACTTCAGCAACGTGATCGGTCAAGGCTGTTGCTCCATCTTCTGCTGTGGTTGTTGCTGTCCTTGCTGTTGTCCCTCAAACAGGCCGGTATAATAGCCGGCGTAGTACCAAGACATGAGGAGCTTTTTCAGATTCTCGTCGCGCACTGGTCACGGTAACCCGGAGATATTCCTCAGCGTCAGTGCGGCACGTTCAAAGAGACGTCGGGCGTAGGCCAGGAGGTGTGCTATCGTCTTGCGCGAGTGACTAACCTGTGCCAAGTATTGCCTGAGACGGAAACGCGTTGGGCAGAGAGTTCAAGCCGTGCGCTGGCTGCGTGCTCTCTGACTGCTTCTCGGCGGGAGCCTGTGGACATTGATGAGCTGAATAGCCCTGGGAATCATGGCAAGGGCATCTCAGATGAGATATGCAGTGCGTCTGTGCTGCAAAACGTACATCATCTGCTGCATCGGCACCTTTATCCGACAGATCGGGGACGTGTCCCTGGGTATCCGTCGATTCTTCTATCTTGGGAGTAACGTCTGCCCTGCAGTGGGCGTTAGCAGCAACAGACAGAGCGACTCGATCAGACATGAGGATCAATAGACGCACTTGGCCGAATCGACCTCGGCTTGTTCCAGGTCTCGAATGCTGCCGCCCTTTGCGCGGATGCTGTGGTATTTCTAGGCTCGGGTTAAGGCAACAGTCCTCGCCTTCGTTCTGCCAAGATGGTCTTACCTTGTACTCCCGCAGAGCATCGTTCCAGGAGTCAATCAGGACAGAGTCGTCCCAGATCTCTTCGTGCTGAGGGTCAGATTCATCGACGTCCATCGTGATCGTGATGGAGTTGCGGATGTGTGAGTTGAAGCTGGTAGAAGTGAAGAAGGTGAATGGGCGAAGGAGCTCTTGAAGACGATGGGCTAAGCCTAGTCGAGCTCTTCAAAAGTGACGATTCACCCAATTGTGACGTAGAGCTGAATTAAATCTCACATCAAGGTCAAGTCAAGAGAAAAGAATTCAAGAGCCCTACATTCTCTCAAATCAGTTGAATCAATGACATTTTCTGGCAATATTGATGCGATCCTTCTGAGACAGTTCGAGGATACCCTGAACAAAACAATGACAAAGGCCTGGATTTCGAGAGAGCTTGTTACCGTAACCGGCATAGGACCTGTTAGTGAACAGCCACCCCACCAATCGCGCATATCCATCCGCTTCACCGCCCTCGAAAACCGGCAGAATCGTAAATTTTCCAGTAATTTTCTCTTTTTTTTTTTCTGGCGAAGCGAATTTGCGGCGCCTGAACAGTGATACAGACAACCACCACAAATCGCATCATGGCGCCAGTTCTTCGTAAGAGAAAGGGTAAGAGCCACGAATCTCTCATTATACGATCTCTTCTAACTGAATCTAGCTGCGGAAGAGCCGAAGCCCGAGGAGGTTGCAAAGCCCACCGAGGTCGCAAAGCCTGCGGACAAGACCCCCAAGGGAAAGCGAAAGGGTATGATTGCCGACTTCAATCGATATGCCTCGAGCTGCTTCATGCTAACATTCTCTGGATACAGCCGCTGAGCAATCTACTCCCGTTTCCGCCAAGAAGCAAAAGTCCACCAAGAAGACGGCAGCCGAGACCAAGACACCCAAGTCACAAAAGGCCGAACCCAAGGCGGATAAGAAGGAGAAGGAGGTAGAGAAGAAGGAGGAGAAGAAGGAAGCGAAGGAGGACAAGAAAGAGAAGAAGCAGAAGAAGGAGAAGAAGGAGAAGAAGCAAGATGAAAAGAAGGATGACGTGATCGACATGGAGGGAGAGTCCGACGCCGAGGGACAGGAAGACGATGAAAACATCCAGGCCCTTGCTGGCAACATTGACCCGGAGGAGGAAACCGCCGTCAACGAGGAAGAGTTCCAGCCCGGCCAGGATGTCGGCAAGATCCCTAAGGTCTCGAAAGACGTGCAAAAGTCGGTCAAGGCCTCCAAGGAAGAGCCCGGCGTTGTCTACATTGGACGGATACCTCACGGTTTCTACGAGTACGAGATGAGGCAATACCTCTCTCAGTTTGGCCCCATCTCACGACTGCGCCTCTCCCGCAACAAGAAGACCGGCGCCAGCAAGCACTTTGCCTTTGTCGAGTTCACCGAGGCCAGCACCGCTGAGATTGTCTCCAAGACCATGGACAACTACCTGCTTTTCGGACACATCCTGAAATGTAAGGTCCTCTCAAAGGAGCAGGTCCACGAGGACCTGTTCAAGGGCGCCAACAGACGATTTAAGAAGGTGCCGTGGAACAAGATGGCCGGCATCCAGCTTGAAAAGCCCCGTACCGAATCAGCTTGGGAAGCCAAGGTCGCAAGAGAGCGAAACAACCGGGCAAAGAAGGCCGCCAAGCTTAAGGAGCTGGGGTACGACTTTGAGGCTCCGGAGCTCAAGGGAGTGCCGGCACCCGCCGCGGTTGAGAATGGGAACGAGGTCAAGGCAGTTGAGGCCGCTCCTGAGGCCGCTCCCGAGGCTGCTGTCGAGGCGGCTCCTGAGGTAGCCCCAGAGGAGGAGAAGCCGGCTGAGGAGCCGCAGCAGGAGGTCAAGACACCAAAGAAGGCTTCCACCCGGACGAAGTCAAAAGCAACGGCGACGCCCAAGGAGACTCCCGCGAAGGCGACCAGATCGACCAGGTCGACCAGGACGAAGAAGGCCGACGCTTAATACCAGCGGCGGACGACCTTAGACGTATATCTGTTTTCTTTCTACTACACTAGGCAGGTTTCATTACGGCGCAGTGGTTCATGAAAATTACACGTTTTGCACTTCATATTGAACAAACATGCCGTGAAAACTCAGCAAAGATTCAGTGGTGAAAATGGCATGTCCGCACTCAAGCGAACCCATTGCGCTCGTGAGAAGAACAAGCAAGCAACGGGATTATAAAAGGCGAGATTCTCTACTTCGCGCGAGATTGTGAAAGAGCCAGTAGGGATTGGATCTCCTTCAATAGTGTGATGGCGAAGATGATTGTAAGATGAAGAAGAAGAAGAAAAAGAAAAAAAATCGCAGACCCGCAGACTGAAAAGACCTGATAAGCAAAATCTCCCGATGACTAAGCACGTGGCCCGAATGCGGTTCCGGCTTGGGGATACGTACGACAATCTGAGAGACGGCTCGTATCCGCAGCTTGGAACACTTGTTCTTCTGGAAGACGCCCAAGCTTCTCTCACGCGCGTCGAGGCCTTCTAGAAGCGCTGACGATCCCTCGCTGGCGCCCCATTTTCGGACCGCTTGTCTCAATTGCTCTGCCCAGCTCGCCGGTTTGCGCATCGCCAGCTCGAGCCTCGAGGCCTCAGCCGGAACGAGTATCCGCAGACATCGGAGCAGACGAATCGGAGGCGACGCCGCGGAGCTGCTCGAGCGCTGATTAGGCAGTCCCCGGGCCTCCCTTGCGCTACAGCCTCTCGCACGAGGCTGCTGTATTAGAGCCTTGGAACATTGGATCGTCTAGCAAGCCGCATGCCAGCTCGTTAGAGCGCGGTCAACACCTGCCCACCATGTCCTCGACAGCGGGCACAGAGCCCAGCTTAACGTCCAATTCAGGTTAGTCGTGGTCCTCGCTCATGGCCTGACTGGTTGGGATGTCAGTATGCTAAAAGCGGGCGGAATGGGACAGCGGCCAAGAAGAAGAACAACAAGAAGAAGAAGAATGCGAACAAGAACAAGGAGCCGGCGCAGACGAGCAATGGCGACGCCAGGATTGACAAGGACGAGGTAGACGACGAGCCAGAGACGCCGACAACCGCCGTAAGCCGCTACCGAAGCTTCGAGACTATGTGATTCCCGCTAATTGTCCAACGTTAGGAGATCCCGAGCAATGTTGACAACACAGAAGAGCCTCCCAACGATAGCAACGGGCACCCAGTAGCTCCAGCGAACCACGAGCCCCTCGAAGACCATGCGCATGAGCAACGGCCCGACGGCGATTCCGACACATCGGCCAAGCTGGAGGCCATGGGCAAGGAGCGAGAGGCTCTCCGGGCTGAGGTCGAGCAGCTGCGGAAACAACTGGAGAGCATCCAGGAAAACCACCAGGCCGAAGTGTCGCAGCTGCAGTCGGAGCTGGAAGACAGCAATGCCGCAAGAGAAACCGCCGAGGAGCAGTACCAGACACTGCTCGGGCGCGTCGAGAAGATCAAAGAGACGCTGAGCGACAGGCTGAAGCGGGACAAGGCCGAGCTGGAGGAGGCAAAGGAGTACATCGAACAGCTCGAGGCGCAAAACGAGGAGCTCCGAAACGCAGCAGAGGCGACCAACGAAAACGTGGCGAAGCTCAGGGAAGAGCTCCAGGATGCCACGCGAGAACTGACCACACTTCGAAGTCGCAACAACTTGTCTGCGAACAATTGGGGGAAGGAAAGGGAAGAGCTCATGAGGACGATCCAGCATCTCAAGGAGGAGATGGAGAACACCTCCAATGCCATGGGCGAGTGGGAGGTCATCGCCATGGAAGAGCGCTCCATCAAGGAGAATCTCAACGACAAGGTCAACGAACTGGAAGAGGAGCTCGCCGGGTTAAGAGAAGGATACGAGGCGGCCGTCGCCGAGCGCGATAGCCAGGCAACATTAATCGACAATTTGCAGAACGCTCTACGAGAGATCCAAGACGCCCGGAAGAAGGAGCTTCGCGACCTGGTCGAAACAAGCGAAGCCCAGCTCCAGGAGCAAAAGAAGCTGGTGCAGGAAGCCGTCGCGAAAGCCACAGAAGCGCAGGCAGCCAAAGAGGAGCTTGTCAAGGAGCTCGAGCGCACGGCGCCATTTGAGAAGGAAGTGAAGGAGAAGAACCTCCTCATCGGCAAGCTGCGGCATGAAGCCATCGTGCTGAACGACCACCTCACCAAGGCCCTGCGGTATCTCAAGAAGACAAAGCCAGAGGATAACGTTGACAGGCAAGTATTGCCGCCGCCGCAAAGAGAAGTGGGCGCAAGCTAACACGTTCCGTTACAGACAAGTCATCACGAACCACCTCCTCCATTTCCTCACGCTAGACCGAGGCGACGCGAAGCGCTTCCAGGTCCTCCAGGTCATGGCCGGCTATCTCAACTGGACCGACGAGCAGCGCGAACAAGCTGGCCTTGCTCGACCCGGCGGATCCAGCAACAGCCTGCGCCTCCCTCTCTCGCCCTTCCAGCGCACTCCCAGCTCGCCATCCCTCAGCGCCGACATCTTCTCCGAGCCTTCGTCTGCGAGAGACAGGGAATCCCTAGCCGAGCTCTGGGCAGGCTTCCTGGAGCGCAGCGCTCAGGAGGGCACCAGCGACGGCCCGTCAAGAAAGGGGAGCACGAGCAGCGTGGCGACGGGCGCGGGGGCTGCAATAGGCCGGCCTGAATCCAGGGCGTGATGTATTTATAGAACAACTTATATAGATGTTTCACAGCGTAATATATATATATTCTCAACAAGACGAATGAAGTACATAGAAGAATGGTGCGCCGCCGCAATGCCGAAAGCCATGCCGAAACCAAAGGTGTACATCAGAAAAGCTCAGTATGCTCCCACCTACTGCTCTTCTAGCACCGGCCGTAGGACGTTCTGTGTATACGTCTCCGCATCCCTCGTGATGTTCTGAATATCAATCCGGTTGCTCAACGCATCGTTGACGCCATCAATCACCTCCCGCTCCTCCATCACCTCACCCATGATGCGCACCTCATGCTGCCAATACGCCTGCGACCGCGACCGCAAGTCTTCGTCGCGCATGATTGTGTTCTTGACGATGCCCACCGCATTCACCTTGCTCCTGACCGCAGTCAGCGCGCGGTTGACCTGCTCGATGCGCTCCGCCGGCGAGGGAGGCTGCACGAAGGCGCGGTTCGTCGCAGACAGGTACAGCACAAAGGCAATCGCCGCATCGAGCGCAGCCAAAGCGACATATCGGTAGCTGCGCATCGTCCAGTAGAAGAAGTCAATGTCGTTGAGCCGCAGCGCCCGCGCGTTAGCCTGGTGGTTGTAGGAATGGACAAAGTAGATTTCCAGCGCGGCGAGAACGCCGGAGGAGATTGTCGCCAGGGTGCGCCACTGCGAGCCGTATTTCCGCGTTACGGAAGGGCTTGTGACGATGGCGAGGACGATGAGGTTGCCGATGTGTGGCCATAACAGGGAGGGCAGCGCATAGTAAAAGTAGCTCTTGGGTTCGTCGGCCGTGCAGAAGATGCACTCTGCCAACACTTCCGGCCCGTACTGGAGATACAGCAACCTGCTCTCCATGTTGACGAATTTGGATCTCAGCGCATGGTCCCACGGCGTGAAGACGTTGTCTGGTCGTAGCGCCGCGATGCGAGTGAAGAGCACGTCGACGGGAATCTGCAGCCTGCTCTGCGTCTTGACAAAGACATTCTCCGGCGACGCAAACGGAAGCGTCTTCACGACGAGCAGAAACGCAAAGAAGGATAGCATGAAGATGGCGACTCGGATCGTCGGCGGAACGGGCTGCACGGAGAGGCCATGGCGGCCACGCGCTGATCGTACGCTGCGGTAGTAGGAGATGGCCTTTGGGAGCAGCATGGGCCCAAAGAAGAGGGCGAATGCGCGGATGCTAACAAGACGAAGAGATATTTTGTTAGCTTTACTTCAGTGGGGTTGAGAATGTTGTAAATTTAAAGAGAGAGACTCACGAATCCCAAGAGATTGCCATGTTGAGGGCCGCGCTGGTTGACACTGCTTGAGCCAGGCAGTTGAAAGAGCCAGGTGGCCAGCAAGAGACGAGGCTGAGATGCTGAAGGAAATGGTGGCGTCAGCAAGGCTGCTGCTCGCTTTATCTAATCGAAGATGGGGCTGTCGTTTTCAGCGAATCAGTGCGCGAGTTATTTTTGGTATTTAGTTGATTCAGCGAGGCCAGCGACATGCTGAAATGCCTAGGGCAGCGAATCCAGCTACCCTGGATCAATAATTGCATTTCCATTCGCATTCAACGCCATGGAGAACAGTATATAGATAATTAATAGAGAGTACGTAAATCAGCATTGCTCTAGTGCTGGTGTTTTCCATAAGGCTATTCCGTCAGTGGACGCTCAGGGCAACGTATCACCGTATCTGGTTTGCAGCAACACTTGCACATCACCAGCCCTTTGGCTTTGATGAAGAATTTTAGATGGGAAATATTGGGTAGTTTCTACACAGACAAAGATAAGAAACTCATGTCTCGATATGCACTTCGGAGACACCCTAGACGCCAAACTAGCCTTGAGCCTAATACCTGATCACTGTCCCTGAGGACACAAAAGGAGGGCTTCGGATAAGAGGCCACCCGCTTCGTAGACGCTCTACCAGATACTCGGCACCTAACGCTCACACGTCAGACAGGGAATGATGGGACAATCTTTGCACTCGTTGACTTTAGCATATCGGTCAGTATCGCCAAATTCGCGCTTGCACCATCTGAAGCATAGGCAAGCATCTCGCAGATCCAGAAAGAGGAGGCAAAAGTATGCCCAACAATTTGCTGCTCGCTTGCGCAAGCAACAACAACGACAACAACAACAACAACGGTAGTACCGTCCATTGTAAATCTTCAATTCAACTGCATAGCCAAACAAATCCTTCCCCGTATCGCTTGAATCATCCCAATCATTGCGCCGTGTTCTAAAATCCGTCAAGGAGCGCCCATTTCGCCGTGCCATGGTGTTTTTTCTCTCTCTGCAATCTTCTGCCGCGCCACCGGAATGTTCGCATGCAGCTTCACAATCCTCGCGACGGCAGCACTGTGCACTTATTATTTCTTCAACTTGGCTTCCCTCTTCTCCCTCAGCGCCCGCTCTTCCTCTTCTCGCCTCTTCTCGTCGGCTATCGGTAGGGAGTGAGGTTAGTTCCACGGTTCGCAATATGTGCAGACGGGGACACATTCTTGTCGGGGTTTCGGACCTTTGGCTTGCTTCTGCCTCATGATCTCGGCATTGCTCAGTTGTGCCTTTGCCTGCTGGTAGCCGTCGAGCTGGTTGCCGGATTTCTGTAATGAAGAGGGTGAGACCAGGGGTTAGTCATTTTTCTCTCTTCCGGTACTTTTTGCTGGCTCGCATGTGAAAATCAGGGATCGGCGTACGGCTTTGGCATCCTTCTTCATGTTCTTGGCGCGCGCCAGATCTCGCTGATTTCCGCGGGCCATGGTGGTGACGCTGTCGTGGGAGTGCTGGTCGTGGTGGGAGAGGAAGATCGTGGAAGCAGATGGATCAAGGGCAAGGATGCTGCAGTTCGCGCGTCGCAGAAGTCAAATGCAGAGGAGGCTGTAGATGCATGTGGTCTTGGAGCCAATCGGAGGGCCGGCCGCCTTTAAATGCTTGCCGGTACGGAATAAGCATCACTCTAAGGCCGCTACTAATCACGGAGTGGCCCGTGTAACATTCTTTTGCTTTGCGCCACCAAAGGGAACTTTGCGTCCGTCTCCCTTGAAGCCTCAAGTTCGTTTGTCTCCTTGGACGTGGACGTTGCGGTGAAAATTGACGATGCCACGGCCATTATTGAGTGTGCAGAGGCATTTCCGCATCCGATGGCAAAGCTGGTCGATTTGATCGGATGAGGTGAATCTGAGCCACCAAACGTGTCCGACCTTCAGTTACACGGGTGCCATCTCATGACTTGCAAGCATCTCGTCGATGCCGGAAAAGATAAGGAGGAGTATCTGATGAATATCATTACCAATCATCTTTTTACAGAGTTCAGCGCCTGAATCACGTCGAATCTTCCCATGCCTGCCATTGCACCGTTCTCGGCAACACCTATTCCGGCCATGAGATCCAGATGCATCTTCAACTGGAGCCAACAACAGATTGCCCGTGACTAAGCGCTTCTCGGCTCTTGTGAGACATCGATTCTTCAAGCATTGGGGTTTACCGCAGCACCACCCACAAGTACTGGTACCTGACTCACGTCGCTGTTCACCAGCATTCTGCACTACGGATACGTACCGCGACAGCGCTTCACCACACATCTGCTGAAACACTTACACGCACCCTCCCAGCCAATCAATCCAGCCTCAACATCCCGGTCTCGAGATGCAGACAAGAGGCTCCCAATGAATGGACCTTTTTTAGCAACTTGCCGCCGCGCTTCATTGGCCGAGATACATCGATGCACTATCCCGCCACAAGCAGACGCTCCGATTTGTAGATTCTCTTTGCCTCCCCTCCTCTGAAGAGGCCGATCAGGAGCTTTCCTTGGGCTCTAGTGGGAGCTGCGATACTGGCGCCAGCGTGGCCACACATGGAGGCCGGGCTGCCGATGAAACGAAGCTCCTTTCGGCGCGGCTAATGATATTTCTATGTAGCATCCCCATGATCTATTCTCGCCGCTGAAGCTGTCTGGGAGACTCCTTGTGAATGATTGGTCTCGGGACGCCAGCGCGGCAGCATTAGCTGATGCCGTGAATGGGGGACGAGCGCCGGCTGTTTGCTGCGAGCTTCCCTCTGGCCAGGTCTCGCATGCATGTCTTTTGAGTTTTTTTTTTTCTTTCCTCTCTCCGAATTGCGCTCCGTTTCAGAGGCAGGGGGCTTGCTTCTAGTATCGTGAGTGAGGGCGGCAAATGGGTCTATTGTTGTGGTGGTATTGATTGGGTGCGTGGTTGTTGATAAACAAGAGCTGAGCCTCTTCTTAGAACTGAGGAATGCCCACACACCTTTTTCTTTCTACCTAACCTTCTTTCACAGTGCTGTTCAGATTTTTGTCAATCACTTTTCTCTTTTTCTTTATTTCCTTTTCTACTATCCTATTGTTTTCGTGAACAATGGTGTTTGTGTGAACACACATTGAAGCTGCTCTCCAGTCGTTCTCGTAGCTTCACACTCTTTCCTTTTCTCTTTTCTCCCATCTCTCTTTTCTTCATACGCTTCGCATCTTCGTCATCTTCGTCATCTTCATCAACTTCGGGCTGGTTCCCATATTCTCTGCATCGACTGGGCTTTAATCTCTTGCCAAGATCTACACCACATAAAAACAGGCCCTTACTTGACCTATCGCACTTCATTCTCATTCACTGACGGGCAGCGGTTACTATACTTCCCGCTTCTCCGTAGTAAGTTTTACCGCTGATCGCATCTCAGACTCTCTCGACTGACAGTTGCCCCTAGCATTCCCTCTGCAATAAGAATACCTTACGACTCTTCAGTCTTCATCATGGCTGGCTTCATGAACTCACCTGGCCTCCGAGGCGCTGGACTGGTCGTTCTCCAAGCCCTTCGCGTTGGCACCGTCATCACGCTGCTGACCTCCGGTGCCGCCTGTTGGATCCTCATCATCGATGTCGAGAAGAACAAGCCGTACTTCATCTTCGAGTGCTTCAGCCTCTTTTTCGTTTCCGTCCTCTGCTCTCTGCTTGTCGTTTCGGAACTCGCCTTTGCGCAATTCATCAAGATCTACCTCCGGCGCATGTGGCCCGTCTTGTCCGACCACCATGGACTGAGTTGGCTGGGCTTGGGCATGATCATCATCGGCTGCAACATCCTGGGTATGCTCAACCACGACTTGAAGATGGCTTCTGCCCTGTCGTCACTGGTCCTGGCTGCGGGTATCTTGGCCCTAATCTTTGGATTTCTCAACATCGTCTGCTCCTTTATCTGGTGTGATAGGAAAGAGGGCATCACATCTCGCGACATTCGTGCCAATGGATCGCTCGCTCGATCACAACGCGAGTTCCATGATTATGATCCTCCGAGCCGATCATCCTCATCCAGGAACGAAAAGACGAGGAGCAAGTTTGTGTCCATGTTCTGGAAGAAGGACAAGGAGGAGGAATATGTGAACGCAGTACCGGAGATTAGCCCTCCCTATACCTACAGCAACCACCATGCCCGCGATCTCGAGGCCCAGAGCGACAGCCCAATCATTCCGGGTCTGAAGCGCCCTGACACGGCCTTGCACCCCATGAACACCCGCATGAATAGCCGCAGCAGTCGGAGCAGCCGATACTCCGAGGCGAACATGTCACGATTCTGATTGCTCTTGCGAGGCTGGGCCTTATTCTCTTGGAAGAGCAAATGGGCTGCAGAGTGAAGAAAAATAAGAAAAGAAAAATTAGAAAAAAAAGGGGCACACAAATGCCATCAAGCCTGATAGGCGGATGGACGGAGGAACAAGGGCGTTGAGGAGTGGAACAAGCGATACCCCCAAGAGGGCTGGACATGGTCTTTCTGATATCTACCGATCTCTTTGCATGTGCTTTAAAGTGATTTAGCAATGATATGATGCGTCATTGAAGTAATAAAATTGGAATTGAAAGGAAAGAGAGTGAAAGACACGCGACTCGATCTGCTGTCTCTTCATCTTTTGGTGACCAAGTCGCGTGGACACGTGATTGAGGTAGAGGTGCTGCAGACACTCGAGACTACTCAAGATATGGCCTTGTATTCGGAAGAGCTGGGAGTCAGAAAACAAAGTCAGTCGATGCTGAAAATCAACCTTCACATCTTGCGGATCTGTGTTCACGCGTCTGTTGTCTCAGTGAGTCCGCTTGTCACCACCAACAAGGTGAGAAGGTGAGGGCTGACCTACGCCTTATTTTCGGAAATGGTCCGTGCGGCAGCTGATAGCTGGCTCATCACGTGACTAGCGATCAGCATAAACCTTCTGGCAATCGCTCAATTGCTCATCAATCCCGTTTGCTTTTCCTCTCCCAATGACTCTTCTGGCGGCCTGAAGCGGCTCATCTTGACGTCCTTTGCCTCGTTTCCGCGAAAGGGAGCTGGACCACGATCCGCGACTCTTCCTCATCTGATCCCCATTTCCAGACGGGCAACTGGTCCTTGCTCCCCTCTTCCACGCCTCTGCAATTGGCGCGAGCCTCGTCCATTCGGAGCCCTTCTTTCCACGGCGACGCGGCACTCGACACGATCATTGACAGTAGCATCTATATCACGATACTTCAACAAAGCACGATCCAGGCCATAGGAGGCCATTCCAGCGTAGGCTTGCCTGCGGAGATAGTGATTGATTCGCGGCGAGTGATTTCTGAAGAAGACAGAGGCAGACCAAAGGAAGCCGAAGAAGGCTTTGCAAAGGATCAATACGATAGCTTGTTGCGGGGGTATAGAAGTTGTTGAAGACGGCGAAGGCCAGGACAAGTATCTCTTGGAATAAACTTCGCGCCTCTTCCTACGTGCAACCGGGTTACTGTGTCCGATTTCGTTCTGTTGCCTATACGACGGATCCTTAGCTTCTTGTTATCTTCAACTTCAGGGCGGCAGCAGCGTTTTTCTTTGTTTTCGTCTTGGGATCCTGCAAAAGCACCGTTGCCCCTTGTCTCTGGCTCTGGCCATATTTGATCGCCACGAGTCTTTCTCCTTGTCCTTTTTCTTAAAGAATATTATTCCAATTATCGGCAAACCGCTTCAAAATGTCATCTGACGGGGATGAGGTGGCGGAGGATTACCGCCTTGCCCTGGAGGACCTCTCCTCCAACATGCGTTTCGAGATTAGCAATTTGACAGTAATTGCTAGAGAGAACACCGAGCATGCTTTGGCCATTGCGGAGGTTTTGCAGCAGCACATCCTCAAGGTAGGAGGACATTTCCCTTTGAATGCGTTGGGGTTGATGGGAGTTTCTCTTGCGATGCATCTCTCTTTCTACTTCCCCCTCTTGCCCCCCTTTCTCCTTCTCCTTGCTGTATTTTCAGATGCTCATACGTAACCAGGCGCCACCGAATAAAAAACTGCCCGCTCTCTACGTGATGGACTCAATTGTCAAAAACGTTGGCACTCCTTACACGCTGTATTTCGGCCGGCAGCTGTTCAAGATATTCATGGAGTCATACGCGGTCGTTGACCACGGCATCCGCAGGAAGATGGAGGAAATGCTTAAGACGTGGAAGGATCCGGTTCCTGGCTCATTGGACACACGACCCGTCTTTTCACACGAGCTGGTGCGGCCGATCGAGAACGCCTTGATGAAGGTCAGAGCCGCGAGCATGCCCCAACCGGCCCAGAGCGCCATTCCTGGTCGGCCTCGGTCAGCAATGTTTCCTCCTCACCGAAACACCCCGACGCCACCGGGGATGCGTGGATATGCCGGTCAGCCCGGCAACTTTCCGCCTCAGCCTCACCCATTCTCTAACGGAGGGCATCCTGGTGAGCCATTGCCGGGCCATGTGCCGCTTCCTGGACAGCAGGTTTGTGTCCCTCTCAATACTTACGCCTGGCAATGATACTAACATGTCCGTGTATAGCCTGCTCCATATCTCCCACCATCCACCACGGCCTCTTACAACTCGACCCCTGTTCCCTTCCCTCCATCTGCTCTGGGATCATACGGCTCAGGCTTGCCCATGCCCTCTGGAATAAGCGTAGAGACGTTGAGCAGTGACATTCAAAAACTGATTGTTGCGATGCGGGCCGAGTTCTCACAGAATCCGCATGATGGCGGCGTCCAGAGCAGGCTGAAGGCTCTTTTGGACCTCCAGAATGTTGTGCAGCACTCGAATCTGCCTGCAGACCAGCTTGAGCTCATTAAGAACAAAGTAACCGAACTCGCTGCCGTGACAATGAGGGCCCCCCTGGCCCGTAATTCTGCGACTGCAACCCCCCCTATCCCAGCACCGGCAACGGCGCCGCCTCTGGCGCTTCCTGTGCATCCTCCCTCAGCCTCTGTAACCCCGACACCTGTGCCGGCGGCCCAGCCTGCCGCGCCGGTGACGCTCGATTCATTGCTGGGACAAGGGGCGATGGCGGCTTTGTTGGGAATGCAGGCGGCGAACTCTCAGAATACGACGCCTCAGCCTCCGTTTGCCGGTGTCCCCATACGGTCACCACCGATGAATCACATCGAACCGCCCAAGGCGGCGCCGATGCCACCGGCTATGCCGACGGCTCCGGCTCCGAATGCTTTGTCCTTGGTAGAACAGCTTCGAGCGGCTGGTATTCTGCCACCCCCGACACCCACAAACGTTCCGCCTCCAAGCCAAGCACCGGCTGCTCCACCACCGCCGTCGTTGTTCCCTCCGGGTCTGTCGGCGAGCATTGCCAGTTTGCTGGCTGCCCACAGGCCGGATTCTGGCCGATCCAGCGTAGATGGACTGGGCAGCTCGTCTGGATTGGATTCGACTGCTCTCAAGTCGCAGTGAGTTGCTCTTCTCATCTATCAACGACATGCATGATTTACTGACCAGACCTTCCAGGTTCCGACCCGATGCTGTTGCCGCCTTATATGACAATCTTGGACCTCCATGCACGCAGTGTGGCAGGCGGTTCAAGACGGACGAGGAGGGGAGGCGGAAGAAGACGGCTCACATGGACTGGCACTTTAAGGTACACCAGCGCAGCACAGAAGCCGAGAAACGAGGCACGCACCGAAGCTGGTACGTTGACCAGCAGGTAAGTTTTTGCCCTCCTCCAACCTTGAATTAACATGGAGAGAAGAACGCTAACTGGATACGCAGGACTGGGTCAAGGCTCGCGAAGCGGTCGATGCGATACATGACGTGTCCTCCAAAGAAGAGTCTGCTCAAGCAGCCAAGGACTCGGAGGGGCCCAAGTACATTCTCGTGCCCGATCCAAGCAGCGGCATCAACAATGTATGTCCGATTTGCCAAGAGAGATTCGAAAACAAGTGGTTCGACACCGTGCAAGAGTGGGTGTGGCTCGACACGGTCCTGGTGGGCAATCGAGCGTATCATGCCTCGTGCCGCGCCGAGGCAACGAGAGACCGGGAGTCTACGCCTGGCCTGTCACGCCGCACGCCCGAGCCGGTGCTGGGGAAGCGGAAAGCAGAGACAAATCTGGCGTCGCCCAAGGTGCGGGTACAGAAGGCGTATGTGTAACGGCATGGCCATATTGTGATTTTTGTCTTCGGCGGACATGAGGCGTTGTGTGCCAGCAGCTTTGTCTCTGGCAATCCTACAACGTCTAGGGAGGCTTCTGGAGGACTGATTTTAGGAGAAGCGCATGGGATACTATCATGGAATGGCGTTTATGAGCAATCTACTATTTCTGCAGACAGCTTAGTGCAGCGCAGATGGCGAGAGACTCTGCAGAGTACATTATCGACTACAGTATACAGTGAAGTGATGAAGATGTCGTTTGGAAGGCCCGCGGTTTCTTTTGTTTCCCACTCTTGTTTCCTCTCGTTTAGAGATGTGGTGAGAGACAGTCGAAGTGAACGTTATGGCCCAACAGCCGTGATGGATATAGGGATATGTTTGCCGAGGTGAAGATGACATTGATCTGAGTGTACCTACCTAGGTCGCCAGAAGCACAGTACAGATACCATCTGTGAAACCCTTTGGCAGCTGCGGTTGTGATGGTGAGACTACCTTAGATGGTAACCTGTCGTTGATGGGCTTGTAAGTCATATTTGTTGCAGTTCGATTATGATGTAGTATTTCTGTCTCATCACCCAACTGAGTAGTCGTTGAGAATAGCTGAATCACATAATTTTCCCGTCTCTTCAGACTCACAGACTTGACGTTTCTGAAATAAGAAAATACGATTGAAACTAGGTCATTGTTGTATCATAATTGTGACAATTGAGACGAACAGATTCTGAGGCAGAATCAAAAGATCAAGCCAACACTTGAAGTGATGCCGTCACCGCAGCATGGAAGCAACTCCAGCGCCCAACCGCCCCTGGGGAAAGGGCCGACATGCACTAACCCGCGTCCCCCACAGCGCTGAGCAGCAACAGCTCCAGCGGGCTCCAGCTCGCAGCTCTAGCGCACCCGAAGCCCCAGCGCGGCCTCGGCCACCAAGAAGAGGCCATCTGCTTACCTACGCAGCTCCAGCTCTCACTCAAATGGAGCCTGGCCCGAAACCGTCGATCCTCGTCAATCATCAAAATCCCCAATCAAATCGAATCGCAGCCAGTTGCAGCTGTAACCACTCCAGAGCGGCTCTCCCCTGCGAAAACCCCCCTGAACAGCGACACGCGACAAGCACCGCGACAGAAGCGACGGCCATTCGATCCCTCCTCACCTTGTTTCTGCATCGGAAAGGAGCCGTGCAGCGTGCGGCTCACCGGCTTCGCAAACCCGCGCCTCTTCGATTGGCTCGTTGGCCTTGAGCAGGTCCCCTTTGCCTCTGTCGGCTTTGTCCTCGTCACCATGGAGGTGAGATCTTTTCTCTTGTTTTCTCTGTCATCCCTGATCTTCTGCTTCTCTCGCCCTTCTCGCTGCTCCCATTCGCTGGCCGCTGCTCTTATGCCTTCTCAGCCATCGTTGCGACAGGATTGCCGGTGCATGCGTGTGTCTCGATAAGCGCCTTGTCACACGCAGAATGAATGGGCAGGGCTTCTGCTCCGTGCTGCTGTGTGTCACCCACATGTCTCTGGATCACGGCGAACCACGAGCTGCCCTTGCCCTGCTAGTTTTCTCTTATTCCTTTTTGGAATTTTCTTTTTTATTCCATATTATTTTCTTTGTTCCTTCTCCCTGCCTCAGTTGGTTCGACGGGCTCGTTGGCAGCAGAGCAAACATCTGATAGCTGAGCGGCCCCCCTGGCTCGTGACCAGTTTTGCCTGCTCCCTCTTTTCCGCGCTTGCTTGTGGTGACGTGGGATGACAGAGACATTTGGCAGCTCGAGTGGGCACCGGGGTGAACAGGAGCATGGTTCTGGCTTGACTCGCTTGGGCCGCCGGGCGAGTCTAGTTACCTAGGCCGTAGGCTTCGTTGGGCAGGGCCGCGGCAGCAGGAGGGCCAGCAATGCAAGAGAGCCGGGCAGTCCGTGTGACGAGGGCAGGACGGGCATGACGGGGCTCGTGTCACTTTGATGCCTGATTTCCCTTGCGACTGGCAACCGTGCTTCGGCCGAATGTCTCTGAGAGCTTCTGGGGGCGCTTTTCGCTTTTGCGGCGACGGCCTTTCGAAAGGGCTCTGCGGCTTTGGTGGCTTGAGCTGTGCGTTGCGCTGAGGCAAGCCACGGCTGCGCAAAGGGACGACCGGTGAGGCAGCGTGCATGCTTCGCCTGCTGCTGCTTGCTGCTGCTGCTGCCGCCGCCGTCCCTGTCACTGTTTGTTTTTGTGGATGTGTGTGTGAAAGAGTGAGGAAGAGGAAGAAGAGAGAGAAGTAGAGAAAGAGGAAGAGAAGGAGAAAGAGAGCCAGGGACACACACACACAAACACACATACAGTGACAGAGAGAGCCAACCAGAGCCGGAGCCAGAGACATCTGAGCCCGCTTGAATCTCACTGCAAAGTCACCGTCTCCTGCATGGCTTGACAAATAACACCACAACCCAAACCTTCCTCCCACAAGCGTGGAGCAGGCGTGCAGGTCTTGAGGCTGCAGACAACGTGTTCTAGCATCGCGTCAGGCGCATCAAGAGCGAATCATCATCTACAATGTCCCTCAGCCCTCCCATCTACGGCTCGCCTGCAGACAAGCAGCGTGCTGAGCTTGAAGCACTTGGTCATCGTCGCGCTCCCCAACGTTCAGGTGTCATGAGTCCAGCTAGGCTAAAATTGCAGCATCTTTACGACCAGAGCACGCAAGGACCGATAAAAAAGGGCTCGCTGAAACCGGCAGATGCAGCCGGCAGCGTGCCCGAGAAAGGAAAGCCGCGTTTGCTGCTGATGGGTCAGAGACGGTAAGTCGGCTTGTGCTCCAACGAAACGACCTGTTGCGAAGTGAAGCCTTACTGATGGTTGGATCCAACTCATAGGAGCGGAAAGTCGTCCATCTCGAGTGTGGTCTTCCACAAGCTTGCGCCTAATGAGACGCTATTCCTCGAGTCAACCGCGCGGATACAAAAGGATACGATGGCGTGAGTGCTCTTGACTCTGTTTCTGGGCTGTCAACTCTTCCAACTAACATGGCGAGGATAAAGATCCTTTATGGACTTTCAAGTATGGGATTTCCCCGGACAGATTGACGTATTCGACAACCCGAGCTTCGACATGGAGGCCATCTTTGGCGAAATCGGCGCCCTGATCTGGGTCATTGATGCCCAGGACGACTATCTCGAGGCTGTCGCGCGTCTCAACACCACCATCCTTTCCCTGCAGCGCACATATCCCAACATCAACATCGAGGTCTTCATTCACAAAGTGGACGGCCTGTCGGACGACTACAAGCTCGACATCCAGCGAGACATTACCATTCGCATCCAGGATGAGCTGTCTGACCACGGTTTCGAAAACGCCCCGGTTACCTTCCACCTCACCTCCATCTACAACCACTCCATCTTTGAGGCCTTTAGCAAAGTCATCCAGAAGCTCGTCCCCCGCCTGGGAACGCTCGAGTCCATGCTCACCAACCTGTGCCGAACGTGCCGCTTCGAGAAGGCCTACCTTTTCGACGTGCTGTCCAAGATTTACATTGCCACGGATACCGCGACGGCCGACATGGCCAGCTACGAGATTTGCAGCGACTACATTGACGTGATTATCGACATTACCGAGATTTACGGCACGTGGCAGCGCAGCGACGACAGCCGAAAGCGCCTCGAGGGCGAGCCCATCAACACGAAGCTGGAAGACCAGGTCGCGTGCCCGACGGCGGAGAGCTGCCTCGTCTTGCACGATAGCCATAAGCCTATTATGCTGCGCGAGGTGGATCGGTATCTTGCGCTGGTGGCGATCATGACGGATGATTCGTACGATAGGATGCCGCTGGTGAATATGAATGTCGAGGCGGTGGTGGAGGGGCTGACGGAGTTCTTTGACATTACGAAGCCTAAGAAATGAGGGAGTTGGGACGATATGGGGGGTTTAGGAGTAATGGTTGTTTGGCGTTGTTTTCGCATTTTTATTCAATATTATGTCTTCGATATTGTTTCTTTTTTGGAGGTAGGACAATGTTTATAGGTTTATAGTCAAAGGCTTTCGATGAAAGATTGCTGTCATCTGTATCTGCTCTCCTTTCGGCGTCATATTTCCTGCCAGTCCATGTCCAGGCCCAACTCAGTTGACTATCAAATCCCACAACGCCAGGACCGTTCCAAACCCAATAATGGAGAAGTGCCCTTCAGCCCTCGGACGGAAGTTTATATGTCCGCCATGTTGTGCGGTTAGCACCCAAGAGACAGATCCGGGCGGGCAAGTCCCCTCGCACGTGGCTCTCGTCGTGGACTTCCATGCGAACGGGACGAAGCGCGTGGTGGCTCGAGGGCAGGGTGTACCTGTGGAAGGGCTTGGTGTTTGTTCTTGAAGATGTCTGGGTGGGGGTGGGCTTCGTGGGGTCGTAGGTGCTGTAGGCGAGTTTTTGGTCGTCTTGGACGGGGATGGAGAGGATGAGGGGGGTGTGGTCTGTTGATGTTGTTAGACATTTTGACAGAGGTGTGATGTGGGATATGGGTGAGAGAGGGAGGCATGTTACCTTTGTTGGTGCAGAAAAGAATGAGAGTCTTGTCGTTGAGAAACTTCATGTCGATAAGGGATCGCGTGCCGAGGTCGATGACGCACGTTTCCGCGGACTGGTTATCACTGATGCCGTTGGTGATCGCCATGTTGACCCGGAAGAGATGTACCTTGTGCGGTTCCTGCTGGGACGCGAGCGCCGTAAAGATTGTGCCTGTTCGCTTGTCGGCGCTGCACATCTTCACGTCCATCTTGGCAATGGGATATCCTCCAATGGCCAGCTTCAGGGGCGTGCCGAAGCGGACGCTGCGGCGCTTTGCCTCGGCGACGCTGCCGAAGATGCGGTTGGACCAGGTCGTGGCGTAGTTGACGAGGAAGTCGACGTGCGGGAGGGCCTTCATGCTGGGTTGGCCGGCCTCGTGCTTCTTGAGCTGCTTGTCGAGGACGTCGAGCAGCGAGGAGGGCCCGTCGTCGATGAAGGTCCAGTCCGAGGCGTAGTCGTCCTTGGTGACCTCGTCGAGGAAGATGTCGAGCGGGCTGTTGGTGAGGTAGCGCTCGATGTAGGTGAGCACTTTGGTGTGGTCCATCATGGCCTCCTTGTCGGTGAGCTCGTCGTTTGCGGTGCCGCCGCCGCCGGGCCCGCCGCCGGCGGCGAGCTGGTCGATCTGGAAGCGGAGCCAGGCGGAGAAGGCGGAGAAGTGCTGGAGCTCGTCCATGGTGTGGATGAGGACCTTGTGGCCGACGAGGGTGAGGCAGCTGACGATGTCGAGGACGCGGTTGAGGTGCGGGACGGAGAGGCCAATGTCCTCGCGGTCGCTGTGGAAGCGGGCGAGGCCGCGGAGGCGGCTGAGGATGATGGCGCAGCGCTCGAGGGCGGGGAGGAAGTGTTGGTGGACGAGGCTGCGGAGGCCTTCGAGGCCGGAGACGACGGCCTTGTCCCAGCGTTTGTGGCCCTTGTATGTGCTATCAGTATGTGCCCTCTCGAATATCAAGTAGTCTGTTTGCATACCCTTTCTGCTAGGCTGTCGACGAGCCATTCATGTACGACTGGGTAAGCATGGCCGGTTATCGCGGTGTGGAAGAGGGCAGAGACAATGTCACGGGGACCCTTTTCCATTCCCTCGAGATCGCCTTGGACGCTGCGGATGAATCGAGCCGGGAGCTCTCTTGCGTTCTTCCACTCTACCTGCATATGAAGCGATATCTGCTTCAGATACCGCAGCAAGGCTTGTAGTGTGGTGAGTTTGGAGGATAAGAGGGACAAGTTGATGGGGGAAAAGGAGAGAAAAGGCAGATCCATGGGGACGAGATGGAGCTCTGGGGGCTCATTTTGCGTTTCTGCGAAAATGAGCGCGCGGGTTGATACTTGCGGATGAGATGCGTGGTGTATCATGCGGGCCGTATCGGATGGACTCGATGCCAAAGAATCCAGTGCTGGCTGAGGGAATGTGCCGATGATGAAGGAGTCGTAGATGCTCAGCTGCAGCTTGCCGTCGCTGGTGCCCACGATCATGACATTGACCTGATTGTAGGTGTCCCGCTTTGGCGCGCGAAAGAGAAAGTCGATGCCGCTGCGGAGCGTGAAGACGGTGGCATCTTCGCTATTTCCAAAATGTGAGGGATGAACATCATGACAAGTGAGAGAGAGGGAAAACTCACCCTGCACCCGCACTGCTCATCGGCAAGGGACTGATCTTGGGCAACGCCGTCTCAACCTCCAGAAAGGTGAGTTCCTGGGGCAGGTCCAGCGGCACTTTGCCACCCTGCTGTTGCTCGGCCCATCCCTCGGTGACTTGGTCCGCGAGCTTGCTGGAGACGGCGTTGTATGACTTGGTCGCGATGATGGCGGTTGACCAGCCGATGTGCGTGATGGTTGCCTCAGCCTTGTCGCAGACGGGAATCTGATGGGCAGCCTTGTTGTTTTCCAGGCCCATCAGCCGCACCACGCCGTCGCTCCAGCCCAGAGCAAGGAACTGGCCTGGGGGACTTCTCAGCACCTATTTGAAATCTCAAGATCGTGGGGCCAGGTCTTATTTACCATCTGGTCTCCATGAGACCGAGCACACTTCGGGCGCCGCCTCGCCCGGAGCAGCAGCCTGATGGATCTTGGACACGATCTGATCCGGCGGTCGATAGATGAGCAAGTTCTTGTCGTCCTGGTCCCAGGTTGCCGCCAGGTCGAGCGTTGGACATCCCACGGGGAAGCGCCGCCCAGCGGGAGCTTTCGACTGCAGCTCCGTCTCGCTCAGCAGCTCCAGCTCTATCGCCATTGTTGCCGGCTTTCAAGTGCTTTCCGGAATGGCAAGCATTTACTACCTTCCTTTTCTATGCCGGATGTGAAAGAGAGAACTGCAGAATCCAGGGCATGGCTGCCGATGTCGAGACGTTGAAGGGAAGAAGCTCTGACGATGCCATCGTGAAGGTGCGGGTCTCGACGCGCTGTGGTTTGTGGAATGAGACATCATGAAGTCCATGTCGCATATAAGTTGATGCAATAGAGTTCCAAGCACATACGACCATAGGTAGTGGAAAACTCGGGGTCCCGTCCGCTCCCCCATAGATAAGCCACTAACCGGCAGATTAGTAGTTGGGTGGGTGACCACCAGCGAACACCGGCTGTTGTATGTTTTTATTTTTTGCTCCTTTTTCCTTTTTTTGGGAAGTGGCTTGCAAGCAACCCAACTTGGCTATTCAGCATCACTACTACCAGCTGTCGTGTTCTTTTCTGGAGTTGGGTGATGTTGTTTGAGGTCGTTGCGATAGTTCCCTCATCCTCACTGCTGTCAGGCAGGGGTACCCATTTTCCAGGAAGTATGATGGGGGAGAAACGCGTGTTGGACGTGGGAGGTAGGGAGGTTGTAGGGTTTTTGGCTAGTGCCGCGGCTTTCTTGGTGGGCGTGTTTGGTAGGTAGGTAGTTCATCAATACAGAGTATGAGACTTCTCTTGTTAAAGCATATAATACTAGATATATATCCTGAGAGTAGAAAAGATATAAATTATTTCTGATAATTACCTAGTATAGTACCGGTAGAAGTAGCAATAGAAAAGATGCAGATAGATTTACCAGGAAGCTGGATAGCCAACTTGAGGAGTTCGTCAAAGTACGCACCCCGAAAGAGCTTGTCGAACTCAAGACATGACTACAATTGCTTGTACGGAGCCGTTGAATTAGACTTTGTAGATTCTGAATTCGTCACTTCTCTTTGAAGATTCTCTTAAGAACTTGCTGTGTGCTCATTGCTGTTCTAGTGTATAATGATATCTGTCTAGGCTGTCAAGGAGCCGACAAAGCTCTGCTCTCTCCTGATTTGCTGCAAAGAGATCGGCCGGAGCACTGTCTCTGATAGCTTCAAGCTGACAATTGCATCAGCAATTGACGTGACGTGCTCGTTGACCGTCTCATATACCACATCAATGCCACTAGGACATCCACGACGGCGGCTTACAACCCCCTCCCACGCCTCGATCACTCGAGGCTGTATACTCATACACCATGTTGCTCGCCAAGTAACAACAGACTGCCGCAAATGGCCAGGGATAAACTCATACTTGAATAAGGTTGCCAGCCCCTCTCGTCCATAACATATCTCCATCATCTTGAGCTTGGGCATGTAACGAGCTGCAGATGCTGCTGCTTGAAGGAGATCCATCATCTGCGTAGGACATGTTGTGGGTGCCAGAAGCTGTGAAGTAAGGGTGAGATGGCTTAGGTTTGGTCATGTTGAAAATTCTTCAGAGAAAAACTCTGCAGCATCTACCATGAATGACACTGAGAGCACTTCTACGCCGAGATTCACTCGGGCCAGCTTCTGACTGAGTTGCATAGTGGGAGCACGGGCTGGCGAGGCTTCTCCTATAAAGTAGAGCGGGTAGTGTTGGTTGGAGTTTTCAAAGATTGTTAATTTGCTCAGCCCTTCGGTAGCCGCAAGAAGATGAAGCATCGCTGTGAAAATGTTAGTAGCCGGCAAACCTCTGTGATGAATTACTCACAGTGTTGCCAGGTCTCGTGCATCTCGGCAATCCACTGCATCCACATCTCATAGTGGAACTCACGTAGACCAGGAAGGTGGGAAAGAATCTGGGAGATTGTAGATGCATCCCAGCGGCGATAAGTCTGTAGCCTCATTTCAAGGCGTGTCACGGCCGGAACCTTTGGTGCCTGCGCCCAACACTTTCGTTCATCCTTGATGAGAGGCCAAACGTGTCCAAAGAGACGATCGAGACTTGCTTTTGGTGGAATAGACCCCAATGCAGTCGTTTCCCATTGGTGCTTGTCGGGCTCGTCGCTTTCGGCCATCGACATCGGCTCGACCTGGTGGCCCGCAGTGTCGGGCATAAAGGTCAGGTACTTGAATGCGTGCTCGTTATCGCTCTTCGAGTACAGGCTGATGTCGAGGGTCAGGCTCCTATTCGGCTCCCACGTGTTCAAAGCTGTGAATAGCGATTGGAACGATGCCAGGATGAGCTTGTTGTCGCTATGGCTTGTCTGCACTGCTATAGAACTAATGGAATCACACTTGCGGCAGTCGTATTGCTCAAGCTCTATACAGAACCATATATAACGCACATGATCCCGGTTGCGCTGCGTCATGGCGTTGAGTTGGGCAATGCGCTTGGGCGTCACTCGTATATATGCAAAGATGTGTGGCTCGATAACAGCCTGCCACTCCCGTGACACGAGAGCAGCGTTGGATAATCTGCAGTTTTTGTCTTCTGTAAGGGCTTCGAGGATCGTGTGTCTGATTTCAGGAGGGAATTGAGACCAAATCATCTTGACGTAGGTCGATAGAGTGTGAATGAGCTGGGACGGCTGAGTCTGTCCTATGTTTATTGGCAGTAAAGGGTAGTCTGCTTCTTATAGATTCTTCTTGTGCGCGTCGTGCTTTTGTCGGAGAGAAGTGGAAACCTTCATGTTGTCAAGGTTACGAGGGGGCTGATAACTTGCGATTTTTGCCTCCCTCCAAAACCTTATCATATAGCGCCTTTGGTTCAGTCTGGGTAGGTTGCTGCCTTGGAAGTATAATTTCGATGGGGAAGGTCTCATCATGTGGCATTGAGCACAAGTAAAGGTATTCCTACTCCGTCAACAAGACTCGGAGCGGACCTTGTGATGTTCTCTTTGGATCTCATTTGGCATGATATATATGTAGTACACCTTATGCCGCAGCTTACAGTCGATAGGGGCCAAAGTCCGTATATCCCACGCCCTTGACAAAGGTCTGCAACCATGGACCCTGCGTCTTTGCCTCGGCGAGCTCGCAGAAGAGCTTCGCATGTGCCTCTCCATCGATCTTGAAAGCGGCCGAGCCATCTGCCTTTCGTTCGTCAACATAGTAAAATCTACGCACATTGTCAGTCATGTCCATGCAAGGCACATCAAAGAACAGTCAAAAAATTGCATACTTGTAGCCTTTCTCGTTGTATTCAGCGGCTGCAGCCATCATCATGTGCGCAGATGCCGACTTGCCAGCGCCGGACTCCAGGAACTGCGGGAGCGGCCTGACGTTCAGGATGTTGCCCGTAAAGGCGAAGACCCTTGGCGCATCGGCGGGGAGCTCCGCGAAGCCGAGGACGGCTTGCTGGGCAGCGACAAAAACACTAGTATTGTTGACGGTCATGTCTCGTTTGAAAGCGTCCAACGGGATCGCAAACGGGTCGTTTGGGTGGGAGAATGTCGCTGCGCCGGCTACGAAGTCGCTCAGCAGGCGTTCAGTGAGTGTCCCTTTGGTGCTAAGACATACATACCGTTGTAGATGACTACGCTGGGGATTCCCAGCTCCCTCTTCACCTTTACAAAGGCATTGAAAACATCGTCGGGGTTGGCAAAGTCGCTTTTGATGTTGAGCTGACTGTCTGTGCTGTCTGCCTCGTTGAGTGACCGGGCTGCGACTGCAACCTTGTAGCCCTTTGAAGCAAAGGCCTTGGCAGTTGGCAGGCCAACTCTGGGCCCTGCACCGAGGATGAGGACGACGGGAGCTATTCCGGGCATGGCTTGCGATGTATGGGACAAGTAAGACTGTGTGCAATCAAGTAACAAACTGGGGAGCCTTTATCTGCTTTATACACGCTTCCATATCTTCTCATCGAGGAGGTAAAGAAGGGCATAGGCATTACCAATATCCAGTTGGTCAAGTGATCCGGGGCGGCGACATTTCTCCTAATATTGTTTGTGATGGAAGCCATCGCGCAGCCGGACCAAGCCCGGGTGCCTATTGGGGGTATTCCGTGATGAGTGGGTTATGGGCGGTGACCCGGACCCGGAGCGGACCCTTCGGATGGTCCGAAGTCGAATATTATTCATCACGTACAATCCCGCCGTTGCCAAAGTAGGAGTGGGCTCTTCGACCAATTTGCTGCTCAGATATCCTATCGGTGCTTCGTGGCCATTATTCATTATTCACTTGTACCTTTTATATTGCAATTGTCATTGAAGCTACACCAAGTTGCTCGTTTCACTCTTTGCAAAAAAAGGTTTTGCGCGGGGCGTGCCATCGCGATTTGGCTTAGAGATCATCATTGCTCTGTCTACGAATCCTCCGCTCCGGCTGACTTTCTTGCCTTGTAGTTCCGTAAGCTTGCATATTCCCTATCCCCAGCTACTTCGGCGCATCAAGCTCAGTGGAAATGTCGTGTAGTATCGTCAAGGTTTAGTAGCTTGCTACTCCTTCGTGATGAGTGGTGAATCGGGTAGAACTATAAAAGGAGACCAGAAGCCCGTGATGCTGGGTCTATCTTATGTTTCATCCTCCACTGCATCTTTCATCATCAGCCAAGATTCAATCAGTTCGCCAGTTCTTCAGCAGACAATCAATAATTGAATAACCGAATACACCCTTATCAAAATGACGGAAATGAAGCCGATCAAGGTGTATGGAATCCACGGGCCCAACGCCGGTAAAGTTCTTCTCCTCTGCGAGGAGCTAGGGCTGCCCTACGAGACCGAAGTGATCCCACTCACCGACGTCAAGAATCCCCAGTACCTCGCCATCAACCCGAACGGGCGGCTGCCGTCCATCCACGACCCAAACACGGACCTCACGCTGTGGGAATCGGGCGCCATCATCGAGTACCTGACGGAGAAGTACGACAAGGACCACAAGCTTAGCTTCGTGCTGGGCACAGCTGAGGCATACCACGCTCGTCAGTGGCTCTTCTTCCAGACCACCGGCCAGGGACCGTACTACGGGCAGGCGATGTGGTTCATCATCTACCAGCCGCTTCCCGAGGCGCGCGAGCGCTACGTCAAGGAGGTCAACCGCGTGACTGGGGTGCTGGAGGGGCACTTGGCGAAGCAGAAGCCTGACGCGGATGGCAACTCCTGGTTCGTGGGTGGCCGCCTCTCCTACGTGGACATTGCCTTTTTTACGTGGCAGCACACGGCCGAGCCGCGAATTCCGAACGAGGAGTTTAACCAGGATGATTATCCGCACGTCAAGAAGTGGCTTGACAACATGCTTACGCGCCCGAAGGTGAAGAAGATCCTGAAGATCCAAGAAGCCAAATAGACTGTGGCGGGGGGCATCTGTCTTGCACAGCCGAGTCACCGGTGTGAGGGTGGGTGGAGATAGAGACGGATTATGGTAAAGATAGGTCGATGAAAAAATGCTCTTGCCTTGTGCGCCTCCTTGCCTGACCTCATGTGTGATTATGCTCAGATCATCAGATGAAGGACACTGGAGAGCTTGAACTGAAAAGTTCAACAGCCTCTTTTGCTTCGAGGTTTAAGCTGTTGCAAGTGCGACGCATTCGCACCAGTTGCTCGGACTGTGAGAGCGTGCTTGGATCCCTGGCAAGTGTCTCCAAGAGGCGTAGAAATGGCTCGACGAGGTCAAGATCTGAAGCCGCGTTTGGCGACATGGGATTTCGTGTCAGATGATAGAGCATGCTGCTGGCTGCAGCGTAGAAAGCGGGGAGAAGCATCCTATAGTTGAGTCAGAAAAAGAATTCACCAAGATTCTGCTTCTTTAGACATCATTTACCAGACACAGGCGCAGTCCCCTTGAGGGATGGCTTCAACGAGGCGGATCGCTTTGCGTGCCTCAGTGACGCATAGACTGCCTGGAGGCGATATCGACGATTCAGACCGGCTGAGCTCTTGGCCGGAGGACGTTTGCGCCGCCTGGGGCAGATGGCGATCAATCATTGTAAGGCAATGGATATATGTGAGTCGTAGAACCACCTTGTGGATCATCTGGCCTGATAGTGGGTGCCCTGACAATATCATGGTGTCCTCAGGCATTTCCAGCTGCGCGCTGGACTTCCAGTACGATAATAGAGAACTCAACTCTTGTGCCGCAATCACTCTCTGTGTCGCCGTTTGTCGTCCAGCCCGTACCGAGTACAACTGTTTATAGATCTGCCCCTGAACAAGCGCGAGCCCTATGCGGCGGTTGAAGAGGTCCAGATTGTCTTCCTCAAGACTTGCGTTTGATGGTAGACGTACATCCATTTCATCATCGTCTTGACCAAACGGTCGGCCCGTCCGCAGACTGATATCCTTGTCCAGAATATATACCTTCCAAAACACCCGCCTCCGCTTCTCGGCTTCCGATTCCGTGAGTCCTGGGCGGGAACATTCTCTGTGCAGATTCATAGCTTGCGCCAAGCGTAGCGCGGCGGCAACGAGCATCGCGGCTGGCTCTGGATCCGGTGTGCCTTGAAGAATGCAAGCCATGCCCGCCAGAGCCTGGACAGCAGAGAGGCTCCGGTCAGAGACGTTGAGCTCGGAGACGACGCTCAGGGCGTTTTGTACGTAACCATACGCTAGATTATGGTCCTGCGTCGGGTCTGCTGCGCGTATGGAGCGGAGACGATGAGCTATCGACAGCACAACATTGAGGCATGCCCACCAACCAGCGTCTCGAGGATTGGAAGTCTCATACTTGAGGTGAAACTCTCCCAAGAAGTCCTCTTCATCGAACAGTGGAAGGAACCTATTATAGTTGCTGAACATGTCCTCAACCAACTCTAGAGCGACTGCCTTTGTCGGAAGCTGCTGGCGCGCTGGCAGAGAAAGTGGGCGCAACTCTGGAGCGGGATGAGGCCACATACGGTCAGTTAGATGACCTCCAGGTGTAGACAGATCGGTCTTATTGTGGTCATCTCCCCGAAATGGACGTAATGCTGCGGGTGTCGTCTGCTCGTTACGCCAATTGATGTCCGGTATAGCTGGGTTTCCCAATGACCTGTCTCCAAGTAGAGTCTCTACCCCTAAAAGTCTCCTCTCGAGCTGTGCAATGTATCTGAAGCTGTGAAACATTCAGCAAAGGCAGACTCCACGGGCTAGAGTAAGAGCATAGGACTGACCCAGCTGGTCTGCGAGGCTTCCTCTTCGTGGCGATCGGCGTAAAGTGACATCTTGTGCCATATTTGGTGCATGGACCGCATCCTTGCGAAGTAGGCTCGCAGCGGATCTTTTTCTTCCGGCACATGTCGCAAGCCTTGCATGAGAGTGTCAACAGGCGCGGAATAACATTGAATATTCGATTTAACTCACTCGGACGACGACTGGCCGCCCCTCTTGCTGAACAATTGGCTGGGCCCTGAAATCCGTTGATGACTCCATGACCTCTGTTCAAGTGTCACTCCAGATTGAGAGGATGTAAGGTGAGGATTCCAAGAAGCCTAAGCCTAATTGCTTCGCTGCTCAAGCGACTTCTAAGAACCAGAGGGAATAGCCTTTTGCAGAAGGGCATTTGACCTGTTCCGGCGTTTCATCATCTGTCTCAGTATCATGAGACAAGAGGTAGATTATAAATCAGGATCCTTCCGTATGGCGCCTCCTGCGGATACGGATCCTTAGCTCACCGGGAGGAGAGCCTGGGCGGAAAGCCACCTTTATTAGCACACGGAGTTGCAGGCTCACAAGAACACACCATTGGAAACAAAACGGAGGTGGGGGTTCATGTAAGGATTTATGGACGGGCAATTACATATGAATATGAATACGAAAGGGACATCTAATCATTTCGCAACGAGCAGTGGGAGGCGGACCTTGGGCTGCGCTGTCCGTCTTACGGTTTTATACAGGCAACAGACGCGAAAAGCCCGAGTGCTATCCCTGGACAAGGAGGAGAGGCAGCGATCAGCGACAGGGTAGACAAATAAACAAATTAAGCTTGAAGTTATAAACACCGAGAGGACCTCACGATGGACCAATTACGAGGTGTTTCGTTTCTTTGCCTTCCCTCAGAAGTTTGCTCGGTATCGTTCTGAAAAGCAGCAGGCTTTTCCTGGTAGACAATTGACTCTCGCCATCAGCAGCAGCAACAGCGTGAAGAAACGACTCCGTCTATATCCTCGCCGCAATGCCGTCTCTTTTGAGGCTTTCGGCTTTCCTGCTGCTTGCTGGTAGTGTCGCCATCAGCAGCAACCTCCCCGACGGCGTCATACGCGTCCCTCTGCCGCGCATCATGAACCAGTCATTCTACGGCATGGAGTTTGAAGTTGGCAACCCTCCTCAGCGATCATGGCTCAAAATCGATACCGGCAGCCCCACGATCGGCTTCATATCGCCTCGCAGCAACTTGTGCCTCCGAGCGGATGCCCCGTGCGAAGCCCTGGGCACGTACGACAACCTCACCTCGTCCACAGCCGCCGTGGCTTTCCCGGACGGCAGCTACCCCAACTACAGCGACGGCCTGCTTGACAGCGGAAGGGGCATCCTCATCAACGACACGGTGCGGTTCTCGGGCGTGACTGTTGACGACTTCATTCTCGGCTCCACGGACAGTTTCAACCTCGATGTCAAGCTGACGCAGGTGAACCCATTTGCGGGCATCATGGGCCTGAGCGCCATTTGCTTCGACCCCTCGTGCGCCGTTTACCTGACCTTGGTTCAGCAGCTGGCGGACCGGGGCATCATAAAGACTCGCGCCTTCAGCATCTACCTGGCCGAGGACAAGCCGGACGCCGTGGGCCATTTTCTCATCGGCGGCGTGGATGAGGCCAAGCGCGAGGGTCCTGTCTTCACACAGAAGCTGGACACTCCGTGGGGGATGGAGTACTCGTCCTTTACGCTGAACAAGTCTGGCGAGAAGACTGTCTGGCCCATTGGACCTGGCAACGAGACCGATTGGGATACGGGTGCGAGTTATTGGGGCCTTCCCACGGACGTGTTCAATGCTGTTGCTGCTGAGCTCGGGCTGCCTGAGGACATTAGCACGACAGAGAATCCGTACGAGGTGGACTGCAAGTACCGCGACCTTGCTGACTCGGTTCTTGAGGTTGGATTTGTTAAAATATATGTTTATTAACCTTAATCCCTTCTATCTAGATAGTAGCATATTAGCTTTTACTTATACTTATAGTTAGATTAACCCCCTGTTACCTTTATATAAATACTTCTTATATTAGTGCCCCTATTTTTAACACTCCTACTTAATAATATAGGAAGTTAAAGTCCTAGTCTTAAGACCTGCTCTTACTTTCCCTATATATTAAGTATAAGGCCTAGAACCTACTCTTACTAACTTTAAATACTAATTTCTTTTAGGTATATACTAGACTAACTACTTAGTATAGTTAATAATATAGTATTTTAGATTTCTTTACTAGCAGCTTATATATTAGTAATTCTCCTTAAGCTAAGGGCTTTATAAAACTTATAAAATTAATCTTTTTTTAGCAGCTTAGTTAATCTATTTATTATTATCTTATTTATTAAAATATATTTTAATTTAACCTCTCTTTTCTTAACCTTTTTATATATAAAATAGTATTAAGTCTTAATATACTTTAATCCTTTATAGTTAATTAGGTTCTTTACTAAGGCAATTACTTTTTAGTTATTATAATAAATAACTACTACACTTAAAGACTTAGCTGCTTTATCTTAATCCCCTTAAAAATTAGTTTATAATTTTATAAAGAGTTTTTATAATTAAATAGCTTTTTTAATAGTATTAGTTTAAGCTATATACTTAGCTTTATAGCTTAATAGTGCTATTATTACCTGCCTTTTTAATAACTAGCTTATCTTACTGCTTTTAATATTAAATATATAACTAAAAGTTAATTAGTAAGTGTTTAAGTTACTAGCCTAGTTTAAGTTATTATATCCTTATAAAGGCTGCAGGTCTTTTATAAAAATAAGGCATATACCCTCTATTTCTTAAATATAATATATAATATATTTAATAGCTTATTTATATATATTATCTAGGTTATTTAAGTATTTATTAATAATAAATACTATATAAGTAAGATCTAGTTTTATTTTTAGCATTAGGTATATTAATAACCTTATAGCTAATTAGTATTCTTTTTACTTATTAGGCTAATTAAAGTAGTCTTTCTCTGCCTTTTATAGTTATTTTTTAACTATAAGTATTAAGGCTAGGGTATAGTTAGTTATATAAAATTAATAAAGGATTTTCTAAATATAGCCTTATTAATTAAGTATAATTATCTTTACTAGCTAATTTTAATAAATTTAAATTCCTAGATAGTAATAGTAAGGCCTTAAATTTATTATTAAAAAGTATTAGTATAAAGCTTCTTTTAGTCTTATAATCTTATCCTTATTCTTTTTAATTAAAAGCAGATTATTTATATAAATTATAATAAAAATACTATCCTTAATATATAAACTGCTATTTAAGGTAATAAGATAAAAACTAAGTATTAAAAGGAACTTTATAAAGGTTTTATACTAGACTCTTAAAGCTTATTTAAGTTATAAAGGGCCTTATTTAACTTATATACTTTTATTCTCTTATTAAAGCTAGTTAGTTATTTAATATAAATATCCTCTTTTACTTTTTTATAAAAAAAGGCTATTTTAATATTTATTTACTTTAATTCTAAGTTTAAGGCAGTAATAATAGTAAATAAGGCCTTATATATTATTAATTTAATTATTAAGGTAAAGGTCTTTAAGTAATTTACTTTAGTAATTTATTTAAAACCTTTAATAACTTATTTTACTTTATATTTTATAACTTAGTTATTTAAACCTCTTTTTAACTTATATACTTATTTTCCTTTTAAAATATTTATACTTAGGTTAAGATTAACTAAATCCTAGGTTTTATTATCTTTAAGGGCTTATAGCTTTTCTCTTATCTTTTTATACTACTTATTATAAAAGAAGCTATACTTTGCTTTTTTAAAGGATTAAGGTTTAATATTATTAATCTAGGCTTTAGCTAATATAGTAAGTATAAGGATATTATAAAGTAATACTTAACTTTATAAAAGATACTATAACTCTAGATATCCTAGGACTTTATTAAACCTTAAGCATTTTAAGTTAAGGTTAAGAGTTAGTAGTTATAAAAAGATTACTTTAATTATTAACTATATAAAGCTTAACTTATAATATTACTTTTTAATAGCTTATTAATTAGTTTATATCTTTATAAACCTTATACTAATAGCTAATATTAACTTCTAGGTAATTTTTAACTTAAAATATATATTTAATAAGCTTATTACTCTTTTAGCTAGTATAAGCAGGCAGTATATACTATTATTAATAAAGCCTAGTAAAATATACTTAATTCCTTTCTTATTAAGCTTCTTCTATTATGCTTATAGTATTAAATACTAAGCTACTATACTAATTACCTTAATATTAAATATATTTAGTCTTTAGCTAAATATATATTTAAATAGCGTTTTTTTTAAAGCTTTATATAGGCTTTTATTTTATAAGTAGTTAATAGTTTTTAGCACTTTTAATTAATATTTCTATAGTATATTTCCCTTTATTATTATTAATAATAGCTTATTATAAATAGTAATATTAAAGTTTTTAGTAATCTTATTTAACTAGTATTACTTTATTAATAATATTTTTAAAATAATTCTTTATTAAGTAGCCTAGTTATTAAATATATAGCTATTAAACTCCTTTACTTTATTAAGGTATATAATTTTATAGTATTATTATTATAGCTCTTTTTTTTTTAAAGTACTAGATAAAGAACTAGATAAACTTTTAAGTATTTTATTTATTCTTAATTACCTTACTTTTACTAAAGTAATTATAGCTATTAACTAAAGTAATTTAGTATCTTTCTTTATTATAGCTATTAATATAAAATAGGCTATAAATATTAATATATATTATATCTCTTATATATTTAGCTTATTAAAGTTATTATTTATATAGCTTTTTATATATATAGCTATAAAGATATACTTTATATAAGTAATATTTTTATATAGTGTTTAAATTATTAACTATTTCTTTAAGTTTAATAAGGTTATTATTATTAAAATATTCTATTTATTTATACTATAGTTATATCTAAGGGTTAACTATATATAAGATAAGTATTTAAATATATACTTTATTTATTAATATTATAAATATATAAAATACTAAAGCCTAAATAAAAATTATATTTATTTATAAAATAAAAAGTTTTTTAAATCTTTTTATTATAATCTTAATATTTTGTTTTTAATAGTCTAGCTATTTTAGGCTATTAATATTATCCCCTTTAAATTAAAAAGCTAGGTTATTAAAATTAAGTTAAGGCTAAGACTAAAAGTAAATAAGATATTAAAGCATATAGCTATAATAAAGATATTCTTATTAGTATAGTATTTAACTACTATACTTACTTCTTTAACCTTAATTTTTAAATTACTAATACTATTTAAAATCCTTAAGTATAGCTATAAGGATTTTAAGATAAATTCTTCTTATTAATAAGTAATATACTATTTATACCTTAAGTTAAGAATCTAGACTGCTTAAAGGCTATATTATACTATTTTACTTAACTTAAGGGGAAGCTTTAAGAGGAGCTTTTTAAAATATTATAAAAAAGTCTTTAGCTTTTATTTCTGCTAATATAAGAGCTATTATTTAAAAAGCTAAAGTTTAAGGAGTTAATAATTTCTTATTTAGTTATTTTATAATTAGTAAGTAATAAGGCTATTCTTTTTAATCTTCTTACTTCTTTTTTTTTTTTAAATAAAAATCCTAGCAGCCCTTTTTTATATAGTATGTCTTACTATAGTATATATATTTTAAGATTCTTATAAATATTAAGTCTTTTTTATTATTAATTAATATACTTTTCTTATATATTATTAGCGCTTATATATTTATTATACTACTTTTTTATTTAACCTCCTTAACTTCTGCACTTTATATTATACTATTTAGTATAAGAAATATCTTAATACTATAGCTTAACTAAAAGTTAATATACTAGATAAAATATTAATTACTTAGGCTATTAATAAATTTAAGTATAAGGTAGCTGTTAAGTAACTTATACTTAGTCTTAGATTAAAAGAACCTCTTTTATACTATCTTAATCTTTTAAGTAAAGTTATAAACTAACTTAAAGGTAGTAAAGCTATAGTCTTTTTATTCTTTATATACTAACTATAAGGCTTTAAGGCTAGATTTTTAAAATTCCTCCTTTACTTACTAAAATACTTACTTTATAGTCTTTTCTTTAATTATTATCTTACTTAATAAAATTAATAATATAGTTTTAAGTATATTAATATATTATTATTACTTACTTTTTTAAGCATTTAGTTAAGTTAATAGTATCTTATCCTTAATATTATAAATATTTAATAAGTTATTTACTTTTATAAGGTTTATAACTAGCTTAAGTTAATAATCTTAGACTAAGAAGTCCTTTTATTTTTTTAATAATAGTAGTAAATAAAGGCTTAGTATATTTATAACTATTAGCTTAATCTTAAATCTGCTAGGTTTTATATATCCTTTAGCTATAATACTAGGCTAGCTTTATTATTATACTATATTATATATTAAGTATTAAATCTAAGATTAAAAAAAGAGGAGTAATAATAATAATAATAGTATATAAACTTTATAGCTAAAGATATTAATATTACTAAGTAGTAAAGGAATATTAAAAGTTATATTATCTTTAAGGTCTTTATTTATTTAATTAAAGAAATCCTTTATTTTAAACTAATCTTTATCTTTTTATATCTTTTAGTAGTCTTCTTAATACTATTAATAAAGGCCTAGACTAGTAATTAAGTTATTTAATAATACTATTCTTATTTAATATAATTCTAGCTTATTTAGGTTATAATCCCTAGCTATTTTTTAATATTTTCTTAGTCTAGTAATTTCCCTTTAAGATATAGCAGGTTTAGTAAGATTAGTTCTAATAGTGACTTAAGGTATTAATACTTATTATTTATTTATAATTTAGCAGGAAGCTAGGCTTATAACCTATTAAAATATATATTTATTAACCTTAATCCCTTTTATCTAGATAGTGGCATATTAGCTTCTACTTATGCTTATAGTTAGATTAACCCCCTGTTGCCTTTATACAGATACTTCCTATGTTAGTGCCCCTATTTTCAACAGGATTCCCAAACAACGGCACCATCAAGATCCCCGTTGGTCGGCTGGTGACGAAGCTTGACTCAGGCAAGTGTGTTACCTTTGCGCTGAATGGAGTTGGAGGCCCTGGATACGCGCCTGTTGCGACGGTGTTTGGCCAGCCTTTCTTGCGGAGCATTTATGCGACGTATAATCTGGATACGCTGGAGGTGTCGTATAGCCAGGTCAAGTATACCGATGAGGAGCGGATTGTGGCAATTGCGCCGGCGAAACGATAGCCAAGAGGATTTGATGATTTTCAGCAACTAGACTTACCTTAATGTTAATACCTTTATCAGTGATTGAATAACAATGCTATACTCCATATTTCGTACGCACTTGGTAAACTTGAATGAAAGTGGCTTGCATATATGCGCGGCGCACTTCGGCCCTTCTTCAAGACGGTATGTTGGAAGACTGTAGATGTACTGTGACTTTAATGTCTGTTGGCTCTGAATCATCTCGACATAGATAACGTGCAATCGAGCATCCAACAACCAGATTACGCTGCAGAGCTGTTAGGCTTGTCTGGTGCCGCTGTCAGCATGCGTTTGGGGGAGGCTAACGAACCCGCACTGTTGAGAGCTGGGGTTCCGTCCAAGCTGAATCCTTCATGAGGAATCATGAAGAGGGGTTCACAAGCTGAATCCTGCCAAGATCTCATCAAGAGGGGTACATGTAGGAAACTATTTTAATAACACTCACTCCATCGTCACACAGGTCCGTTCAAGCCATCATTTACAGAATATCAGCGGATTTCAGCGCCAAGATTCGCCATGAGCCCCATACTGAGCGTGTCGACAAAGATTGAGATTGCGGCGTCTCCAGCTGTTGTTCGATCAGTGGTATGTGCGTTGACGCCGAATACAGGCCTTTCTATGTTCCCATGGCAAGCTTCACGATTGAGTGCTTAAAACACTGAGATCGGACTCACAGTTCTTAGACTTTGCTCGATACACACAATGGCAGCCTGGCTGGATCATTCAGCCCGCTGATGCTAGCAAACAGCCGCTCGATCTGAAGGCGGGGGACAATCTCAAAGTCAACATGAACGGGGCCGTTCACAATCCCGTCGTAGTGGTAGGTTTCAATCTGCAACTCCCTCATTAGCCTTGATTCATGAGAAAACAGTATGCTGAAATGAATCGGAAAAGGAAAACTCGCCTGAATCGTTCCAGTGGGAAGGGTCACTCTTCGGCCTTGCAAAAGGCGTCCACCAGTTCCACTTCACGCCTAGCGAGACGAATCCGGGAAGCACCACGTTTACTCAGGGTGAGGACTTTCGGGGACTACTGATTACGCTTTCTTCGCCTTGGTGGAATGGGAGGAAGTTTGACATGGGGCCCTGGGATAAGTTCAATGCGGACCTGAAGAATGAGGTGGAGAAGTCTTCGAAGTAGGACTTAAGAGTCTCGTTCTGGTTATGGAAGAGTGACTGTTCTGATGAGAGAGTGACTCTTGACTAATGTAGAACGGATTATTACCATAGCAATAAGTCTGTGGTGATCTAGAGACGCATTTGCCAGCTAATATGGCCCTTAGAGTATTCTCAGTAGAGCTTTTCCATTATTGATATTGTTTGTAGTTATCGTTGCTTGTATGAGCAAGTCCCGACCCAGTCGCTCCTTCATACGATTAGGTTGCTCTCTGAAGCTGCGGTCTATAGAAACGCCGATTCGCAACCTCAAAGAGCTCCGTCTCTGCCGGCCTTTGAGAGAGCTGCTCCTGTGCCTATTCTTAGTTACTTAGTCATCGACACCACTCGCAGGAAACATATTGACTGCAGCTGATGACCGATAGATCAGTGGGTGTAGAGCTCCCACTTTGATAGACGAGCCTATCAACGTCGACAAAATGTCAGGAAATGAAGAGAATGGTGAGAGAGGAGATGGCGGCTCATCAACCTGGCTTTGTTCTGCTCCTCAGCTCGTCCACCCACCGGTCTCGAAATCGAGCCAGTTCTTCCTGTAGTTCAGCCTCTTTCTTTTCCCGTCTTCTGATGGCCGCCTTTTGGGTGTGCGTCAGTGGTATGGGAGGCAGCGGCGCCCGGGCAATTGCCTCGAAGACGGGCACCCACGCTGGGATATCCTTCAACTCTCGCCGTGCATCGCGCACAGCAATCATGAGTAGAGCCCGGAGCACAAAGTGCGCGTCGTTTCCTGCGAAGTGGAGTAGTTCGCCTGCAAAGGGGATGTCAAAGTCTCGGAGGAGCTTCTTGAGCGTGGAATCGTGAAGTTCCTGAAGTGGATAGCGAGCAGCTTTTGTCGTGTCAATCTCGAAGATTGGATTGAGATTGATATTGAGTTTTCGGAGGATAATCCTTTCTCGTGAGATTCCGTGGACGACAAGGACTAATGGATGAAATGGCTTGAGAAGCTTCTTCAAGCGCTCCTCGAGACTGGAGAGCGGAATGCATTGATGCTTACCGAAGCAGAAGCGATTGTCATTTTTGTCGAAGTATTGGAAATCCTGGACAGCCCAGTGGTAAGACCGTATAATATTTGCTTGGAAATCTGTGAGGGGCAAAGGAGCGTGACAGAGATTATGCAGGTCCTTGGTGTGTAAGATTGAGATGCCAATGTGGAATTTGGTCGGCATACCGTCCTGTTCCTGAAGCTCATCGATATCAATAGCTACAAAGGTTATGTCTCTGAATCGCGTTTTCGGCTTCTGGGGTCGCCAGGTAGAGGCTGTGTGCGGCCAACATGGAGGTGTCTTCCAGCCAGGCAAATTTCGGCCGTCGTAGTATCCGAATAACCAGCGTAGAATCACGGTTCCCTCTCTCAGAAAGACCTGACGCTCAGGTTGGGCCGCCTGTTCCTCGTCCATGATTTTGACTGGCGCGGGCCTTTCGGAGGATACCTCGTTGTCTGACATTGCTGAGTTGATCCTGCCAGTCCCGGGAGTTCAAGTAAAGTCTCAATTTTTTGTGACAATCTTCGAACAATAGCTTCAAGACTCTCTTGACACCAGGCCGTTTGCCCAAGACTGTCGGGTTCTGGTCATCTGTTGGAACATGCAACTGAGGAGGTTTCCCCAACAGGGCGGCAGAGAGTGACGCACAGCCTGCGTCTGCTTGGTCCAGCCCGGGCTTAGTGCAATACTCCAGGTATTTGTAAAAAAGTACACCTTATGGAGCGATAATGCGTCAACAGATGTAAATTGAACGTGCAGTCATACAAGATCAGCTTACCAATGCGGACAACTAGAATCCTATATCTAATCTACAAGATGAAGCATTCTACAAGTTACTATCAGAAAGAAAAGCTGCGAATTCAGATGAAAAATCCCACAGCTTATTCATAGGGCAAAGACAGGGCGGATTGTCCTTGAGCTAGCCTCAACTGGAAATTCATTGTATCGCAGACTTGCCTCATCTGGAAAGTGTAGGCTAGCCTAGAGCGGAAATATGATTGAAGCCTGCTGTTCTTGATGTGGGTAAGACAGGGCGTTGAGGCCGAGTTCCTTCACGACGACTACCGTTGGATCACCAAAGCAGCAGTATTTGCTTAGGAAGAACGGCAAGGATGGGGGTTTGACAGGCTACAAAGCTACATTGCAGCCCAATTCCCGATACACTCGTGCAATAGTACAAGATGGGAATCATCATGTCAAGAAAGCAACGCCATCGTATTGATGAGACAGAGCCGAATTGCAATTGAGTCTTCCATTAACTTACTGCTATCATGAGGTCTGAATATCATTATTTATTCAGTAACTGTAGCTTCTAATGGACCTGAGCTGATATTCATCGATGAATGGATGTCCTAGGGGACCGGGGCGTGGGCTTTGACACCTTCCATGGCAGAACCAAAGCCTTTGATTCGATAACCTTGAAGTGCCGAGATGCCAGAACAAGCTAGTAGCTTACCTAGATTGTTTCCCAACGTTACTTCTATCCCAAGATATCATGATCCATGCTTAGCAGATCTGTTGACTAACTGTGACTCTTCGAGTTGTGACGATTGTCATCCGAGGATTCCGTTTCGAATATCGTTCTTCTGCTTACAATTCGATAGTAAAAGAAATAGACAAGCTGAATGTCTTTGTCCTGATATAAAGGTAGTGTTGTCTCCTGGCTCAAGCCATGTATCAGATTCGACATCAGTATCTTTATTATCTTGGTGCCAGGAGTGCACACGACATCATCACCTTCTCAATACTCAATTACAAACTCGTATCTGGCATCTCAAAGACATGTATGACTTGATTCGAGAGTCCGCGCTTGGCCAAGCCATTCGATTCGTCTCCGGAAAGAGATGGCTACTATATCCAGAAGAGAGACCGGATTTTGTACTACCACCCCAGTACGCAGAGCTCTTATCGAACAGCGAGAAGCACCATGAAGCAACTTCCGAACGGTCGAGCTCCAACGCAAATCAGAATTCCGGTGGCCCTTCATCCCCCACGGAATCCTCACAGACTGCCAATCAAGAGGAGGAGGACGAGGGCATGGCAAGATTGGGATCCGTGAAGAGCGTCCAAAGCGGTCCATACATCGACCAAGGAAGATTCGACCCTGAACAGCAGATCGAGTTGAAAGAGACAAAGAGCGTACCAATTGTGCCACAGAAGACGAACGATGGGGTCATTCTAGTTGATTGGTATACGACCGACGACCAAGAAAACCCTCGCAACTGGTCGTCGTTGAAGCGGGGCTATATTGTCTTCGTCATCTGCTTGTATACATGGGTCACGTACGTGGCCGGTTCCGTCTTTGCCTCTTCAGAACCTGGTATCGTCGACCACTTCCATGTCAGTGTCGAGGCTTCTGAGCTTGGACTTGCTTTATACGTGCTGGCCTACGGAGTAGGGCCGCTCATCTTTGGTCCTCTCACCGAGATCCCCGTCATCGGAAGGAATCCCGTCTACTACCTCACGTTCATCGTCTTCTTTGCGCTGTCATTTCCTGCAGCCACCACCAACAGCTTTGGCGGCCTCTTGGCTATCAGGTTCTTTGCTGGTTTCTTTGGCAGCGTTGGGATTGCCATTGGTGGTGCTTCCATTGGCGATGTCTTCACGCTCATCTACTTCCCCTACGGCCTTGGCTGGTGGGTGTTTTCGTTCTGGGCAGGTCCTGCTATCGGACCAACGTTTGCTGGATTTGCGGCCATGACAAAGGGCTGGAGGTGGCCTCTTTGGGAGGTTGCGTGGATTTGCGCAGTCATGGCCATATTCTTGCTGGCTCTCACTCCCGAGACTTCGTCGCCGAATATTCTGCTGAGACGTGCCCAACGTCTTCGAAAGCTCACTGGCGATGCACGCCTCCAGTCACAGAGCGAGATTGACCAGAGGCACATGACGGGCACTGCTGTGCTCATTGCTGCCTTGATCCGACCATTCGAAATCACCATCAAGGACCCGTCTATCTTCTTTGTCAACCTATACACAGCCTTGACATATGCAATCTACTTTACCTTCTTCGAGGTGTTCCCCCTTGTGTTCCCGCCTTTCTACGGCTTCAACCTTGGCCAAACCGGACTTGCGTTCCTGGCCTGTGAGGTTGGCTCGATTCTGGCGCTCATCCTCTACTTTGCCTACCTCTACTTCTACATGATTCCGGATAACCTCAAGAATGGATTCCGAGAGCAAGAGCACCGCCTGCTACCTGCAATTCTTGGCTCTTTTGTTCTTCCTGTCGGGTTATTCATTTTCGCCTGGACTGCAAGAGCCAGCATTCACTGGATCGTTCCACTGATTGGCGTGGCCATCTTTGTTCTCGGCCAGTACATGGTTATTCAGGGCCTCTTCATGTACGTGCCGGTTTCATACCCTCAATACGCGGCCTCCATCTTCACGGGCAATGATCTGATCAGATCTGCTGTTGCGTTTGGTTGTATCCTTGCGGCGAGGCCCATGTTTGTCAATCTGGGCGTTCACAAGGGCGTGACTGTGCTTGCTGGGCTGAGCATCATGGGAATCATTGGAACATTGCTCATGTACAAGTATGGCAAGGCTCTGCGGGCTAAGTCGAAGTTTGCGTCAGCTTAAGCCTCTGAACGACTATCAGACGGGAGCCTTTGTTGTTTGGTTATGAGCTTATCGGCCGTTGAACACTGGTTTTGATACTTCGAGTTTGATACTCGCAACATTTTGGATGTCATTTGACAGGATATAGGGTAATTGGTCATTTCCTCAACGGTTTCAAAATTTGTTCCATATTGGCTTTTATAGGATTGGTATAGATTGGATCGATATGAGAAGTGGCAGACTGTATAGAATAATTACACATAATTGATGAGAATTGAAATTCCATCAGGAAGATTGTAAGATTTTGAGCAGTTGTGATCAAGTGTACTGGGATGGTTCAGTCAACTAGGTATATGTACAATTGTAGCTCTTGACCTACCTTGGTAGTGAACATTGAGCCTGCTCACCAACGGTTGCTTGTATGAGTGGCTTTTGTAGCAGTGAACAAGAATGGATCATGTGTGAATGTTTCAGCGAGACTATACTCGTGAGGTCTATATCATGGATTCCCTAACCCCGAAGATGTGTGGAATGTCACTCACCATCTCCTCTGCTAACCCGTAAATCGTTTACGAACCGGCAATCAGCCCTGGCTCAGCACTGATCTCAGATACAAGTGAGACTAATATCAGTGAAAGAGCTACACTACTGCCACAATCATCAAGATCACCAAAGATGCCGTCTACTAATCGTCTTAGGCGCCACAAGCGAAAGAATGCATCTGGTGGTGCCAAATCTGTCGTTGAGAGGCAGCCGGTGCAGATAGACAACACGGAAGAGCCACACCTCTTTGATTTGCCCGATTCGCTAACAGTAGTTGACTTGAAGTCTCAGAGGACTATGAAGCAGGCTTGGAATTCCGTATCGACCCGAATCTCTCGGGACGCTCGAACATCTGGCGATCATCGAAAGGTCGAGCATCTCGCCGCAACGGAAACAAAACGCCAAAACAAAGACGCCCCAGAACCTAAAGGCAATGAGATCAAGAAGGGAGCCAGCCAAGGCAATCTGATGGCTGAGGACGGGCCTTGGAACAGTGTCTTACTGTCATCCGATGAGGAGAGGAGTGGATGGACCAAAATCAACCGGGATGACTGTGAGGCGGAGCAGCATGCGGTAAGTGACAATGGGAATGATGTCAGTCACGGAGATGCAGGTACCTGCACTGAGGACGGCTACGTCGACCTTGGTGAGGAGGACTGGGAACTTGACGATGAGTGGACGTCGGTGGATGTCTGAAGCCGGAAGCCGGAATAGCCGGGCCAGCCCCAGTATGTCAAATGGATAGAGACTAGGAGAGCAAGGATGTGATGGAGATGCGGGTGGTTAGTGTAGTTTCTGGGGAGCTCGTGTAAACTATCTGCCATGGCATTTGTTGGGGTCCTGCGGATAGCCTCTGAAAGGGTTGTTGATCAACCTGAGACCTGCAGGCATCGCGTCGCGAGGCTCGAGATAGTTCCTGCATAACAGCTGATTTGTCCTTTTACCGAATATGACAGCCCCTGGTTTTGTGATAGAAAAGCAACAGCGATGGTCCGAAGTAATTACGGAAAGATGCAGTAGTGTAGGCACTCAGCAGCCTACCAGCAATGGAGTTAGGTGAAAAGAAGTAAGATGACCTGGCTGACCTGAACTCTGTCTATCCGGCATGCATGACAAAAATCTATAGTCAATGATGGGATGGATCCCTCTGACCAAATCTGCATTTGCAGGTTTTTAAAATGCTGATGCTGCAGCAAACGCCCGCTTAGTTCTGCATGTGAGAACCGATGAGCGGAAGATGCCCAGATAGGTCGAAACGCCTCTTGAGCTTGGCATTATCAAATGCTTTCGCCGTAGTTGATCGACAGGAGGCTCGGGCCTCATCCATCCCTTCCTTCATCTAATGGCCTAGACTGAGATGTGATGCCAAAAAAAGAAACGTAAAGAGCCGGGGCGAAGAGCTCTGGCGAATTGACCAAGGCTCGGGAATCGTTTGGCGCGGCAGCCTCTTAGGACGATGACTTTTCGAAAAAGGCTTGGCCGTCCTACTATAGAAAGACCGGACCTTGGGAGGTTCAAGGCCAATCGAGATCGAAGACGGGAAAACTGTGCTGCAGTCCAGCTTGATTCGGGCCACGCTACCCAGCCACAGCGGAATCACCAGTTTCTGTTCAATCAAGCTTGGAAAAGCTCATCCGGGCGACAACTAATGTCGGACGGTCGCCCTCGTGGTGTGATGGGCACAGTTGCGGCTGAACTTAGTCCTCCTCCAAGTCTTGGAATTAGGGCTTGCTTGCTTGTTTCCTCTATGGCTTCACATTGTCGAATAGAATCTCCACAGCGGCACACGGTGAGCGAGAGAGAAACAGGCCGAAGATGAATCAAGGTTTTCATTTCCGCTTTAAGTTATTAAGCATCACATCGAGGGTTAATGGAAACAGTGACTACCCACTAAAAGCCCGTATATGCTTATAGCTCATCTTTCTGATCTTATGGGTGCAACCAGCACGGATGCCTGGCTTCGGTGTGTAACGCCGGATGATGTAGATGATACTGATTCCTGATCAGGCAATGTATATTGCTTGACGTTGATCAAAATCCGCCCTTCCGACTGTGATTCGGTGCCCAGCTCGACGAAGGATGGGAATCAGCCTCCCCAGGGCTTTGAGCAACGGATGAATAGACTGAACTGCTCAACTTGAGAATAGTGTCACGGTCTGGCTTGCATGTTGCCGCGTCCAAACAAGTTCCAGAGTACCAGCGTACAAGGTACACAGCTCGTATGATGTCTGCTCTGAAAAACTGGGGTAAGGAAAGCTGACACAGTGCGTGCGATATCCCGTATAGTAGAAGGCCTCCGCGGAACCGTTTGAACCACCGCAAACCTCAGCTTTGTATGACTGCATCTGTAGGTTGATGCATGCCTTTACTGGCCACGGGCTCTCAAATTAAAGAGTTTAGTTACACTCGTTGCCTCTAGTATACGACCCCCTTACGCCGTTCTTCCCGCAAGAGTGCATACAGAGCCCTCTTGCAAGAAGTTGAACACTGGCCGAATGCACTGTGACCGAGTTCCTACTCCTGCTGGCTCTAACCGCATGGATTCAAGCATGGCTGCACGACCCGAAGTCTAATCCCCCTCACTAGCCGTGGTCCCGATCGTACACCATGCGGCAGCTTCGGAAGTCGGGCTGCTCCCCGTTCCAAGGTTCAGGCAGCTCCACCGCTCCCCTGACCCGGCAAAAGGGGCCGCGGGGAAAAAGACATGGGTTATTTGGCGGGATGTGTTGGTCTCCGCAATCCTACTGCCATGTGGTGTTTCGACCCTCAGCTCAGGCATTGTTTTAGCCGAGAAAGACAGGGTTTGCTACAGATTTGATCGATCAACTTTTTCTTCGGATGACGATCTGATGCAGTAACTCCACCGAGCAGGTTTTGTTGAGTCTTTGTAACTGCTGTGATAGAGAGATGGGGGAGAGAGAGCTCCTCAGTGAATCTCATCTCATCAAGCCATTTTGGCCATAATTCGGCGGCTCTCCGTTCATACGAGTTTCCATTTCATGCGAGGGACAGATATTTTCATGTACAGTATGTAATTTGCTTCTCTTTCTCTCTCGGGAGCCGTCTTTTTGTGGTCCCCGAGCTGATTGATTCCAGCAAGATGTGTCCATCATGGGTCAAGAGGAACCGGCTCTGTTGCCACTGGCAGCAGCCACCGCTCCCTCGTCTCTGCCTAGCTCTCTTGGTTCAAGCAGCCACTGGGAGCAGCATAGCTGAGCCGTTCCGAGTCCAAACTTGACCCCGGATTCCCATCCCCTTGAAATCTAGCTCTAGTTGAAACCGGGCTGGCTCAGCATCCCTTTCTCCCGTTTTGGCAACCAAGCGTGGATTCGGCACTCGCTGGATTTAGACAAAGGTCACCACCACCTCGACTTCTCGTGATGTGTCGTAAAACAATAGATGATATAAGAGGTTGTCGAACCCTTTGGCTAACGTAAAGCCACGGCAACAATGCGGGAGGCAATGGACAGGGATAAGCCGTAGGAGCTTGCAGGGATGGCGGGTGCTTGTTTACGCTCTGTCTCTTTCTCAGAATTTCGATAGCCTTTGTAGTAAGGTTAATAATCTCGTATTCCATTGCAGAATGGGTGTTCTGAGCCGTCCAATGACGGCAAGAGAAGTCTCGTATTCCTCAACGCCATGCTGATGCTATGTAGTTTGCTCTTAGCAGAAAGCTTAAGCTCTCTGGCTGAGGCGACGATCCCAATGGATGAAGCGTACAGTGCTTGGCTGAAGCTATTGATTGCTGCTGAAATGCAATGTTCGTTCTGCAGACTGTGAATGGCCGAGCTCGAAGCTCCTAGTTTCTTGATCATTGCCTTGGCCACTTCATGGCTGATCGAAGATGGATGCGGCTGAGGCCTTGATGGATAGGGAGTGCCGGCCCAACCTCATCCCGAGGGTGGGTGTTGGGCTGATGCCCTATCTCTCTCGGAAGCCGTGCTTCATCTCATAGACGGAAGACAGCTATATAAGCTGCTCATCTCGTCTAGATTATCAGACTTGTTTCTTCACCAACTCAGCTCCATCAAGAGTTCGGGACCAAGCTACTGATTCCTTCTCCTGGGTTGTCAGTTGCCAACAAAGGTTCTACCTGTCAATCGTTTTGAAATTCGTTTTTCGAAAACTGCTCTCAGTTGCCCAACATGTTGCTGAAGCAGGTCCTCGTGACCGCCCTCCTCTCTTTGCGCTCTGTCACGGCTTTACCTAGCCCGAACAACCTCCACGACCTGGAGGCGAGGGATGCCGATGACCTCGTTGCTCGTACCAACAGCCACGACTGCGGCTCTTTCGCTACCTGGAACAACGGGAAGAATTGCTGCGTCTGCAAGGACAATGGCAAGAACTACGACTCCAAGACCAAGTCGTGCAACTGTCCCAGCGGCCTGATCTGGGATGGCCACAACTGCGTGCACGACTGCGGCAAGGAGGCCACTTTCCAGTACGGCAAGTGTGTCTGCAAGAACAACGGCGAAATCTACAACCCCAAGACCAAGACCTGCAGCTGCCCGCCAGGTCAATTCTGGAACGGTCACAGCTGTGTTGTGGACTGCGGAAAGGACGCTTCGTACGACTCCAAGCAGAAGAAGTGCATCTGCAAGAAGAAGGGCGAGGTCTTTGACTCCGTCCACAAGACCTGCGCATGCCCCTATGGTCAAGTGTTCAACGGCAAGCAATGCGTCTTCGACTGCGGCAAGGACGCCCATTTCGACTACAACCAGAAGAAGTGCATCTGCAACAAGAAGAGCGAGGTTTTCAATGACAAGACCAAGACTTGCGCTTGCCCGTACGGCCAGGTGTTCAACGGCAAGGAATGTGTTGTTGATTGCGGAAAGGAAGCCCACTTCGATGCCAAGCAGAAGAAATGCGTGTGCAACAAGAATGGAGAAATCTTCAATTCCCAGAAGAAGACCTGTGCGTGCCCCCCTGGCCAAGTCTTCAACGGCAAGCAATGCGTCGTGGACTGTGGCAAGGAAGCCCATTTCGACTACAACCAGAAGAAGTGCGTGTGCAACAACAAGGGCGAGGTCTTTGATTCAAACAAGAAGACGTGCAGCTGCCCCGGCGGACAGTTCTGGAACGGCAAGCAATGCGTCTGCCCGTTTGGCCAGGTCTTTAACGGCAAGCAATGCGTGGTAGACTGTGGCAAGGAAGCCCACTTCGACGCCAAGCAGAAGAAGTGCGTGTGCAACAAGAATGGAGAAATCTTCAACTCCCAGAAGAAGACTTGCAGCTGCCCTGACGGTCAGTATTTCAACGGAAAGCAATGCGTCTGCCCGTACGGCCAAGTGTTCAATGGCAAGCAGTGCGTTGTAGACTGTGGCAAGGAGGCGCACTTTGATGCCAGCCAGAAGAAGTGTGTTTGCAACAAGGGAGAAATCTTCAACGACAAGTCCAAGACCTGCAGCTGTCCCTACGGCCAGGTCTTCAATGGCAAGCAATGCGTTGTTGATTGCGGCAAGGACGCCCACTTCGACTTCAACCAGAAGAAGTGCGTTTGCAATAAGAACGGCGAGGTTTTCAATGACAAGACCAAGACCTGTGCCTGTCCTGATGGCCAGTACTTCAACGGCAAGCAGTGCGCCTGCCCCTACGGCCAGATCTTCAACGGAAAGCAGTGCGTCGAGGACTGCGGCAAAGACGCTCACTTTGACAGCCAGCAGAAGAAGTGCGTCTGCAACAACATGGGCGAGATCTTTGACGACAAGAGCAAGACCTGCGCGTGCCCCAAGGGCCAATACTGGGACGGCAAGGAGTGCGCGTGCCCCTACGGCAAGACGTGGGACGGCAAGGAGTGCGTAGAGGACTGCGGCAAGGACGCCACCTTTGACAGCAAGCAGAACAAGTGCGTGTGCAAGAACAAGGGCGAGGTCTTTGACGACAAGACCAAGACGTGCAAGTGCCCCGGCAACCAGTACTGGGACGGCAATAAGTGCGCGTGCCCGTATGGGTCGACTTGGGACAGCGGCAAGCAGACGTGCAAGCAGAACTCTCCTAAATAAGGGAGTGTGATGGACTTGGGGAGTCTTGTATAGTATATCTATTCTTCTAGTGTGGGATATTTGAAAAGAGATTGTTTGGTGATGTATATCTGATGCCTTGAGTGAGATTTGTGAGATTTGTGAAAAGCATCTATTCTTCCTCTCTTCTAAGTGAAAATCCCTGGCGACTGATGCATTTATAATGTGCGGCATACCATGCCCATGAAAAGGTGTTTCGACGTGAGATGATAGCATCTATAATTGGATGCGCGCAGCATGTCTCACCAAGCAAGTCGACGTCTCATGCTCTTTGCTTGCATGTTTAAAGAAAATATTCGTCCTGTTTGCTGAAGGCTTTCTGGATAGTGAATACGCTCAATTGATCGTAATTGAGTTCAGACAAATGTGGTCGTGTAAACTGATGAGCTATAGTAGTGGCCGCTCACTTTCTTCTGCTGACAGCCATTAAGTCCTCTGCGCCTGGAAACTAGCCTGAACTTGTTAGGCCTCTTTGGCTCTGTTTCCAACTAAAATTTTCAGCAAGCTTCTTTCAGTCCACCAGCCGTTCATCTCCCTCAGCGTCGGGCACCCTTCCTGCACATCTTGTATGTCCTAATCCTTTCAAGTCTTGAACTGCTACAAGAGGCCATTATTAGTGATCTCCCAGCAACTTCACATATATCTACTAGACTGTAGGTTCTAACAGTTCCGACGCCTCACGCTGCAGCAGGGCCTTTTCGGAAACGACGGGCCTGTACTTGGTATTACCGAGGCTAGGAGTGTCCCTGTCAACTCTTGCTGGGATTTCCCAGATATCACCTCGAGGTTGTAGGTGAGCCACACGACAGCTTCTGAGTAGTGACTGCTCCTCTTCCCACTTGATCTCAGTCATGATGTCGTGTGGTCTCACATCGATATCCTGGTTGGAACTTTGCTCAGGTCAACCTTAGTACCCGCGCCGTGTCGACAGACTATAAGCTAAGATTGGCGAGTTATTCATTAGCATCGAAGCGCATATGGCCGAGTGGTTTAAGGCGATGGTTTTAAGATTTAGTTTTAAACACCATTATCGAGAGATGCCTGGGTTCGAACCCCAGTGTGCGCATGCTGTTTTTCCTTTTTTGGTTGCTGGTATGGACTTCGACGATGCTGAGATGCTGCTTGTAGATTTTTTTTTACATGCTGTGACAGGTGTTATGAAACATCTGGACTTGTAGCTGCTAGACTTTGATTGTGACAGACAGTTCTATTCACCATATGTACATGTATTACAGATGAGCGTCTATATACAAAATCTGGTGTCCCGACAAGGCATTACATGCTCGTGGAGTTAAAATAAGGGTTCACGACATCGTGTTCCAGCACCGTGCCATTCATGAATCTTGTCCCTTTCCGCAGAATCTCGACGCGGCCGGGATGCTCGTGGCGCGGCGCATCGTCGACTATCGTGCCGTTCGCATAGTGAATGCCATTCCAGGGCTTCGCCATAGAGGTCATCTTCTGCGCCGTTCGCTCACCAGGCAAAAGGGGCGAAGCAATTGTGCTCACGTCGCAGTTCTCGCTGATCATGTACAGGTTCAAGCCAATGGCCAGCGTGTACAGCTCGGCGCTCAGCTGGTCCCAGTCGTGCTGGCCCTTGACGACGACGCCGATGTAGTCGACGAGGATGACGGTCGGCCAGCTCTGCGGCGACATGTTATTGACGCCCATCCAATATAACGCCGGGTTGGTCGGCAAAATACCGATGCTCTCGATGGTGAAAAAGGTCGTGGTGACAATGTCCGCGCTCACAAGCCATTGACTGATGTGGAACGTGTCGGAGCTGCCGCCGCGGCTGACGGCTTTCCAGTCTGATGCCTGGTCCTCTGCCATGTCCTGCGTGTTGCCCATGTTGGACCAGTCGTCTGCGATGGAAAGCTGATCGGCCTTGTATATGCCATCTGCTATCGAGTCTTGGGGAACATCTGGGGTCAGGTCGCCGGCGAGAAGGAAGATGACGCAGCCGTTTCCTCCGTTCTGGTCCATGAAATACGACGCCGACTTTTGGTTAAAGGTGGTGCTGGTGTCGAGGTTGCCGCAGCGGTTGTTGACGCCCCTGAGCTTGCCGAAGAAGTCGTTGACAATGTCCGTCGTCCAGTAAATGGGGCCCAGGCTGGGGACCTCTCGGATGCCAATCAGGTATCTGACGCGGAAGAAGATGACTTCTCCTGGAGCCTCGGCCGTGAACTGGTTGATCTCGTTGATGACATCGTCAAGGGATTCTCCCGAGTTGCCCAGGGCGACTTCATTTGTTTCGCCGCTGACGTGCAGCGTCCAGAAGCTGTAGTCGGAGGTGTCCGTGATGGAGTGCACTGACCCGACGCGCAGGTCAAAGTACCGGGAGCCTGCCCAGAGCTGATTGTAGATGTTGAGGCCCTGAGTTTGTGTGTTCTCACTGATGCCTCCTCCCATCAGCTTGTTACTGATGGTGCTCATCCCGGCATCATGGGACCCCGGCATGACGACGTGCTGAAGCTGCCTGTCCTTGATGACATCGTACATGTTCTTCATCCAGTTGCCAGCACCGAACCGGATCGATGTCATGAAGCCGTAGCTGTCGCTCCCCGTAATCACCAGCGTCACCGGCGATTGGTTCGCGGGGTCCAAGTATTCGCGCTGACCTTGGCCCATGCCCGTGAGATCAATGACTGTTCGTGTCGGGTGTGCATCTGGGATATGAGTGGCCGCTCGAACAACAAAGGTCTTGTCCGTCCCGTCAATAGCGTAGTATGCTTCGCCGCCGTCGTCTACGGCGTTCTTCCCGGCTTTGCTGGTGTAAACAACGGTGTTTTGGCGGGCATGGCCTTGCGGAACATCGCCCCAGTCAAAGACATCCATCTGATAGGAGTGTGTGTTTTGCAGGACGAATCTGTGAGGCGTCAGGTTTACGATGGTGATGTACTGCTTTGCACCGGGGACGTTGTTGATGGCGCCCATCAGGACCCAGGGCATGTAAGTCCCGTTTGGCGGTGATTCGTTGCTGTAAGTGGCATTTTGAGGGTTGCAAAGCCCATTCACGACGGTGCTGCCGGCTGCGAGTAGCCAGCCTAAGCCGGCCAACAGATGGCGGTGCCTCATCTGGTTTATCGGTGTATGATCTGCGCTCGCTTTCGGTACGTGATGCGTGCTTCGTCCGGTGGGGGAGGATCGTCCACGCCCAGGTAGCTTCCGTTTCACTAACAGGACAGGAACGTTATAATAAGACAAGACAAATTACGCCAACTAATATATGTGCGTAGAATCATCTACAGTAAGGGCAAGAAATTTTCTCTATAATGGCCCGGGCGTTGAATGGATCGATATATGTAGAAATCGCTCAATCTTGTGTTGGCGAGGGCTCTCGGAGGCCCACGGACTCTTTTCACGAGACCACATGGTTTGGATGGCCGGTGAAGAGAGATGTGGTAGTAAATGAATGGTACAGTGGCAGATTCACTAGCGGAATGGTCAGAAGATGGGATGGCAGTTGCATTGGCTGGAATGAAACCCAGCAGCAGAGGCCTCGGCATTATCAGATGGCCACGGATGTGACTGATAGGTCAAGAATTACTGCACGCGGGCGAGACCAGATCACTAACAGTAGCTCAAGGGAGAGGCACACCAATAATACCCTGAAGCTGCTGTAAAGTTTACAAGGGTTTCCAGTGCGCAGACTCGAGGGCCGCGATGAGGGAGCCAAGGAAGCATCTAGCGGATGGGTGGCCCATTGGGGTAGGTCAAAATGCAATGCTACCCAAGGTCGCCACTAGGAGCTATGCGAGGCAGACATAGAGCTGAACCAGGGGACAAACGAGCAAGACGATATGTGCCCAAGGCCAGCTTCAAAATAGATCAGAAAGATGAGTCGAGAGACAATCAAGAGGGTCTTGTAAAACATTTCCGAGGACTGTGCGTTCGTCTGACACTGACCAACAACATCAGATGGGATAATGCGCATGTGGCCCGGATACACTTCGCACTGTCTGGTAAGCATCTGCGACGTGGTCGCGAGGAGGTGGACTGACCTCGTGATCAGGGTCACCAATCACCATGTAGTTGTCATGAGTACCTGTAGGCTGGACTCAATACCGGTATGATATCGGCATAAGCAGAAGTATTGAGCAAGTCATCTCTGCTAGAAGTTACACATGATGCCTTGATTGATATAAGCACTTTGTTCGCAAGGGCTTGGCTCAGCAGCTACAGTGCGTAAAACCAGCACAATGACGGCCACGCAGCGGAAGCATGTTGCTTTGACCACCTCCCGTAGTGAAACATGGATCATGAGGGAATGCTGGTACAGACAAGTAAAGAGTCGCGGCTTGAAGGGCTATGAATGATATGTTCTATGAATGTCATTTGTCTACGGTTCGCAACATTTCACGGAGTTGCAGCATTTACCCAAGCCAAGTCACTCCCCGTTTGTTCTTCCGAGCTCTAACATATCTAGTAACCAAGCGGTAGCGGTGATCTGGCCCGACGTGTCTCTCTTAACGATCTGTCATGACCAGGTCTTTCACCCAGGCCCTCCGAGTTGAGGCGAATGTTTTCTTTGGCCCGGTCAACATGATGTATCAGTCGGTGACTCCTATTGGGACTCGTCATGAAGAGCTTCAGTCTTGGCCCCATGGCATATCCTCTCTGAACGTTCCTAATGAGTCCTTGAAATGAAGCCAGGACCCGATCCATTCTGTCTCCATAGTCGTTTAAATTAGACTCAAAGTCTGAAATGCTGTCCAAGAGGACGTAGACTGTGGTAGTTGGCTGGAGCTGCCAGAACAATCGCTCAAAAAGAAAGCAGAGTGCATCGGTGTTGCTAGCTGCTATAGCATCGTACAAGCTTTGATCAACAAAGTCAAGAGAGAAACTGTACGGTTTCGGATACAGAAGCAGTTGGCTGATGATGCTCTGTAAAAGCCCCTTGGGCCCGGCACCCTCTTTCTGCGGATCAGTATGATGGCTGCAGAAGAATTGCAGCACCATCCCGCTTTGACTTTGCAGCAGCGTAGAAGCGAAAGATGCCGTGAAGAAGGACAACGGAGACGTTCTTCCTACGCTTTCTGTTCGACAGCAGCCGTCAACCAGCACCAAGCCGGGCCATTCGGAGGACAGCCACTCCTGGAACTGCCGCTTTTGCCGTAGTAGCGTAGCATACGCCAGTGCTTCGTCGCTCATGAGGCTTTCTTTACGCAGTATTCGCTCTGCATCTGCGACAGGATCGGGCGCGTGGAGTAAGTTGAGGATGTCGCCCTCAGTCAAAACCGGCGTATGCTGTATGACGGGCTGCAGAGTTGGAGGAGGGGAAATGGAGTTGGGAGGGAGTGCAAAGAGGCCTGTTCAGCCGTCAGTTAGCCTTCATGCTTCTCCCAATACGAGGACAGAGAGATTTCTTGCACACTTACTTCGCTGGACAACAGCATCGGCCACAAACTGGTACAAAGCATTTTGCATCTGCTCATGAAACGACGCAGGCAGAGTACTAACGATTCTCTGCAAACTGGCCTCAAACTCTTTCCTCTCTTCACTATCTTTCGTGATTCTTCTCCGTGTTTGAGCTAACTCGTCGCTCATTTCGTTCGCGACATCAGCCATCTGTACACGAAACTCGTGTATCTGAGAGGAGAGCTTGTCATGTCCGCTGCTGGTTTCCTGCCGCAACTCCACGACCTCGGCTTTGATGTCGTGAGCCGTTTTACGTGTGGCCTCGGCGGCAATGCGCCCTGCTTGTGCCGAGACTTTGGTCTCTTGCCATACATTTCGATCCAGGTGAGCCGTGGCTTCGAAGACGGTTATTTTTGCATTGCGGATTCGTTTGGAGATGTCGCCAATTCTGGACGCCTCGACTTCGGGGATTTGTCTGACAATCTTCTTCAAAACTGCATTTTCAACTGTAAGCAAACGTCACGGTCTCGATGCTCTGATTGAATGTGATTCTTACCTCCAACGTCTTTGTATGTTCGATTCAAAATGCACACCAAGTCTGTCAGGCAGTCGACTAGGATTCCATAAAAGTCCCAGACCAGATTCTTCAGCCGTACCTCTCCGCGATAGACGTCGCTGATCTGGGAGATGCTGGCCAGGACCCCCGGAACATCGTCAAGTTCTTGCAGAATGTTTCCCACATTGGAGATTCTCTTCTGAAATGCCTGCATCAACAGTTAGCAACCAGATCTAGTAGGTTGTCTGTAGTGAAGCCTGCCTGGAATATGAACGCAAGGCCTGTCCTGAGAATGCTGAGGCCGTCTTGGTCAGGTATAATGTCGGAAAGCCGTTCCAAGATGCCTATGGCTGCGTCGCCTTTTCGTATCCATCCTCTGAAGCGATTATCCTCAGCTTTCTTCTCGTAGGTCTTTTTCGCTTCTTCAATGCAGTCGAACACGCCTCTCCAAGTCACATCTTGGGTTGTCGTTGCTGAATCGTCGCCTTGGCAGGACTTGATAGCTTGAGACAACTCTTCTAGCTTGCTATGGCCGAGTTAGAAATCGGGACCGCGAGATGCATGAGAGCTTCTGGCTCTATAAGATGACGAGGACGGAAGTCAAAAGGAAGAAATACCGGCTGATAGGGACTCTCCACTCTGCGCGCTGGTTATTGTACTCCGTTGGTGAAGCCAAACCCTGGTGAACGGAAGCTCCTTCAGTTTCTCTCCAGTCTTTCATCACCTGGATTTCCCGATTACTATTCATTACATCCCTCATCCCCTGTCCCACACCTGAAGGCCGCCATGGAACCATGGTGAGTTACGGCTAGATCTTTGCGTGATGTAGGAACAGGCTTCCGTAACAATGACGAAGTTTAACGACTATACATGCATGCTAAAGCTTTGGTCCAGGGGCAGCGGAGTCAAGATGTCTTGACAACCTATTCAGCCAAATGCGAAGTCTTACAGGGCTGACGACGACGACGAAGTCTCGGCCTGATATACCCCGCTCAGAAGCGACGCTTCATTGATACCGAAAAGGATTCATATCACAAAGGACGGTAAGGAAATGTGGGCTGATAGTTCTATAAATTGCATTAGTCGCCTCGCATGCAGTTCGCATTCGCTATAAACCCTGCTGTTTTGCGAAGGATTAGGCACCTAGTTGTGTTGCCGGGCGATATTACTGGACTGAAACCTCTCTTCACCCCCTCTGGTTGAGGCTGTGGATATGTCTGTGACCTTGCTCATGCATGAGCCTATTCCCAACTGAGGGCCGTCGCTTACGGGAATTATTCATCTTCTTGAGCCGCAAGGTCTCCACAGGCTTTAAGGAATTCCCTCTCTCAGGAAGTTGTGCCAAGACAAAGTTCTGGTTTACAACAACCGTCTCCTTCAATGACTCTTTCAATGACTCTGGTAGCAGAGACAAGCACGATGGCAGCAGATGCAGGTGCAGCCGAGAAAAATGGCGAGTCAAGTTCGACCAAACAAGATGCACCTTCAGGCACATCTACCGTTGGCGAAGGCCAGAGCGACTCTGTCAAGAACGCCGCGGACGATACCAATAAGCCTATAGATGGTTCTACCAAAGGCGAAACTTCTGCGCTTTCAACACAAGACAACACCAAGCAGAATGACACCAAGAAAGATGAATCCGGACTCAACAAGAAGGAACCGGAAAAGGCTCAAACAGAAAAGCCCGTCATACCTCCCGTGCCCGTTATCAGTGCACCGGAGAAGAAGGCCGAGAAGCCAAAGCCAAAGCCCATGCAGGCTTTCCCACGGGTTATCCCCAAGCTGCGCGAGTGTCTCTCTTGGAACGACTTCAAGAACCACCACACCGACGAGCACAACTACGCCATCGAGACGCTTGTCGCCGGCGATTCGCTCAAGCTGGAAATTGAAGAAGCGGCGCTCCTCTATGAAGATCTCCAAGACTTTGGGCACTCGGGTGGATGGCCGAGCGGATATCGGAGAAGCTTCAACAGGAGAAACCCCAAGCACAAGACCGTCGTTGACGACGGGGACGAGGTCTGGCTGCAGCGGGTGCGAATCAACTCCAGGGCCGTCATGATGTACCTTGGACGCCAAAGCGCGGCTGGGAAGAAATGGAACGGCCGGCCTCATGTCTTCAAGAGGCCCTTTCGCTACCTGATACACTTCCACGATCAGATGAAGGAAGCGCTGGCTGAGCTGGAAGAGTTTGCTTCAAGCGCCGAGTCAAAGCCTACCGAAGGGCAGCCTGTTCAGGCACCAAGTGCAGGAAAGGACAAAGAAAGGTCTGACTCGGACACGCTCGGGATCGACTCGCTCTTCAACGATGCCGATACTCTGGCTGAGATGAGACTCTATGTGAAGTTCATGGATGAGCAGGTGATGCCGGAATACCAGCGCTTCCAGGTTGAGGATATGGCCATTGCGCCTACCAAGATCCGATGGGATCTTCTCTGGTATCTGTTCAAGCCAGGTGATCTGGTCTATGTGCCGAACTTGAACAGCGGCGTTCGAGCTCGAATCCCAACGGGCTGGGACGGCGTCTTTCAGCGTCTTCAAGCAGAGTACGGCGACGGTCCTATGGAGCCAGCATCTTCCATGGCGCCGTCTAAGCAGAACACAAGGGCGTCCCATACCGATCAGATGGTGTGGAGGGTATACAGACCCCCGTACAAGCAAGCAACCCTCGACGGCTGCAGCTGCGACGCCTGCGCGAAAACGGAGTCGACCTGGGCGATCTCATGCTACCATATTGACTACGATGGCCAAAACTATCGTGCAGTTGAACGGATTCTCGAGATTCCCATGTATGAGGGCGACCGTGAAATCACGCAGCTGGCCTGCTATCCTATGAGATATGTCAAGCAGAAAGACGAGATCATGGAGAGGGGACGACTGTATGGCGCCAAGTTCATTGAGCATATCGATCCAGCCAAGCGATACAGCTTCTACCGGGGATGGACCCTCATCAAGACGCCCCTCGGGCAGTCCATCGAGGACAAGAACGGCAGGACAATGACAAGTCCTGAGCATATCGAAAGCGAGATCCTGGTCGATTTCGAAGAGGCCTTCAACCAAGACCCTTCGTGGAAACCCGAGATTCTGGAAACTGACCCGCTCACTTACAAAGTTGTCATAGCAGTCGACAACGAGAGCCCCCTGCAAGAGTGGCACGATAGCGAGCGTACCAAGCTGAAAGACATGTGGGAGGACAAGGTCGTGACCGAGGATGGCGTCGACATACTCCAGATGAACAAGTTCATCGAGACGGATGTGATGCTGAAAAAGAAGAAGGACAACGACGATGAGATTGGCGAACTCGATGGCGACAATCTCGCGCTTCTGCCCAGGCGGCTCTTTGCATATGCTCTTTGGGAGCGCAAGTTTGTGCAGATTGACGTCCGGGACGTCTCTTTCCCCGAGCTCAAGGACAAGGACAGAGCTTTCGACAGCCTCCAGGTTTCTTCTGAGCACAAGACGCTCATCCAGTCGCTGGTATACTCCCACTTCAAGAAGAGAGTCAACGAAGGCAGCGTTGAGATTGCGACTCAGGACCTTATCCGTGGCAAGGGCAAGGGCATAGTGATTCTGCTCTTCGGTGTCCCTGGCGTCGGTAAGACGGCTACGGCTGAAGCAGTTGCGCAGAAGTTTGAGAAGCCCTTGTTTCCGATTACCTGCGGAGACTTGGGGTTCACACCGGAAAGCGTGGAGTCTTCTCTGAGTGAGATATTTCGCTTGGCTCACCTCTGGGACTGTGTCCTTTTGTTGGATGAAGCGGATGTGTTTATTACGCAGAGAGATAGGAAGGACCTGGAGAGAAACGCTCTAGTTTCTGGTAAGATGCGCACTTTTCCCGCAGATGAAGAACTGTCAATGCTAACCGACTGTCCCAGTCTTTCTACGCATGCTCGAGTACTACAACGGCATTCTCTTCCTCACTACGAATCGGCCCGGCGTTCTCGACGAAGCTGTCAAGTCACGCGTGCACCTGAACCTACACTACAACTTCCTCACCGAGGAGCAAGTCGTCGCCATCTTCAAGCTGAACATTGCGCGCCTGAAAGAGATCGAGGACCAAGCCGCCAAAGCCCCCGGGCACAAGAAGCTATACATCGACGAGCCTGATATCATTGCTTTTGCCAGCGACCACTGGAGAAACCATACCGATGGCATTGGGCGGTGGAACGGACGACAGATACGCAACGCGTTTCTCATCGCGGCGTCGCTGGCTCATTACGAGGGAGATATGGGTGAGCGGCCGGAGGGGTTGCAGAAACAGCTCACTTCCAAGCACTTTAAGAAAGTAGAGGAAACGACCAGGCGGTACGACGAGTATCGCGTGGCGTGTCTTGGAGACACAGATAGCTATCTCGCACACGATCGATACGAGAGAGACGACGAGTATAGTCCGGTTGCCAGAGGAGGAGGGGGGGCGAATGCCTACATGTCCCATGGCCAGCACCAGCCTCAGGCCCCTGGATATCTGCCCCGAACGGGAAGCTTCCCTTGGCAAAAACCTGTGCAGGCCCCCCCGAGCATGAACCCAAACTCAATGCAGAGGCAGGCAGCTGAAGGGTGGTCGTCGAGCAACGGAGCTGCACGCCCGCCTGCCCCTGGATACCAGCAGCCTCCGCAGCAGCCATCTCACGGACAGCCTCCACAGCACCAGTTTTCACATGCTCAGGGGCAGATGGTGAACAGGCCGCCTAGTACGTCGAATAGTCCGAATTTTGCGGCACAAGCGCCTTATAACTCCGCTGCTGGCGGGCCTGGCGGGCCACAAGGCTATGACATGGGAGGGAATGTGCAGATGAAGGCTGGCGGAGAGCCAGGAATGAGTGATGAGTGGATGGGTCCCGGACAGCAGCGTTGGCAACAGGGTCAAAATGGCTACAGTCATTACTAGGAGGTTATGGCTCCTTACCTAGGCAATAAGTCTCTGAGGGATCGAAGAAGGTCCGGGAAAGCATGAGATGAAGTACATGTTTCATATAGCGATTAATTGTTATTACATACGGGTAATCAGAGTATACACGATGACAACATGTCGAACTCGCTGCCACAAGGAGCCCGCCTTATTCATCCCATTAACCTAAAGGGTATATCCAGCACTTGCATCTTCGGCCCACAGAATGAAGATGTGTATGGCCTATTTCTTCTGCGCCCAGCCAACCTGTTTCTTCCCACTATCAAAGACAACATACGCAGCCTTGAGAGCAATGTCACCAAAGATGGCAAAAGGAAGACCCCCAGAGGGCTGAATGCCGCCAAAACACTGACCGTTGCCAGCCTCGGAATAGTTGATCAAGGTGCCAGGGATCGTAATGTTGCCCTCGCCCACAGTAAAGGTATAGTCCGGCAGATGGGCGGTGCAGTTGAAGACGTAGCCGCCCAGAAACGGGTTCACGCGGGCGCCCGGGACCTGCTTGTAGTAGGCCTGGACGAGCTCGTCGCTGGCCAGGAGCAGCGTGGTGCCAGTATCTGCCACAGCGTTGAATTGGCCGCCAATGGCACTGCTGGTGCTGAATTGCCAGAAGCCTTTGCTGTTGTCGATGGGGGCGTAGAAGGCTTTGCTGGCTTCGGAGGGGATGGAGCCGAAGTGGTAGCTGCCGGGCGCATCGTGGCGGAGATCGGCAACAAAGACGGGAGAGTCGAGGCTGCCGACGAGGTTGTCGTACCACGTCTTTTGCGGAGTGGGTTTGACAGTGTTGATGGAGCTAAAGGCCAAGCCCACGAGGCCGTCGTTGTTGCCTTGGGTGAACTGCGCAGAGACATTGCGAGCGGCCTCGACGGCTTGGGACTTTACTGTGAGGCTTCCGACGGAGACGACGTCGCGGTAGACATCGCCGGATGATGATGAGTGGTCTCCGTATGTGATGTTCCATGATGCTCCCTCCAACTTCTTGGAAGATGTGCTCTTGGACGGCGTGTAGACATCATGGCCCTGGGATGAGCTCGGATCAACATCTGACGAGAAGACCCAGAGATCGGAGCTGCCGGTGTCAAAGTCCAGGTTGAGTGTCTGAGGAGGAGTTCCGATCTTGACGGGGACGAGATACTCGATGTCGTTGTCGTCAGGTGTAGCGGTGACGGTGCCGGTGCCGCGCTTGGTGAGCTGGATGGACTTTACCAACTCAATGGCATCGGTCAGAGTTTTGGGGACTTCGACGCCGTACTTGGCGTAGGTGCGGGCTAAGGCGAGAGGGCCATTGCGGCCTGTGAAGGCTTTGTTGGCAGATCTCTTGATCTCAAAGGAGCCGGGGTTGGTGTTTGTGGTGGGAATGACACTGCCTGCTGCCATGGAGGCAGACAGGACGGTGACGAGGAAGCTGCCAAATGAGGGCTGCATTGTTCTGAAGCGTTTGAGGGAGTCGATACAAAGACGAATCAAAGAAGAAGAACCCTTTTTCAAAGGTCAAGATATAGTAAAATGGTATTCGATATTAGGAGTAACAGGAATGGTCTCCTGATGCTGCGGTAGGCCAGGTGTATTTGCCCCCTTCTTAGGCGAAATTGTCAGACGTTTATTTTTCGTATGTCTCGAGGAGGAAGCAACTTTCGAAAGGTAAGAATATATCCACAAGAAAACGGAGGCGAGATATTATAGGAGGCTTATCGACAGTGCAAACATCAGGAGGCCAACAAAAAGGGAGAAGTCACAATACTGAGTGTTTTGAAGGAGGCTCACCAGCACCTGGAGATGCTCGCAGCTCTTATTTAAGAAAGCCATATTGGGTAGTAAGCTGTTGCACAGCTCTTCGGAACTTTGCGAGTCAGTCTCGGTTTCGGAGGTTTTGCTGCAACATGCTAAGCAGCAAGCGCGTGGCCACGACGTGGAGGCCGTGGAGACTGTGGAGGCAAGCCATGATGGCCGATGCTGCCTCCGAAGAGACTCAAGTGTATTCTTGGCACTCTACTGGAAAGGCTGTTATAGTGATAAGCTAGATCTTCGGGCCAATGTCAGCCTGAGATCCGGCTTTGCAAGGTTCAACACGGGTTGGACCTGCTACAAGGCGTGCGAGAGGAGGTCCGTTCGTGTTGCCTCACTCGTGCAATCCTGGAAATGACGACGGCCAATGATCCGGATGCTCGGTGGACTCGGCCGACTCGGCCATCGAATCATAACGCGCAACTACATGAGACGTCACCACACTGATGGAGCTTCCCATCAGATTGTCAGGGCACATTACCGAATCGACTTGCTGGCTGAGGCCTTTTGACGATCTATAGTGAAACGAGTCCGTGAAAGATGGCGATCAGCCCGGCCGATCGGCCCTGGAAACCCTGTCTGCCATTGACTTTGTTTTAGCGGAGGCGCTGAAACAAAACTAGGTGCTGGTTTCCCCGTAGTATAATGGAGTTTTGATGGAGATGCCTTGCAGATGCTTACTGCCGCTGATGAGGTGGCGTGTGGGAGGTCGCTATAGTTTCCAAGGTTCACTGCGATGCTGCGACTGAAGGACTCTCTGAAAGGCACAGGGGTTTCACATAATGCCCCTGGCTAATGCAAAAGATGACTTGGAAACCGTTGTGTCGGCCAGGGAATCACATGCGAAAGTGAAAAGGGTCAGGGATATGGAGGGCGGCAGGAAAACTCGGAAACCCCACGCGAATGTTGCCACACGGCCAGGCATGTTATATTAGTGTATGGTAGTATAAAAGTCAATTATGTTCCTCAACTGCAGAAGCTAGACAATAAACGCGCTGAATAACTGGATCAGGTTCGCGCGCCATTTTGCGCCTCGTACCACGATGGCGGACTGTGATGCCCGAGCCAATGGGGTGAGTGAGGAGAGCAAGCCTCGGAGGGCGGTTAGTTGGAAGCCATAAGACGAACTGCTTGGTGTGGCGTTGATTTGTGCATTGTCTTTAGCAGCTCGCTTCCCCGCGAAATGGTGCCTAGAGGGCGTTGAGACTTGGCCGTTTGGATACAAGCTTGAAGGATCTGGGGGATGTTGAGTTTGTTGCCAAGTCGGAGAATTACAGTCCAGGTTGCAGCGGGCGAAGCAAGTTGTACGAAGGCACATTGAGCGGCATTCGGGATATCCGGTTATTGTGTTGCTAAAGTTTGACAAAAGAGGTAGCCGATCGTAAGAGAGATTCGTTGTGGTCCATTGCGAGGAGCTGCCAGTATGTGGGCTTCTTCCCTCTCGAATGCTTTAACCCTTACCTTGTTTATAAGGGTCATGCTCCTTTTTCCACAAAATGAAACGATGTCCGCTCGTTCCATCCTTGATGATTCATGATAGATGAGCAATATTGGACCAAGCTCAGATGAACAATGCGTTCCGACAAGGAAAGGGAGGGAAAAATGGGAAAAGGGGAAAATGTGTCTGCGCTCCCGGGTAATAGGATGATTACATACGAGGAGAGCTTTCCACCAAGCTCTGGTATCTATAAGCCGCTCAAACATCACTTATGATCTTGAGAATTTCGCTAAATCCTACTTCTTCAATGCTCACCTCTCTGTATCACTCGGATCCCACTCTAGTGCACTGAGTTGTAGGACAGGAACTCGGCGATTCCTTCGGGGTCTAATCGGGAAGCTGACACAAAGCATGAGAACCACTTCGGACAGGGATTCGTGATCTGGCAAGTAATCATTATTCGTTATAAACCCGTTACAGTCCTGCTTTCTGCATCTTCAACATATTTCAGCTGATGGCATCTTCTCCTGGTCCATCAATTTCAGCTGTTGGCTCCTTCTCCTTGTCCATCGATTTCGTCTGGCTGGGCGCATTCCGCCAACCACTCTCTTTTGGCTGGAAATCGTGACACCAGAGGAAGATGGTGAGGTGGACAGTCCAAAGTCTTGTCATAATATCGTGGTATATTCTACTCGGCAAAGTGCAGCCTGACCTTGACTCCCTCGCCCGGGCAGTTGGTAAGTGTCAGACCATGCCTGACAGGACCAACCTGCGACCCGTCGATGCTGTCGATTCGCTGCATCAGCCGAATCACGACGTATCCGACCTCTGTTAGTGCAAATTGCTGGCCGATGCAGATTCTGGGTCCGCCGTTAAAGGGAAGATAGTCCCAGCCGGGCCTCCGCGTCAGCCATCGCTCCGGCTTGAAGATTTCGGCATCGGGGCCCCAAATGTCCTTGCGGCGATGCATCAGGTGAACCTTGATAGGAGTCAGTTGGGCGTACGTGAGATGGAGAGCAATGATATCTTACCGAATAGCCCACGTCTTGGCCTTTGGGTACAAAGATCGGAGACTGTCCGTCGAGGCCACCGCCCGTGGGCAGCGTCGTGTCGACCTGCGCTGTGCGGACATTCATGGGGACTGCAGGATACAGACGAAGAATCTCATTCAAGCACCATTGGAGATACTGGCAACCCTTCATGTTCTCGAATGTGATCTCCTTCGGGTTCGAGTACGTTCCGAATTCGTCCAGGATTACAGCCCGCAGCTTGCGAAAGACGGACGCATATCGAGGATCGGCCATGGTGAAAAAGAACCAGCCCAAAGTCGATGCCGTGGTGTCTCGGCCCGCAAGCAGGATGTTGAGGAGCTGGGATCGAAGTTCCACGGGATCTTGGGTTTCCTTGGCCAAGGCGTTGAGGAAGACGTACTTGTCTTCGTTCACGGGCTTTTCACTGGCACCCTGATGAAGAGCCTTTTGAACAAAATAGTCGACAAATTCGTGGACCTGCTTGACCATTCGATGGAATTCGGGGCGATGGACGATCCAGTAGTTTGGCCCCAGACGCGACCCAATCGAGAGAGTGTATTGCGCCCTGTCGAAAGCGTTCGCGAAGCTGCCGTCCTTTTCAGCCCCGGACTCGCCGGTCTCCAATTGGCTGTTGACGCTCTCTCCGAAGAGGAATTCGGTGGCGGAGTCGAGTGTGAGTCGGAAGAAGAGAGGCTGAAGATCGACCAAGTCTGTCCAGCCATTGGGTCCGACGTGGCGATTGAGCACTGTCATGAGAGCTTTGACATGCTTTTCTTCGAGATCGAGGTCGCTGACTTGGCCGCGAATGAACTGCGGACGCAGTAATGCTCGCGAGTACTCCCATTGCTTGCCATTGGTAGCGAACTTGCAAGCCGAAATAGTCAGATGATGTCCTTCATTACGGATAGGATCAGCTGCAGTCTTAGTTGGTGTGTTTACTTACGATGCCGTGTCCAAGAAGCGGTTCGAAGTTATCAGTTCGGTTCACTCCCAGCCCAAAGTCCTTGAACTTCAGCGCCAGCATGGTCTGAATGTTCTGCGGATCCGTCGTCACCAGAGTATCTCGAAAGAACGGTGCCCTCACCCGCAGCGTGCCGACAGGGCGGCCATATTTCTTCGCTACGCGCTCAAAGTTGGCCTGGGCATAGATGGGGAAGATCTTCTTGTGGCTTGCATCCACGCCGTAGACGACGTCCGCAATGCCTGTTGGGTCATATCCTGACATCCATACTGGGGGTTTGCATCCTAATTCTCTAGCCTTGGCTCTATATCGGAGGTTGTCGCGGATCAGGGAGAAGATGTAGGCGAAAGCTATCACTGCGGCCGCGAGGCCTGCTGCAAGGGCCAACTGCATACTGAACGACGAAGGTCAAGTGAAGGACATATGGGATAGTGAAAAGAGAAAGATGTGAAGGGACTCAGAGGTGGGCCACGCGGCAAAGTAATAAAGAAGATAGAAAGACCATTCAATCTTCTTTCCTTGAACAAGAAAATGTGGACATGGGAGCGACTACTATATATATGTGCGGATCCCAGGTTTCACACAAGACGAGTGCATGACTTTCTCGCACAAGCAGAGTACCGGCAACAGGAGAGACGGGCCAACTCAGCCGCTCGAAACGGACCGCGATCCTCGTCCGGTCCCGTTTGTTGGTGATCAAGGTGATGCAAGCGAGCTTTCGACATCCGTCTCCGCACACACTAGCCAAGGGTTGAAGTGCTTAGTATTGCCCCAGACTCCAATGGTTCTCCCGTGATGCAGTTACATGGCGTCAGTGAACCCCAGTCTGCGTGCGTGTTCATCACGAACTAGCGGAGAACGTTTTGCGGCCGACGACGGGATACGAGAGGTCTAGATTGATGGCTGTGCGATTCACTGTAACGCGTTACATTTGTCAAAGGGTGCAAATATTGAAAAAGAGCAGTCACAAAGGTAGCCAGTATTCGTCTCGTGCCCTTGCTGGAGCACCATCGTATGTCTTTTGCTCATCGTCCGTCACTTCCGACATCCGGCTCGGACAGGCGGACGTTCAGAGCCGCCTGTGAGGCTGTTAGTGCCATCTTCACGTGCCGGGGTTAATCTTTAACGAGTTTGTAGATGCGGGGGACGGGACGAACCCGATGAAGTCCTCTAAACCTGTATTATTGTTGGTTGAATCTGCTGTGCTAGGTAGTACTTGGTCTGGTCTGGCACCCATCATGACATAACAAATGCACATCTTTACAGTTTTGAAAGTGAAAGCCGAGGCTGTGCTGTTGAGGCACGAGCTTGAGAAGTGTTCTTTCGATGGCTTTCCCTTTACCATTTGAGGGCGTTGGTTGAAGAAACGATGTACGGAAGTCAACTCGAAAAGTTGCGAACTACCAAAATCCCGTAATGTTCATGATTTGCGAGACGTCTTGAAATGCTCGGAAACAAGCTGCTGAGTGGCTTGAGGGTTCGGGTATTTCTCTCCGAGGCCGCTGCGGGATGTGGAGTAGCGCTGAGAGGGGCTTCCTCGTCATCAACTATGTATTTATTCCGATTGTGATGATTGGTGAAAGAAATACCTGGTAATCATGAAATGGCTCTGAATAACAGAGTAATAGATGGCGTGTCGAAACAGCTGCAGTCTTGGCTCTCTTATACAATGCCATGATGCTCGACAGGCGCAATCTTCCCGCAGCGTTGGTTATGTAGCGCCTCAGTTCGATCGCTTACTTCTTCCGAGTATTTCGCCAATAATTATCCCGGATGAGAGTTACATATTCAGCTCGTTCAGACGTTGTATGACCTGGCACCATGACCTCTAAAAACTCGACTACTGCTTCATGATACCCTCTCGACTGTAATATTAGGTACTCATTACCAAGTCAAACGACAAGCAGGGAAATGGCCGTCGACGAAACTACTGCACCATCAGCGCTCGCTATCCGCAGAGTCACGTACGACAAGATCCTCCTTTTTGGCGACTCTCTTACGGAACTCAGCAGCGACATCCATACGCTTTCTTTTGCCCTCACACCTGCTCTGCAGCATTATTACTTCCGAAAGCTCGCTGTCGTCGCCCGAGGATATGGAGGCTACAGTTCAATCCATCTAAAGCATGTGCTGTTACCCACGTTACGTGCGGAAACGGCTGCTGGAGAAAAGATCAAGCTTCTGGTGATCGAAGTCGGCACGAATGATGCGGCTGACAGAGACATACAAACCGTGCCGGTGGAAACGTACCGCGAAAACCTCGAGTGGATAATGCAACAGGCCGACAAATTTGGCGTCGAGAGAGTCATTGTGGTGGGACCCGGGCCTGTGGACGAAGACATGCTGGAGCCTCCCGTGTACAACAGAGTGATGAAGAACCTGGAGTATTCGGAGGCGGCGAAACATGCCGCAGCACGTTATGGTGTTCCGTTTATTGATATGTGGCACACGATGATGGCGCACGTCGGGTGGAAGAAGGGAGAGCCGGTGCCGGGCGTGTCGGGACATGGTGGAACTGCCTTTAGGGAATTGCTGACGGACGGTATTCACCTGACGGGAAAGGGATACAAGATTTGGTACGACCAACTGCTGGCGGTGATTCAAATGGATTTCCCGGAGCTGAGGACAGAGGCGTTACCGACGGTGTTGCCGCACATATTTGATGTTGACAGGGAGAATTTGCCAGACACTCTATGGCAGGAAGTTGCAGTCAAGGAACAGACAGACGATGGATTATGTATATAAAAAGACAGAAAAAGAGATTTATAGAAATGCCTGAAGAATGCATATGTTAAAGATGGTGGCTGTTTTCCTCTCCACCACGAGCATTGATCTCACGCTCTCGCAGTATGCAAGAACGGACGATGTTCTCTGACTTGAGACCCAACTGCTTCTGCAGGAAAGCAGCTTCGTTATCAGCCTTGGCCACAGGCTAGACCGTGACGCTCTCGGATTGAGCGACCTTGACGGTAGCCACACCGGCGAGGCCAGAGTCAACCAGAACAAGGATGCGAGTTTCGCAGACCATGGAGAGTAGCTCGCTCCAGCCTTGAAAGAGCAGCCAGGGAGATGCCGAAAGGTCGGCCAACGAGGATATTGGAAGGTCTTTCTTTGAATCCTCGAGATTTGAGCCCCGCTTTGGATCAACATCGAAAACTTTGGCCTTGTGATAAGCAGCATCAGAAGCCTTAGAAGCTTCGGCCTCCTCCTGAGAGGTTGGGCATGGTGAAGGGAGCTTGATAGGTCTTTCTGAGGATGGTAGCGAGGTTATTTGTACCCAACTCAACGGCGTTGAAGCTGGCGTACCTGAACAGAGCAATGTTCACCAGCTCAGGAGCGCTCAAGCCCTCCCTGCTCTCCGTAAAATCGTGGCCAAGTCCTCAAGCCAGATTCCTCAACGACATCCACCGCTGCTGAGAAACAGCTGCCTCATGAGCAGTAGGCCGCATGTCAACCGTCTTCATAAGAAGCTTCCCGTTATCCAGAGCGACCATTGGCTGTTGCTTTCCGAGGTACAATTACTGCGACAGTGAATGGTAGCGTAATCCTCTGCATTTGTATACCTTGAGCTGCTTCTCTGTGGAAGGCCCGATGGCGACCTCATCGACCTGAACAGGCGCAGCACCACAGCCCACGGGGCTGATCACAGCTAGAGAATAAATTCGTTTCAAGTAGGATATAGCAGGAACCGCCGATGCCTTCGTCGACGATCTGCTTCACGTTGGATGAGCAGACGGCCTGGTAGATTCGGCCGTTGAAGCGAACATCAGTCATACTGTGGCACGGAGGGCCGTAGCCGCATACTACTTCCCGTAGAGCTTGGTTCCCGACTTTGCCGGTTGCTTGCTGAGGTAGCTGTAGAAGTTTACAGTGAGTCTTGTCCTCGGAGACGAGTATTGATGCTGATGCTGCCAGAATATGTAGTCCTTCTCGACTCGCTTGCTGTCGATGGACGAGACATTCCGGTCCCAAGAGCTACTGTCGTGGGCGAATGTACGTATACTGAAGGGTACCTCAATGTTATCGTCGTTGTGTGGGGGTCATGAGAGCTGCCTTGATAAGTATATTGCAGCAGAGATGGCTCTTTTCCTTGACGATGTCCGCCGCCAAATAACCAGGAGCAGGAAAACCAGACTCATCACCCAAGCAGTGGTGCATGAGCCAAGACAAGTCACTAATAAAGAGCATATTGCGCCGGCTCAGCTCAGACAGAGAATTACCAATAACTAATTGACCAAGAACATCATGGCGAGGATACATACTTGGGCTGACGCAGCTCCTGACCGCTACGGCTCGGCCCTTCTTGGCTAAGTAATGTCCAGTCGCTGAAACGCCACGGCTTACACATATTCACCATGCTTTGCGTCGATTCTGTTCCAAATGTCGTTTAGATCGAATCGAATGTTGCCAATCGAGCAGCCTTGTCTGTTCGACAACTCACATTATGATCACAGTATACCTTGGCCGCCATAGGAAGGCGACTCGGCCGAACCGTTACTCACCTCCGCTTCTCGCTTTCCCAGTTTACAGGAACGAGCGTCATGATGTTTCCGTTTATGCAGAGTAGATCGCATTCTTTCGCTTTCACAGCGGAAAAATGGTTCACTGTAACCCTCATTGCATGATCACGTCACAGGCAACATGGGAGCTTTGATGACTATTGCTGAGTCAATTTTATCAGATGCCAGGGACCGGGTTTATAAGGACCCAGGCATCAAGTCCGGGCAGTAAAGAGACGATTCGGTGATATCTCCGAACGTGGAAAGCTGCTACTAGTAATCTGAAAATATGTTAGCTAGCCAAATTTTCGTTTAGTACCTTATATGGAGCATACGGCTTATCAGATCATGGACGGTGTAGTGATGTCTAATTATGGCAATGGCGTTAACCATAATGGAATACCATCCGAATTGATGCTACCATGATATCGTCGAGATCGTCACTGAATGGTGCGCATCGACGTATTTACAGGCAATATGCATTGTTCCTCTAGCTCAATATGGAAGCTGCCCAATGACTTCATAAGCGAGCCTCAAACTCAACAAAAAGTGTTGTACAACGGAGTTTTGGTTGTGATGAATAGAGCTCTAGTAAGCGAGTTCAACATGCTACCTCATGCTGTCTTGACTTCACTCCCTCATTTACCAGGGAGCTACTATAGCATCAATGGAATTGCCTCTCAGTATCCCAGTACCATCTCAAACTCAAAGGTGTATACGAGTAAAATGCTGTATTAATATGTCCTTGTTTGCCGTTACATCGGTGATTCCAAGGTTGAAGATGTTCCCATTAGGAATCACCGCATTATTCTCCGTATGCATACGACCTTGGCTCGCGGGAATATGCCGATAAAGTTATAGCTTGCCAATCGCATTCAACTCAACAGGCAACTGTAACCGAGATGATTGGTGTAAATTGAAGCTCAACTTTCTTCCGCCTTTCCCAGTCGTTCGGCTCAACTCAAGACGCCGAGTTGAAGCATATAAACTCAAGACATCAGCTTCAAAGAAGCAATTGCATCTCTCAGTGAAACTCAGTAAGAGATTGGCTTCCACTCCGCACCTAAATCTTTTGATCAAGTCCATCATGTCTTACAAGTCGATCACGGCTATGCTGGCCTTGGCCACTGGCATAACTCAAGTCGCCAGCCAGATCTGTGCCGAGAACATCGTGACCACTCACGCTGGCCTCGAGTTCTATCTCTACGACGACTCAATCCCTGAGAACAACTACAGACCTCTTCAACTCAGACCCAGCAAGGAAGGTCCATTCAGCTATCTCGCCATAGACAACAGCTCCCCCACGCTCCTCGCCAACCTGGACAACGGCGTTCTCGTCGCCGAAGGCCTGGACTCTGATGGTACCATCTTCGACCTTGGCCCCGTAGGCTTCCTGCAGAACTACACCACGGTTCCTCTTTCGAAGCCTACTACTTTTGGCCAGCTTGCTTTTGCCAACACTTCATCGTTTCCGAATGCCTCAGACTCGCAATGGTTCCTGTCGGGGGCCAGCGGTACCAACACTTATAACTTGTGGCACAACGAGCCTGTGAATACGCTCAATGGCGTGCAGATTTGTGAGGCGGACTTTGACCTGAATGAGGATGGGACTCCGTGGTACTACTTCCAATATGTGGATTGGGTCTCGTACTACCCGCCCGAATGCGAGTTTGTTGCGGTCTTGACGAACGTTAGTTCGTCGGACCAGCCAACCTGTTAAGGACGCGTGTGCGTTCAAATTGACAAAAGGGTCATTTGATAACAGAAGCTGAGATGCGGCGGAGGAGGGAAGACATGGGATGACGAAAGCGGGTGCTTGTCTGTATGGTTGAAGGCTCGCAGCTCATTGTGAGTTGAGCTCATATAGACAGAATGAAGTTCCATAGCCCAGCGCCAAGACTAGTATCATCGTAATTCCATGTGACTAGCTCGAGTCTTTGTTTCCCTTGTGACACTGCATCAGGTAGGGCTAATCGGTCCTCCGCCATACTCAAAAGGACTCTCAGGCTGTGCCTCATACACATAGAATGTGCTGTTTCTCTGATCCGGAAGCCAGTAGACTCGTAGTTTCCCATCTTCCACACTCGAATCGACCGGGTTCTGCGTCATTCGGACTCCACGAAGACTCTTGAGCATAATCGGCACTTCAGCCAAAGGCTGCATCGACTCGGCATCGACCAAAGCGAGCCCGCCCAGGCTGTATCCGTCGTCAAGAGAAGCCACTCCGGAGCAAAGCATTACGCTTGCGCCGTGGTAGAGATCGCTTCGGCCGAGCCATTTGCAGTCCTGGTAGTCGACAAAGTAGCTCGGGTTGCGGACCGTAGTCACGGGCTGTCGCGGAGAGCAATCGGCTGCCGCTCCATCCCCGAGAGCCCAAGTAGATGCGTTTCGGCTTCCCCAGTTGAGCGTAGTGATGCTGTTCTCGGTGGTATCGTGTACAATCGCGCCCAGATGGTCGTTGTATCGCAAAAGCGTTTGAGGCTTCAAGGTGTACGGGTCTGCTTTGTAGACATTGGCGGTGCTGTTTGGGCGGTACTGAGCAAGGGTGCCCCAGATCCAGCGTCCGTCGTAGTCAATCCCGCCATTATGATACTCTGCGTCTCCTTCCTTTGTGATTGTCGCATCGGCGATCCTCTCTCCTTTTCCATTGTACACCATGAGATGGGCGAATCCTCTACCCGGTGTCCGATCTGTGCCATTGATGGGATGGGGATACTTTTGTGTGTGCTCAGTATACTCTCCACAGCTGATCACGTAGCGATCTGGACCCAAGCGGACGAGGCCTTCGGGCTCGAACGTGTCGCCTTGAAAGCTTATGTTTGCGATGCTCTTCCATACTGTTGTCCTGCCGAGTGTCTGGAATAATCTGATGATGGTCTCGCCGTCGGATGCTGCGTGTGAGGGAGGGAGTGGAGAGGGCGCAAAGGGCGTGTCTTTTTGGTAGGTGGTGATGTTCAGAGGGTCATTTGCGGTAGGCAGGCATGATGTGGTTCCCTGGTGGATTTTTATGCCGAGAGCATGTGCAACGTTCGAGCTGATGCGCGGGAAAGGAAAGATGAGGACGAGGACGAAGATGATGATGGTAGAGATGGTGACGACTGAAATGTTGACTCTTGACATGGAAGCAAGCGGTCGCTTCGGACCAGCGCTAGTGGTGCGATGCAGGGAATATGATTCGGGCATGAATATGAGGCACAAGCGAGGATCAACGGGGATCACCGCATGTGAAGTTTCAGTGTTGGTGCCGTATGTACGAGGTCTGTACTTGTTGTAACCGCAGTGGCAGAAATGGAGGCTGAATGAAGGGATTGATGGCGTAAGAAGGCATTTGCAGGACCGTCATCACGTGGCGTCATCACAGATGATTAAATCTTCCGGCTCTATTGTTAGCATCATGTTCTTGCTTTCCTAGATCTCTGATTTCACAGAATGTGACTTCCTCATCTCATGCATCCTGAGCCTCCAGAATAAACCCACAGTATGGCGACGTTGAGTGATAAGCGATGATAGTATGCAAGGACATGAATCGGACGAAGAAAGACACCAACCAGATCACTATGCTGAATCTCAGCCGAATTAGGCAATCCTTGAATAATCCCTCCTCCAGGGCCCGATACCCGATATACAGGCTGTTGATCAGGGTTACACTGCGAGGTCCGTGTTATACTCGCATTCGGCTCATTCCCATGTCAGTTCGGGCCACGATCTTGGATCTTGCACAGCAGCACTGCCACTCACTCATCTTCTCCATGTCAAGAGCGCCTTTTTTATCTCTGCTGCCTTACGTAAAGTCGTCACCTCTTTCATCACAGCCGCCGCCATAATCCAACCAGGCAGCTCTATTTCAGCTCTGTTACTATATCGGAATTCGGCTGCCTGGCTGTGGAAAGCCGGCGGCTTATTCGCCTTGTGAAGAAGTGCGCTACATAAAGGCTACAGTTCTCTTCCAAAGAGAGAGGGGTTCACTCAACCAACTTGCTTCATCCCAGCAGAATAGCATAGCCATGTCACAAGAGACATTCAACTTAGCCGGCCTGCCATTCGAGATCCGCAGCCTCATCTGGGAGGCCACTCTGCCTCCTCCTCGGATCTTCCACGTCAAGAGCACAGCAGAATCCAGCCTCCAGAAGATCCTCACCTTCCACCGGAAACACCCGCCGCCCGTTGCGCTCCACATCTGCGCCGAGTCCCGAGCCGCGGCTCTCCGAAACGGAGGCTTCTTCCTCGCTCCTCCGGATGCCGCCACGGGGCCTTGGTTCAATCCCAAGCGGGACATTCTGTATTTCGACCGCAACCAGCGCCACATGCTGCGCTCCAAGTTCGGCAAGACGCAGATCGCCGGCTGGGAGCAGGTCCTACATGTCGGGCTGGAGTGGCGGGCCTGGTTCCGCGATGTGCCGCGGCGGACGGCGCCTGGGGACGAGGAGGTTCGCAAACACTGGCGGAGCGTCGTCAGAGGGCTCTACTTCCACATGCCTGCGCTGGAGGGCATTCACTACGTGCTCCCGCGCGTGCGGCATAAGGGGGGCGTGACGTGGGGCAGAGAGCCTTACAAGGCAGCAGAGTACGAGGCGGATGTGGTGCGTCTGCCAGAGGAGACGGAGATTCCGTGGGCTGGAGCGGGCATGGGCATTCGGAACGCAGTTCACCACGGCGCGGCAGCGGGGAATGCCGCACCGGGCGTCTTGGTTGTGCCTGGAGCGACGGAAGGGAGCAGGACGCTGTTGACCATGACGACGTGGGGGGACATCAAAGCGGATATGGTGGCGGCTTTGGAGGAGGAGCTGAAGGGAAATGGAGAGGAGGAAGTGGTCGAGCTGGACTGGACTTTGGCGAATGGAGATGACGGCGATGAGGGCAGCAATACGTGCGTGTTTCCAGGCAACCGGCTGCCCGAGGTCGCGGGATGGTGGCTGTTGAGGCGAGACGCGCCACGAGAGGATCATCCCAGTATCAGAGAGTTTTTTGATTAATGGCAAGCAGAATCTCTCATATGTGAAACATACCTGATCATGTTTGCTTCGCCCAATGTCTTACGGCCAGGGCAATAACCAATGCCAACAGTGGCTCAATAGTATTCACATAATGTACGATATCCAATAACCATCCATCATCGCAGGAATATGTTGCCCAACACTAGATGCGTCCTTCATTTAGGCGTCAAATCAAGCATCAGCTTATTGTTGTTGTTGACGAAGGCTGTGCTTACACCTGTAATTCTATTCGAACCTCTGCACGACTAGCTTATACAGAGGTGATGCCTAACCTGAACAACGCCAAGTGCACACTCCAACGCGCGCAGTAGACGCAGGATAAGTCTATCCCAAACCATCGGCAAACTCTAAAGAGCATCCAATCGCATCAAGGAGAACTCAAAATACACTCATACCGAGTCTGACTGCCGGAACTGTTGACTGCATGGCTCCTATCTCAGTACAAACAATAGCCAAACTCTCACCACCCACCGAATTAGATGTCACTGCTGCACTTCGCTAGGCTGAAAGCTCAAAGATCTCATCGGCAATTCGACGAATGCAGCTTCTTACGGTATAGGCATCCAGCTGATAGGATTTTCTACTAGAGACTGGCTGCAGAAGCTTTGCTGCGTTGGCGCGCTTATGTTGGTGCCAAGTCCATGTCGACTCTGCGAACGAGACGAGCTGAAAGCGGATCGCGGTCCACCGCAGCGTCCATCATCATCCACCTGCGCTACCAAAGGATCTCCAATCATCCCTTGGGATGGGCATGCATGCCGACTGCAGGATGAGATTTTGCTTCATTGGACCCGGTTCCCAGGGAGATGGGCGTGGCAGGGGTGCGGATGCTGTTGGATGACAGTTGCTGTATGATCGCCTTTCTTCGTACATGGACGTGAAAGGAGCAAGGGGGAGTCGGGATATAGAACTGAGACACGGCAAGGCGTGCAAAAGCTGCGGCTCAATGCAAAATGATTTTGTCAATATAAGTAGAGCCTTCATCCAGTTTGTTCTTGCTGTTAACCTGGTTTGATCTACGAGTCAGCTGAGATCGAATTCACAATGGCGCGGTTATGTGTGCTGCTATTTGTTCTCCTTGCCCAATTCTTGTCGGCATGGGGTCTACCGACATATGTGCCCCCTGTTCGCATACGGGAGTTCAACCTGACGGTGACATGGGAGAAGCATGCACCAGATGGCTTCGAGCGATACATGTTCTTGATCAATGGCCAGTCTCCGGGTCCTACGCTCGAGGTTGATCAGGATGACTGGGTCGTTGTCCGTGTGCAAAATGACTCTCCTCAAAACACTACGGTTCACTTTCATGGTAAGGCCACGATAGTGTTATCTTGCAAGTCTCCGTACATATATGCCCCCAGCTAACACTCGTCCAAGGCATTGAGATGTTAAACACCCCATGGTCCGACGGCGTCCCAGGACTCTCCCAACGTGCCATCGCCCCCGGATGCAGCTTTATCCACGAATTTGCAGCTACTCAATACGGCAGCTTCTGGTACCACTCTCACTTCCACGGCCAGATTGAGGACGGACTGTACGGCCCCATTATAATCCACCCTCGTCCGCAAGACCCGAAGCCTTTCCATCTGATATCTGCCGACCCTCTGGCTATTGCTGCCATGACTGAGGCCGAACGCACCGTCAAGCCCCTTGCCATCGCCGATTTCAACCACTTCACGTCCGAAGAGAAATGGAACATCGCATTGGCCAGTGGCGTCGAGGATTCGTGCTATGATTCCATCCTCTTCAATGGAAAAGGACGAGTCCAATGTCTTCCAAGTGCTGAGGTGGCTGCCAATCTCAACGATGATCAAAAGGCTTTTTTGGCTCTTGGCAATGCAACTTCGATGACAGACAAATCGTATGTTCATCTGACATGCCCACGTCCGTATCGCGCTGCTCTTACTGACATCGAAGCTGAACAGTTGTCTCCCGCCCTCATCTCTGGCTGCAGTGGGCGGCGACCCCTCCGCCGCCAATCTTTCTGCCATCCCAGCAGGAGCATTTTCCGGCTGCAAAGAGACTAAAGGCTCGATCGAGATCATACAAGCCGAGCTCTCGTCTATTTCCACCCACCAATGGATCGCAATCGACATCATCGGCTCCATCAACTTCATGACGGCCATGGTGTCCATAGACGAGCACGACATGTGGGTATATGCCATGGACGGGTCGTACATTCATCCGCAAAAGGTGCAAGCCTTGGTTCTCACCAACGGTGACCGATACAGCGTCATGTTGAAGATTAGCAAAGCCGGACGATTCAACATTCGATGCAATTCCATCAGCGACCCGCAGATCCTTGTCGGACATGCTGTTTTGGATATTCACAGCAGCTGCGGAAATACCAACACCGGAGAGTCGAAGCCATACATCAGCATCGCTGGAGTGCCTGTATCAAAGAACGTGGTAGTCTTTAACCAATCTACCGCAGCGCCATTCCCACCGGAGCCAATTGCCCAAAAGGCAGATGTCACGTACAAGCTCAACATGAAGATCGACGGCGCATCGTATCTATGGGCACTCAACTCCAGTCGTCTTATGCCCGCCGATCTGGACAACTCTAATGAACCTCCTGTCTTGTTCCGACACCCTGAGCCCATACAGAACAACGTCACCATCTCGACTTATAACGGCACCTGGGTCGACCTGGTACTTTTCGCAAGCACATTTCCCATGCCTCCCCACCCAATCCACAAGCACAGCAACAAAATGTTCCAGATTGGCGCAGGCAACGGTGACTTTACCTGGGACTCAGTTGAAGAAGCAATCAAGGAGAAACCTGAGCTGTTCAATATCGCCAACCCGCCTCGCAGAGATAGTATCGCGTCATTGCCAGCCATCACTGGAACATCGTGGGTTGTGGTTCGATATCAGGTCGTGAATCCGGGTGCTTGGTTGCTGCATTGTCATATTAGCAACCATCTGTTGGGAGGCATGTCTATCATTATTCGGGATGGCGTGGACAAGTGGCCGACGGTTCCTGAAAAGTATTTGGATGGTAAATTTTGAGCGGAGTTGGTCAAGTAAAAGTTTCTTGTTAATGTTGGTATTATTTGTTATTACAATAGCTTTAATTCTCGATCTTATGGCTTGATCGGTCGCGTTAACCACATGCCAGAATCAACACAAAGAGCATTTGGGAGCTTAATTTCATCGATTGAGTGGTAAACCAGTCATGTATGGTAAATGAGGCGCACTTTCATCACGACGAGCGAGCGTGACACTGTCCAGTGTGCTCAGATACAATTCTTCACTGTCGTCTCCGCTTCTCCTCATAGATGCTCTATGATATACTGCATTCTGGTTCTTGTAAACTGCGGGATTCGGATGACGCTAAAGTGCACCAATTGGAGCAGCTCACCTTGATGCTACCGAAGCAAAGTACATGGACTTTCTGCCACGAGACTGAAAGTGAAGAAAACATTTCCAAGAGCAGAGACTGTACTTTGGCAAACCTTTCCCCTAGAAGAAAAGCGCGGTACCAAAGATACGAACCTCGATGACCCACTGGCCCTAGCGCCGTTCGAATTCTGCGATCTTGTTCGAATTTTTGACTCTTCCTCGAGACCCTCATCCTCCTTCTCACCGTCCTCAGTGCTTTGCTTAGCTACGGGCCAGCAGGCAAATGGCCGCACGACAACGGCGCCACAACACCACGGAACGGCATCATGACAGCTCAGGCCGTTTTTTAAATAGTCTCCAATATGCCGTCGTCTCAAGAAACTGTCCCTGATCGGGCTGTCCCTGAATCCATGGACTCTTCACACAACAAAGCAGATACTGCATCCAGTACTGCAGATGCCGCTGCCGATACCGCGAACTCCGGGTCCAGTACTGCTACAGATCCTGTATCCAGTTCAGATGCTTCAGCTGCACTTACGGATCCTACGTCTAGTACTACCAACCCTGCGTCCAATGAGACGAAAGCCGATTCTACGGATTCCGCAGCTACACCAAATTCTACTCATGCTTCATCCAATCCTACAGATTTCGCACCAGCTTCTACGAACTCCGCATCTACTATCAAAGATATTGCACCCAATGCTACAAAACCGGAACACAATACCACAGATCCTGCACTCAACACATACCCTACCCCCCGCTATCCTAGCCCTACCCCAGAAGATGGACTCGGGCTTCAGCATGGGATGCCCAATCCTCAGGGGGCATTTCCTCATCCACAGACCGCTGCTTCAGTGACGGTGGCTTCCAGTTCCCAAGCCCCTGTTCCCCATACTCAAGTCGCGACTGCAGGTCAACAGAGCGCGGCTGCAAATTCGCAGGTCATGGCTTCCAGTCATCATCTAACCGCGAGTACACATCCACCTCCACATCCATACTGGGCATATCCAGCCCCATGGCAATATCCGCCTCGAGGCCAATATCCAGTTCCAGGCCCATATCCTCCTCCCGGCCAGTACCCTCCTCTTGGTCACTATCCTCCTGGTCAGCATCCCCTTCCTGGCCAATATTCAGGTCCGGGTCCATGGCCAGCTCCAGGCCATCATCAAGCTTCAAGTTCATGGCCAGCTTCCATTCCATATCCACCTCCAGGCCACTATCCGGCTCATATGCCTCCATACCCTCATCCACCTCCAAATTACTATATGCCTCCTCACCCTCATCCTCATATGCCTCCACATCCCAATCCTCATATGCCCCCAAGTTCTTATCCTCATATGGGCCCTTATATACCCCCAAACCATCAGATGGGTCCAAATCCTCACCCTCCTATGCCACCATACCCTCATCCTCATACGGCCCCGGGACCCTACCCGGTTCCAGGTCAATACCCAGCTCCTACGGCTCCCGGTCCTCAAGCGCTTCAGACTTCACGGACCGCGGCTCCGAATCCAGGAAGTGCAATTCCCACCCCAGAAACGGCGTCGCAGAGTCCACAAACAGGAACTCCCGGTTCAGGAGCTGCGACTCCAACCCCAGAGATGGAGGCTCCAAATTCAGAAACTGCGGGCTCCAGCGGCTATAAAATCCCAAAACGCGTTCATCGCATCGAACGCACATTCTCTGTAGAGAAGAAACAGAGCGTTCTTACCTTTCTGCAACAGCATCGCATTCCTACGGACAAGCGGCCTTCCAGGATAAAGACGGGTCTGGAGGATGTCGAAGGCAACCAACAGCAGGAGGAAGGGGGCCGCTTCTTTCGGACTCCAACCTTTCGCGAAGCTGCGGCACACTTTCAGATCTCCTCGACGACGATTGCGACATGGTGGAAGCAGCGTGAAAAGATCATGGCCAAAGGGAGGCGGTGACCTGGCACATCATATTAAATACTTGGTAGCGGTTGAGTCGTTTGTTGATATAAATGCATTTTGCTCAGATAATGAAGATAGGCGAACTGAAGAATACAGCAGGCTACATCCAAATACAAAGTCACGGACAGCTATAGCTGATGAACTCTCATGATAGTGGATGTGAATAGCTGCAACATAATGGCGTGGTATCTGTAACAGCCACACGAGATACAGATCTGAGCCGTCCTCTCTCCCTGGGGGTGGTATGGAATCTTGAACATGGATGAAGATTGATGTTGCGTAATGCTATCGTAAGTCTATATGGCCGTTCCCAAGCTGCGAAAGTGCGAGGATAAAATATTATCTCGTACACACATGTTTAATATACATCATCAGGGCTCTAAGCTGTAGATGCATTGTCATGTTTCTTCTCTTGCTTGAATATCACCCGCAAGTCTTTTGTAAGCTCAATCAAAGCCCGCAACACCACCAAGCTAACCATGCACACAGGCCCCAGAATGGCAAGCAGCGTGAAAGCATACGAAGCTTGTTGAAAGGCAGTATTTGCCTGAAGCCGCTCCGTCGCAAGGCCCACCTGCATCGCAGTCAAGATCAAAACCAGATATGCTGTTATCGCAGCAATCCACGCGAGATTATCGCGGAAGAAGCTGCTGTAATTGTTCCATCCGCCAAAGTACGCTTCAGAAAAGAGAAACTGCTTCGTCCGATGAATGGCGTTGATGCGGGACAAGCGAAGCTCTGCTCGGATGAAGCGAGGATGGACGGTGGTTGAATCATGCTGAGCAAGGATTTCTCTCACGAAACGCTGCCATTGTGCCCATCTGATGGGTGCATCGTCCGTTTCTCTTGGCAGGAGACGCTTTTCAATGGCAATCATAAAGTCGCTTTCTGTAGAGACGAGGCAGGCATATGTGTACAGGAACCCGCGAGCGACTTTTCGCAGGGGTTCCTTGCACATGGTGTTGGGAGAAGGAGGATGTCTCGACTCTACAGTCGGCTGAGATTCCATGCTCATGCCGCTCCCAAAGCGGTCGCTGCACGAGCAAAAGTCGGGACAGGTGAGATGATTTTGCCAAAAGTCGGGACTGAGGAGGAACCTCGAGAGAGGCTTCACAAAGAGCTTCCCATCGGGGCTCCATAGGAGATGCAGGTCCATACGGTCTGCAAGGACGATGTTGCGACCGATGGCGACTTGCAAATGCAGTTGCGTGGGAGGGCGTTTGGCGCCTGCTAGCCAAAGATGCTTGTCTATCCCCTCCAGCTGCTGCAGCGATAACTCCGTGTTCAAGAAGGCGGCCACATCCTTTGAAGGGTCTTCGACTCTGCGACGTCTCCGGCCGCCGATTGCCTGTTCGTAGTAGTGGTATGAGGCTGGTAACAGATCGGATGAATCACTGTGTTCCAACTCTTTCAGGACGCGTGTAGTGAACTGGAGGGTCTTGGTTAGCGGTAAGATCTGCCTACGTGTCAATGTTTAGTATTCACCGGCAGCTGTGTATGACCTTGCTTCATCACGGTGAGTGTGAGCGGTGTGTAGAGATGTTTCCGTCGCGTTGACAGGAGTGATGAAAGCTGGGGGATAGAACTAGGAAATGGCAAGACGCGGCTCAGGCAGAAGCAGGAAAGTGTTGTCCAGATGCTGGTTTAATATAAGCGCGAATCAATATGGCTTGTCTTGCTGCAAGGCATACCTTGTGCGACCGTGAAAGTGCTATTCCTCTGCGGTTCCAAGCGGGTTTGGGAGGGGAAAGAAAGGGAGATATGGTCAAGAATACTATGATTACGAATGCTCGCATTGCTCTTAATGAGCTAGATACCCAGTTGACTGCAACTACCGCAAATTTACACCGAGTTCTTGGAAGAGACCGGTTGAGGCTTCATCTTTGTGTGTACTCCGCATGTTCGTGTGAAGATCATGATACCCTGTAAGCCTTGGGATAACTGCATACACAAGACAAACCTCTTTCACATGGGCCGCTGCAGTACTTTCTGTACCTTACGCATATTAACTTCTGATGAACTCAACACCTACTTCACCACCATCTCACACTCAAGCCCCGTTCAACTTCAGGCCATGTTTATACTTGGAAATGGTCTTGGAGACTCTCAGCATGCAAAATGGTTTGGCTCGAATGGTAGGAAATCCCTTGTCAACCACACCGCTGAAGGGAATTTTTAGACAGAAAGAGACACACAAATAGCAACAATTGGCCTTGCGATCCCACACTTGCTCTCTGTCGCTTGTTAAGTTCCCCCCAGCAAGGAGAGCTGCTCAGCACTTACTCGCAGGCTGAAGACGGCACCATATACAGAGTCCTTCATGACTAATGAATTGACAGCAAAGCCAGTCACATGATGTTGTTCTCACACAGTGCCTGTTTCGATCGTCGAGTCGTGCAGAAGATCCAGGCTGGGTCTTGAAGATTTTGGCCCGCGTTCTCCACTCCGCTTTGATCTGACATTGAACCCTTGACAGTCTCAGACAAGTGAGTTTCAACAAAGATATCATCTGCTTCATTCATCTCTCTTCTCAGTATCGAGAAAACTTCAAGGCTTGTCTTGCGCTACAAGTTGGCGCGCCAGGATGTCTCCATCAGCCACCGGCAGCGAGCCTCCGAGGGCAAAGAAGTCCTGTTTCAGTTGTCGAAGTATGTGAGACTCCGTTCCACCGTTAGCGCCCGTCTGTGTTCTTCAAGCCATGGGTTTGCCTTCTGCCGACGGCAACGATGGCGTGAATCATATGAAGATCATCACTTATACGCCGAGGACTAACGCTTTACAGCCCTCAAAATCGCCTGCGACAGAGTCTTGCCTGCGTGCACAGCCTGCAGGACGCGTGGCAAGACGTGCTCCGGCTACAATGAGAACCTCTCATGGCCGCGGAAAGGGGATAAACGACGCGCCGTTACGGCCAATGTGCGCAGCCGGGGCAGCTACCGAGCGAATCCAGCGGTTTTTCTGAATACGTCCAGCTGGGACGTGGGCTTGTATCGCGAGCATGTCGATACAGGAGGGCATAGTGAGTGACTCTGGCCGTGGAGTTGGTGTAGCTCTGGTCTGACCAAATTGATAGTTGGGCATATGGGAGTTTGGACGCCGCCGATATCACCAAGCAACTCATTATGGTCTACCAAGCTTGGATTCTGTGAGTGAAAGCTCCATCCCATCAAATATGGTGTGGCTATCCAGCATACTGAGACAGGGCAGATGGACCTCAGTTGCCCTCGGCAATCCGCCTCGTCACGACAGGCACGTTTCATGACGATGTGTGCGGCCTCTTATACCGCATGTCAATTGGCGAAAATAGCGTACACGCCATGTCTCTACGCCATTCCATGAATGCAATATCACTACTTTCCCTGCACAAGACGAACGAGGCACTCAAGTACAAGATCCTTGCCATATCAAATCTCAAAAGCGCCATCATGCAGGGCCTGGATAACCGATCTCGGCCACAGGCCATTGCCGCCAGTCTACTGTTGACCTTGTACGAGGTGAGTCAAAAAATGATTTATGAATACTACTTGCATGCATCTAACCTGCCTTTGTAGGTCCTCAGTCAGAGCGGCAAGACCAATGACTGGTCCGTATACTTTGACGGCTGCATGAAGATTGTCAACTCTGGCTTTGATATCCATCGCAAATACGCAGGAGACTGTGCCATCCTGCTAAATTGGGTCCGCTATCACAAGGTGCTGTACAAATTCAGCATCAAGCATTGGCAGCAACGGACTCCGCAGATGGAGGTCATGGCCAAGTCGGAAGTTCTTGTGGCAGATTCAGCATACGATATCGACCTGATAACGGTGAGACATCGCCCGAGTATCAACAATAGATGCCACTCTTACTGACGAAGCTTCTAGATGCACAACATGCTGGGCTGCTCACCCCAGGTACTGGATTTTCTGAGCGAAGCAATGGACCTCGTCAAGAATCGAGATGACCCCAGCTATCTATCCATCAGACGCCTGCGCGCCATCAATGAACTTGAGCTACGTCTCAAGGACATCGACGACTTGCGTGACTGCTTTGACGTGGAAAAGGACGGCGTCACCATAAGCAAGGCTGCGGAAAGCATGAATGATCGCTTGTTCCAGTTCGCTCTCATAATCTACGTCGACAGAGTCGTCAAAGGCGCCTTCATGTCTTCGACAGCCGCCCGAAGCGCCGCCGCCAAGGCATTTGCCCTCTTGGAGAAGATCCGGTTATATGACAGACCATTCCCCCTCTTCATTCTCTCCATCCAGGCAGAGACTGACGAGCAACGTCTACTCATTATGAATACCATACAGCGAACAACGGAAGCAAGGCCGATGAATAATCTCGGATCGACGGAGGAAATGATTAAGAAACTCTGGGCTCAGCAGGACTTGCAGGGGCCGGAGCAAGCTGATGCTCTTTTCCTGCTGAATGCTGTGATAAGCGCCAGCAGTATGCCGCCGACGTTTACTTCGCCTTTTGTCATCAATGCCATTACTGGTGCGCATGCTGTGCCGTTCTTGTCCATTTGAGATGTTCAAGGGAATGGGAAACGTTTTTTCTACTGTGTTGGGATATTTCAGATAGCGTTGCATATAGACATCAGGTAACTCATGCGCTTCATGCCTTTGCCAGCTCTAAAAGGCTGATGTATCCGGTGATGAAGTATTGATCTATTAAACAAGAAGAGATAACTTATAGATTCCTATAAGTATTCAACCAAGTGGCTATAAACAGAATGCGTTGAAACGAATGACAGAAGAAAAGAAGTGAATGACAGGCCCCCTATGCTTAAGCATATCATGGCTGACCGCCCAGAGCGCGAACAACATCAGCGACCTTTGCAAAAGCCAGCTCGTTCAAAGTCTCCTTCCATAGCCTTTCTGCAATCGTCTGACCCTCGGGTTTGTAAACGAGCGGTGCCATTCTGCGCGAAAAGCGTTAGCGAATTGTCTTTAGTAAGTTCCATGGGATAACTGTAAATAACTTACGGCTGAACCTTTCCATCCTCAAAATACTCTCCATGAGACTCCGGACCCTGCTTCACAGCTGCATCTGTTAACGCGCGAGCTCCTACGTCCGTTTTGCGCCCAAGCAAGTGATGGAGAGTCGATACGAGCGCCCTGTCGAGAAGGTTGTTGTAATCGCGACTCAAGCTCGACTTGCACAGACCCGGATTGGGAGCGTTTATGATCGTAGAAGATAGCGGTACCCTCTTCACCAGCTGCGAGAGAAACAGTTGTCCCAGTAATTTGGAAGTAGCATACTGATCCCGGTCTTTAAACGACCGGGGCTTATCCAAACCAGCAAGTAGCGGCACCGAGGTTCTCTCTTTGAATTCGGCCCATGCGGCTGTGTCGGATGAGACGAGGACGAGATGACCGGGTTGTGCGGCGGTGTTCTGTTCCTCAAGAGTTGGTAGGAGCAGCAGTGTCAGGAGAGCGAGAGAGAGATAGTTGACTTGCACCATCTCTTCATGGCCTGTAAACGTATTCTGCTTGTAGGTCTTGTTGAGGAGACCTGCGTTGTGGACGACTATATCGAGCCTCTCGAGCGCCTTGGCGCGCTCCGCAAACGCAACGATGGAATCATAGCTCGATAGATCGAGCTTCCAGACTTCAATGACTGGAAAGTTGCCAGTATTTTGGTGCTTCAAGAGCAGCTGCTTCGCCTCCTCGCCCTTTGATTCGCTGCGGACGGCGATAATGAGCCTGCTGAGGCCAAGGTCCAGGAGCTGCGCGCTGCACTCGAAGCCGAGGCCCGTGTTAGACCCTGTGACGATGGCGGTTTTGCCGCTCAAGTCAGCGTCCTTCTGACTCCAAGCGGGAGGCTCCCGGCAGAGCTGTCGTTGAAGGAAGGCAAGCTGCGACGCCCGCTTCTTAGGTGTGATGTCGAATTCGGGTGCCATTTTATACTCGGTCATATATGGAAGAAAGATATTCTTAAATTACTGGTGGTAGATGCGAGATAGGTCTTGGAAAGAATGTCTTTGGATTTGACTGGTATCAGAGCCCTCTATATACTTCTATATCTCAACTAACAACCGCTCAAGAAATTAGTATTTCCTTGCCCGGAAACCGAATCTCGCGCTTGTTACATCCTTTCTCCGGCAGTCAAGGAATGGCCTGAACAATGTCTGCGCGATATCTAGATGTAGACGCCTACACAAGGTCGTGTAAGTCATAGACAAGTTACTAAGCCATGCGCCGCTCCATTCTGCTAACTCAACAGCGAGGCCGGAATTAGCCAGCCTTAGTACCGACCAGGAGTGCGATTCCGGACTCTCCATGCACGATCCCTGCATGGAACGAGATCTTGATCATCAAGCTTAATGCGAGAGAAGCTGGTGTGGGGGCCCAGAGGAATCTGCCGTTGCATTGGGTTCGTGGATTCGGGGTTAATAACGGCGATCATATACGCCATAGACGCGAGCCAATCATTGGACTCTTTCTTTCATGGGATTCAGAGAGTGTCTCCATCCATAAGAAGCTGAAACAGATGCGAGCCGTGTGGAATTACCTGGTACGCAGAGGGCGATCTTGGACTAGGCGAACCGTGGCAAGCCTCGAGGTCTTCTTCACCTGCAGCACAATAAGGTATACGTGTATCTCCGATCTAGTATCTTTCCGGTAGAAGCGGGAATTTCTAGAGTAGACTTTCATGAACGATAGATCATTGGTTAATGCATCGCTGCGAAGACCATCCTAGGGGAAACATTCCGCAGGGAGCCGCGGCATCCATTTGCGGAGTTGAGGATTTCGGACATCCGCAGAAAGCGAACGACAAGATTTCAGCGATAAACGCCCTATCATGGCCCCAGTAAGGCCTTATGTAATAGTCATCAAACAGTCCCCGAAAGGACTTCGAAGTATAGCAGGCAATGCCATCAAGCCAACATGTCGGCTATGTACGAGTTGACAAACGTAGGACAGAGGCTGTGCATTATTGCTCTCCACCATTTCTCCGATTGAAGAGCGAAGGTTAACCTCACCAATGCTATCGAACCACGACAAAGCGGCGTTTCCGAGTGCTTTCGCAGCTATGGCTCCAAGCAAACCAACGCGTTACATGCGCCCCGAAGATTGTACTCTCTGCAAAACCTCACTATATCTTCAAAGGCATGCCGAATCGGTTTGGCCCAGTAAACTGAAGCTTCTACTATCAGGTGAACTGAGCATCATTGCAGCGGGTGGAACGTGGGCGACCAGCTCCCCCAATGTTCACTGCTCATCTATTCTGCAGTCCGAACCACAAATACACTTGCTTTGCTACCCCTCACAACTAACTCGTGTATCCTATCGGAGAAACTCTGAATTTCTAAAACATATGGCTCGTATATGAACCCCAGCCTCTTCAGCCCAGCTCAGCCGTCAAACTCTAACCCCAACATATCAGCCCATCAGCCACTGCCGGCTTCCGCCACTTGGAGACCTCTATCCAATCAGCACGACTCAACCGCAGAGGCTGAGGCCGCCTTTTATCAACGCCATGGTGGATCAACGTCACAGTTCAAGAGCTGACAACTTGTTCAAAACCTACTCGGCTGTCGATGGTCTGGATGGATCTCGCTGACTACTGTCATACGGCCCGGCTGATGATTCTCCGTTAGAGCCATTCTTAATCAAATGAGGCTTTTTACAAATTCTGGGTATATGGTATATCTCATTCGGCATCTCACATTCCAGAGACGATATATTCTCCTAGGCCTCAGGGTCTATAAGAGTCTCGGTCAGACGCCACCGTTTGGATTCGTGGCGGCGCCTCTCCGGCAGTGAACCATCCGTCTGGGACGTGATGGGCTTCTCATGTGCCTTTCCCCTCATGCCATGTTTACAGCTGAGTTTTGTGATCATGTTTGAAAAGCAGATGTTGCCCCGGAAGCAGACGCTCTTCTTGATTGAGTTGGAATTTTGTGACAACCCAGATAGTTTCCAGCAGACATATTGAGCGAAATGCAAAATGAACTACGACGACTTTCCAATTCGTTCGAGAATTATAGGATCAGCCTCTTTAGCAAGACGAAATGCTACAGACGTTCCACCCTCGTCGACCAGCGGCCATGACTACATTCCCATCATCGTCATGACCGTCGTCATACTATCGATTATCGTCATACTCGTTCTTGTTGCGTACGCACGCTCTATTTACCATTCTCCCATCTTGCTCTCAGTGCACAAATAGCTGATATAAGCCTCATGTCTATCGCAGACGATACACAAAACTGTGTGATCGGAAAAAGCCGAGAGAGGCCCTAGACGATCCTGAAAGTGCCCAGAATGCGGGCAGGATGGAGAAGCTCAACGAAAAGGCGCCAAACCAGAGTTACAGCAGTTGGAAAGAGAAGAGCGAAAGCGACAGCGGTTCAGGCACGAAAGAAACTACCTTTGTCGTATGGTGAGGATCTCTACTTCCTGAACTATTCGTTTCAATGCTACATCCAGGTCGCTGACGGGCGGGCAGTGCAATATGCCTCGAAACGCTACAGGAGGACGATCCGATTCGTAAGCTGTCGTGCGATCATATTTTCCACTCTCTTTGTCTGGCAAAGTGGTTTTTGAAAAGACATGAGACGTGTCCGCTCTGTAAAGCATCATTCATGCGTACGCCAGAGAAACCGAAAAGCCCTGTACAGATTCCAGAACGAGCACATACCAGATGAATGCATTGAAGCCATTTACAGTTCACTTACTGTTCATCCACTGAATGAGAAGGGCCCTCTGAGTGAATCGCAAACTGTCAATTCATTGGGCGAGAAGATGCAGATTGAATCCAACCAAAGAGTGTGCATCACGGATGGAGTATGTCTTGACTCGGATTTGTTCGGCAACAATCAGAAAAGTCGATCAGGTAACGAAAGCCGAGCTCCATCTACAGATTCGGACGCTGTACGCGTCGTTGCTACGGTAGGAAGTAATCAGCGGAGCCGATACAGTCTGTTTTATAGTAAGTCAAAAGCGGCCCCTGTCACACCAAACTGTCACAAAGGGAGACTGTTCTTCACCGAGACATGGGTGCATGGCTCCCAACAGTTCTACGGTAAGATGAACCGGCCATTTGTGCGAGAACACATAAGAAGGACCAATGAAGAACGAACAATGGCGACATACGGCTGACGGTTGAATGAAACAATGGTTCGCGGCTCGAGCATCCGGAGCAGAACCAACGGCATTTAGCTCTTCGGCCCCGGACTCCGTCGCTATTGACACGGACCGTTGATGACTCCATGCGCAGGGAGTCTCAGAAACCACTACATGTCTAGATCATCGAAGGGCACCAAACTCGCCCTTATTGCAGGCAGAAGACAAATGGCCCACTGAAGCCGGCGTCGGGGACTTTCCAAGATGTACAGGATAAACAAGGTCATGAATCACTCGGGTGATTCTTAACATGGTTTCAACCCAGCTAGCTTCCCAGTCAAGTAAGCTTAACCCACAAGCTTGTCCTGGACCATGCGATGCGGATCTATATATTTCGAGAAGACAGAATAGCATGGACGCGTCCGTCACAGGTTGATTGGTGTGCTCATCTCCGCTCCTCGTACCATCTACACCTCTGGTCTCACCATTCGGCACCTCGTCGGCAGGAACAGTGTCCCAGACCCCTTTCTCAAGGTGACCTTAGCCGCCCAAGTGAGCTTGCGTGATTACAAGCTTAGATATTAAGGTTACACTTTTAATACCGAGCTTCCTTTTCGGGAGATTATCTGCATAACTGTACTTTGCAGGGAGGATGGGGAAAGTCTACGTATATAAGTGATGCTCTTCTACTGTTCCCTCCTGGTTTCTACCTATAGACCTTGGGGTCATTCACTAACTATGAATTCATTTACCATGTATCATGTTCACTCTTGGGACTGAGGGGAACAATCGTGGTGTTGGTGGGCTCAAGACGCTTGGACTCTATGGAGGCGGGATGATGGAAAAGTACACAGCGAATCACTGCTCCCTGCATGTCAACAGCTTGGCAACCCCATTATCTTACTCTGTACCTCTACTTATTGAGCACAATGGCCGTTAGTTCCCACACAGAACCCTGATCCTTGCTCACGGGCTGTCTTGACCTGCTTCATCTGCCCTGAATCAGTGTTACGGCAATGTCTGCCATTGGACGAAGGAAGCCATATATAGACCCGAGTGACACCTCGCCCGAGCTATTGACTGGTACTCTGCGAATTCTTCCAGCCCTACCTGCTATTTTACGGACTCCCCCATCATGCGGTGCCACCTACTTGCTGCCCTTCTTGCCTCAGAGGCCCTCGCCGCTCGACCATTTCTTAACGAGCCGGACACTGGCATCGACGATGTCCTTGCCGACCTCCCAAAGGGCACGCTTCCGGACCTCTCGGATATCGTTGGTCTCCCCGACTTTGACTGGGCGGCTCGCCACTACCTCCCAGCAAAGAACTATACGTACTACCGAAATGGCGCTGCTGGAGAGTGGTCATACCGCAACAACCTGGAGGTCTTTCACAGATACCGCCTGAGGCCCCGGGTCATGGTTGACATTACGAACATTGAGAGCACCTTGCCGTTCGTCACAGCATAAGAGAGATATTCCTTTCCAGTCAAGTTAACGAGGAAATAGAACAACCATCCTCGGCCACAACTTTTCTGCGCCCATCTTCATCAGCCCGTGCGCCCGAGGGGAGTATGGTCACCCCGAAGCAGAGCTTAATCTGGTGAAGGGAGCGGCTGCTGGGAACATCCTATACATGGTATGTTGACTCTTGATGTCTCACGATTTCAAAGAGCTGAAAATAACTGACTTGAGGAAACAGCCGGCGCTCCTAGCAGCGTATACTATTGAAGAGATTGCCGCCGCCAAAGCCGAAGGCCAGGTCGTGTTTCAGCAGGTAAGGACTACGCCAAGTTCTTGTTCAGTAAGAGAATCAAGTATACTGATGTTAAACACGATAGCTCTATCTTTCCTCGAATGATACCGAGACTCAGAACCTTTTGGATCGCTCTAAAGCAGCGGGTGCCAATGCCATTGTGTTCACAGTCGACTCTGCGGCAGATGGAAACAGACATCGAGCTGCTCGCTATGGTGTCGGATCTGCGTGCGTGAATTCGGAAAGTCCTGAGTTCGTAGTATGAAGCTTGCTGACAATGATGGCAGTGACTCCGAGTACACTTATATCACTGTAAGTCTGACCGAGGGCCCTACCACTGGCTCATATTGATCGCCCTCGCTCTCCTTTACTGACTTGTTATTCTTGCAGTGGGATTATTACAAGAAAGTTGCCAAAATGACCGATCTGCCCGTCATCCTCAAGGGCATCATGACCGTGGAAGATGCGAAGCTCGCTGTTAAGCACAAAGTGCCCGCCATCATCCTCTCGAACCATGGCGGCAGGCAACTCGACGGCAGCCCGTCGTCTCTCGAAGTCGCTCTCGAAATTCACCAAAAAGCTCCCGAGGTCTTCAAGAAGATTGAAGTCTACGCCGACGGCGGTGTTCGATATGGTGCCGATGTTCTCAAACTACTCTCTCTGGGCGTCAAGGCCGTTGGCTTGGGGCGGCCGTTTATGTTTGCCAATGTCTATGGTACCAAGGGCATTGAGAAGGCGATCGAGATTATTAAGCATGAGATTGCGATTGATGCCGCAAATCTGGGTGTTGGCAATCTTGAAGAGATTGATGCAAACTATGTAAGAATATCTGCTTTCCTATGACCAAAGGCTATGCTGAAAACGATCATAGGTACAATGGACTCCTAATAACTGGATGGGATAATTCAGAAGGCGGAATCAGCAAGGAGCTCCGATTCTACAGGAAACACTTCATGTTTATAGTCGAGCAGGGGGGATGAAATAGCATTGAACAATTGTATTCATTACTGAGCTACACGTTGATTGTTCATCGCCATTCACTGTTCATAGACTGGCTTTTCCTTATCTCGGTCATCTTCCTCCTCGCCGTAGCCAAGTCGTGAATCTTCTCATATCCTATCCGCATCGAGCAGTTCCAGAGCCGCAGTCGCTCGCCACGCCATAGTCACAGCATCCTCCCGAAGGCGAGCACTCGTAGACATGATTGTTGACGCGCTTGGCGGTGATGATGTAGCCGTCGCCATTGGACCAGACGCAGTTACCGCAGTACTGCCCTTGCTTGAGTGGGTGGAGGGTGCTGCATTTGCAGCCGTTGTACGTGCACGCTCGCTTATCAAGTGGGAGAAGCTCAGAGCGTTCTTCGACTCGGGCAACGGCCTCAACGCGGGCCTCGATGTCAACGCCGGCCACAGCTGCGGAGGCCAAGGGGGCGAGAAGAGCGGCGACGAGGATGAAGCGCATTTTGGTAGATGAAAGTATTTGTGATGCTGTTGGACTTGTTGATACTGGCTCTTTGGTCCAGTTGCTGGTAGCTTGTTGATGCCGATGGTCCGAATTTCATACCTTCATAGGGCCTTATATATCTCGAAATATTGCAATGGGTGCCCGATTGAGACCAATACAGCTTCAATTATTACCCCGAACTCGGAGTCCGAGGAGATAGTTGCCACGACATAGTGATCTATCCAATGATCATGGCTATATATTCAGCTGAACCTGTGCATGGCCTCCTGATCAGTACGGCTGAGGGCAAGAACCACTTTCCACCACGGATGAGAAGTGACGATGCTACGTCAAGTTTCACTCATCCTTACGGCCGAGAGTGAGAACCATTAAAGGCGGAGAAGTGAAGATGCAACTTCACCAGCATCAAGTTACACTTGTATGGTGTTTGGCGCGGAGTTGTTGTTCCCATTGTCACATCCCCACTTACACAGGGTTACATCGCAACGAGAGCTGAACTTCAGGAAGACCTCGCCACAGGGAACAACTCCAATTTGGAGCTTTGATTGGTTGTATTCTCAATAATATTGCCAATAAAAAAAGAATTCTGCTCTATATATGCATGCTTGATGTGGCAAGTATCAAGCTTCGGCTCGTCGGCAGGGAGCTTGGGGATATTCACGAGACCTCCTTCGTCAGTGAGAGCATAAGTCCTCCGAGCGGCTTCATGTGTCGTCTTCTAGGTACTATTTATAGAGAACACTTTGAAGGGTGTGAGGCTGTTAGGTCCTTCATTCATAGGACAGCCAGATGCTGCTTCATCGTGGTAGAGCTTAGTACCAGTATAGACACCCTCAAGAACACACTCACCACGCTCTTCCTCGTGGCTTTTGCCACCAATTTACCATCAAGCCACCTTCCTTACAATGACACACCGTCATTGGTTGTAGTTCTCTGGCTCCGGAGGATACTGTCGTATTCTTGACAAGCTTAATTCTCCAGACGATGAGGAGCTGCCACGCCGCAGTCTAATGTGGTAGCACGGCCCCCGCTTGGACGACCTTGAAGTTTTCTTATCATCACCTATGTAGTAATGATCGAATATAACAGAGCTGTTCCTGTCTGTGAACAAGAATTAGCTAGCATTGCTCATAGCTGTTACGTCTGTTCATCGCCCTTTTCGCTGCGACCAAGACGATAATACTAGCAGCAGGTTGTAACTGGCTTGCTCTCAGGTTGGAATGCCCAATCGATATAGACGCCCGGAGAAGCGGGATATCGAAGTTTTATCACAGCATTGACATCTAAATTGACGTCTATGGACAGGAGAGATACTATGGACGGTAGCTAGAACGAATGAGGGCTCTGGCATAAGGTGAAAATTTAACGAAGAGAAACACTTGGGTCATTGAAGAAGTCCAGTTTGGATTCGCTTATTGTAGCCCTTATCAAGACTTAAGCTTTCTGATGGTGAAGTGAAAAGGCAATCGAAGATGCGGTTCAGTTGTGAAGCCTATCCCCCTTCGGTAACTACATCATTCTCCTAGAAACCTCTCATGAAGATTGGCTAATCTTCATCGTCTTATGACGAACGATTGCTGGGCTAATCAACTTTCATCGCATAGACCTGGCCTATTATCTACATCCTGAAATAGGTCTTCATCCATGGAAAACGGGAGACATTTGCAACACTCGTGAAGCGCGCATCATCCTACAGCCACTACGAACGCCACTTACACATAAGGGAGTGCTAAGGAGTACATTTTGCCCCTTGTGCATAGAGGTAATCCCATACATAGTATCCGGCCTCCGACATTATTAAAGCTGCTATAAGAACGATCTTATAACATCCCGTTGAAAGTGTTATGCGGGTATCATTAAAGAATGCATGCGTACAATTACGAAGATGTAGGTTTTCTGTTTGATTGCGACGTTCACGTGGCAGGTCATACCTCTGTTCGCTTAGAATTTGAGTCTTTAGGAAACACATGCCACGAGCCAGTGAGAGTATCCCAGCTGATAGATCAAACCACTGGACGAGGGCCTGTTCCGTCTGAGGCCAGTTTCGTAACGAAAATGATGGCACTCTTGATTCGTCACGAGCCTCTGAAGCTCCAAATATGAGCGGACGAATAGCCCTGGCCGATTCGATTACCGGAGCCTGAGCTGAAGCCGGGGCTCATGTGGATGGCGGCTAAGATACGTGTTAGCGTCAGGCACCGAGCAGGGTATCAATCGAAGCTTGAGCGACAAGCTTTGCTCTTGAATGTCCAAAGAGGCGGACTGCCTCGTTCCTGATCGGGTCTTTGGTTTCTCTCGAGAGCATCTTGCTGGCTTTCCAGAGAGTCTGATGTGTTTACTCTCCGTGCCTCGTTTCGTTATTCTTCGGGCAGCAACACAACCTCTGGGTTCCAGGATTCCACGGCTGAAATCCAGCTGAAAGCACAGTCACAGCGCTAACACGGATCCAGAAGAGCAGCTGAGGCTAACAGGCAGCTATTCATCGCGCTTCATCTTCCGATTCTCGAATTTCCTCTTCCCCTGTGGCGTTCAGTGAAGACGAAGCAGAGAATAGGAAGGGGGAGAGGGCGCAAAGTCGCATCAACACCAAGCATCCCGCCCTCACGGCGGCAGACTGGACCTCAAAATGTCCGACAATGGCAAATCAGCAACGGACATCATCACCTACGTCGGTATTCCATTGGCGGTCTTGGGAGGTAATTACCACAAACACGCGATAACAACGCTAATAGAACAACGCCCCGAGACTGACCGAACAGAACAGTTCTGCCCATCCTCTACAACACATTCGCAACTCTCGCTTCTCTCTCACGCATCAAGCGCATGCTCCGGCGGAGTCGCCTCACTGCACTCACCCGCAGCGACGTCGTCAACCGCGTCATCGAGATTGACCTCCCGCGCTATGCCGTGATGCCACTGGACAGGTTCCAGAACAGATCCGAGTACTGGACGCTCTCGCGACATCCCAGCTCCATTCCCGGCGGTAGCTGGACCACATTCAACTGGAAGACGAATACCATCGGCATGAAGACCCAGCGCGTTGAATATGCCGATCAGGTCCGCCAGCCGCAGGTCGAGGTCGCGTTTACTGAGCTCGTTTCGTATCTGTTGGATCTGGGGGCTGTGCCGGATCCTCATGGCTGGAAGCTGTTGAGGTCAACGGGGCTTTGGGCGCCGGTGGGATGTTCGCTGATGATGTCGCCTGATGGGAGGGAAAAGGCTCTTATGATTGCGCCGCTGGACGACTCGGATGGGCATCTGTCTCTCGCTGTGGCTTGGTCTAGCTCATGGATTACCCGCGATCACGCCCATCTGCCGCCGTACTGGGTCCGTTTGCCCTCGCCAGCAGGCAAGCTAGGAGAAGCAGCGACTTCATATGGCAATTCCAACCAGAAGAAGGGCGAGAAAAAGGTATCAGATACCGACGAAGACCATGTTCAGAATGGAGACTCCGGTGAAGCGGCGGCAAGCCACCACGAGGCAGACCATATTCAACGTCAGGTTGATGCAAACGCCGAGAGCGACATCACTTGTGAAATCTCACTCTCTGGCCTTGAGACGGCATTGGTTCAAGGTGATCCTAACAACAGCACCGCTACCACGCTTGAGAGCCTTTACATCGACCATCTCCGCATACAGTCCCGAAAGTCAAACGGCATCTGGTTTGCCAGCGCCGCCACGGCATACGGCACCTCTAGCCAGACCATCCTCTGGAACTACAAAATCCCGGACGACATCCTGTCGTTTTCCAGAAAAGCTACTGTACCGTGCGGTGTCCTGGTGCTTCTGGGCATGGTGGACGAGTCGGAGACGCCTGAATGGGCGACCAAGCACCATGACTATGGTGCTTCACTTGATCAGTTCTCATCGAGACAGCGAGAGCAGCGTCTGGCCATGGAAGCAGAGTCACGCATGGCTCCTGCTCAGCGAGAGCAAGCCGTCAGGGATAGAACCCGCAGAGAGATGGAGCAGCGGATGCAGGACAGTGAGTACACGTATCTCCCATTCACGATTTTCCACACTCGGATTGCTCGCTGACTCGTGTTACCTTCCAACAAGTGCGCGACAAGATGAGGACGGATCAACAGCGTCGTGATCAGCGCGCCATGGAAGCTCTCCAAAGCCCCAAATGGGACACGAAGCTGGTCGCCAACTACAGTCTAACATGGCTCAAATCTCGAAAGCTCTGGGACGAGAGTCTGACCATCAAAGATATTGTCGGTTTCATGCTGCACCGCATGGTTCGCGACGGAAAATTCACCTCTACTCTCTGCAACATGCTGGACACCTGGAAGGCGTGGGCTGACATGGGAGGCATGAGAACGACGGACTTCCAGATGATTCAGGAGAACCAGTCCGTTTTTGCTGAGGCTACCTTGTTGATTGCGCTGATTGAAGATACCTCTGATGCGCTGGAGGGAACGCTGGCGATGGACTTGCAGGAGTGCTTGCGGATTTGGCAGAAGGTGAGGCTTGGGTGAGTGATGCGCTCCGTATAAACCGTTTTGCATAGACATGTTGCATGTTAGCGAGCAACTTCATCAGGATTCACATAAAGCGTCCTTTGGAGCGCGGCCATTCGGACAGCGGCCGGTCTCAAAGACTGCTTTACATAGAACATCCGCGGTTTTTACTGCTCCTGATTGTATTTGGCGTGACTCATAAACATCAGTCTATGGAGAAATGAGATCGCCCAAGATATCCTCCGCCTTGCCCATCTTCTCAATCTTGCCATTCGACAACAGCGCAACCGTATCCTTCCCAGCCCGCCCATTCCCTGCAATGCCACCCAGCCTATGTGTAATTGCAACAACCGTATTGCCTTTGTCCGTGAATTCCTCCTGGATGATACTCCGCATGGCAGATTCAGTGGCAGGATCAAGCGATGAAGTAGCCTCATCCAGCAATAGAATCGGCATGACGCGCCCGCCATTTGGTCGAGCCTCGGAGATGCTAGCCTCGCTATTCAGATGCTGGACCTGAAGGATTGCTCGAGCCAGAGCGAGCAGCTGCAGTTGGCCGGTGGACATTTGCGGCAGTGCTGCCATGGAGGTGCTCAGGATGACGCTTGGTTTGACGATGGAGGTTCTGGGCTTGAAGTGCGACCATAGACGTGTCTTTTCCAGAGCTTTGACTATGATTTCATCTGGGAAAGAAGCAGAGGGCTGTATCATTTGTTAGTACATCTCAAGACGAATGCAGAGGTGCTGGACAAGGGATTTTCTTACATCCAGGTTGAAGCGGAGACTGGCTTGGCCAAGGATGAATGGATCCTGGGCAACTGTGATGAAGCATCTCTGGCGAACCAAGGTGCGCGGTACCAAGCTGAGGTCAACACCATCGACCTTGATGGTACCAGATTTGGCGTCCAAAAGTCGCAAGAGGGTTAGGAGAAGAGTACTCTTCCCGCTGTATGTCAAAGTTGTTGTCAGACACTGTCCAGTATGAGGCGTTGATGCCGTACAAAGGTTACATACCTGCCGGTACGGCCACAGACGACCAACTGCTCGCCTGGCGAAATCTTCATTGAGATATTTCGCAAAGCGATGGCATCGGCGCTAATTGAAATTGTTAGCCAACACGACTCGAGGAGACTTATTGGGAGCAGAGCTTACTTGTATGCTACTGTCGCGTTATCCAGCTCAACTTCTCCCAAGGAGGGCCAAGTATCAACGGGAACGTAGTTCTCGCCGGGCTTGTCTTCTTTTGGAGTCTCCGCCTCTAGATTCTTCAAGCGGGCACTATTGAAGGGTGAGCATATGAACTTCGGGCTGGTGACAGTAGGAAAATGGAAATGCCGAGAGAACGTACATTGCGCCCAGCGAGATTTCCAGGTTTGTCCATGATTCAACAAGGCTAAGGAGAGTTGTGTTGACAACGAGCACAATGTTCAGCGCCATACCAATCTGGCCACTGGTCGTCGTTCCTTTCATGACAACAGCCAGTGTGATCAGACCAGTGGCAATGGCGGCAATCATCAAGTCCAGGACAATGTTGAGCCACCGCTGGAGGCAGAAGAGGATATACGAAGGCTGTTGAGACTTGTCGAGATAGTTGATGTTGGCGTTCTCAATTTGTCTCTCCCAACCAAACGCGCGAATGGTCGCAACGCCTTCCACCTGGTACACTGTCAGATATGAAGGAGACTGCGGGGTCTGAGATGTGCCATACCGATTCGAGGAAGCTTGAGTAGACTGCAGACTGTGACTCGAGTTCGAGCAACCGCAGCTGTCGCGACGTCTGCAGGTATACTTTTTGTATGAAATACACAGTTACGATGCAGACGGGAAGCGACACTGCCATGAGCTTCTGGGCCGCGAACAGTAAAGCAGTCTGCACCAGGATCTTGAAAACCTCTGGTCCAGTCAGCACCTGATTCTTCAACACGGAGTCGAGACGACTTACGGTTTGAGATGGACAGAATGGCCGGGGGGAGTTGCCGGTCCACCAGTTGGATGTCTTGGCTGAATCTGAGGCAATCATCAGCATCTGAAGCATCACAGTCCATAAAAAGCAACTTACCGGTTGAGGATGACACCAATATCAGTGGTGGAGAAGAATGACAGGGGAGCCCTGGTCTTGATCAGTAAAAAATATCACAAGTTAGAGACAATGTATACGGACCCAATAACTGTCGAGAGTGTGCGGCGGTGAAGCTCAGCACCAGAATCGGATGCAATGAGGATATTCGTCGACCACATTGACCCATTGGTAGAGGTCCATGCAAGCAGAGACAAGATCAGGTAGCCGCCGATGTAAAACATTGTGTCAGAGGGGGGCGCTGCAGTCCATTTGTTAAGCCAGTATTGAGGAAATGTGACAAAGAATGAGTAAGAGGCTGTGCAGGCCAGAAGCAGAAAGAAGTTGCGGAAACCAATGGCCTTGATATAATAGCCTATACAAGAGAGCAGTTAGACAAAGTCATAAATGAATATTTGAAGGCGGGGAGTTACCGTAAAGGCTGAGGTCTCCAGTGGCTCTGCTCAAGTCGGAAATGGCATCAGCTACTTTCAATGTCTGCTTTTGCACAGTGCTGTCTACTTTCAGCTGTTCTTCAGCAGCAGTCTTGTCCAGATCAATAGCGTTAACCTTCAGGATGCTCTGCGGTTGATCTTTCAGTCCTTCAGCAGTTCCCTGGTACTGGATGGAAGAATCAGCGAGAACAATGAGCCAGTCTGCCAAGCGGAAATGCGATGCTATAGAGTGATCAGCATCCTGTCCCAAGTTGAGGTAAAGTATGATGGCGTGAGCTTACCCGAGTTGGTGATGAGGAAGACGGTTGTGCCCATCTTCCTGAAGTGACCGTTTGGACCGAGAATATTCTCCACGATGCGATTCTCTGTCTTGCCATCGAGGGCGCTAAAGGTGTCATCCAGAACGACAATGTCGCAGCGAGCATAGATGGCCCGAGCGAGTGCCTGCAATCATGTCAGGAGATACATTCAAAAATATCAATTGGTGAGTTTGAGGTGAAACACATACCACTCGCTGTCGTTGTCCCCCAGAGAGGTTCAATCCACGACTCCCAATCAAGGTCCGATGCCCTTGAGGCAGCGTTGCAATATCTTCATCGAGACAGCAAAGCCTCACCACTTGGTTATACCAATCAGGATCATCCGGCGTGAAGCCAATGATAGCCTCTTTGATCGTTCCGCTGGGAAGCCACGAGACCTGCTCGCAGGAGCCAATGCGCTTTGAAGAGACGGAGATGGTGCCACTGGATAGAGGCAGCTCGCCGATGAGAGCTTTTGCCAGAGTTGACTTGCCGCTGCCTACGGGCCCAGAGCAGATGACGATGGAGCCCTTCTTGACGACAAGACTGATGTTTGACAGGATTGGAGGCGCTGATGGGCTAATCTGGATAGTCACCTGTTCCAAGGAGATAGCCGGCGTGTCATCATTGGAGTGTTCATTCAGTTTCTTGAGCAAGACCCGCTGGTCATGTCGAGGCGGCTGAAGCAGATACTGCTGGATTCGCTCAAAAGCAGCCAGCGAGCCCACAGCCTCAGGGATGATGGACATGATCATGTTTGCAGGATGCGTGACCAACCCGAGCAGCGCAGTGGTAGTAAACGCCGTCTCTGCGTCCAGCACTGTGCCGTTCCACCGTGCTACCAAAGCAAAGAGCACAAATGTGATGATGGGAGAGAAGATGCCAAGTGCATTGGCTGCGATGAGTTAGAGTTGGTTCACATGATCAAGGGCATCCGAGTTGGAAACGTACCGCTTGCGTTGTAGGCGACCATCATCCACCGTACTCTCTTGGCCTTGGCCAGTTCTTGTAACCGCAGATTACGAATGAGGTTTTCCGTGTATGGAGCAACTCCAAGCATCTTCAAGCTCTTCATGGACGAAAGCATCGATGTTGTCATGGAAAGACGCCTCTGTGTAGCTTCGTTCCAGCTCTTCTGCTTGCTCTGCAAGTTCTTGGCCAAGTACCGACTCATTCTAGAGCAGACTATTCTGCAGTCAGTCATCCGTCCAACAGGTAATAGGTGATTGAGCTGCTAAGCTTACAGAAAATGATCACAATTGGGACCGGAAAGATCCAGCCAACTTCTTTAGCTAGCATGGCTGTGCCGATCAAGACTTCAATGATCTGAGCCCACGTCTCATGGAAGAATCTCGCGCTCTGGCCTACGTTTTCTGCATCCGTGCTCATCAAGGTGACGGCTTTTCCGTCATCATAGTTGGCTGATACATGATTCAAGGACTTGCGGTGAATGAGGCCAACCACTGCGCCTCGAATCATTACCTTGAGGCGGTTGAGGCGTTGCTGGTATACTCCCTTGGATATCTGAGGAGCAGAAAAGCATACTTAGTCACTGTTAACTTTGGTAAAGAGATATGTGACTTACCGCGAGGCCAACATAGACAACAATGGCCATCACCACTACGGTATAATTCCTCTTGGTGGTATTCTCATTCATGGACGCATCCAGATAACGGATGACATTGCGGATGAGCACTGGCTGGGAGTAGCGGAAAATGATGAGACAAAGGCGAGGCAGGATAGGCGCGAGGAAATGCGGCAGGACAGTCGCAATCAGCACCTTTGGCAGCGTCAGTTTGCCAATGGGCTTAGCTACTCCATTGTCAGAAACTGTTTGTATATCATCAACGGAGAGTTATCATTGTTACCTCTTTGATCCCATGCAACTGATGCTTGGTGACGCAGCAATTTTGACGACAGTCCAGCGCCAATGGGTGGAAGACTGTCCTCAGTGAGGATATTACGCCATCCCTGGGCCAAGATGGGGTTGATCCACCAGAAGAAGGTCCTGCTCAAGACGCCCGACAGTTCCTCTGGTGAAAACTTCGCACTGCTTTCTCGCAGAATCTCGTCCTTCCTCTGGCTTTCAACGACCACCAGCACCAGCTTGATGCAGATGCTCACGATGGCCGGCAGGAGATCCCAAAGCGCATCTGATGTGACCCCATCTTCGTAGACGGTTGTCCAGAGGTCGACAGAGTCACATGCTAGTGTCACTCCAAGATAAAGGACCGACAAGTCTGATGGCCGAATTGACCGTGTATGCTCCAAGAACACCAGCGGACAGAGACCCAAGCATGCTATCAAGGACGTGATGGCAGACAGGATATCAATGTCAAACGGCAAGCCAGGAGACAGCGTTGTCGTCAACAAGACCAATTGGACTATTGCCAGTATGGCAGCAAGTGTCTGTATCACAAGAGTTCAGTCGCTGACATTCCCAACGCTAGCAACTGACCGAGGCTATACGCGTAGCGCTTCCCTATCGTGAACTCGATCACGATCGAAGGCATAGCCCCTCTCAGTACGGGTTTAACATGTGTAAGACGTACCAATTTGGCATAGCCACGATGTCCGGGGAGGACCTTGATAGCTTCGCGGCGGAGCTTCCACAGCCTAAACGGCAGCGCCAGCAGAAACAAGGTGGACGCGGCATTGGAAACAAATCGAAGCTTGAGCTGCATCTTCACTTCGTCGTCGGCATCATACCGCCTGGGGACGAAACGGAGCGGCCGTGAGAGATGGGGGGAGCAGGCAGAAGAATAAGAAGCCAGATCAGATGCTGCTAGTGGTTACTATCGCCAGCTTCAACGATGCTGTCTGCATCGCCCAACAAGGAAATTGGCTTGTTAGCGCGGAGGCGATAAGGTGAGTTATCCGCAGAGATGACACTCCCGGTTCGTGATATAAATCCTCGGCGAGCCAATGCCGCCCTCATTGGAGGCATAATCCCGCCCAGCGTAGCATCGCCTGTGCTGGGACCCCCTGGGAACCAAGTCATGGCGTGATAGTCCGTCTGCTGCAAGGTGCTGTAAGTCGCTGCATGGCGCTGCAAGTCGCTGAGGCCCGCATGCAGTCGAGCCTCGGGTTCACCGCGGTCTTGCCCCAATCGAGGTATGCAGTCACGCTCTTGGGATCATCGCCGTCTTGACAAAGTTCCCGGTCTGCGGGCTTCTTTGGCGGCGGCTGGACCAAACTGCCAGGGGTCTGGGCTATCTCCGCACCGTCGGGTTTCATCCCATGACCCCCGATCCAGCCCAGTACCTTTTACTAGCTGAGCGGCGCCGCTGTGATTTGCTGATGGCGGCCGGTGATCTGCTTGCATTTGCGATCCTATATGTCAGTTTCCGTAAGGCAGGCAGTGAGTGAGTGACAACCTGAAGTGAAACTTGTCACCCAACTCGTCATCGGCAGTTTGGTGTCTCTCACTTGTGGTTTGTATAATATTCCGTGTTTCTCTAGCTGTTGCTATTAGTGTTGAGATCGACGTCGTTGTTGTCAATGGCTTATGTATGTCTGTAACTTGTCGCGCCGGGTAGTGTAATCTGATTCAAGTGCTCTGCCTTGTATGACTCTCGGAATCGCCTCCCTGCATGCTTGGTCATCGTGGGATCTCCGATTGTCATGTTTACGGTATCTCCCGTGTCTCTGCAAAAGATCCCATCCGAAACATCTCAACTTCACGACCCCGCGTGTTGCGGCCGACGAGGCAGAGACATCCAGCATCATCCATGACGGTAGGAAGGATTCGGTTGGTTGTGGTACGAGGTTCGGCCACGATCCAACCGACTTCTGGCTTCCTCTTTGCCTCGTTGACGGCGCTTAGGCAGAAGCCACTGACACAGTACGAAGGATCGCTTGCAGCTGCGGTTTTACACCAGCTGCATAATGCCCGATTCGCCACATCCGGCCTCCCAACTCTGTCAGCACGAGAGAGATCAGAGGCAAGCGAGTGAGTGAGTGTGTTAGAAAGACAAATTCTATCACATATTATCGGCAAGCTCGGCTGATTGTTTCCATATCTGCATGTGCTCATTGGGAAGCCGGTATGAGCTGCCGGTGTCCTTGTGTGCCACCGAGTTGAGTATAAGCCAAGTTGCCCAGTGAGACATCCATGGAGAATTCCCGGCATAGACGGTCCACGGCAAATATCAGTGGAGGGGAAGCAGCCAATCTCTGGGGTATTCGCCATCGGCTTGCTGACAGGATCCTCGAGTACGAGTAAGAGAGGGTGAGACGAATGCATGTAGCTAGTAGGAAGCCGAGGTGTATGTAGCACACGGCAGACCCGCACAGCTAGGCCTGGAACCGCATATCCGTCGCTACAATGTATAAACGCACGAGGGCTCATGTGCTAAATGCTCCATCACAAGGCTTGGGATAACAAGCCCGTAAAGAGTGCGAACGATAGAGCAAAGAACCTTCCTCTTTGGGGCTCTAGCTTACAGGTAATTGATCCTCCTCATGGGTCGATCTCGTACATGATTAGTGGCTTCGCCATGGTGGTTACCACACCTGCGTAAGGGCCTTTCTCTCGGTTACTATTCGCAACTATGTCTAGGCCTGTATTATGTAGCCTTACCGACCAGTGGCTTACACGATACGTCCCGAAGGATGGGGATATCTTTAGCCTGGCCAAGATCTGCAACACCCGGAAACAAACCTGGCAACGGCGAATTAGCCCTCAAAAGGCCCGGGTACAAGAATAGTCGCTAACGGTGGCTTGATATTGACGCCCTTCTCGCAGCTTCGACGTTCAGATCTTGAGTATGAGGATGGACGAGTCACAAACATCAAAAGAAAGACGGAAACTGCAGAATCGGAATGCACAAAGACGCTGTCGTAAGTGCCCTGATACTCTTCATGTTCCCTCTGCCTCCATACATTTGCATAGCCATGCTCACGAAACTATCAGGCAACAGAAAGAAGGGCAGCAATGGAACCATCTTTACACAACTTCACATGGATGAACACGTCGACAACACAACCGGCATCTCCATAATACCAGCGTCTGGCTTGGGTCTCACAGATGCAAAGCACAACCCATCGCAGCCAGACACGCACATCTTTCCCCACGGCGTTGAATTTGGCCCCATGTCCTTTGGCGATGCGGCTGAGGACTCCATCTTCGACATCACCGACGGCTTCCTCATGAAGTCCTGGCCGACGCCCCCCTCTATCCTTTCTCCTCTGGAAGAAGAGCTCCTCTCAGATGAAGGGAAAGACGAATACTACTCCCCCAACCCTTCAGTCGACCGCACCGCCCGCCGCGTCTCGACCTCCATAACGTTCCCAAGTAACCCTCTTCATATCCCCAGTGCTACCGAAAATCTGGGACTGCCAATCAGTGTACTACCCAGCAGTGCATCGTCCCACAGCGGCAGGTCGATCAATACAGACAACCTCTTCAACAGAGAGACAAGCTCCGATGCTGCACCACTGGACGTTGTGTCTACACGTGCGCTCACCAACAATAATGCTACTGCCCATAATGGCAGCTACACACATTCGGTACACAGTGTAAGCCAACCAACCCATCCATTCACACAGGCCGTTGGTTCTCAAATGACTGCCCTACTTACACATAGCCTAATAATAGACTACGAATGCACCACAATCACCAACAGGCTTGGACCTGATGAGCACCAACGGCAGAGGCCACAAAGGCGCCACGTGCTGCGTGACGCACAAGGCGGAGATGATGATATCGGAGGTGCAGACTCTATATAAGTTCGGGGCGCGCTTCGGCTTCGTGACGGAGGACAGCGACATTCAGGACTGCCTGAGCTTTCTCAGGACAAGGTTACGCGAGATATCGCAGTGCCCTAGCAGACCTGTGCTATGCTCGAGTTCAAGTGACGACGATGGAGGGGACGTCGACATGGGCTTGAAGGCGGGTGCTGAGGCGAAGCTGTCCAGCATTGTACACTAGAGATGGACAAGCTGGAGGAATACACCAAATCAAAAGGAAAGTGAACAAATGCAACAAAATTACATCATAATCGTGTCCTTATTTCCCTTCCATCTTGGGAATAGGTACTATATCAACAGGCGGGGCTACCGAGGTACATGCAATATACAGGTGCTTGGTGATTATGAGTAGCCTATCGAGGATGGTTTCAGTACGCCAGAAGCTCGTATTGCTTTAGGACAACATTGACTGAGTCATGCATAACGATAAGCGACAGCAAGGATTTATTTCTACGGATACTGGATCTCTTTGTAAGCCCACTTCTAGCCGTAGAGCCAAGTCTATGAGTTTAGGCAAAACCTACTGCAGCCCATTCAAGGAAGTCTAGGGTGTTCCACAGCCAACAACATTCTGGAGGGCTCACACCTGTCAATCACATAGATCACAACGTACGAAAGATTGAGTAAGTAAAGACCGTCTGCTATTCCAAAACTCTACTCTATTGAGGAGCTAAGGGAAGTAGCTATTCCACCCGCAAATTCATTGATTCATCAAAGGTCATTGCACCATGTCCCACCGCCGCCAAAGATTTCATCCAAGCCTTCCTATTCCGTGTGTCCAAGCCTGCTGGGGTAAGCAATGAACGAGTTTGACAATTGTTCATGCTGAGCCGGCTTCCATTTTCAAGTTCGTTGTGCCATGTAATTGAATTTTGTTCCTGCAGAGGCTCTGTGAGCAATGAGCTGGAGGAAAGCAGGGCTTCTCGTAAGGCACTTACAATTTATGACATGGAGGAGTCGCCGTGGAGGGCGTTGGCCTCAGCACGACGAGCCATAGCGGTATCTCCGTGAAGAGCATTGGCCTCGGCACGGCGTGACATGGCAGTGTCACCGTGAAGCTCAGTCTCGACACTGCGTGCCATAGCAGTGTCACCATGAAGAGCATTAGCCTCAGCACGGCGAGCCATGGCAGTGTCGCCATGGAGAGCGTTGGCCTCGGCACGACGAGACATGGCAGTGTCGCCGTGCAGGTCGGTCTCAACACTGCGAGCCATGGCGGTATCGCCATGAAGGGCGTTGGCTTCCGCTCGGCGGGCCATGGCGGTATCTCCATGGAGAGCATTGGCCTCAGCCCGACGAGACATGGCAGTGTCGCCGTGCAGGTCGGTCTCAACACTGCGAGCCATAGCAGTGTCACCATGAAGAGCATTAGCCTCCGCTCGGCGGGCCATGGCGGTATCTCCATGGAGAGCATTGGCCTCAGCCCGACGAGACATGGCAGTGTCGCCGTGCAGGTCGGTCTCAACACTGCGAGCCATAGCAGTGTCACCATGAAGGGCGTTGGCTTCAGCACGACGAGCCATAGCGGTATCGCCATGCAGAGCGTTAGCCTCAGCTCTTCGAGCCATAGCCGTATCACCGTGGAGAGCGTTGGCTTCAGCACGACGAGACATGGCAGTGTCACCGTGAAGGGCATTGGCCTCAGCTCGTCGAGCCATAGCAGTGTCTCCATGCAGGGCATTAGCCTCAGCACGACGAGACATGGCGGTATCACCGTGGAGAGCATTAGCCTCAGCACGGCGAGCCATAGCCGTGTCCCCATGAAGAGGCCCGTTCTTGACTAATCCATCTATTAGCAAACCAAAACTCCAGCCATAAAGCGATCGAGATCGTAGATGTAGTCATACCCGGAACAGGGGAAGCAACAGCTCCCAGCATGAAGATGGGCAAGATAGCTTGAGACAACTTCATTTTGAAAAATCTTTGTTCGTTTGAAATTTGCGTCGGAAGAGACAAGTGGTGCTGGCCTGCCAGGGAGGGAACTGGTGATTTGAGTGATGAATCGAATGATGTTGTTGTGAGAATGGTCTGTTTTACCTGAAGCAACAATCCGCATAAATAGTACATCAAGCAATATGGACTTTGTCGATGTTGTCTGGCTATCAGTGTCTTGTCACCAGCCGACACACATTCAGTCACCAATACGCCATTCAGTCATCCTTTGCGTTGTCACCACACGCAGTCACCATACACAGAAGCATTGAAGCATCCTCAGTCATCATCACAGACAGTCAACTTACTCCGAGACTCTTGACACTGAAACCACACAGAAATGAAACTGGTGACTATCTCCAGTCACTCTACGCACGTCACTATCCGCAGGTGAGCAGTTACCCTATTCGGCCACCCATTCGGCCATCCATCCTTCTCCTCGGGAACCATCCATCATCCATCGGCAGTGTAGATCGCAAAAAAAGCTTTGGGCAACGGTGTCACCGTGCATCAACCCGTCCCATCTCCACCTCGGAGAAACTGCCGGTCAGCCTGCATGGGTGGGTGATGGAGGGGGAGGGGGAACAAGGGGGGACAAGGGGAGCATCGCTTCTGGGGCCGCCCCGAAAATCTGATCTGCCGATATGCCGCGGTCAGTATGGCCTTATCTGGCCAAGGCCGATTGACTGATTGATTGATGGACTAATTCGCAACCCATGCATGAAACACGCGAGGTACTTTCGTACACACTTCCAAAGTACCGAATGCTTCTATCACGGGTGTCATCCTTGCGCGCGGTCAGCTTGCATGGAACCGTGGTGCATGTCAGATCTAAGCACTCGTTCGGTGGAATCTCAAAGAACTGAGCTAGATGGCGAACTCTTGTGAGGAAATCACGATTGCCGCGGAATCGGGGAGGCGGTAGTTTTGCTGATCCCGGTTCGATAAGTGTACGTCGTTGATTAGCCTCTCTTCGATTAATAGCCTTTACATGCCAAACTGCCTTTACTTTACAAGCCAAAACGCTTGACCTGACATGCCAAACTTGTTGTCCGGTCTATCATTGTTGTTTTTCAAGTCAGAGTCTGAGTATCACACAATGGCGTCCAAAGAGCCTCTTCCAGAAACCCCCGAGCGGTCATCAACGTCGACCCTGGGCGACTACGAACTGGACACCCAGTATCTGATGAGCAACGAGAAGGCGCGCAAGAGAAACTCATCTCAGCAGAAGCGCAACTGGGTCTTCCTGGCCGTCAACTCCTTCATCCTGCTGCTCAACATTGGGGCGCTCCTCATGATGGGCGTGACCAAAACCGTCACCGTGACTCACCGAGAAAATGAATTTCCCGACTTACCGCATCAGGGTAATCGCAACTTGCACTGTTTCTCCTCGAGCCACAGAAATGCTGACTTTATTTGATTAACAGAATGGATAGACGGTGTGATAGATTGGGAACTGCAGGTGTACGATGACCAGTTTACGAACCACGGCCAGTTCCGTGGCGTGCCTCGTCCAGAGCTGGACGATGCTTGGTCCGAGATTCTGCAGAGTCTGTCTTTCCACCTCGTTACAGCTTCGTTTTCCCCGCGAACAATGTCCTAACAAGTCGAGCAGATTTCACTCTGCGTATTCCCAAGCCTGGCTGGAGAAACGCAAGCACGCCCACCAGCATTCTCACCGAGTGGGGCGATGAGGAGGGAGGCATCATGGGAACCTTTTCCTTCTTGCACAACATTCACTGTCTGGTGGGTTACATAGCTTCGCATTGGGATTCCAAGGAGCCCAAAAGACTAACCTCGGTAACAGAGAACCATTCGACAATACATGCTGCCGGATGCGTACCCCAAGATTGCGGAAAAGTACAAGCCGGGACCCAACTCTCCTATTCCTACACACATTGGTGAGTTTTCAAATCCACAGGATCCGCGTCACGCAACCAGATGCTCATCACAGACTTTTTAGATCACTGCATTGACATTCTCCGTCAATCCGAGCTCTGCCACGCCGACATGGCCCTCATGACCTTTGAGTGGCGCGAGGGCGAGCACGACCCCGTCAACATCCACCACACTCCTCACGTCTGCGCCAACCCGAACAAAATCACAAAGTTCCTGGAGCAGCACACCGTTTTTCCTTTTGGCCTTCTTCGCAACCCTTTCAATGGTACGTGAATCTGTTTGCTTTGGTGATGAATATCGCTGACCATCTTGACAGGAGAGGTACCGACTTGGGAGACGAACCCTGTCTAAATAAGGGAAGTTGAGAGATTTAGCATTGACGGTTCACCTGGAAAGAAATCGAGTGGTACAATCAGTCAACAGTTTGTCATCAAGATGTATAAATAGACATGAAAAAAAATATTAAAATTTAGCCTTGCCTTCTTGAACATGCAGTTGTGACAGATGCAATGTGAGGTCTATCTGGCATAGTCTTTTGATACCACCAATTTGAAATCAACATCCGCAACAACTCCCATCTAGATCATCCAACCCAGCTCTGGCTAACGCCCTCACATAACGGGAATTCCCTCATACTCTCCATAGCCAAGGGCGAGGTTCATGTTTTCTGTGCCAAGTCCGTTAGCAAATGCAGCGAGCTTTGTCAAGAGACAGATTACTTACGCAGACACTGGGTTGCAGCACCCTTGGCGAGGTTGTCAATGGTAACAACTCTGGATGGAAGTTAGTATAGTCGGACTCTTCAGAGGTGATCATGTGATGATGACTTACACGACCACGCGCTTTCCGGTGCTGTCGACGGCGAAGCCTCCAATCTCCACCCCGTGGCGTCCCATAATCGCACTCACCAACGGTGGCTCACCCACCACCTTGATGAGCTTCTCTCCCGCGTAGCGGTCCTGGTAGATCTGGCGGATATCTCGTGCAGTCACCTCCTTGCGAAGGGGGATGCTGATAGTCAACGTGATGCCCCTGAACCATCTGTTCGATCCGTTAGTTGTCATCCACGCTTTTCTATCCTGCTGAGAGCCTTGACTTACCCAGCCACATGGGGCACAAAGGCAACCTCATGGTTCAGCTGATGAGAGATTTCGCGTTCGTGAATGTGCGACACCAAGGAGTAAGGGATAATGGCATTCTTAAGCACTTCCACATTGTTCCTCGGGTTCGGCTTGGATCCAGCTCCAGAGTAACCTGAGACGCCGAAGATCGTGGGCATCCCCTCGATCAAGTCGAGGGCTCCGCTGAGACCAATCTGGGCACCAGTCGCGTAGCATCCGGGGTTAGAGATACGTCGGGCCTGCGCAATCTTGGAACGCTTCACCAGTTCGGGGAGACCATACGTCCCTGTTATTAGATCAGTAACGCAGTTCATCTCGCCACGACGCGACGCTTGGTTAGTGGCTCACAGGTGTTGTCGAAGCGAAAGTCAGCGGAGAGGTCAACAATCACGCTGTTGCTCTTGTTTTGATCCAGTGCCTCGACGTAAGGCTGGCAGACGCCGTTGGGAAGAGCCATGATCCAGCAGTCCACCTCGCCGTCCTTGTCCAGCCGGGCAACATCCTCGGGTGACAAGGTCTCGTAGATGACCTTTTTCTTGGTATATCCCGTGAGTTCCTGGCCAGCAAGCTCTCGAGACGATACATGTCGAAGGTCCATGTAAGGGTGCTCGTTGAGGAGTTCAACGAGAGCTGAACCGGTGTACCCTCGGGCTCCTATCAGGCCAATTCGCGACGGGGTTTCGTTGGTCGCATTCTTCTTGCCGAGAGGAGGGTTGGGGTTCGTCGTGACGGCGTAGGCTCGTCGCTGCTGGGCCATACCAGCAATGGCGAAGCCGTTCTGTCGGCCGGCGACGCATCGGGTCGGGCCAGTCGCAGGCAGAATTGCGGCGGACCGTCGGACGGCTCGACGAGCGCCGGCGCGCAGGGCCACGGCGGTGCCAGAGAGCATGGTGACGGATGCTTCTGAGGCCAATTGACGGGACGGGACGGTGGTTGAGGCAGGGTTTGACTCCGTTCGTGAGGTTAGAATCCGGACCGGGGTGACTCTTGTTGAGGCGCGATCCGTGAGGTGGGAAAGGCCTCGGCGATTTTTTTTTCCCTGCGGCGGCCGAAATCGCTCGCCCGATCGGCTCGGTTTTTGTTTAAAGCGGCGGCGGAATCGCGGGGTATTTTGCCTTGTTTGCAAATGGAAAGTGGGCTCAACCGTTATAGCAGCGAGTGCACTAAACCGAGCATGACCAGGTCTATTTGGTAAATGGACTAGCTTTGAACCACCGGTATGAGTGTCACTAGAAGTACTGTAAATTACTGGATTTGGGTTGCTAAAATAAGTACGAAATATGCTTCTTTTCATCAGTTCTAGGGGTTCGTCTCTGTCTACAAGATCCGAGGCGAGCAGTTCGCAAGGAATCCCCGAGACCCCAGAATGAACATATCCAGAGAACCCCATTCATGAGCACGATGAGGCAGCCTTATGGAGTTCCTACCACTGGCCTATCATAGGAGCGTTTGTGTGCTAATCAGTTCCTCATTCTTGGGTCCTTTCGATGACTGGTTGGTGGGGGTTGGGGATCCGGTCTCGCTTTTGAGCAAGTCGCTGCAGCGTCACAACGCCAAGAAGAGGTAATTACAGAGCTATACCTGGTTAACGTCTTACAATGAGGATTCTATCTATACCTTATGTTACAATAATTGATGAAGGAAAATACAAATTATAGGTTTGGACAAAGTTCCGATAGTATTATTGCAAAGATGTACAAGGTAGGTAATTGTTAAGCTGAGAAATAAAGGGCATTGGATGCTCTTATACGCCCACCAATCTAATCAATCTACTTATCCTCCACCAAACACGACACAATCCCCACGTCAAACGTCGACCCAATCTGCGCCCCCAGCGAAGGCTCATTGCTCTCCACCGCCTTGAGAATCGCCTTCGTGCAATGCAGCGTATGCGCCAGCGTGTTGTGCGCCACGGCCGCAATGTCGCCCGTCACCAGTCGATGCATCCGCCGCGCCAGAAACGCGCAGTGTGCCAGATGGTTCTCCGTCGTGGTGTAGATGTGGGCTCCCACGAGGTCCGACAGGGCTTCTTCCGAGGCCACCTGCTTCTGGCCCTGTTCGTCGTGGTAAAAGGCCCAGGCGCCGAGCTGGCGGGAAGGGTCGAGGACCCATTCGCGGTACTCGGCGTCGGTGATGGGGTCTGCGCAGTATTTGGGCATCCAGTTGTTGGTGAGGAGGTCGAAGACGCAGCCCATGACTCGGGCCTCTGTTGACGAGTTGCCGCAGTGCAGCTCAGACCCTGACGGCGGCTTTGGTGTCATGGTTGGAACGGAACTTGGAACTGATGCTGGAGCTTGATCGTGACCGTGATCATGATTATGAGCTGGAGCCATAGGCGGAGCCGGAGCCGGAGCTGGAGCTGGAGCTGGAGATGAGGCTGGAGTTGAGGCCATCATCGCGCGAAGAAGGATATTCTGCCGAGCCACGACGTATCCGAAAGCTGCACAGCTCGCCGCGGCGACAATGGCCAACAAAATGTACGCGCCCGTCACAGCCCAGCTCCCATATCGCCTCTTGGGCGGCTCGCCATCTTCAGCGGGCAATTGCGGTGGGAAACTGTCGGAATCGCTCTGGTTGAGTCGCGAGTATAGCTTTGGGAACTTCATCCTGAGTGAGCGACTGGATGGCCCGTATGAGGAACGTCTTCAGAGTGAGAGTCAATGCCCTAAGGATGACACCCAGAAGAAGAAGCACCTCTCGTGGGTAATGGATTCACTCACACTCTAAGCGCACAGCAAATGTCAACCGGCATATGAAATCACCATATTTCCATGCTTTGGAACTGTTTGGAAGCATGCATCATCATCCAGAGTATGGGGAAGGTCAGCGACACCGAGACGGGCCGGTCAAGGTGTGTTTCAGTCAGCATGGTCAGCATGCATATAGATCCCGCCTCCAGGGGTCTGGCGCGCAGTGACATCCCGCACATGTAAAGTGACAAGTGACGAAAACGACAAACTTGACGTTCAGAGTGTCAGCAAGATTCGGGTCATCGAAGATCATGGTTTCATTTACGGCAAATAGGCACGAGATCATGATCGAAGCTGCAAAGATGTGAGTGCCGGTCCGTTCATAGAATAACATCGTCCCTAAATAGTGGGATTATATTCCTGGTTTTGGGCTGCGTTGCGCCATTTGGTTGTTCCCACCCTTGCGATCTGGTCTGCTTACATCAACCGCAGCATGGTGTATTGATCAACCAAGTTGTTTAGTTGTTACTTTTGGCCAAGTGAAAAAAACATACGACTTGTTCTTATCAGATCATCAGTTTGAGCTTCCATAGCAAACATGAAGGTCTTGCCGAGAAAGGAGCAAAACTCCCTGGGCCAGGGCTCGCACATCCTCCCAACCCAGCTCGAGGATGTCCTCCCCGTGAGCCTGTCCATCACGGCCACGGACGAGGAGCGAGCCAGCCTGCTCGAGTCCATCCTCTCCCCGCCCACCATCCCCGGCGTTGCCCTCCAGACGAACGAGTTCAGAGGGGGCCCGGACGCCGTGTCCAAAGAGCAGTTCCGAAAGGGGCTGCTGGCCGAGCTTCGCAAGGGCTGGACCGACGTGGCTACCGAAGCTCGCTTCATCAGGCTCGTCGAGCTCCTGCAGCGCGATGGCTGCGCCGTCTTTGCTGGGCTGATTGACGTCCCGGCGTTCCTCCAGCTCATTGAGCAGTTCACCAAGACCATGAGCGACTCAGGGACTCATGCCTTCTTACACTCCTTTGCCAACCTAATCGACCACCCCGACATCCTCCTCAACGAAGAATTCAACGACGCCATCATCCACCCCCTCGTGATTGCCCTCTTGTCGTACGTCATGGGTGGCCCCATCAGAATAACCGATGCCCGCGGCAAAGACACGCAGCCCATCTCCGTCAATGCGCAGGACAACATGCTGCACATCGACAACACTCCCTTTCGAGAGGAGTACAAGATCCTTCTGGGTTGGGAAAAGGGCCAGGTCAAGGGTCCCACCGGCCAGAACTTTACATTCCTTCCCGGAACGCACAAGGGAAACCGCCTCATCAACGTGGATGAGCGATCCCAGCCCTGGTCGACGGAGAACAGCAGCCTGTTCATCACCGACGACAGCCTTGAGAGCGTCCTCGAGTTCCAGAAGAACATCACGGGCAACGCGCCCAAGATTGTAGAGCTAGAGTATCCAGAGCAGCCCGTCACTGTGGTCTTCAACGCAGGCTCTCTGGTCCACCACCGTTATCGCAACAACAATGGCAGCACCCGCAGCTGCGTCATCACTGCCTTCCATCTTGCGTCCGATCACCCAGGCGCTCTCCTCGCCTCGAAGGCGAATGAACAGCCAGAGACCATTGCGGACGCCCTTCTGGGCTTCCAGGACGGGAACCAGGTAGAGATCTTTTACTCTTTGGTCCGTGGCAAAGCTTCAGCCATCGAAGCCAAGATTGTCGACATTCTCGACGAGAGCCACCAGTCCACTCTCGTCGACACCGCCAACCTGACGCTGTCCGGCGAGCGCCTCACTCGCTGGCGAGAAATCACCCTCCACGCCCCGTCCGCAACGGAGCTCAAGTTCGAGGGCAGCAACTACCTCTCCTTCGCAGGCGACGCCATCCCCCGCGATCTCCTCGTCGAGAAGCTCGCCGCCGCCATGGCCTACGACAAGCACGGCCTACTAGACCTCATCATCTACCAGGACGGCCACGAGGAGATCCGCAAGCCCGCGCGCAAGAGCGTGTGGACCATGTCCAAGGACAAGATCGCCGCCATCCTCTCCGCGTGGCTGCCCGCCGTCGAGGGTTACCGCTTTTCCGTCGCCGACGTGCAGAGCCCCGCGGTGCTCCAGCGCAAGGCCTACAAGGTCGCCCAGCTCATGCGGGAGAGCTTTCCGAACATTGACTTTGAGCGCAAGACGGACCTGGGGATGAGCAAGGAGGAGCAGCAGCTGTTTTCGGCGCAGCAGCTGATTCATGACTTGGGCGAGTCGATTTCGCGGTGCGAGAAGATTGAGACGTACATTACTACGAACCTGTTCCTTTTCTTCATCATCGATCAGATTATCCCTTCGTTTGACTGGGTGTTACGGCAGAGGGTCATTGCGACGTGTGCCATTTTCTTGAGGGCGTATATCGCTTGCGTATTGGTGGTGGAGAAGAACCACGGGATTTGAGAAGTGGGAAAATGGGTAACTATGAGGCACGTTATGAGTAAATGAAAAGAGGAAACAATGGTTGATTAGCTAGTTTGTAAGTCGTGCTTTGCAACTATGAAGAAAAAAAAGAAATAAGAAAAAAAAAATCATGTATTATTATTATACTACAATGAGCATTGCATACCTACCGAATGAGTCTCTGCTCTGCATCGTGACAAAGCGAGATGAAGGCAGTTCCAGTTCGATAGGCGGCTATCGAATTCTCTTGCACATACAAAACATTGTAGAGAAGAGTGAATCAGCATCACATTTCTGAGAGATGTAAGTTTGCTGATAATAGTCTCGGGAGCTTGCTCGCTAGGGAAGAGACGAAGATACAGCCGGCGAGAGGTGCCAACTTCAAGTAGGTGACTACCCTGGATTTCTTTTCTTCGTGTTTTTTTCAAGGTCCAGTTTCCTTTTTGTCCTAGGTGGCGGAGGCTGATAATAGAACGATTCAAGGGCGAGTTCAACGGACTAAATGATTAACAGCTCAGCAAGCTGAGGCACCGAGGATATTATCGTCTTACACTCTGGAAGTTGGAGACTTGTGACGACAATCCTTACTTGACGCAACACGTTTCCTCAACGGGATATCGCACACCTTTATCAGAGCCCAGGAAGGTTATAAAGTGTACTCTCTACTTCTTATTATCAGGGTTCAAGGTTATGATGCATCTTCTTTATCCGTCGTTACAGCAATCGTCTGTCTCGTCGTAGCGCTCAGACTACTTATGCCCTCCACCAGCCAATAGACACGATGCTACAAGTTGGCCTCTTCCGCCGCCGCCTTCTCCAGCGCCCGGTTTCCTTCTTCATCCGCAAGCTGGAACGCAATTGAGGCGCCAACACGGACTCCTATTACCGTCTGTCAGAACCACAACTCTTTCGGCGTAATGGACTCTGGGTCATGACTCACCGTTGCTGCTCGCCATGAGGGCTTGCTTGATCGACTCCTGCGTATCTCCCGCGCCAAAGCACCCATGCACGCTCGTCTGCAACATCATAGGGTCAACCTCAACGTCGCCATTCGGCTTCGTCTTCAGCTTTAGCTGATCAATCAAGTCTTGTCCCCGATTTCGAAATGGAGGCCGATGAAACAGCATTCCCAGCGTCACGGGATTCCCGCTCTCAAACTCAATCGAGATGCCCTTTTCGGGACCCTCGCCGTTGTTGACGAGACGCAGGACGGGACGCTCATCGAGCTTGATGCCGGCGGCCATGACCTTTTTCAGGGCATTCTGCGTGGGTTCATCCGTAGGCACCGGTCCGTTGCTGTATATCGTAAAATCCTTGTTGAATGCCAGGGTCATCAAGGCGAAGTGGCCGTACGATGGGTTCGGAAAGGAGAGCATGCCGACGGGATAGTCTTTTTGCTCGAAGCCATCGCAAAAGGGACATTGGTAACTGCGGCAAGAGTCAGTACCGATGTCGTCGAAGGGATGAGAAAGAACTTGCATGTGCTGAGGCCAGTTTTCCTTGTATCCCTCAATATCAGTAGGCAAAACATCCTCCACCCCCGTCGCGAGAACCAGCTTGCGCCCCAAATACGTATTGTTCAAGCTATCGACCGCCTGGAAGCCCTTGTACCCGGGAACAATCTCCGTGTTGGACACGGCCACAATCTTGGCCGGCACAAACGTCACATGGTCCGAGTACTTGTCCTCGATCTGCTGCCGCGCAATGGACCGGAACTTTTCGGGCGGGATGCCGTCGCGCGAGAGGAACGTGTGCATCTCCTTGGCGCCCTGGTTGCGGAACTCGCCCGTGTCGAAGATGATGGAGGACCGGCAGACGCGCGCCAGAGTCAGCGCCGAGGAGAGACCGGCCGGGCCGCTGCCGATGACGAGGGCGTCGTAGACGGTGGAAGCTGTGCGGGAGGCCATTGTGCCTTGCGGTAGAAATGCAGTGTTTAGGGGATACTGTTGGGAGCTGTGGCAGGGAAGGACGAGGCTGAGAAGCAGGACGAGGGAAGTACGCCAGAGCATGGCCTGAGGACGGAATATGAGGAGGAGAAATCCAGGGCTCGTGGGAAATGGCGAGAATCTCTGGATTGGAGGAGGAGGAGAGGACAAGGTTGACGGTGACGGAATTGTGCAACGACAGCCAAACGGAAGCGACGTCGGTTTCCGGCCTTGATGGACAGCTTTTTGATCTATATAGATAAGATGGCGGGGGCGCGCAAAAGTCTCCGGAAACTCTGCGAGAAGATGGCGGAGGCCAATGGCGAGGCAAACGTTGATTAAGTCATGTATAATTAAGTGCTTCGAAAATTATGCTGGTGTGTTGGATGAAATGATTATATCATCGGCACATGTCAGTTGTTTCGCCTTCATGAGGACTGCTTGCATCATGAGTTGCTGGGCGCATCAGCGACTCGGAGACTTGCACGATGGTTGTGGAGGTGAGTCGATACATGGAGTATCTGCAGAGGATCTGGTACGAGCGTTGGGCAAGCAGTCAAGATAAGATTGACGCATAATGCGAGAGTATGAGAGTATGAGAGAGTTGGTAGTTATGAGTTGTAGTTGGATCGCAGTCGGCGCTTGGTGTTGAAACAGAAGACTTTGAAGCGTCATGGAAGAGCTCTATCCGTTGAGATATATAGAACCGTCCAAACACGCATTCAATATAAGTAATATGTCGGTGTCCGTGAAGGAAACCGGCGACCGTCTTCAGATGCAGAAATCGAGCTGTGTAGGATTTGGTCAAAGTCATATCAAGACGAGGACAGCCTCCAGATATGAGCAGTTCAACTTCTGCTCCAGATAGTGAGTAGACCCAGAAGGGATAACGGCCCAAATGGCACTACTTGCACAGATAATACTCATATCCCCTTTGGTTAGTTACTCATTGGAACAATTTCACTCGAGCAACTTGCTGAGATCATCTCATAGATACTATGGCTCGCATACAAGCTATGGACTCGCGACCCTCGCATGAAGCACCTCCCCCCAGGCCCCAAAGGCCTCCCCATCATCGGCAACATGCTCGACATGGCCGACACCGACGCGATGATGACCCTAGCCAAGGACTGGGCCGACCAGTACGGCGACGTCTTCTACACCAAAGTCGGCCTGCAGCACTTCATCTGGCTCTCCTCCCCCGCCGCCGTCAAAGACCTCATGGACAAGCGCGGCTCCATCTACTCCTCCCGCGCAGCCAGCCCCATGATCAACAAGGTCTCCAACGAGGAACGCCTCAACTTCCTGCCCTACGGCGAGAAGTGGCGCACCCTGCGCAACATCCTCCACTCGGCCCTCAACCTCGAGACGTCCTCCTCGTACAAGCCCGTCCAGGACTTTGAATCCAAACAAGCCCTCTGGGAGATCCTGCACGCGAAAGACGACATGGAGTTCAACGACATCAACCGCAGGTACTCGACCAGCACCATCATGACCATCACGTACGGCCAGCGCGTTCCGCATCTCAGCGACCCCCTATACCAGGACATTCTCAAAATCGTCCGCCACTTCTCCCTCGCCACGGCCCCTGGGGGCTGGATGATTGACACGCTGCCCATGCTGGCGGACATTGTGCCCGAATGGCTCTTGCAGAACTGGAAGACGGTGGCCAGGCAATGGTACGAGGAGGACTCGCGGATTTACCTGCGCATGTACCACAAGCTCATGGACGACATCAGAAACGGCACCGCGCCGGACTGTTTCCTAAAGGACATGGCAAGAGAAAAGATCCCAAAGAGCCTCATCTCAGATGTCACTGCGGCGTTTGCCGCGGGAGCGTTGATCGAAGCCGGGAGTGATGCAACCACGACAGCCCTGAACAACGTCATATTGGCCTGTCTTTTATATCCCGAAGTCGTTGCCGGCGCTCATGAAGAGCTCGACAGAGTCGTAGGAAGCGACCGCATGCCCGACTTCAGCGACGAGCCGAATCTGCCATACATCCGCGGCGTCGCCAAAGAAACACTCCGATGGCGCGCCTCCACCAAGATTGGAACATGCCATTCCACCACCCAAGACGACTGGTACAAGGGCTTCTTCATCCCCAAGGGCGCCGTCATCGTGCTCAACTGGTGGTAAGCATCCAACATCATCCCCTCCCAGCTAACCTGTATAACCAGTAAAAGAAGGACCGCTTACCAGCTCTTACACAGGGCCATCCACATGGACGAATCCCGCTGGAGAGACCCCCAGCGCTTCGACCCAACCCGCTACGTCGCCGACCCCCTCACCGAAGCCGAATCCATGGCCCAGGCCGACGCCAACCTCCGCGACCACTTCACCTTTGGCGCCGGCCGTCGCAACTGTCCCGGCGTCCACATCGCGCACAACTCCCTCTTCATCAACATTGCCCGGCTCTTCTGGGCCTTTGACATATCCAAGTCCGTCGACGCGGACGGGAATGAGATTGAACCGTCGACGGAGGCGCAGCCAGGGTTCTTGCTGACGCCGGTCAAGTTCCCCTGCAGGCTGGAAGCGAGGAGTGAGAGGCACGCGGCTATCATTGAGCGGACGTGGGAGGAGGCGCAGAGGGAGTAATTTGTATGGCTGAGCTGAGAAATATACAAAGCAAGTGACGAATGACGTGGGGGTGTGTTTATGGGTGATGGGTGACGATGTACGTGTCCAGGTGACGGAGCTGAAAATGTCAAGATCCAATGAGAGTTGTCTGGCTGGTGATGAGGCTGCAAGGGGGGTATCGTGCTTCCTTTTCTCAGCTTTTGGGGGCCGATATCAACTCAGCTGTAAATGTGCCCAACCTGTAGATGAATGCAAACAATGGACGACAAATTGATCGGAAACCGGCAGTTTCATCAGACCCGGGACAAATATAAATACAAACATCTTGAACCCCCCGTCACATACCTAGTCATGCTGCTAAACGTCATTGTCTAGACTACCCTCCTCATCCTCGACTATAGCTAGCTATACATACGAATCAATACAATGTCTGCCCTAGAAAGCTTCCTCGCCCAATTCACCCTCGTCCTGCAAGACGCCACCGCACAACTCCAAGGCCCCCTCAACGATGAACGCATTACAACCCTCAACCCCTCCGAGACGCTCCCCGAGAACAACAAGAAGCTATGGGATCTCCTCGCCCAAACCGTCAACATGGCCGACCAAATCGTCCACCTCCTCCAACCACCAGCCATCCGCCTCGCAGAAACATACCTAGGTAAACACCCATTCAAACCCTTCTACTTCCCATCATAACTAACAAAACCCCATGCTAACCAAAACAAAAAAGCCTACCTCGACACCAAAGCCCTCGTCGCAGCCGTAACGCACAACATCCCCGACCTCCTCACTCAATCCCCTCCCCTCCCAACCCCCCTCCTCGCCCAAAAAGCAAACCTCCAACCCCTCCGCCTCAAGCAAATCATGCGCGCCCTCCACCACAACAACGCCATCTTCGCCTACGACCCAAGCACAGACACGTACTCCCACAACGAAGCCTCCCTCCTCCTCCAAAAGGACCACTGGACCCAATGGCACCGCTGGGTCACCCTCTACGGCGACGAGTTCTACGACGCCGCGCGCTCCATCCCCGACGCCATCCGGGCAGACGAATCCCGCAGCGCCGCCCAGATCGCATACGGCACCGACAAGCCCATATTCACCTACTTTGCCGAAAGGGGCCTCCAGGAGAAATTCCACAAAGCCCTCGGCGCAGGCGCAGTCGCACAGGCTCCCGGGATGCTGGCGGACTACAACTGGAAGGAACTCGGCGATGCCGTCGTCTGCGACATTGGGGCCGGCGGAGGAGACTTTATCGCCGCTCTCTTGCGCAAGAACCCCCCCATGAGAGGCGCCGTCCTCGAGATTCAGCCCGTAGTAGACATGCTCAAACAGAAACTCGAGCAACCAGACGGCGTCTTCAACGATGTAGCAGATCGCATGACAAATCTCCACGCAGGCGACTTCCTCACCACCATCCCCCCTTACGAAGTCTACACCATGAAGTGGTGCCTCCACAACTGGACAGACGCCGACGTCCTCAAGATCCTCGCCAACGTCCGCCGCGCCATCAAAATCAGCCCCCGCGCGCGGATGGTCGTCATCGAGTCCGTCCTCAAGGAAGGCCGCAGCTCGCGCGTCTGGAGATATGGCGATCTGACCATGATGTCCACGGCCAATGGTATGGAGCGTACGGAGGCGGAATGGAGGAAGCTCGCGGGACAGGCGGGCTGGGTCGTCAAGGACATTGTGCCTTTGCGACATGCTTGGGCTTCGGCCATCGACTTGAGGCCCTTCTTTACCGTGTCGATGTAATCGTTACGATGGATGTATCTGCCTCCTATCTATTCTATAGTCACCTCTACATCATTTAACTCCATATGTCACAAATGCTCATGGTGGGAACCTCACTAAAAAAAAGATTGCCAGTGATGATGAACATGCCGTGCGAAATGTAGTCCTGGGAGGATTTCTTATGTTCCGAGACAAGGGAAGTAAGTCGACAAAGTACTGTTTCGACAATGGGACAGATTTAACGATATACATCGAAATAGAGCCTCCATCCGCTGCGACTATGGATTATCCCTTTTGCTTATACCGCAAAGACTTATACTCTTAAGGCCTCTTCCCCTAGCATCTATTATTACGAGGCATGGTATGGCAACAAATACAGACAAAAACCACCAAATTCCCTCTCAAGGCTGCACTTATCGCAGCAAATTACCTGAAATTTTCAAATGAAATCCCACCCCTAGACCGCGTCTGCGCGAGACGACTGGTACATCTTGAAGTAGTGTCCTTGTCGGGCCATGAGCTCGCTGTGTGTGCCCTGCTCGACAATTTGGCCCGCAGCCATGACTATGATGACATCGGCAGTCTTGATTGTGTTCAATCGCTGTAAAGCAAATCTTAAGTCAGCATGAGTGTTTCCCCTCTGGAAGTTCAGACTTACGTGAGTGACGATGATCATTGTGCGACCACCTTGGATACTCTGAAGGGTTTCCTGAACCAGCTGTGGTCTGTCAGTCGTCATTCATTTCTCATGCTTGCAACGATCACCTTACCTGCTCTGACTCAGCATCAAGTGCACTTGTAGGCTCGTCCAGTAGCAAAAGCTCTGGATTTCGAATGAGCGCTCGCGCAATCGCAATGCGCTGCTTCTGACCTCCAGAAAGAGCAACCCCCTTCGATCCGCAATCACTGTTGTAGCCGTCTGGAAGTGAAGCGATCAGTTCGGTCAGGATTGCAGCCTCGCATGCACTGACGATGTCTTCTTCCTTCACACTGTCCTCATCAACTCCGAGAATGATATTGTCGCGGACCGAGCCTGTTGATTCTCGAGTTAGCAAAGCATTCTACACTGCATCAACATGGAATACCAACCTCGATACAATGTGGGCTCTTGGGGCACAATCGCCAATTTCTTTCGGTAGACTTCTGCTTCTTCTGACAAGATCGGCTTGCCAAAGACATCCAGAGCACCTGATCGAGCATCGTAGAAACGCTCCAACAAGGCCAACAGTGTCGACTTTCCGGATCCAGAGCTTCCGACAACTGCAACCGTCTGGCCCTTCAAGATCTGGAACGAAACGTTTTTCAAGACAGTGACGTTAGGGCGAGCCGGATAGGCAAATGAGACGTTTCTGAAATCAACAACGACATTTGCATCCTTCTCGCTGCTAACGTCGAGAGACGGCGCCGCCTCTTCAGGCGTACGCACGTGTTGTCGAATGCCGAGAATATTGTTGGCGGCTATTCTGGCCTTGCCAATGTCTGTGCATCTTGTTAGCAACGAAGCTTACACACAATGCCGGAGCTGGGACTTACTTGACGAGAATCCGAAGAGAGCGCCTGCAGCTTGTCCACCGACAATGACAGCAATAAAGACGGTAAAGAACTTTTCCGTCGACGTTTCGCCGTTTCCCAGAAGCTTACCGCCATACCAAAAGCCCAATGCGGCAGCAAGCAGCTCTGCGCTCTCCGAAAAAGCAAAGAACAGCGTGATGATGGCCGTCTTGCGCGACAGCCTCTTCATTGTCACAGCCAGTTGTTGCTGGTACGAATTCTGCAAATTGTCTTCCATAGTGAATGCCTTGACCGTTCGAATAGACGAAAGTGCATCCGTCGCGAAACGTGCGCTGTCTTCAAAGACCTTGGCAGTCGCTTCTGCAAGAGACGAGTCTAGTGTCATGCGAATGAAGCCGGCGGCAAAAACAACGGGCATGGCACCAAAAATTGCGACAAGGGCAAGCTTCCAAGAAAAAGCCAGCGCAATAATGCTACCGCTGATGATACTGACAAAGATAGAGATGAGGAGACCCAGATTGACGGAGATGAGCTCGTGAAGATTCGCCGGGTCAGTCGACAGTCTCGAAACGAGGGCTCCAGACGACACACGGTCAAAGAACTCCATACGCTGACTGAGAATGACGCGGAAGTAGTCCAGACGGTAGAACCTAGTAAGGCGAATTCCCAGCAAGGTCATAAAGAAGCCGAGTACAGCGTAGGCGATAAGAGCACCAAGGCCAACAACGAAGAACATCAGAGACCAAAAGTTGGCATCCGATGATATCTCTGCTGCTGTACCTTGGAAGCTTTGCATGACTCGACCAAGCAGGATGGCCTGAACTGGGAATATCTGTGCCGTGACGATAGCCGCGAGGATGCCGGTCAACAGGATGGGCAAGTAACGCTTCTGCTCTTTAGCGATGGTGTACAAATTATGCCAGAGCGAGCGCTTGGGAATGTCGGGAATCTCCGCCAGCTCGTTGGGGGAAGAGTCCGGCACAGTAGACGCGCCTTTGGCCAAAGGCTTGAGCTCGGCTACGGAACTCTCGATGGGTGTAAATTCGGTGGCGTCGGGTTCGTCCTGCACTTGGGCATCATGCAATCTTCTGTACACCTTGCTGGCAGCCATGAGCTCTGCGTGTGTACCCTGCTCAACGACCTGGCCCTTGTCAATGACAACAATCCTGTCAGCCTTCATGGCGGACGATATCTTGTGCGAAATGAAAATGGTGGTCCTGTCGCCAGATGCTGTCATGAGCGTCTCGATAACCTTGGAATTCTCATTGTCGAGGGCGCTCGTCGCTTCGTCCATGAGGAGGATGGGGCGCCGTCCGATCAAGGCACGCGCAATCGCAATGCGTTGCTTCTGTCCGCCCGATATGAGTCCACCATGGTCGCCAACATCGGTGTCAAATGCCTGGTTCAAGTTAGTAACGTTAATCAGCAGCTTTCCACAACGTCATGAATCGGAGCTCACCTTTGGCAAATTCTGGATGAAATCGAGAGCCCGGGCTTCCTGGCAAGCCTCTTCCACCAATCGCATCTTCTCCTGCCGAGACGCATGCTCCTTCTCTGTGCCGATGAGCCCGTATGCGATGTTGTCAAAGATGGACGCGTTAAAAAGCTGCGGCTGTTGTTCGACGAGAGCAATCTGCTGCCTCAACCACTTCGGATCGATTCCAGTAATATCGTAGTCATCCAGCAGGATCACTCCCGACGTGGGATGATACCATCTTTCCAGAAGAGACACGAGGGTACTCTTTCCCGCTCCCGATGGACCAACCACAGCAGTCGAGGTACCGCTGACAAACTCGATATTGACATTGGAAAGGGCTTTGACATCCGGCCTCGATGGGTAGGAAAACGAAACATCGCGCATCACCAGATGACCGTTGCGTGTGCCCAGACTCGAAACGACGAAGTCGTCTGTCGCATCCTTTGTGTCGGTCTCGTCAAGAATTTTGAAGACATCCCCCGAAGCAGCGACAGCCTTGATAAAGGAGGGCATGTTGGGACCTAGAGCCATGATGGCTCCCAAGCCGATCAACATGGCGAAAAAGACACTATTTGAAGATTAGTAAACCACAAATCGGCTGCGAGCGAGGAGGACTAACGAGAGAATCCTTCCAGGGTCCGAGATCAGCCCACGCCTGTACAGATATGCTCCGAGATAGAAGCCAATAGCCCAACCGGTGAACATGAAGAAGTACTGGCAAGCAAACATCAAGCCAACAAATGGGCCTCTCTTCTTGCCGTCTGCCTCGGCCTGTTGCAGGATCGCGTCGTATTTTGCCAGAAACTTGGGCGCAGCTCCAAAGGCCACCACCGTCTTGACGCTTCCAAGCGCGTCTTCAGCAATGGCACTGCAATCGGTATACTTTTTGAGGAGTCCCGCTTCGATTTTCTGGTCGCTTCCCACGATGAATCCAATCAAACCAAGAGTGATAAGCACAAGGCCCAGCATCACCAGTGTGAGGTGCCATGACTGTGAAAATGCTACCGCAAAGGAAGCAAGGAGCATTGAAAAGGCTTGTATCATGATTCCAATTCGGTCCGACAGCGCCGACTGAATGGAGTTGCAATGGACTGTGATGGTGTTGGACAGAGCTCCAGGCGTATGAGCATCGTGGGCGGTGATGGTGCGATTAAGGACGCGATTCAGGCACTGGTTTGCAGAATTAGAGACAAAACGTCGCTGAGTAGTTGGCATTGTGAATATACCTTGAGTCGCAAAGCCTGAACCATGCGGTTGGCCGAATAGCCAAAGCCAAAACTCCAAATGTACACAAGCTAAAACGAAAGATTAGAGTCGGGTAATTCCACGATATAACGGAAACACATACCACAAACTTAGCAATGAAGAGATACACAAAGTAGAGACTGCAAATGATTAGCGAGTGACCTCGTCAGTAATGGGAGTGGCACCTACGCGTTTTTCTGGACCGATTTCATGAAGTCGTGGGTGGACTGCTTGTTATCGGCGCTTCCGTAGTTCGTAAAGTTGGCAGTCAGGCGGCCGAGAACGAGTGCCATCAGGGGCATTGCTAATCATCGTCAGCATGGAGCAGGATGAGCCTCGTAGCTCTAGATCGACGAACCTGCACCACTGCAAGCGGCAGCAAAAGCGCATACTATCTGGATAGCTTTGTCTGAGGGCTTTCCAAAGGAAAATACCCGCTGGTTGCCCTGTTAGCAGCTACCGATACTCTCGAGAGTGTCTCCCATACCATCAACGTTCCGAAGTTTTGCTTCTGCGTCTCATCGTCGGCCTTGGCCTTTGCCTCGACATTGTTATAGGCGCCAGGAGGAGCTTCGAAGCCTCCAGCGGCCTCCGCTTCCTCCTTCATCGCAGAGGATCGAGGACGAGGCAGCGATCGGGTCCTCTGCCGGAATCGAGGGTAAACGAGTGACTTTCTTGCTTGGCTCGCAGGGGAATGTGTAGAGATTGCAATATTCTGGAGAAGAGAAAAGAAGGTGAAAAGTCGAAGATGAAGTTGGCAGCTGCAAATGGATGTTTCCGCTCGGGGGGACTTTAGAAGGTGAAGGAGGTGAGTGGGGCGCAAGTTGAGCACTTGGGCCCGGATACTTTGCTATCAGTACCGTTGCTGCGGTTGCCTGCAGTTCCTATGCGGAGAGTCAACCAGCAGTACTTTGTGGCCAGGTATCGTGTGGTTATTGTCACTTGTAGGGTCTGTGACATGCGTTTGCCGGCCGGCAGAGTGCAACCGGCTGTCACTTGGCTGGCAGCAGATACAATCAAGGGAAGTGATTGGTCTCACACGAGATAATGATTACAAATAAAGAGAAAAGGAATAGAAAGATTTGATGTCGTTAGTGTTGCGCGTCCTGTGAGTGTTTGGTGCTACTTGCTGCAGCGTTGGGCATTGGTGATGATACGATTAGGTGCAACAAGAGGCAAGGCCTTAATCTTACTTCGGGAAAGGATTATGAGGTGTATACGTGTGCCACTTACTCAGCCTATCAGAGGGAGACGGATCAAGCGCGTGTTTGTGTTTGGGTGCTACTGGACAATGCAGTGACACGGCCGTGGAGGCATTCATATCCAATGCCGTGGATGTTATTGATACACAGTCTTGGGGGGTAGAATAGGGGTGAATGCCATCTACAGTGAGAGGACGTTTGGTTATGGTTATTGCCAGACTGCTGCTACATACAGTGACACTCTACAGTGTATGCCAATCACCATTCGAAACGAAGAGAAAAAATCAGCAATCACATCTCATCTAGACTTGCAATTCTGTCAAGGTCAGGATCTCGGGGATGCAGTCGCAGTAGCGCCAAAAGTGGCCGCCCCTGGCCAAGGCCAAAAGTTGCCGATTGGCTGATCGAACAAAGACACATGGGAATGAATTGGGGCTAGATTAGTGTCCGAGGGCTAAAATAGCGAGCAATTAATTAAGGTGACAGCTGAAAAGTGGCGCATGGACTCCATGGAGGCGTTTGATGTCATAAATTTGGTTCTCGTTTCTCCACATGTTTTCTTCTATGCTCTACTAAAGGTGCCTGCTTGAGCAAGCAAACCTCCGTCAACACCTAGGTACATAATACTAGCAGGATATCTGGTGATTGGTAAACCGATGGTTAGAGGTGGTCTCATTCTTTTCATGGAATATTACCCTCATCACAATCTTGGGAACCTTGGGACTTTGCGATGGGGTCTTCGAAGACGAGGTTGAATTGGGTAAGCAAGTTGCATCAGTCTTGTCGTCCACCTAAATCTTCTCTTCTTGTCTTAACTTCAGCACAATCTTTGAATAGTACGAAGGAAGCACCTGGCCCGGCATCACGATATTCTCCGGCTTCGTCCTCCTCCCGCCCTCAAAAGTCGCATCATACCGCATCAGCAGCTTTGCAAAAATGATTTGAGTCATCCGAACCCCCAGATACCGCCCAGGACACATTTGCGAGCCGTATCCGTAGGCCAAAAATGTGTTGCTCGCGGTTGTAGCCTTGGTGGTGACAGTGTTGGTTGTCTCATCGTAGAATCGATAGGGATTGAACTCCTTCGCGTTCGGATAGTTGTCTTCATCGTTGTGGATCATCCAAGACGGCGACGAGATGATGTTGCCGGGTCTTAGGACGAGGCCAGACTTGAGCTGAAACGGCTTGAGAATGGATCGTGTGACACTGACTAGAGGGCTGTTAGTTTGATATGTTTCCAATGTTGCTTCCTGCATGGACCACCGGATGACATGCAGGGACTCACATAGCGTTGGGCCGTCGACGCGGAGAGTTTCTCGCGTGAAGCTCTCGAGACGCGGAAGAGAGCTCATCATCTGCACAGACCATTCGCCGCCGTTCTCCGCGAGCGCCTTAGCAATCTCAGCCCGCAAGGCTTCAGTGAGACTTGGATCCCGGATGGACTCAAAGAGAAGCTGTGTGACGAGGCAGGCGACCGGGCCGGCGCTATCAAAAGCCGTAAAGACCACCTCATCTGAGAAGATGTTGATTTGTCGCTCTTCTTCTCTCCTAGTCATGGCCGTGGCCTCGCGTGTAATCTGGCCTCTCTCTTCTTTCAGATCAAGCATTGCTCTAAGCAGCGTGTATTTGTCCGGTGAATAGTCACGTTCAGTCAGCCGCCATGTCGTAATCGTTCGCCTAATTTCCGGAATGATGAACGATTTCAGATGCCTAATCACTCTGCGCACTCTGAAGCCCCACGGCGAAAAGTACCAGAACAACCTCCTGAGGGGTGCAGGAACCCAAAAGTAGAGGTGAACAAAATGCGGCACATTGAGGCAGTAATCCTCGATGTAGGCCATGTACTCGGGATTTCGGGAGAAATGGGGTCCAATGAGGAATGACGCGGCAACTAGATGGACCAGATGCCATATCTGAAGGAATCCTGCAAACGGCTCTTGGTCTATAACCACCAAATGTTAGTGAACCATAAAGCTACGATTCATAGAGGCCTGGTATACCTTTGGCAAGTGAGTCAAAAACTTGGGGAATCGATTCATCGCTTTGCACAACCACCGAGTGATGCAGTGAATCTAGGGTCATCTCATTAGTTATCTCCGTCTCCATCGGTGTAGATAACACCTACTCATGTTCTTGTTCACTGACTGCCGGACAGCGTCGACATGCGAGCGGCCCAGGATATTGGTATGAAGCCGAAAGTGATAACTCTGCACATGGATCAGCTCATTTCGTTTTCGTAGGCTTGCATCGATGACTCACATCTTCAACGGCCTGTAGGAAGCTCATCTGGCTGAGGTCGGCATTCTTCACCTCGTCGCACGTCCCAGGGGGCAGCACCAGGATAAAGTCGTCGTGCTGACCCCAGTACGCCCACGGCTTGAGCTTCTTGCTGAACTGATGACAGTTAGCCACAATTCCATTGTAACAAAATTTCAGCCTTACTGTGTCGTATCCGCGTTGGATGACGCCTTTCAGGTCCGCTTCGTTTTCGGTCCATCGCAGCCGCTTCCAGAGATATGGCGCGTCGCCCACAATGGGGATGTTTCCCAGCCTCCTCCGCTGCTGCTGGTAATTGAGCCAGTCAAAGAACACGACTGATATGACGGGAATCAATATGCTGATGGCTGCAGCAACAAACGGCCTTTCCCAAGCATTTTGTAGCTTGTCAACAAGAAGGCTCCTAGCCGTCATATTGTGCAAATGACTTGGTTCCATGGTGATAGCTTCAAAAGCAAGGCTTTCGCGCGAAACGAGAATCACAAAACAGGCAATATCATATCATCATACAAATTTTTATAAAGCATGCGGTTGGACTCTCCCATTCGGTCACCGAAAACGCGTCGCTAACAGTGTACACTCATTGGACCTCGACTCGTCACGTCGCACATAGCGGGCTACCCTGCAAATTCCACCAACTCTCGAAATTTTGGACCATGAAAGCAAGAGGAAGATGGACTACGTACTGCAACTCGACATGGTAAGGAAATCTGAAAACATCATTCAACTCGCGTGTAGAGATGGTGGTCGTAATACCTGGCTGTAGTTGTCCTGCTGTGACTTGCTCCCCTCCTTCTATACTGGCGTAGCTGTCTCTGTGCATTCACTCGTCACGGTAGGGACACGAGAAATGAGCTCAAACTGATCACATATCACGCCATCAGCCTCAGAATATCAATAGTCCGTGTTTTTCCTGGTCCATGTACCTAATAAAACCCATATCTACGACTGTCTCGCATTCCACAGCTCAATCCACCCCATAATCGTTCTCAAGCCCCGTGAAATATCACCCAAAAGTAGGGAAGCCGACTTCGAAAAACTATCCTGCTTCTTCCCAGTCACCAATCTCTCGCGCTCTTCCACCAAGGCTGCCAGCTTATGAAAGCGAGCCTGCAACGTCTTTCGAAGGAACCTGCATCGCACTCGTGATGGAACTTTATAGGCCCCAATGCAGAGGGCAATGCCCTCGTTTGAGTTATCAGACGTCGACTTAGGCCTCGCAATGAACTCGCTGCGAGCAGTCTTTTGCAGGATATCGAGCATCATGCGGACACTAACAAGCGCCAGCAAGTGCACGAAACTATCAAGCCGACAATTCTTGCATTTGTGCAAAAGACACAGAGACTCCTGCACTTCCTTCTCCAGCATCAACACGCAGTCCATTGGCATGGAACATGGGCTCTGCTGCTCTGCCTTTAGACTCGCTATGCGCTCTGTGATTGTATCCATGCAGTTGCAGTGCCCCTGCCTCAACATGACCCGGGTTTTACGCCAGGACAGCTCAGAGCTGCCATCACAGCTGGCTTGAACGCTTGGTGATGCATCGCTAGGCTGCGAAGTATTGGACGGAGAGCATGAGCTTACTTCCTGAGGAGAGTAGCTCGCTTCCAGAAACATGGCTGATGGAAGACTTGACAGATGACCCGACTCGTCTTTGTTGCTTGGAACTGATCGCGATTCGCGTCGAGATGACTTTGTTGAATGCCTGCAAGTACACGGTTCAGATGAGCTTTCCTGGCGTTGCTGTGTTGGCACAAAGGCATTTGCATCGTCTCCGGTACCAGTATTTGGCAAGGCAAATGAAAGGATCTCCTGAGGTCCGAACAACTCTGCAGGTACCGCTGAAGTTGTGGCTTGTGGTTCGAGGGACCCCGACAGACTGTCCAAGAAGGACGGCATCCCCGTGAATGAAGCCATATCACCAAGCTCCATCGGAGACTCGGCTGACAGGAACTCCATCGGATCATCATCCTGCTGCTCCGAGTTCTCCAGTCCATCGATGCCTTCCGATGCGTTGAGCTGACCCAAGTCACCGAACAGAGGGACCCAATTCTCCGGTATCTGCCCGGCATCAGACGCCGACGGCTCACCCGGTTGTTCAGCCTCCGCGATGCAAGTCTCAGCTACGGGTGTCCGTGGCGGCCTAGTATCTGCAGCCGCATCCTCCGGCGATGCAGCCTTTGCGGTTTCGTTCTCGTTGGGCTCAGAAGTGCTTGGCTGTCTTTGGTTTGGATCATTCGCGGCGACCCTTTTCGCTCTTGGACGGCCCATTCGACGGGACAAGCTGTACACGCAGTCCACCCGGTGCACCGAGCATCGACGACATGATGGCTTCTCATGGCCGCACTTGACTTTTGCCGTTTGACAATTATCGCAGGAAGTTCTGTATTTGGGGATTTTTCCTTTTGGTCGAAGTCCTTCGTGGCCGGTCATCTTGCAAACTGATGCGATCTGCCGCAATTGTTCGTCAAGGTTGCCGACTATGACTCGTAATACGGGGAGAGTCTCTGTCTGCCGATTTCAAAACGCATCTTTCCGTCACTTGGAGCGCACTGCTCCATGTATTTCTCACAGTAGTCTTCCGTATGTGTTACAGAGAGGGGATGATGACACTGTCTGTATCACGGGTATAGTAAAACAAGGTGCTGCGAGTCTCTCATTGTTTCACAATATGCTCTGCCTCAGTAAGGGGCTCTTTCTGCAGGCTCAGAGCAATTGGCTATCTCAATAAACGGCCGAAGCACAGCATGGGTGCGTTATGATCCTGGAGATGGGTGGAGACAGCGGCTACACGAGACGGCCTGGTCAAAGCGACCGAGATGTTTGCTTATTCACTGATTTAAAGGGTCGAAAGATGATTGATGGTCAATAATAAAGCAGGTTGAGAGAGGCGTGCGTAAGATGGGGAGGAACATAATAAATTCCAAATACAGGTACATGTATGGTTTGAGGCTTCTCTTCTTTGACAGGGTTGTCCAGAGTTTCGAGGTTCCGACACTGTTTTCGTGGCCACCCCCGACGACCCGATGTGTGACCATGTCTGCCCCATGATTTTACACATCCACACCGCCAGTACTCCGTAAGTCGAGGCAAGAAACACACTCATGGAGTACGAGTTACTCATCTCGGCTTGCTTTGGCTGTTGTAACCCCCAATCCATCCAAATAGGATCCTAATGGCCGCTCTAGACACCTTGATGGACAGCTGAACAATGGACGTGTAATGCTGAGGGAGTGCTTAGATGCTAATCTGGGAGACAGAGGTCATAAAGGATACCGGTTGACCTTCTAAATACTGATTCAGGTTGAAATCCTAATCTGCAAAGAGACCTATCTGACTCTACAATTACGATGAGGCTGAGGGTAGGCCAATCAGAGGCTATTCTGAGCACCGCTCCATCTTAATAGACACAATTGATGAACGGCAGTCATGCTTCTCACGATACCATCCATGAAACTGAGACGATCCATCACCCTGGTCTTCATTGGCCACAAGTTCCGTATCCATCTCCCAGCTGAGCGCCATGACATTGCTGGCTCCAACATGTAGTAATATCCGTAAGCCACAGACAAGTAGAAATCCCAGGATCAAGAGCATGCCTCTTCACTCAGCAAACACCCACTTCTGTATTCAACATGCAACGAAGTGTCTGCAACTGCTCCTTCAACGGCCTTCAAAAGATCTCCTCCAGCCTCGGCCAGGACACGCTCTCCTTTGACACCATTCTCCAGATAGGCTCCGACTTCATTGGCTACTTCCAGACAATTATCGACTGCGAGAGATGTGTCACCACGAAGCGCATGACGAATATCCTGTCCCAAATCACCTCACGGCTCGTCTGCTTCTACGAAGCGGCCTACCTGAACGCTGCTACCACCAACGCAATACATCCGAGGGCACGATCGACCAGCGACGCGGGGCTACTACTGTCACCTCCTCTATCACAGCATGGTCAACCGAGTCCTCTGTCTCCTGCAGCACAGCCCGCGCCGAACTGTCAGTCGATGTTTGGCGAGATGAAGCTGGGGAGGCTTACGCTTGAGGGGCACGAGGCGAGGATACTGGCTGAGGTGATTTTGGTGGATACTTGTCTCGAGTTGAATGAAAAGATACAAGAGTGGAGGCTTGTCATGGATGAGATGGCGGAGGCTACTGGGGAGCAGTGTGATGCTGCCTCGTCGAATTGCTTGGATAGACTGGCCAAGTTGATTGGCTTATTGCAGTTTGACGGGCTTCCAGTACAGAGTTGTTGAAACTTAGGACACTATCAACCTTACCACTTACTACATGTCATTACTTGCACTTATCCATGTATGTTTGTTAGTCTTCAAATGTTGACTCTCGGATGACCGTCGGCTGCTTCCGTCTCTTGAAGTCTCCGTGATGTTTTCCACTTTGCTGCGGTCTAATCTTACCAGCAGCCTCAACGGAGACATATTGCCAAAAATGTCATACTCTCACCCGATCGGTGGGTTTGCAGGGGTTCTGGACCAATGAACTGCCAGCACGAATGTTGCACACGAATTTGGACTCATGCAATGCTTGTTCCGCGACGTAGTACATCGCTGCTGCTATGGGGAAAAGATAATTAATTTTGCCCAAAAAGTATCCATTCCTATTTATATGTGAGAAATGAGCGGGTATGGAATATTGATTCGTCTGATAGACCGGTCCTGAGGTGGGAGGTAAGGGACAACTGTTAATAGCAGGGGCAAAATCAAGCCAGGGGCGCAGGCTGCCTTACATCCATCAGGCCAAATTTTCTAAAGCCAAAGCGTATAGATCCAATCTAGATCAGCGACGTGCTCAAGGAAAAATAGGACCGGTGTTGATGATTTCTCACAGCTCGGTTTCTTGCAGCGGATTCCTTTCGCCTTGTGCCTTCCGCCGAATTCCTCGAAGACCGACGTCTCATGAAACCTGTCGGTGATCGAGAACTCAAATATCGGTTGCCGACATATTACATGTGGTATTGTGTGACTAGGTGCTAAGTACACCACGAAGAATGATATGTAGTCCAACCCAAGATGTTGCTGTAGCCTCTCTGTTCCCATCAGCGCACACTACCCTCCAACTTCATTGCCACCAATATGCCCATCAACGCACAGTCTGCAAAGTCCTTGGACACGGACGTTCCGGACAAGCCCCTTATCTTTGTCGTTGAGGGGCGATACCAGAACTGGATCAAGCCAATCATCTTGCTCGAGTGTCTCAACAAAGAGTATGATGCAGTCTGCCTGGATGGACCCGCCACTAGGACCGACTGGTACACCAGACTCCATCCCCAGAGATATGTACCTGCCATGATTGATAGCTCCATGGGTAAACGTGTTACCTCATGGGATAGCTCTCAGATCCTCGTGTACTTGGCCAGCAAGTATGATGTTGAAAAGGCATGGGGAGGGTCTACTGTAGCGGAAGAGCTGGAGATTGGAAACTGGCTGACTTTTGAGACTGCATCTCTTGGGTATGTAATCGGTGATCTCAAGCTGTTGTAGGGCACTAACTGAGACGTGATAGTCCCACTGCCAAGTACTGGGTCTGGTATGCGATCCGGAAGCCCGAGGACAAGAATCCAAAAGCCCAAGAAAAGTAGGACACATTCTTTCGTATCAACAGTTTCAGGAGCTGACCATAGAATTCAGGATGCTCAATGACCTGAAAGTCCAATATGGAATCCTTGAAAAGCATCTTTCCCAGCCCGGCCAAGAATTCATCGGGCTCAAAGATCGGCCAACTATTGCAGATATTGCCATCTATCCTTTTGCAGACGATCCAACCATGGAGCGTATGGGCATAGACAAGAATGACTATCCGGCACTGAAGGCATGGAGCGAGAGGTTCGCGCAGATTCCGGGCGTGAAGAAGGCTTACGATGAGATGGACTCTAGAAAAGAGGTCGTCATTGGAGAGTGAGGCATTTCGTAGCGTATAGCGTACTAGCCGCAATATATTGAACTGGAACCCCCCGGTCCCTCTTCAAGTTGAATGAGCTCGATGGCCGAGGTCATCATCCGATTTAGGACATGTATATATCATGGGCCTTCCATCCTTGAAGTGCTAGAGCTTCTACTCAACTAGACTGTAAACAAGCTATCAGGTATCGCTCAATTCTGCAGCGATGGAGTCGTCTGATCACTATCTGAGGCGGGCTGAGAAACTTCTCGCGGGAACTCCGCTAATTGGTATGTTTCTTTTCATTGATGGTCTTCTGAAAGCTACTGACGACGAAAGACGGACATAACGATTTTCCGTATATGATACGCGGTTGGCATTTGGGCAAAGTCGGCGATGTTGATGCTCGCCAAATGCCGGTCGCCCATACTGACCTGGACCGGCTGCGAAAGGGCCGCGTTGGAGGCGTCTTCTGGAGCGCCTACGTGCCTTGGTAGGCTCTCCTTTCCATACTTTATTGTCAGTCATGCTAATAACGAGTCTGATAATGGTAGTCCGAAGGAAAATTCGACGGATAACTTCTCGACTGCTGTCCACTATGAGAGCCTTCGAGAGACTCTTCAGCAGATCGACATTATCCACACCTTAGTCGAACTATATCCCGACACTCTTCAGATTGCACGATCTTCCGCGGAAGTCTGCGAAGCTCATGCTTCTGGCCGCATCGCAAGCTTTATTGGCGTCGAGGGCTTGCACCAAATTGCCAATAGCGCCAGCGTCCTGAGAAACTTCCATCGGCTAGGCGTGCGATATGTTACTTTGACGCACGATAGCAATAACCTCTACGCGGATTCAGCTGTAAGTACTGATGGCTAAGCTGAGCAAAAGTACGGTCTTGGGACTAATTCAAACCGAAAGAACGCTGCTGCTCCCTATCATGATGGACTGTCTGACGAAGGCGTGGAGATGATTCAAGAGATGAATCGAATCGGCATGTATGTATACCATTCAATTTCCAGAGATTGTGAGAAATTAACGCCATCAGGATCATCGACCTGTCACACACGTCAATCCAAGTCCAGAGACAGGTATTGGACATCTCAACGGCGCCGGTCATCTTTTCCCATTCCTCTTGGTTCGTGCATCCCATCCATCCCCCTCTCCGCGCTGTGAAGGAGCAACCTACTGACTTCATGTCTAGTTCTGCCGTAACTCAGCATCCTCGCAATAGCCCAGACGATGTATTCGATATGCTCAAGGCAAATGACGGAGTCTTCATGGTTTCGTTTCTTCGTAAGCTCACCGACGCGGCTGATCCTACTCTAGCAAGAGTAGCGGATCACATCCAGCACGTTGGAGAAAGAATCGGGTATGAACACGTAGGGATTGGCTCCGACTTTGATGGTACCATGCAAACCCCCGCTGGACTGGAAGACGTGTCAAAGTTCCCTTTCCTCATTGCGGAGTTGCTGCGACGGGGTGTGTCTGAGGAGTCTGTCAAGGATATAGCGGGGAGGAATGTGCTTCGCGTGTTGGACGAAGTACAACAAGTGTCGGCAAAATTGGTGGCAGAAGGCACAGCAATGTTACATGATCGGATTGACCCGATCTGGGATGAGAAGATTAGGGAGGAAGTCAAGAGGGTGCGCGGCGTTGTTGAGTGACGGAGACATATGGTGAGGAGACAACCCAGTCTGCTAGTTATATATGATGTTTCTATCAGAACCAAAATTGATACCGTGCGCCTGTAGATCCGAGATGTTCACAGAACTTAGTTCGCCAACGTCTTCCAGTGAATCTTACCGCCATCACCCGAGCCCAGAATATACTGATGCACATAATCGTGATACAACCACATGATTCGATACGCCCACACAATTATCCACGCAATAAAAGCCGGACAATTCCCATCCTCATCGACTCTCCAGGTCGTAAGTCGAACTAAGCGCTTCAGGAACGGCCTCCATCCCATATCAAACACCAGCTGGCCATACGTCCGATCACGTCCTTCAAGCTTGACATAGCGGGGGAAGCTTTCCAGATACTGGATGTATTTTGGTGGAAGGTTGTTTTCCATACCTCCATGCAAGAAAAGATCCTATACTGGAGTCAGCACAGCAAAGAGGTATACGGTCTAAATAGAAGGCTTTCCGACGTACCAGGTATCGAGCACTTGGCGTGCCGTTGGGGCGCAGTGGCCACTTCGCCTTCAGCGTGTAGACGTCAAACGACTCGCTAGAGATCTTGTGGCTTTCATCTATCTGATATGCCTTGAGCTTGACAATGTCGTATACCACTCCACTGCCTTCCGTCACAAGAAGCTGGTGGAACTCGACCGCCGTCAAAAGATGGGCGAGGCCACAAAGGGATGGCACAGGAGTCTCTTGGTTTCCGTGAACTAGTTGAATTCTTCCTGTTCCGCCATTTGGAAGCTCCTCAATGCTCGCATAGCACGGCTCGGAATAAGGTATACCGAAAATGTCAAATGTTACGTAGTGAGTTGGCACATTGACGATTCTCGTAGCCAGGGGAGTAATGTTGCGAATTTTCATGGCACTGGCCTTCATGTTGGAGCCATATCCGAGGTACCATATGAACTCATCTGCTTGGGCTGCGATTTTCCATATGGGGAGCTTTGTCTCGGTAGCCATTTGAGCCGGTGGCGTCTTGTGAATGTTTCGAATAGGGTGAATGTGGCGGGCTGAACAGCAGAAGAACAATCGGGAGAACAGGTTCCGTTTACGAAGCTCGGTTTCCGAGGCTAGAGCACTGTCGGTGGGAGAACTTTGTGATGTGTTACGCCATACTTCTGGTACAACTTCGAAATAACCAGGGGTGAAACTGCTCCAGCAAGGCGTATACCACGAGGAAAGGCGGTATTCAGTAAAACCTGAGGGCAAACGGAGTGTATTACAATAGCACAACATGGTATAAGGTACTCATGGGCAGTATATACCCTATTTGGCGTTGTGTTCCGCAAAGTCACCGGAAATACTGTAGATACATGATTTAAAGCTCCTCTACTATTCTTCACCCAAAGCGCACATCTGTAGAGGTAAAGCTACACTGTGATATGCTTGACGAGTTCGACCGCACTCCTGGAAATAAATATCGTTCTCAGCGGCACCTCCAACCCCAAAGCCCTTAGCCGATGCCGAAGCTTGACAGCGGCATTAGAATCCGCTCCAGCCGAAAAGAAACATGTGTCGGGCAATATCTGAACCTGAGGCTTATCAAAGCACAGCGCCATTTCCCTCTGAACAATGCCGACGACCTTTGAGAAAGTTGTCAAGCCATGCTGGTTGTCGTTGGTTGTCTCCAAGAACGCATCCGTAGGGCCTCCATTCCTGGCAGCAAGACGAGTGTGTAGTTCCCCCAACGAAGATTCGTCCGCAATTGCTTCCAAAATGACCTGTAGCACATCTTCAAGGGTGCTTACAAGAGTAGATGGTAGTCGAGTTGTATCGTGCTCGATATGTAGTGACCAGCGGTCGGAGTCGAGCTCGAACCACTCTAGCATCAACGGGAACTTGGATCCCTCAGCAAAGCGCGGAGATACGGCGACCTCGCAGCTCGGCAACTTCAGCCACGTAGAGAGGCTCGTTTGAAGAGGATGAAACGTAACCATGCAATCAAAAACTGGATGCTGAAGGTGACCGCCTGAGATGTTGAGCGCCTCCAAGATTCTAGAGAAGGGTATTGCGTTGGCTAGAGCTTGGACGGCTGAGTCGCGCACGTTGGTCAGAATCTGGTTGAAATTGCCTTCTGGAGATGATCGTGATGAGTCGAGCTTTATGCGGACGGGAAGCCGGTCTAGGAACTGTCCTAAAGATTCGCGTTCTTGTAGAGACGGACGGTTGGCGTTTGGAGTGCCGAGTATAATGTCATTTTCACCCAGAACCGACCGCAACAGGAGAGCAGCAATAGTGAGCGCCATGTGATGGTGAGTGATGCCCAGTCGTTTGATAAGTGCATTCAGCCTGACAATGACGAGTCCACGGAGCTCGCGTGTGCGGGACGTCCCTTGGAAGGCTGCAGTCGTCGAGGGGAGGAGTGGGATCTTGAAGCGAGAGGGCATAGAGCTTCTGGCATCGTGTCCGGCGAGGTAGTTTCTCCAAAACTTTTGCTCAGCTAATGAAGGGGAGTAATGCCAATGACTCGAACTAAGATGCTGCGGACTCTCGTGTACCTTTACGTTCTTTCCAGCGTATGCGTCCGACACGAGGCGAAGCAGATTTTGGAGCGTACCCAGATCGGCGATGCTATGTGAGGTGACAATGACAATCTGAACTGTTGGTTTGCTCCGTGCATTTTCGCAGTCGTCCGGTTGGCGTACAAAGTGGACGCGGATCAATTCATCGTGGGCCAAATCGAACGCATGATTTGTCTCTGCCGTTATGTCCAACCCTTCGACCTCAGAAACTCGAGGCACGGAGGCTCGAATTTCTCTCCTCACACCGTCGGGCCCTTCAACAAAATTGGACCGAAGGACTGGATCAGAAGCTAATGCAGTGCTGAAAGAGTCCAGGAGCTTGGTGTATTCCACTTCACCGTAAACAGTGAGTACGTTGGCAATATTGAATGCTGTAGTGGTGGTGCCAACCTGGTACTGGAACCAGACTTGACGTTCGAGTTTTGTCAGCTCTTCTGTTGGCAATGTCTTGACAATCCTTGAGGTTTTTACGCCAGATCCTGATGACCCTTTAGCTCCCAGCATGCTTTCGACTGTGTCGACCTGAGCTTGAAAGGTCGGAGATTGTAGCAACTCGCGAGATGTGATCTCCACCCCAAATATTGCTGTGAGTTTTGTGGCAAGAAGAAGGACCAACACCGAGTGACCACCCAGGGCAAAGAAATTGTCCGATGGTCCCAGGTTCACCAGAGGTCCCAGTTGAAGGACTTCGCGCCATGCCTCTGCGAGCTTGGATGCGACACTCTCACTCATCGGTATGGATCGTTGGTCACAAGACTCATGGACGAGGAATGACTTTGAACGGTACATCTCTTCCAAAGCCTTGTTATCAATCTTGCCATTCATCGATCGCGGAAAGTCGTTTATCGGGATGATTTGCTGAGGCACCCATGAAGGAAGCAGTGTCTTCTCCAGCCTGCCACGAAGCTGACTGATTCGTGCTTCAGTAGAGATCTCTGCCCCAGTGGATGAAAATGTGACATATGCCACCAGCGCTCCATCGACCGCAAGAACAGCACACTGAGAGACGCCATCGGCGGTTGGTGCCGACAAGATTGCATGCTCTACTCCATCGAGCTCGATGCGGAATCCGCGGATTTTGACTTGACGATCCATTCGTCCCATGTAGATGACACGGTCATCTTTCTGGCGGTTTCCGTAGTCACCGGTACGGTACATCCTCTCATTGGGATGCCATGGGTCGGACAGCACGCGCAAAGCCGTTTGTTCTGGGGCGTTGATGTATCCTTGAAGGACTTGTACACCTGCGAGATAGATCTCGCCCTGTACTCCTTTCCGCACAGGATTCTGCTCATCATCAAGGAGACACATGCGAGCCGTGGCGCAGGATGTTCCAATCGTGATGGCGTCTCCTTGAATCATGCGTTCAAATGAAGTACTGATGGCACACTGCCGATGGAGTTAGTCGTGGTTTACTACTCAAGGCGAACTGCCATACCTCTGCTGGCCCGTAGGCATTGTAGAGCAGCCTTTTTGTGGCAAACTTCTGGATGATCGGAGCAGTGATCGCTTCTCCAGTGGAATAAATCTGAGTACATCTCTCGTTAGATGAGTACATATGATTGGCGAATGGAAACCTACAATCTCAAGGTCTGGAAAATGGTCTGGTTCCAGAACCGACAGAACTGCCGGCGTCATTGTCGCCGTATTGACTCTCTGAAGATGAGCATAAGGATCTGCCGGATCTCTTAGAACAAGCGTTGCTCCGTGCAACAGCGCAGAGAGTATCTCCTCATTGCAAACATCAAATGCGGGCGACATGAACTGGGCAATCCGTCTGCCGGGCGCTGCAAACATGGTAGCCTCGGGATTGCTCTGAAAGGCCAGGAATGATCGATTCGTCGTGGGAATGCCCTTTGGTGCTCCCGTAGTCCCGGAGGTAAAGATGTAGACGAGAACAGAATCTGGAGAGCCGATGTCTGATGGCCTTGTGACATCTTCATTTCCAGTTGCGTGAGAGAGCAGATCCTCTACAATCAGTGTCTTCTTTCCTGGTATTGTTGGAACATTGTCTTGCTGTGTCGAGTTTGGGACAAGGACGGCAGCCGCTCCGCTTGCTTCAAGCACTGTTGCTTTTCGTTCCATCGGCCACTTGGGGTCAAGAGGAACAAAGGCGCGGTTCGTCTTGAGAATCCCGAGGAGGCCTAACAGCCACCCAACTGACCCATCGCCATACACAGCAACAGCTGTGACATCCGTATCAGCCAGATGCCTGTTGATGTTATGAGCAATGGTGTTGGTTTGCTTCTCGAGTTCTGCATAGCTAAGCGCTACGCCTCGATGGTCTTCAATAGCAATGTTTTCGGGAAACCGGTCGATCGAGTCTTCCAATGTCTGCTTCACCGTCCTTTCGCTTTGTAGGATCCTTACTGCCTCTGCTTGCTGGTATACTGTCTCTTGAAGCCCATTCAGCCTCATGCAGTCGCCCACATAAGCATGCTGCAATACACCACGAAGTGCTTGCTTAAAGTGGCCGCCTAACCGCCGAACTGTGTATTCGTCGAAGATGTCGTCGTTGTACAAGATGCGAAATTCGCCGTTGGACTCTATCAGCAGAGCCAATGGAAAAGCACTGTTCTCGATAGACTCGGCGCGAACAACTGGCGGATTTGAACGCTCATCGGGAAGTGCTGGTTGAAGCGAGACCAGACTGCTCATCGAGCTGCCGATGCCGACTTGGTCTGACCGTGCCCAAGCATACTCTCCCAGCGTGAGAATGTCGCTCATTATCTTTCGAAGGAGGTCGAGCACTGCTTGTTCTGCATCTAGATGGACCACCAAGGGTAGAGTTGACATGTATAAACCGATCGTGTTCTGATGCTCAGGCTGCGACGCTCTATTAGAGAAGACCGAACCAATGGCGACTGCAGAGTTTCCCTCAAAAGTGCTCATTGCCATGGCCCAAGCCGTGTAATAGACACAGGCTGCCGATAAACAGTTCTGGCTCGCAAACTCAGCGACCTCAGTACTCGAGACTGACGATCCAAACAAGACGGTGTTGTGCTGTCTTGTGGAATCCCGCACTGTTCCATTGGCAACGTTGAGCTGTTTGAGCGAGCCATTGGTGAGGCAAAAATCTTTCAAATACTCGGCGAAGAACTTTCTGGCTTCTGCGTCCTTCTTCTGTTGCAGGGATATCAGCCCAAGGTTCGCTTCTACTGAACTAGAGCTGCTTGGAAGCTGTCGTCCTCTTGCAAGACTCTCAACGTTGTCCAGTACCATTTGTAGTGAGATGCCATCCATTAGACTGTGGTGGACTGTCAGGACGACGGTCAGTTCCTCGACATCTTTTGGCATATTGAGCGTCGGTGTGGCTACTGGGGTCGCGTCTGGATAGTATGCGATAAACTCCAGTGAGCAACCTAACCCAACACCCATATCGGCATTATCAACCGCATCTTCGTAGTCTGCCAAGTTGCCAAATAACCGCAACTTGTGTGTCCTGAACGACTTCTTGTGGATAACCTGCGCGCCGCATCCAATAGCGAGGCAAATCTCTGTCCTGAAAACCGGCTCAGCTTGCCATATCGCTCGCCATGCTCTCTCCATCATGGTCGCGTACCGGCCAGCGTAGGCCAGTTTCATCTGGTTGACGTTCTTTGAGCTGCAACTTAACGTTGGAAAGGCAAAGGCTAGCTGTAGACTGGTCAAAGGACTGATGTCGAACGCCTTGTCGTCCAATGCAAGGATACTTCGAGCTTGGCTTCGGAGCGCTGCGAGCTTTTGTGTGACGGCGAAACACTCGTCTGCCGATGACTTGGATGCTTCCACTTGTACCTCGAGTGTGTTATCTGACGCTTCGGCTATCTCCTCAAAGGTTCGACAGCTGAAGAGGTCTCTTGGAGAGATGGTCAGGTTTGACTGGCGAAGGGCAGAGACAAGCCTGAAAGCTAATAGGGAGGAGCCGCCCAGCCTCAAGAATGAATCGCCCGGCTGTATCTGCCTCCCACCATCTCCTAAGCGGCCAAAAAGATTTGACGCAGCATTGAGAATCTTGGACAGCCGGTCTTGCTTCTCCGATGCCTCAGTATCCGGTTCCTGCGGCACAGGGACAGGAGCTGTCACGACAGATCGTTGTTTGGCTTTCCCATAATCCATCGTAGAGATGATTTCCAATACTTTCTTATGCTGTAACTTGCCGTTTGGAGATACTGGAAATGACTGGACAGCTTCGATCCGGTATGGGATGCAGTAGGAGCACATGGTTTGCCTTGCCATTGCTAATAGGTCCATAGTGTCAACCGTCTCTGGCGTCACGACGGCGACGATGCCGTCTTCTGTAACCGCTGCACAGACAGAAGTGACTCCGAGCAACATCCCTGCACGACCAAGGGCGTTCTCGACATCCCGATCCAGGTTCACGAGGAAGCCGCCGTTCTTGACTGTTCGATCTTTTCGGCCACAGAACTCGATCAACCGGCCACCTGCTGGGCTTGGCACCCATCGACCGTAATCGCCAGTTTTATAGACTCGTCTTGAGTTCCAATTGATGAAACTGCTGTTGGTCCGGAGGTCGTCCTGGTAATATCCGCGAGAGACACCGTCGCCAGCAATGAATATCTCGCCCTCGATAAAGTCGTCCTCAATCGCTTCGAAGTCATCGCCGACAAGCCAGATCGGGCTTTCCTCGATTGAACCTCCAATGAGCTGAGGATTTATGCTCTTCGTGACTGGATCACGAGATGTAACTTGTATAGAGCCCATGGAGGTCGTCTCTGTCGCTCCATATCCGATCAGAACTCGGACACCAGCATCTACCAGCGAGGCCAGCAGCTCCGAGGTTGCCGTTTCGCCACCAAGAATGATAGTATGCATGTTTCCCAGAAATTCTGAATTCGGCGTAGATTCCATGAGGGTGTTCAATATTGAAGGCGTCGCTGCCATTACCGTGCATGAAGAGGCTTTGGCGTAGATGTCTTCCGCTTGAGCTGGGACCAGTGTACCGCCATTGCCCAGGGCTGAGAAAAGCATACAGGCACAAGCTATAGATGCTGGTGAGCTGAGGTTTCATAGTCGCCAAGTATTCGACTCACCATCAAAAGCAACTGACAAGATATGAAGTAGTCTATCCCCAGGAAGAATATCCAGATTCATGGGACTCGTCTGTGAGTACAAGCAGAAGGCTTTGTGTGAGAGGATGACCCCTTTGGGACGTCCGGTACTGCCACTGGTAAAGATGATGCAGGCATCGTCGCTTGGTTGTAGAGAATATGAAGGCGTGTTGGGGCTGGAAGGAGGAGGAAGCGTCGTCATGTGCAAGACGTGATGCGATCCATTGGTCGCTCTGAATGGTTCTGCGGTAGTGTTGATGATGACCTGGCTTTCGACCGTCTCGCAGACATAATCGATCATTTCGGGCGACCATGTCTTGCGATCAATGGGCACAAAGCAGCCACCGGCCTTCAAGATGGAGAGAATCGCCACGATGTTGAAGCTTCCGTGAGCTGTTACTAGCAAGACGGGTAATCCACCGCCGACTCCCAACACGGAGAGATCATGGGCCAACGATGAGGAAACATCATCGAGCTCCCTATACGTCAAGGCTCCATCTTCGTGATCGATCGCGAGATTCTCCGGGTACTGTCGAACGGACAAAGCGAACAACTCGCAGAGATTGGTCGGTAGTGTTGACATGGCTGCTAAGGACTACTGCACAACGATGACAACGATGAAAACGAGTCTGCAGAGTGATGCAGGAGTGTTAGTATACCAACTTCTGTTCTTTAAAGATCTGGCCCTGGGATCAGCATCCTCAGCCTAGTGTTTGACGATTCGCCTACGCCGACGACCCGATCGACATCGGACTGTCGGTTACCGAGCGTAGTCGATCTGATGTTGGATTGTAAATGTCTTTGAACTTTCACCAATAATAATTGGAGGCCTGGAGTGAGAAGCCAGATTAAGCCAGTCTGTCTTGATGCTTGACATTGATGAATGTCACAAACCCAAGCAACACAACATTTGCGTCTTACGCATTTCCATCGTCTCGCTCTGAATCATGCTTTGGAGTGTGGTGAACAGATTGAGCCCTAGCCAAACTTTGGCAATTACTGGCCTGGTTGCCCTGCTCTTACTGTGTATTGTCGGAATTCTCGTTAGGGATGCTCAGAGAAAGGTCAAGACCGTGTTTCTGGACGCGATACCACTGAACCGCATCGACTAACACATCAAACAGTTTTCAGCGCTATTCGGTCGCATTACACCCTTTCCCGGCCCCTCGTTCTGTTTCCCAAACGGCCAAGGCACTGAAAAGTTCTTCAGCGGCCGAGACGCAGCCAAGAGATGGAAGGCTCGTTACGGATCCATCTACAGTATCTGGTCAGGGCATAAGCGAGAAGTGTGAGATTCTCCCACAGTCACTTTCATATAAAAGATTAGCGCTGAACATGCATCCAGTGTCATAACGAAGCCAGAACACGTTCAAGCCTTTTATAAAGACTCTCATACCCATGTCAAAGCGTCCGATAACAACTCGGGATGGCTTTTTGGAGAGCTCCTGGGCTCTTGTGTTGGCGTCGTCAGCCAGAAGCGCTGGGTGAGAGTTCGGACACCGTTCGAACACCATTTTACTCGTCCAGCCGCTTCGCAAAGATGTTCACTGTTCATTGATGAAGCAAGAACATTTCTACAGTCGCTGAACAAGAAAGAAGAGAGTATCGTTCATGTCACAGACGACCTCAAATACTGCCCATTCTTCATGGTCGCCAGCATCTTCTTCGGACCTCTGACGACCGGTCAACGCAATGAGATGTACAGGATTGGACCCTTGAGAGAAGATCTTTTCCGACATGCTTTCAGTGGCGGTGTCAATCGGTATGCGTTTGCTAAATATCTACCAGGCTCAGCACTGCCGAAGCTTCGCGAGTTCCAGGCTTTGTGGGAAGGTTTTGTCAAGAATGCGTATAACGGAGCTGGATCCAGCAGCGGAAGCGCCATCGCGTCCCTTTGGGAAGCAGTAGAACATGGAGACATCTCCAAAGAAGAGGTGAGCCCAGACCAGGCTGTTCTGCCTACTGCAATCAACTGACAAAAGCAGCTTCTTCAGACCTTGGACGAGTCTCTATTCGCGAACCTCGATGTCACCGCACACGCACTCTCGTGGAGCATCATTAGGGTTGCTCATCACATATCGCTTCAGAATGAGATTCGGCAAGAAATACAAGACAACCACCGATCAGAACAGGAATATGAGGACTATCTTCGCCGAGACAATACTCTCCTGGCTGCTTGTATCCTGGAGGCATCGAGGCTTCACCCAATCTTGCGTAAGCCTTCTTCACCGTAGTTGGCCATATCATATACACTGACAAGAACCTGTAGCTTTTTCGAACCCAGAAGCCGCCCCGACCGATAAAATCGTTGGTGGTCACAAGATCGCACATGGTGTAAGGCTCAAACGAGGCTTCCTTTGGAGACAACAAACTAACAACAAATAGACCGATGTCATAGTCGATGCATACGCAATCAATGTCGATAACCCTTACTGGGAAAATTCTACGAAGTTCAACCCTTGTAGGCACCTCGGTCAAAAGGATCAAGCGCGACGGTACAACATGTGGCGGTTCGGATTTGGCCCTCGACAGTGCTTGGGAAAGAATGTGGCCGATATCATTCTCCGCGTTATTATCGCTGAGATACTACGATGCTACCAGATGGACGTTGTGGGCACAAGGGGGATGGATGAGATTGAGCTGCAGGCGGATAGCTGGATCGGATTGCCTGACTGCAAAGTGAAGTTGACTCCATTGGCAGCGACACCTACGAGTAGTGATTAGATGAGTTTTCCTTCCTGCACAACGGGTACATGAAGCTTCTATATAAGTAATTGGCATGTTTCTACTGAGGAAATGTGTACGGCCTATGGATAGGCAGTCTTCGTGGTAAATGTCCGTTGGCACTTCTACAAACCGATGCCTCTCCACCAATTCGAAAATCTCACATAGAAATCCACCTCATGCGTAAATACTTCTTCATACCCCATCGCCTCTTCAATCCGTCGTAAGCCTTCAAGCAACTTCTGTTCAGGAAGGGCAAACGTAAGCCGAAACCAACCAGGCTGGGGCTCAGAGTAATCAGCACCGCTGCCGACAAACACACCATGCTGGGAACACTTCTGCACAAGCGCTTCTTCCTTTTCGAAAGTACTACAGCCTTCTGACAGTCGCAACCAGATGTACAGTCCAGCGACTGGCTTGTAATAGGACAAATCGTGAAACTCGGCAAACTTTACGGCAATCTGGGCAGCTGCATGCAGCCGTTTCGTGTTGAGATCCACAAGTTTCTCAAGCCTTGCGGTGTCGGAGAGCATCGGAGTGACCATGACTGTGGCGGCGTTGCAAATCTTTGCGTTGTTTAATATGGCTTGGGACATTCGCAATGGTTTGTTGTCCTGGCTGACCAGACATCCCTAGCATACGTCGGTTAGTCCAGCAGCAGCCATAGCTCGGACGGAGAATGCCTTGACGTACCAGCCTCATACCGCTGCAGCCAAAGTCTTTGCTTATGCTGTAAAGAACATGAACTCTTGATTGCTCAACCTCAAGTAGACTCAAGTCTCTTGACAGCACGGAAACGAACTGCGTCTCCGGTGAGCGATAGACATTGTTGCTTTTCCCGGAAGACTCTTCCAAGTCGCCAAATGTTGAGAGTGCATAGATCTCATCCGAAACAAAATGCATGTTAGCTTGCTGGCAATACTGAAGCAAACCGTCGATTGCCTCAGTTGGGCAAATATGTCCATATGGGTTATGAGGATTGCAGAACAAGATGCCTCGAACTTTGCAGGTCGCTTTCTCTGCAGCGTCTCTATAGGCTTGGACTATATCTCCTGCAGAATGAGAGTGTTCAGGTGAGACATAGACTGGTAACAACTGTACGGAGTTCCGCAACACTGCCGAGACCTGGAAGCTCCCTGTTATCGGGTCAGTTTCTGCAGCCCGGACTATCACCATGAGAGCCTCATCTACTCACCCCACATTGGTGCTGTCACCAGCAGACCATCGCCCTCATCGCAGATGTCATTGATTAGTGTATCCAGAACAGCGCTGAGACCAGTTCCGGTCACGATATGCTCCGGTCGAACTGGAACCGAAGGCGAGAAGAAATGGTTGAAGAACATGGACAGACTCTCTAAGAGCTCAGAGGTTCCTCCTAAGCCAGTGGCATACGACAGGTGCTCCTCTTCTAGGCCCGTGACGCAGTTTCTTTTGAGCATGGACAGTATTTCCGGTCGTAGAAGCCAGTTCTCGGCCGTCGCCATGTCGATGTTGGAAGCATCCTTTGACCCTTGTCTTGCGAGGGGCCGCTTGAACTGCTCCAGGAACCAGGCGTTTTTCTCGGTCGCTCGACGTGATAACATGTTGCTCTTGGTGAGGGGTATAACGGTGTGCGAGATCTTAGAAGGATAGCAGACGGCTTGGGTATGATACACTGGAATCACTTATCCTTTAGAGTATGTCAACGACAGTTGAGTGTTTGTACGTGTCTTCTTGAGCAGTAATTCAATATTACAATTCTGTGCAAACAAACGCATAAGGCAGCGATCCAATACTCTGTCGAATGGCCATCAATTACTTCGAAAGCAACGACGGACCTGTGGTATGCGAAACGCCAGTAAAACGATACTCGATTGGGCTGATAGTCGAGTTTCTGCTGCAAACAGGGCACGCTTCGAGGCAAACAGTACAAGAATTTCTGATTTGCAAACGCCGCAAAAGGTCCATCGCCAGCTCTTTGCCACCTTCCCGTGCCTAGTTTGCCATCAGTCACAGCATGGCTTGGGAACGGGTCGGCACCCGAAAAGTAGATGGAGCTCGGGGACCGAATAGAAGTGGTGGAACATTAAAGCTTCCACCGTAACGACACGATAAGGGGAGATATTTGATGACGGCCCAATGATCCATTACAGTAGGAGAAGCCCCGTTGTATAATCTGCAAGTTTGCCGCATCGATTGTAAGGTTAAGATACCATCTCAGCGAAACATTCGAACAAATTAGCAGTGATAATGGCCAGTAACGCCAAATCCAGCGAAATTTCGCCGAATGAGGCGGCGAGAAAGGCCTACATACTGCCCAACAACCGGAAGGAAATCGAGCGGATGAAGAATCAGCATGAATGGATCAAAGGCTCATTTGGCGGCTTGATTAAGGCCCCGATCGATTTTGAGACAAAGAACCAGAAAATTTTGGATTCTGCAGCTGCCGATGGTATGCCTTGTTTCTTCACTCTGAATACTTTGTTTGCTCATGTTTGATAGGTACCTGGTTGTGCGACGTGAGCAGTTTATTCCCACCCGAGACGGAACTCGTAGGGTTCGATATCGCGTAAGTCAGAGGAAGCATTCAATGTTGAGCTTGAGACCTAATGTGACCTTTGGCAGACCAGAGCTATATCCGCCACCAGAAACCCTTCCAGCCAATATTCGTTTAGTTCTCGGCGATCTGACCAAAGATCTTCCTGCTGAGTGGACGGCCAACTTTGATCTGGTCCATCAACGTTTCATCTTCCCAAGCTTTTCCGTCGAGATGATCGAGAGTATCCTTGAAAGGTTAGCAAACTGCGTCAAGCCTGGCGGCTGGATCCAGCTGGTCGAGCCAGCGGCGAATGAGAATGTCTCCGGTCCAGGCCCCTCAGCCTTCACCACGTTACACAAGATCGCAAACCTGTTTATGCAATGTCCAAGTCCTAAAGAAACAGTCCTATCGCATCTAACAAAACTTGGATTTGTCAACATCAACGTCCATTCAGTGGATATTGTCATTGGCAAGTTCCAGGACAATAGCGAGCTGGATATCCGTGGGCGGAAGAGCATGCGAGCAGCATTCAACAACATGTACCCTATGACAAGGCAAGTCTCCCTCCGCTATACCAGATCAATCAACCATGCGCTAATTCCTTTTGTGCCTGCAGCCATGAAGTCCTAGACATGTCTCAAGAGGATTGGAGCACCTTGTTGGACCGATTCGACCGAGATCTGGGCACTTATCGCACCGCCGTGAGACATCACATCATCTGGGCTCAGCGACCGGACAAGGCATAGATTCACCCTCCAATCGGCTGCCCAATGGCATGGATTGGCAGACCATGGACCAATATCCCCGTATCATAGATGCAATGCGATTGCGTTTTATAGAGAGCCAATAACAGCCATGAATAGGCGTATAATAAACATATGACCAGAAATCGTCGACCCTTGGACCCTCGTCCTTGCTGCTTATGGTCCCGTCCGAGTCTCCACAATCCAGAGATCCGCGTCTCAGTCCCACTTGGGCCGAGAAGCAAAGGTTCAGGTAAACCATGATTGCTGGTTTCAAAGACTGGTCTCCGGGCTGAGCTGCATGTAAGTAAGGCTATCTCAGCCCGAAGGTTTCGCTCATTGAAAGAATCCGTCTCACGTACGCTTCATGTAGAGCCTCGTAGGCATATCGCATTGTATTTCAAGTCTATCTATACATATCTAGATGCACTCAGAAGCGCAGAATCTCGCCAGTATACGACACAAACTTTCCACCGTGCGTCTCCTTGTTCGCCGTCGTAATGACCTTGAACATGCCACCCACGGAATCCTCCACTTTGACAGGAGCTTCGCCCATGCCAAAGAACTCTGCTGCTTTGTTTCCCATCTCCGTCTGGGAAAAGCCTGGATCCAGGATAAAGGCGTTCAACCATTCGTCTTCGGCGTTGATTCTAACGCCGTACCAATTTAGTAGAATCTTGGACGGGCCATACGCCGCATTGGGAATTGGCGGTTGGTTCCTTTATTGGCTGTTAGTCACCTTGCAGTTACTAGGATACTCGGCTATTGTTGAACATACCCAAGCGAGGAAGCTCCAGAGCCAACAATGGCAAAGACAGGCTTCTTCGTAGACTTCTGTAACAGACTCCTGGTGGCCTGGTACAGCGTCACCACAGCGTAGGCATTCACATCTATGTGTTGCTGAAGCTCGGCTCGTTTGACATCCTTGACCAGCGGGTAGGATGTTACCATCCCGGCGTTGGCAATGACAATATCCAGGGTGTCGATTCCATGCTTGTGCTTTAGCTCTGTCACGGCATCATATGCGGCTTGCTCTACCCCAGCATCGTACTTTACGACAATGAGATTGCTACCCTCGCCCTTGGGGAGGTCAAAGAGCGCCTTGGAGGTCGCGTGTTCCGGATTACGGTTGGCAGAAATGACCGTCTTTTGGTTGGTTAGTCGTTGTGAAGCTCTCAAGTCCCCAATCCAACAATTTGAAACAGGCGCTTACATGATGAGGTTGTGAAAGAAAGGTTCTGACTAGCCCAAGGCCCAGCCCGCGGTTCCCGCCCGTGATAAGAACAAAAGTCTGACTCATCTTGTACGTCAAAGTGTTATGATATCAGGTATTACTGGACTATAATGAAGAAGCTCACGAGGAGACTTGTATGAACGTCCCATGAGTCAAATACATATTGTTCCAATCTCTATAATTCCGCAAAACTCAAGCGATGACAAATTCGGAGGCTTTCTCATCAGATGACAAATGCTTCGTTGATAATCATATCGCGAAGGATCAAATGGCGGAGTCTAGCAAAAACATCGACCAACATCAAACAAAGAGCTCCGCAGTGCAAAGTCCGCCAGCACCAAGTATGGCGGATTTACGAACCGCAACGGCTCTACGACATGGTTGACACTAAATTATGCTTGCTATCGCCTTAACACCCATTCTAACTAATAGATTTCTATGCCAGGAGGTAGCCAATGGTTTAAAGTTAAACAGTAACTCGATACATGAAGAACCATCGACACCGGTATGTGCAGTTTCATTCAACATGCCTAACTCCTCTCCAAGAGTACCGAGAATTCATCGACTCTTTACGGCTTTCTTTTGGGGTTCCTGATAACACATCATGACAGCAACTATTCTGTATATACCAGAATATTTCTCCTTAGCAAGCCATCTGATCTTGTGACCCTAAGGTTTCATATACCCCAATGGTGTACCATTACACCTCTTGTTCAAGTGCGGAATAAGCATATCACTCACGCTCCCTGCTTCCCAGCTGCTGCCTAATTGTATTTATGAAGGCAGCTACACCAGTAACTGATATCCGATACTTGTTTACCACTTTGTGAATTGATGTATCAACTACCTATATTCTAAATGAGAAAAGATGGTATGCAAAGTTCAGCATGCATACAAACAACAAGTCGAGATGCCTTATTCGCATGCCTGCATCAAGGCCTACAGAAAATATAAAGGGCCAATGATTCAATTGTACTGCGGCACACTATATTTGGTCAAATATAGGTCATGTACAATATAGAACGCCTCCAGGTGCCTGCGGAATTAGGAAGCCGGATTTACAACCACGGCAGGAAATTACCCAAAGTTCATAGCCCAATTATGTAGACGGTTCCGAATTCGCGTTTCCAAACAAAGCCACTCTGCCGACAGTCCTGCACGATGTTAATAGGAATTTCTTATGGGCATCACTTGGCATAGAGAGCATCGGAGGAACAGTTTCAAACTTGCAGGGTGATGCGACGCTGACTTGCTGAAATGAATTGCCAGAGGACGTCTCAACCGAAGCTTCATGGTCGAGCCAGACCGGAATTTGTCTCATTCTCGGCTCAGTTGTTGCTTGCCTCCAGATCCGTCGCCAATATAGCCCCAGGCTGACGCAATTCTCAGCTTCACTATAGGTCAAAACACATAGAAAGACTGATAATTTCTTGGAATAACGCAATCGCTTGGTTCTTCTTGGTTCTTATTTGTCCAGCAACATCTGTAGCCGACTATTCAGTAAGAGACGATAGTTGCCACCGTACTATCTAGCAGGCTACTCCTCCTCTTAGTTTTCGGTTGAGATATTTGCAAGTAATTGCCGCTTGACGACCATATCAACCATCCATCCGTTCCATCGGCAATGGCCGCATAGACTTGTCTATCCCTGTCCTCGCTCGCGAGCTAACACCTAATCCCTGTAACAGCCCAGCCTAGCGTCTTGGGGTGGGATGATCGCTGCAGGACTGCATCCTCGGGATAGCTAACCTGTTCAGGCAAATACAGTATATAAGTATGAAGGGGTATGGTTCCAGCTTCCAACGATTTTGCAACCCCAGAGCCGCAACAATTTGGAAGACGCAAGAAAAGTTTACAGGAAAGCCCCGTGGCAGAGGTCGGTATATTCGTACTCGTGCTGAGGAAGATCCAATCTGCTGTGGAACGATCATGGCCCTGATGGCTTCACCCGTCGATTCCCATTCATTCGTCCTGACGGCCAAACCGCGCGGGCGTCGCAGCAGGGGCTGCACAACGTGTCGCCAGCGAAAGGTGAAATGCGGTATGTATGATGCAAGCATTCAGTTATTCGTTTCTATTGTCCCTCTCGGCTTCACACGCTTCTCAGCTTCACAAGCAAAATATCCTAACGTAACCCGTCCGTAAATCAAGATGAAAAGACGCCCTTCTGTCTCCGATGCCAGAATAGTAACCGCGAGTGCCTGGGCTACGAAAGTCCTCAAGTCTTCATCAATCAGGTGCTGGCAGCAGCACCAGCCTCAGAACCAGGCCTACGCTCCCAAAACAGAGCCAGAAGAACAGTCCAAGCCTGCTCGACAAAGGCAACGACGAGTTTCTCCACCTCGGGCGTAAAGCTTCCCCTGGCGCGGTCCCTTGACCTCAACTTGGCCCGACGTCGTCATCACTCACCTCATCTGCAAGTTCCCCTTCGACTTCGCCTGGAGGCTCCCGCCTGAATCCCGATACTCGCCCCTGTCAGCTCTGTTCGCGAGCTTAAACGGCCGCTCGACGGCCTATGTTTCCGGTCTATGTCTGGCCGAGGCGTTTTATGCGCGGGCCAATAGGCGACAGGATCTCATGGAGCATGCAACAGCCCTGTATAGTCGTTCATTGCAGCGTCTTCGCCAAGACTTGAAGATGTTGGGCAGAGGTACATCTGCTGCGTCCATATACTCGAATCTGTGGAGCTCGTTTTTGCTCTGCCTCTACGAGATTATATCTGGTGGGAGTGCGGCCGGGTGGCTAGAGCACTGTCATGGAGTCGCCGCTCTTGTACGTAGTTTCCCTCGACGCTATCGGTCATTCATGCCTGGCTAACAGAAGCTTGCTCTATGGAGATCCAGATGCTAGGGCCACATGCATTCCAAGAACTCGGCGCAAATCTCATGCTGGAGACATATCGAGGCTTGATAGTGAGTGGCTCACACTTCAGCCCCCATTCCACCGTCGTCAAATTGCAGGTTGTTAATTGCCTTATCAGGCGAAAGCGGTGCTTCCTCGAGACTCTCGATTGGAAGACTGTCCCCTGGTCTGTCAAGCAAAAATCGCTGGGCTCCCGCCTGCAAAATATCTTCTGCGACATCCCCGGAATGATGGAAGAGGCGGACGAAATCTTGAGCCAGTCAGCTCAGGGCCAAGAGATGGGACCCCTGGTTGGGCTTCTACGCGAGAGGGTGTTGATCTTGATGCAACAGGCGTGTGAGCTGAGATGGCAATGGGAAGCAGACAACTCTAATGCATGCAAAGAGGTTCCTTGGACAGAGTCTGGCTCATCTTCGACAAAAGGCCAGGCACCGTCGCCATTTCGTACCGTGTTTCACTTTTGGACGATTGATCGGGCCATTGATATTGCTTATTTCGACACGGTCTACCTGCTTCTCGACACCGTGCTCGACCCTCTGATGCCGGAATCAGAGCTGTTTTCGGACCTCAGGGAAGTACCTGTACAAACACACGTAGGGCCTTTTCCGAGTCCTTTGCTCCTCCCGTGGCAGGGGAACAGAGAGGATTATGCTCTTGAGATTTGTCGAATCGTTGACTTTATGTCTCATTGTGAGCACGCTAATTTAGGCATGTTCATGCTCATGTTTCCTTTATATATGGCACGCGTGTGTCTGGTCAGACATCCGGGAGTTTGTGCCTGGATAACGAACATGTTGGAGTCATTGGTTCCTGAGAAGGGGTTTCACATCGGACAATATTTAGCTGGTCGGAGGAGCCAAGGTGGTGAAAGAGACAAGGGAATGGCCTACTGACGCTTGTGATTTTGCGTCTCGATAAGAAATATAATTAATTCGCATGCATAGCTGATGGTGGTATAATCTAAAATGTTCGCAAGGCTCAAACTTCTAATGATGAAAAGAAGAACAGAAAAAAGGATAATCACCGAAAATCGTCGCCTTCAACCACAAGACGGAATCAGTATTCTCTGACCTTGGGCACAACCACGAGAAAGGCAATCCTCCTAATGCTCCTCTCCTCTTTATCCTTCTTCTGGTACTTCTTCCCCGCCTTGTCCATCTCCTTCTCATACTTTTCTGTTGCCTTTTGGCGGCGCTCTTGCGCCCGCTCGAGATCTCTGCTTGCGTGACGGCCGTTGCCATCGAGACCCTTCTCTTTTTTGTCAGACTTTTGCATGGATTTCTCATACTTCTCGAGAGCTTTCTGACTCTTTCGATCGTGCTTCTCATTTGCCTTGATCCTCTTCTTGAGCATAGACTTCTCTGCAGACTTGCGCTCTGCCTCGCTGACAAAGACATCCACCTTGCTTATAACATTCGACGGGTTGGCAACCGGGGGCAGTTCATCAATCTCAAGCGGCGAGATCCACGCCTCAAGAGCCCTCAGACGACGCTGCTGCGCACTGATAGTCTGCAGCTCGTTGGCCTCTGCAAGGGTTTGCAGGGACTCCAGAATAGGCGACTTCTTGTCAATATCCCCCTTTTCGTTCAAAATGGGCATGTTACTGAGTTTGGCAACGGTCTTGAGCTTGACAATCTGCACCTCCAAGCCCCTCGGAAAGAACACGTCCCTGTTCGCCTGTCGGATGACGGCCTCTGAGCGGATCTTGGACATGGCGTACGTTCCCACCATGGCACCCACGCCAGCAGCCGCGGAAACGATCTGGGCCGTTGGTTCAGGCACGAACCCGACAATGTCAGAAGCGGCCCCGAGGACGCGCAGCCCGGGGCTCGCGACAATCGCCCGGTTGAGGTGGTCGAGAAAGTCGAGAAACTCAGGCTTCGAGATGTTTGAGCTCTGCAAGGCTAGGGGGTAGGCTCTGAGAAATGCAGATCCCAGGTCTGCGTTTGTGGCGGGAATGGCAATGATTCTTCGGGCAGAGCTGGTGCCGATTGAGCTTGCTTGTGCCAGAGCTTGCTGCTGCTTGATCATCTTCTCCTCGTACGGCGGTGGCTCAGAATCAAAGGAGCTTCGCGAGGAAGACGACGATGCTTCAAGTTCCATGACGGTCGTTGCTCGATGTTGGTCTGCTGGGAGCTCATGGTAATCCTGCTTGGAGTGGATGGTCGCGAAGGCCATGGTGAACTTGACGGATAGCCTTGAAGTAATCGGTTTGCAAGGGGCTCTTGTAAAGGCTTTTGCGGACTGACTGCTCGAGAACTGATGATACTAATGATCTTGAAAGGAAAAGACAGTCGACACTCCGGTGAACCCTCTCTCTTTTAAATCTTCAACTCCATCCACCAGCAACATTGCCTATCCTTCCTCCTCCGTATAGCCTCGCAAGCCTCGCCAACATACTGACAGTCCGTCTAAGCCTTGGAGACCCACGCCTCGAATCCATCAAACTTGTTGCGAGCGCCCCCATTCGCTCAGAACATCGGGGGTCTATGTTTAGTAGCTGCGGATCGAACAGGGCTAAACCAAAAGTCGCTAGCTATGGCGAGACGAAGAATCCGTGCATTGAAGATGCACCGCTAAAGCGTCAAGGTGTGCCAGGGGTCTGGAGATAAGCAGCGCTGCGTTTGACGGAAACGGGATAGCCATTCGAGCTTCATTCGAGCCGTGGCAGTGAGATGGCCCCCCATTCGAGCATCGAGCGTTGGCGGGGAAATCCATTCGAGCGAGTTCCTCCATTCGAGTTCTCCTTGCAAAATGCCTTTCAAACTCTGAAGAGAGAACTCTTTCGAGCCCCATTCGAGCTTTTCTGCCTGTCTCCGCATGTTCGTGACGAACCACTTTCGGCTTTCCGGCAGACACGTCTCAAAATGGCAAAGATGCTGACGCAGCGATGCCTTTGCCACGCGGTGCATTGTGGCGGATGGTCGACGAGCAGGGTATATCAGAACGTAGCAAATGAGCAGAAGAAGGAAACAGGAAGCGGCAGAGTTGATCGGAAGCTGGAGGGCTGCTGTTCTTAAAGGCAGACTGTCAGAGGGAATAATCGGGCGGGTGTTGGGTAATGTTACTAGTTCCCTTACGACGTGGGATACATTTATATGCACAATGATGCAACTGGTTCTCTCTATACGCTCCTTGAATTTACGCAAACCACGATCGGGGATGTGAAAACGCCTAGGGACATCGGAAGTTCGTGGCTCTAGTAGAGCAGGTGGTTATTGCTCAGACCACAGTTCGGTCCAGCTTTTCTATTTTGATACGATGATAAAGAAACCCGGAAGGGCCATATGAGCAGTTGTAAAGTAGTTTAACGGTCAGAAAGGTATCCATGAACAAGTAAGCAAGAGGATGTCAGGTGTTGTAGGGTATCTCATACTGGAGGATATATTCAACTTCAGGAGATCCTTCTCTCAACAAGGCATTCCACACTCATAATTACATGTAACTGTCTCCTTGGAAGGTCAAAGATCTCTGATAATTCATGTCGGTTGCAATATTGTTCAAGTCCAATTGCTACACTTCATTTCCACTTTCCACCACCATGCAGCAAGAAGAGAATGCTCAGGCCACTGGATCATGTCAATACAACAAGACGCAATGGTCTGATTCCAGTCCGCTCAGTCTCAGGGACCCATAGAATGAACTGCGAAGCCTCGACAGCACAGCTTGGAGCAACTCATGGCCAAAGTAAACTTGACTCACCAGCAGGAACGCCAACACAAACTAATAAGCAAGAAGAACGCAAACCATCTTGCTTCTATTCACTAGCAGGCGATTCATCCAGTACAGGTGCAACGCGAGGCTCTGAATTATTTCTCTCTCGACTTACCAGCATTTGTTAGGTCGACATAACGCTCCGGCATTCATACCTTAGGTAACTCTCCCTCCACTCAGCATCTACGACATGCTCTACACCAGAGAAGGTTGCTCTGTCGTCTCCGCGTGGGACAAGTTCCGACAAGCTTGCTAGGATCTCAAAAACTTTTACCGTGTAATTAAAGCCCAGCATCAAGAGAAGATATAGCACATATGACGAGCTCATTGAAGGCAGAGAGTCTCTATGGGAACGGGACTAAGACACCGGCTGGCTGTATAGACAATGGCCACCCAAGCAGAAGCTCTTTCACAGTCTCCTCGTAGCGGCCCTTGCACCCAAGAGCTCCAAGCAGGGATGATCAGATTGCAAGACCTACACTGCGAGATATAGCTACATACACAGATATCTAGACTATCTTTCGCCGAGCCAAGCTCTGGGCTACCGAGTATATAAAGGCATGGTATCTATTACATTCGGATTCAGCACATATGGGATGATATCTACATCTCAACGTGGTCGCTAGTTATACCGGTTAACAAACTTGATAACCTTTCGCCCAGTCGTGCTCCTCACAAAGCCATCCAGCTCCTCAACAAAAGTAGTCTTGAACCGATGCTCATTCGTCGAATTAACATGCAAAAACTTCTTGATCCGCGCAATCAGCGCCTCCTGCGAAAGCACCCTCGACGTCCGCGGCGAGCACATCAGCCGAACCTCCAAACACGACTCCAGCGACGGCTCCAACTTGTCCAGAATGATCTGCCACTGCAAGACGCCGCACTCTTCATTGTTCAGCAATGCGGCCATGTCCTCAAACTGGATGTACTCCCCGTCCCAGTCAAAGCTGACTCGCCTGTCACGCCCTTGCAGTCGAAGAATGCGAAGATACGGCCAGTCTTCCGCGGGAATCTTGTCCCGTGAAGACTCAGGCAGACGATGAACCGATCCAATATCGCCAGTAACATATCTTACTAGCGGATTTCGCAGACGCGAAAGCGACGTCTGCACAACCATACCCGACTCTCCTTCAAGCAGCGGCTGAGCAGTCTCATCGCCCGGAGCAAGCGACGACGGAAAGACCTCGAGCAGCATCGCCCTCGTGTCAAAAATCAGGTCCTCCTCGCTCGTCGTGCTCTCGCGCCCGGTAATGTCGGGGCTGCTTGCCGCCCACGGCCCGGCCTCTGCACTGCCCAGGATGGAATAGATCTTGACGGACTTGAGCGTGTCCTTGATGTGTGCTCTCTGCGCGGACGTGAGCACCTCGGAGGTGTAGATAATCTTATCAAGCTTGATGAGAGCGCGCTCCTCCTCGGTGAGGGTCGAGATGTGGTGCACCATCTGGACAATCTGGCCGCTGTCTCCAACCAGCACGTTGATATGGTATTTGGCCAGCAGTTTGGCAACTTCGTGGGGAGGCATGAAGTTGCCGGCGCTGAGAACCGAGGCCCCGGCATTTTCCATGATTTCAAGCATGAGATCCAAAGACCTGAGTGCTCTTGTTCAGTATCTGCTCTCGCACATCGTGAGTTTTCATAGCAACTCACCTGTAGAGCTCACCCGCACAATGAGTCGTCAGCGCCCAATCTCCAGGTCCGAGGACCCCAATCGTCCTGAGGAACTGCCCGAAATGCGCCCTTTGCCTGCGGTTCTCGAACACGTCCGTCCCAAAGAACAGCGGCTTCGAACCAAAGCCTCCGCCGGTGATGCTCGCATATACGCTCTGACGATACGTATTATGAGGATCAGCATCGTTGACGAGGCGCTGGATGGTGTTGTAGCTGACTCTGCGGTTAGAGGAATCAGCCGGCCTGAGGTGAGAGGTTCAAGTGCACTTACAGGTCCTTCTTCCATATGATGGGCCGCGAAGACAAGCCATCGTTTGCTGCACATTCCTCATTCTTTGCCTTTCCTCTCAGCGCCTGAACGGTCTTTTGGTCGGGAGGATATTGAATGTCCTGCACGTAGAAGGGATGGGCTTTGGCAATGGCCAACACCTCGCTCAGTTGAAAAGGTTCAGACGCCATAGTGAGATGCAATTTTGGAGATTGCTACCGGTTTCTAAGATTTCAGCTATGTCTTGAGTCAAACAAAGATTGAATAGAGGCAGATCAACATTTACAGCGTAGAAATACGATGTCAAAGCGGTCTCACGTCAAGAAGACGATACTGTGCGAGAAGGCACTGTATTATTACCGAGACCTTTTCACCCATCGAGAAGATACAGAGCCTACTACGAATAAAAACCCCAACTTGATAATGGTCAAAATGCTTTCTTTTTCTCGTAGAACAGGTGGTCAAGTTGAGCCACGCCCACAGTCCAGTCTCACACTGAGACATGCATACAAAAAAACACATTGTAATTTTTCTTGCAGAGAATCCAAGAGAACAGGGAGGAAAGCAAGAGCCGAAAACGAGAGAGGCCTCATTCTCAGCTGGATACAATTATCATCACCTCCCGAGCTGCTTATGGGAGTGACTTTAGGTGGTGATGAGAAATCTCGCCATGTCTCATGCGGACGAGACAGCATCCGGGGGTTATGAAAGACATTGTCTCAAACTGACCGCCGTTATTACGATATACACGAGAACTACGGTGCCTCCGAATTGTGATAGACAAATGAGAAGGCATACTGGCAGCTGGCAGGCATTAAGCGTGACGCAACTCACCATTCGTTCGGCAGAGACCCTTGCAGCACAGCAGGATTCAGCTCCATTCATCCCAGCCACTCCCACCGTCTTGTGGAAACTGTCTCTGAATCGGGTCGCTTCGCGCGCTTCTATTCGCGAAACTAGTTGTACGGTAAGAGCTGTGCTACCATGTAATATAATATCCAAAGATGTGCACCGAGATGGCGCTGTCAAGCTGAAAATAAGATTATGCCCTGGGGTTACATTTTCTCCGCATGTTCATCTCGACATCTCCGATTGATTGCTCGCACAACAGATCCAATAGCACCTGAGACTATCGAAGCCACCTGAAAACAACCCAGCCATTCTAGTATTACAATTACATAGTTGCTTCATACCTCACAAGCAACGAGTCCAAGGGTGACTGCTCTGCTCATCCCAGTATCTCAAACCAAGCCCTTCCTCCTCCTCCGACACACCCCTGGCTCTCTCAGTTTCCGTCTCCCATCTCCGTCTCTATCCGCGTCCATGTCTCTCCCGTCTGCCTACTCTTTTATAGCCAGGCCAGTCAAAGGCACAGCATCCCACCTCACCCGACGCAGATGCCGCTTCGGGTCCCTGACGTGATTCCGCGCATGCAGCCACCGTCGATTGTCAATCATGATGATGGACCCCTCGGGAAGTACTTCAGGCGTCAGATCCAGCCTCGCCATCGAGTGGCTTCCTCTCGCTTCCGCGCCCTGCTGCTGCAGCGCCTGTCTCAGTTCCCCCAGAGCCGCGGCCGCCCGCTCGCTCAGGGGCGTCAGGAGATCCTCCCGGAAGCGCATCCTCGTCAGCCGGCCCTCGCCGTCAGCCAGCAGAATGCTCGCCACAATATCCTCCTGACCGGGACGCTTGACGAACTCGGGCGGCGTGCGGACGAGGAACTCGGGCCTGGCCAGGGCCGCCCTCGCCTCGGGCGACAGCAGCTCGCTCAGCCGCTCGACGTTCATGACCGACAGCGTCCCGCCGCCGCACCGGTCCGGCCGCAGCACCTGCAGGGCAAAGTAGCGCGGCGGCGGGTCCTCGTAGCTGCAGTCCGTGTGCCAGGGGAAGTCCTCCATTGTCTCGGAGCGCGCCTGGCAGTTGGCCGTCTGGAAGCTGGTCGACGACGGCACAACGTCCCAGAACCAGCCGCGGGTCGCGCTGTGCGAGATGGGCAGCTGGTGGCCGTGGTGCTGGTGCAGGCTCCGCAGCAGCCGCTCGAGGTAGCGGCTCTGGGGGTCCGCGAAGCCGAGGCTGACCTTGAGGATGCCGCGCTGGCCCAGCGTCTCCGCCACGCTGCGGACGTGACCGGGCTCCTGGGCGTAGCTGAGATCGGGGGCCTCCAGGCGGGGGACCATCTGCGAGATTTGTTGGGCTGACATGCTCGTGGGAGCAGTGGCTGTACTTGTGTGGACGGCAGCAGCCCGAGAGTGACGGGGGTACTGATGGCGGAGGGCATGATGACGAGCAGCACCATGTACGAGTAAACGGTGGACTGCTGTGAAGCGGTTCGATGCAGCACGGGGATGCATGATGGATGATTGCTTGATAGCGAGTAACAATCGGCGATACTATAACGGGAGATGAATGGTGGTGGATGAGCAGATGGACACAAAATCTTCTGCTCTGTATGTAGGTTGTGGATGGACGCAATTGCCAGGTAATCCATCCTCATCCCGATGAAAAGGGGTTATTTATCATGGCCATGGTGTTACTTCCAGCTCGTGACAGCACCACGAAGCCTCTCACAACAAGTAATATCCTGTTCTTCCATGCCCCCCTGTCCGGTTCACACACAGAGACGGATGATTTCATTTCCCGGACAGCTGCCATCACTTCCTGACTAGTATCGGGTTTCTCCTAGACGTACTGTACGGGGACGATACACATGTGATGATAGTTCTGCTAGTACTACCTACTACTACCGCTACTCCCCTCCAGCTGAGTAAACTTCTGAGACAAAGACCCTCTCAGCTCAGCCCCATGTCCCTGCCCCTGCGCATCACAGAGCAGAACCAAGCCCCCCCATGGCTAACCGCACAGATCCGATCATTGCTACTCCGCCAGATGCCCAGTCCCAGCAACTGCCCCTGCACGACGTGGTACGTCCCAATCAGGGGGCACCGCATCTTCTCCCCGCACGCCCTCAGCACCACGTCATACAGACGGGGCACGATCCGCCGCTGTACCACGCAGCTGCGCTCCAGCCCGAGATTCGGGTCCAGCTGGCGCCGCAGGGCAGCCGTCCACTCGTCGTTGCTGAGGTCCTCGCCGAAGACGATGCCGTCGCCCTTGCCGCTGCGGATCGGCTTCAGGAGGAACTCGTTGCGCAGGTGCGGGTTCTCTTCTGAGCGCATCATGAGACTGTTCAGCTCCTGGGACCCGGGGAGGAGAGTGTTGGCGATGCCCCTGTCGAGAACCATGGCCTGCCTCTCGGTGATGACGTTGAGGGCGACTTGCTTCTGTAGTTCCTGCTTGACGATGCCGAGCATCCGCTTGTCGTGGACCAGCAAGATGGTTCTCATGTCGTTGAAGCAGCGTAGGCTAAGCTCCCGCAGCATCTCAGGCCTCATGGCAAGCAACTCGCGCTGGTGAAGCTCGAGCCCAACCTGGTAAATCTCCTCGACGAGCTCTCCCTCGCTTGTGAAGAACAAGGAAGACACGTCTGGAATGGCAGCGCCGCGCACGGGCTTCTTGAAGACGGCACAGAGCGTATAGCCAGCCTTGCTTCTGGGGTCTGTCACCAGCCTGAGGTCTGCGAGATCAACTATACGCGGAGCATAGCCCAGGCGGCGTCGTGCGGCATCGACAAACATGTGGATGTCAAGCCCAGGTTCTTCGCCTTTGACCAGATGAACAGGACGGTCTCGCCGGAAGAGAGTAAACAGCCCATCAATAAGCTGTCAACCCTCCATGTTAGAAGCGAACAACCCAACGAGCTCTGGATACTATGCTTACCTCCTTTGGTTCCGTGGCACTCACAAGTCCATTACTCTTCACGCCCATCTCCTCCAAGCCCAGCTGCCCATACGCCGCATGCATAAACCCATTAAACGAGAACCGCGCATTAATCTCAGTAACCCGAAAGTTCTCAATCAGGCCGCCATCTTCGCCCTTGACTTCCTCGACTAGGAAATCAGGTCTCCAGGAGCCTCTGCAAGCTGTGTAATGAGGCAACATCCCAACAACCGACTGCCACTCGACAAACTGCTCACATATCAGCTTCATTCAACAAACCACCAGGGCAAACACAGTCAAACCTACCTTTAAAAGCTCCTGCTCCTTCTCGCCGAGTGGCATCCTCCCCGGAAAATCCGCCGCAGTGTCAGACCACCATCGGTCTACTATATCCGTAATCGAGGCAACCAGCGCATCGTTCAGCTCCTGCAACTGCTCCTTATGCTTCTCGTTGACGAGGATCGGTCGAGGGCAGTACGTGCTGTAAGACCCCTTGGGCCACAGCGAAGGCGGGCAAAGGCGCGTGAGCTCGGCCTTGATCGACTCGTGCTCCGATTTGTAAACGGCTTCGTCCACGTTTGCGCTTGATACGCTTTCGTATCCATCAAGGCCGCGGCCGAGATGGACCTGCGTAAAGGTTTCTGAGAGTGAATTTGTCTCCATATTGAATACACTATTCGATATCAAAGAACTTGACAATTGAGGTTGTTGCTACACCCATATCGGCCAACACATTCTACGACTTAAATAGCCTTCTTCTCGTACCAACAAACGTTCCATGTTCCATGCAATCACAGTACTTCCAATCCCCTACCCCCTGTATATCCCACGACCCCCATATCCTTTCCCAGATCCTCATCATACCCTGCCCAGGATCAGCGCTTCAGCTTGCCTCCATGTCGATCAGATCATCTCCAAAGACAGTACTAGTACTCCCCCCAAATGACCCTGGTATATCGACGCCATCACAAATACTACGACTGCTATACTAGTTTCCCCCTAGATCAACAAACGCCAGGCGCATCTTTCCTCGACCCCGGTCACCATCCCATTTCCAATTCGGCCAATGCCCACCAACCGGACCAGGATCACTCAACTTTCCTCTCTCTCTGCCAACACCCCCTTGCATATTGATCTCAGACATTGCCAGCCAATAACCGGTTTCGGGGAGACGCCAAGTCGAGTGACAAGAATGCGTTAGTCAGATGGGCCTGTCTACATACACTCTCCCAACGTCATACTATCGCTGGGAACTGCCTCGGGCCGGGCCTAGTCGGGGTTGTCTCGGGGGTCCCGACGAGTGCCGATGGTGAGGCCGTGGACGGAGTGCTCCGTGCTTGGGCTTCCTTGGTTCACATTGATCATCTGTGATTACTTGGTTCATATTCATCATGTGTGTTAACTTGGTATCAGCAGCGCAGATGGCCTGAGATGTGATGCTACGAGACGGATTTGCATATCACGGGGATGGAATGAGCATGTGTAATGGATGTATAGATATCGTATGATTGAGATGCTATGGTTTCAAAAGAGATGAAGAATGCCATTATAGCCCATCATGACGGCTCCATCTCAGCATTACACCCCTCAACACCACCAATCCCAACCATCCGTATTCTCAATACTCCTCTGCAACGGCGCCGCCAGCATCCGAAACTCCTCCACAACACTCCCAGTCATCTTCGTCACCACCTCCGTCGCCCTCTTCACCACATCCTCCTCATACGGCGGCCCAAGCCCCGTCTTGAAGATATGGCTCCTCTCCAACAAGCCCACCGCCAGCTCAAGACGAAGATAGTCCACCAACGCAACAACACTCACATCATCCAGCGCAGGCGTCGCCGCAAGTGCAATCCCCATCTCCGCCCTGAGTTCAGCACCTTCCAACCCCTTCTGCAGCGTATCAAACCTTCGAGCATACGGCTTCTGATCAGCCACAATCTCTTCAAGCAGCTTCACCACTCCCTCCGCACATCTCGCAACAGTCTCCTTCGCTTCGTCCGGAGTAGCATGGCTCGATCGAGGCAAATCCAGCATCCGAATCCTCAGCCCCAGCGTATCCGGAAGAACCGCCGGCTTTCGGTTCGGATCAGCCTGCCACGCAGGCGTCCTCAACCCGTTGATCCTTTCCACAATCCTGCCCCAGACCCGACTGTCGAGGTTATACTCGGCCGTATCCGTCATGAACGCCTCAAACTTGGCCAATTGCCCTTGCATGAGAACAGCGTCCGCAATGTCAAAGATGTACGCGTCCATTGACTGATATCCTCCTCTCTTTTGAATCTCACCCCTTTCCACTTCCGACTTCACTGTACGAAGATACTGGAGGATTCTCCAGAACAAAATCTTCATGTCAAAACCACCATCGCTGCTCCACATATGCGACCAATGTTTGCCCGCGTTTATGTACGCAAGCTTCTTGTTGTCCCTCACGGCCTGGGTAATGGCAGTGAGCCACTCCGGAGGATTCGTCCGCAGCAAGAGATAGTCCATCGCCAGATCTGCCCACTTGTCAGGAGTTTCCGTCTGCATGATGTCCAGAAGCTTCTCCAGTGAAGACGGATACAGGGGGATTGCGGGAAGCTGATCACCGTCGGGTAGACTGAAGCCGTTCTTTTTCAAGAATACGCTCATCCATCGTTTGTTGGTCTCTGCCGAGGCGTCCAGCATAGTAAAAGTGATTTCCTTCAGTGCTCGACCCTCATCCGACTTCCAATCCATCCTACGGCCCGCATCCAGGATGAGGCTCATGATGGGAGGAACCGTAGCCGTCCCAATTCCGTCTTCCCATATCTCCGGTAGATCATCTTCCGGCCTTAAGCTATCCCAGTCCGTCACAGGCTGTGACTCGTTGACCGAAGACGCAATGGGCACGGCGTATTCGCGAAGCGCATCGAATATCCGCTTCTTCACCGCCGAGCTGGTAGCACTATCCTTGATTGCCTCCATCAGCCCCTTGACAGAAGCCGTGCGAACGTCGACATGGCTCGACCTCTTCAAGATCCTGATATTGAGGTCCACCGCCAGACTCGGGTCGACAACAGGAGACTCCCTCAGCAGCTGCGCCAGCATCTTGATCGTGGTGATCTTGACAAGCGGCGCCTTGCCCGCCGGCGCATCATCTCCAGCCTCCTTGTCCGCTTGTAGGTCCTCCCGTGCTTGTAGTCTATCCAGGATGGCATTCGTGAAGCTCTCAAAGAAGTCCTTCGCAACAGCCGGGGAAAGCTTAGCGAGAATTCCTCGATTGAGAACCACCCGATGCCACGAGCTCTCACCTGGATTCTCCAGGATAAGCCGTTGTATCAGGGGAGTAGCCAGCGAAGGATCCTTTCCGTCCAAGATGAAGCTGATGATGTTTTGAAACTCCCAAAACGGCTTTTTCATTGGGGAATTCTTCTTGATGCTCTTCAAAATCGATTCTGCCAACTGAACGAGGAGACCCGTCGGTGTATAGTACTTCAACCCAGCCAACACACCAAGGGGCTGCTCAAGTGCGACATATGGGGTCTTCTCGGACCTCTCCAGAAAGTCTTGGTCAAGATACACGGCTGGAATACGCACTGCCTCCGCGTGAGGGTACGGCGTCTTGAGCAACGACCTGTCGGAACCATGCTTCATGTTCATTGCCAGAATTGCCGCGGCTGCATAAGCGTCTGCACTCTTCCCGCTCAGCTTCCTCTGTGATTCCAAGAACAAGGCCCAGAAGGAACAAGGGCGAGGCTTTGCAGGAACCACGGCCTTGACGTCCCCGAATATCGCGCGCTGTGCCTTGATAAACCTGGCCGTGCTCTCTTCCGTCGGCCGACTCAGCAGAACGTCCAGAAGGACCGGTGCAAGAGCTTTGTCCTTCTCCGGCTGCGAAATATGGTCGTATTCAGGGTCGGGATTCCACTCAATCGGCTGCATATGCTCATCCTCGCGTACGTCAGGAAGGGATGGCTGAGGCCGTTCGTCTACATCATCGTTGATCCCAACCTCATACTTCTGCACCCCAACGCTCTCAAACACAGGCCACCAGAACCGCTCGGCTTCATCTGGGGACATGCGGTCCTTGCTCAAGGCGACGGTCGCATGACGCCAGGCCCTTTGAATGCGCTTCTTGCGCTCCTCGCCCGGCATCTGGATATACAGCTGCAGAGCCGTGGACCAACTATCCACAAATGTCCCAATGGCCAACTGGGCCGCCTCATCGACTTCGACAGGCTGCAGCGCCGTGGAAGGGCCCATAAAGACGACCGCCTCAATCCGTGCCTGCCCATACGAGAGATGCGCCAGAGCCTCGCCGAAATAGCTAGACAACTGCTGGAGAGTGGCCCCCTTGGGCCAAATCTCATCCACCGTGACCAAGGCTGGGGTTTCCCGCCGGCGAAGATCTGCCCAAAGCGAGTCTTGAAACTCGGCCAGGTGGTTGAGAAACCTGATTGTATGCCCGCGTAGCTTCTGAGGCTCCGTAACACGTAGGGAAGACAAGGTGACATGGGGTGTGAGAGGTTCAAACCGGTCGCCAACGGGACCAAGATGATCGGACAGCATCTTCTCCAGCATGGCAGAAGTTGGCTTCCACACGGCCTCATACAGCGAGTCATCCGACATCTTGGTCCGGTCTTGGAAGTCATTGACCCAGTTGAGGCGTAGACAAACAACACGTTTAATCAACTCAAACGTGGGCTGCCAATCCCGCGGGCTGAAGCTAGGTTCGTTCACTCCCATGCTAGCCGTCTCAAATAAGATGCTTAAGACGGCATTCGCAGATTGTATCCTCATGGTGAGTTTGTCAACGGTCAGCTCGTCCTTCATCTTCTTATGCAGCACAGCCAAAACATCTTCTCCCTCTCTGGTCAGGAGGCTTTGCTGGCTATACAGCTCCTTGATCGTCAGGGGATCCTTGTTGAACCGCCGTGCCCAGCGAAGCGTTTCTGCGTAGAGTTCCAGATCCCCCGTTGCCACGCTCAGGTCCAAGGCAGAGAGGGCAGCTTGCGATCGGTCTTCGAATGAGCGGCCTTGAGTCGCCTTCTTCATCCTCCTGGAAACTTCTTGACGAGCCTCAGCTCTCATGGCGTCCAGCTCTGCAGACGAGAATGCGGAGACGGCCGGACGCCGGATTTGGCTCAGCAAAAGGGCCCGCACAACGTGACGGTCAGCTACCTCACGTTGTTCAGGGTCAGGCCTTTGATAGAGGAACCTTTGGGTAAAGCTGCTGGTCCTCCCAATGTCTTTCCCTGCTCTTTGGACTTTTTCCCACAAAGACAAGGCCTCTTCCGCTGGCAACAGGAAGAAGATGTCGGACTGCCAACCGAACGACGACTTCTTCTCAAGCTCCGCATGCTCCAGGCTGGTGGGCTCTCCGATATCAACCCGGTTTCCGGCCGTGTGCTTCAAGAACAAGCGTAGAAGCTGGTACCTCCGGACCTCGCCAACGTTCCGCAGCAGATCTAGCAGCGCATATTTGGTGACCATTGCCTCGGGCAGAGCAGAGAACAGCGTTGGCAGCATCTCCGTGTATTCAGCCCTTGCGCGTGAGCGATTCCGTGAGCGATTCCACACCTCGACCAGACGGGTAATCATCGTTCTAAAATAGTGTTCGGACCCTTGGAAGTTCTTTTGAAATGCCGAGCGCTCCTTCAGGCCCAGTATAAGACAAGTCCAGAAGCGTAGAGTGGTGTCGTTGGATATCCTGCGCCGTGAAAGGAACCGCTTTCCCAGCGGATTAACAACAGCATCAAACAGGGTACCGGGAGAGACTCCTAGCAGGTTTTCACTGTCGAGGAATCTTTCCAGAACCTGCAAGCCATACTCTGTACGGTGGAGGACCAGAGGCCCGATCTTATCCAGAAATGCTTCGCCGGTGATTTCCTTGCGCCGCAGCTCCTCGTCGTAATGGCTCTCGAAGAACTCGAAATCCGTCACAACAGACGCGCCGTGCCTCTCCTGGAGCTGCCTCTTCTGGTCCTCCTCCCACTTCACTCTGAAAGCACCGCCACAAGCAGGGAGCAGCTTCAAATAGATCTCCCGCAACGGACGACCATCCAATGCAACGCCCTCCGCGCTATCCTCGTGTTGCCCCCAGAGCAGCTCCAGCAGCTTCTCCATCTCCCGCTGTCGTTGTTTCCGACCTCCCTGCGCACGTGCTGTACTGCCCAGCAGGCCAAGCAGAAGCCGCACATTGTCGACACTGAGCTTTGCCGCCAGCTGAGCGACTCCCCTGGCTCCGCCCGCAGCTTCCCATGCATTTGCAAATGTCTTTTCCCTGCGCAGGTGGCGATGCAAGTGCTTGATGGCCAGCTGCTGGGCATTGACGCAGAGCTCTTGTCGGATCACCGCCACAGTGACCTCGGGCTGATTGGCGACGGAGGGCCATAGACCGAGGACGATGGGCGGGAGAGTCTCTGCGGCAACGAGGGAGATGAGCTGAGCGGTAAGGGAAGACGTGGCAGCCGGGTTGCTGTCGAGGACATGGCGGAGGTGAAGCGCCTGCTCTCGAGGCGTGGCGTCCCGGAGGAGCTTCACGTCGAGCTCGCCTCTATTCGCCATGGCTGGGGATTGTGGTGCGGAAGAGGTTCGTGGACGGTGAGGGGAGTTGAAGAGTGCACACCAACAATCAAGGCCGAGAGTCCGTCTTTATATCGTCACTCGCATCAACTCTCAATCCGTTCAATCCGACCAGCGAACCATTTGATACGAAGCCAATGACGCATCTGGGATTGGTTGACGGTCTGTCGATTCATCATCATCCGGGCAACCTCATAAGGCTGACCGGCTCTCTGCCCGTTTGAGTCAGACTCCAAGCTCCGCCACCATTCTTCAGCTGGCCGCTAATCCACCCATTCATGCAGGCAGAGCAAGCCCCGCAAAGAGGAAGTCTGGGATCATACACAAGACACAGCTGTTGGCAGGTTCAGCTGTTGGTGCAGGGGACTCTCGAGAGGAGAATACGAAGAGGCCAGGCAGAAGCCGGCCAATGAGTCAATGCCGATGATGGCTGCGAACCGAGGCCATGGGTCAATATATTAATGTACTTGTACCTGCGCCCCAGGCACTGGAAATGGTTTGTAGTTTCGGGGTGTGTTCGGCCTACCAAAGGAATACAGATCTGCATACTATGTACGAGACATTTATTCAGCCAGGGTGTGTGGATTTGTGTCTGCAGCAGGCTGTAGAACAAGACGGCTTAGAGATGAGGTTATCTAACCACAGATGAAAGCATTCATCCATCACCCTCCGTATAAGTAAATTTCCACCACCTCAGCACTTGCATATACTCAAAACCCCCATTTGAACGTCAAGCGTATATGCCATTGACAATTTCTCTAGCTACTGCCCAGTATTAACATGTGAACTAAACAAACAAGACCATATACCTACTCCCTCTGCCAAAGGTATCCAAACGGAATCTTCACAATATACAAACCCCTTAAACCATACTCCAAATCCCCCCAAAAACCCAATCCCCCTACAACTTCGCCTTCTCCCCCTTGTACTTTTTCAAAAGCTCCGCCACCGCCCGCCTCGGACTCTTCCCATCCACATGCCCCAGGAACGGGTTCCCAACCTTGAACCCCAGCATGTCCACCAGCCGCGGCGGCATCTCGTCCAGCTTCTCCCAGTCCACCGCCAGGATCAGGTTCTCCATCGGCCGGATCCACGGCTGGCAGTACTGCGCCGTCAGCGCCAGCCTGCTGCCCTCGCTCCGGTTCGCCCCGCCCCCGTGCCACAGCGTGCTCACAAAGAAGAGCACGCTGCCCGCCGGCATGATGATGGGGACGGCCTCTTCCGGCTTGGCCACGCGGCGCGAGTCCCACAGGTGCGAGTCCGGCACGAGGACCGTTGCGCCGTTGGTCGCCGTGTAGTCGTCCAGAGCAATCATCACGCCCTACATATTCCACATCAGCCCACATCACCAAGGGACATGGACCATAACCAAGACAGAGATACGCCAAGGCAATCATGTAAAAAAGAAAGAAAAAAAAAAAAACTCACCGTCCCAACAGCCTTATGCGGCCTCTCCATGGTAACATACCCATGATCATAATGCATCGTCTGCCTCTTCTCCCCCGGCAAGATGTTGATGCTCTGAAACGAATTGATCAAGTACCCCGGATCCAGAAACCAGTCATTCAGCGCAAGCACATCCTCGTGCAGCACAAACTCGTCAAACACCCGCGACTTGTCCGCCAGCGCGTACAGCCGCTGCGTGCGGAACCCCTCAAACGTGTTGCGCCCCTTGGCCGCCGCCGGCCCCGCCGTCTTCGGGTCCGCGCTCAGGCGCGCCACTTCGGCCTTTGCGGCGGCGACCGACGACGGAGAGAAGGCGTTGCGGATGACGACGTAGCCGTGCGCGTTGACCTCGTCGATGAGGGACTGGATGCGCGGGGAGGGCGGCGAGGACGGCGTGTAGCGCGAGAGGCGCGCGTCGGCGCCGGTCTCGCTGGGGATGGAACCCCCCGAGAGAGGTCGTTGGTAGGCCATTGCTGTATTATAACAGAGTCACTCAGAAACCACGATCAAGTAACCCAAGTAAATATGTAAGACTTGGAAATGATAGAAGAAAAGCGGTCTCACTCTGACAAGACTCGCAACGGGGCAGGTCTCGCTCCCCTTATATGCATCACTCGGCCCCCATATTACCCCAGACCCCATATAAGCTGATTCCCAAAACTCCACGGCCTCAACCATCATCACATGCGGGGAGGGGGAAAGGCACCGAAAAAGCATCCATCAGCCGGCCTCGGTGGGGTTCCGGGAACACGCTCACCAGTCGCCGATAGCCTATTCGCAACTTGAGGAGTAGCAACTCCGCGGTGCTGTTTGTTTTAAAGTTGAATTCCTATCCTAGAGATGACATACTATCCCCTTTTCGCCAACCAAAAGGCCAAAAGGTCCAATGTGCCCAACGGGCGTTACAATACTTACCTCCCTTACAAACTCTCAAAGGTACGAGACAGCATGAGAAAAGTTGAAAGTTTAGTTCCAGGCCCAATCATCTTCTTGGGGTGGCACGAAATAAGGGCTTACATGTCGAACCATAATACCATCCCGTGCGAGCTGAGGCGCTTCAGATCGTCTATTAGCTCCTCCAGACGCAGCATGCGGGGGAACACACTTGATGACACCTCAGCTCTCAACTAGTAATAGCCAAGAGCAGCCGTCATCAACTAAGCCGCCTCAATATCATACTCTCCACAACAAGGACCAACTCCTCGGCATGTCAAGCACTTCACTCTTAAAACGACCACGAAGTTGATGTGATATAATACATCCATATGTTCGCTATATTTGGCTCATGTTACCATGTATAAACAATAGGGGGCTTTGTACATTCCCGCCCCAAAGACATTCCCAAAGACATCAATTTTATATACAAGAAATCTCGTCAACCTTTTTCGTACACCCGCTCTCCGTCGCCTCGTCTCTCGTCCAAGCTTAGTTGGAGCAGACGCCGTTCTTGCAAGAGTAAGGGTCAGAGCAGTCGTTGTCGTTGCCGCAAGAAGCACCCAGGCAGTGTCCCTCCCAGGAGCAGGTGGGAGCAGGAGTGCTGCCGGGCGCACCGCAGACGCCGCCGTTGCAGGTGAGATCGTCGGAGCAGTCGTCGTCAGTGCCGCAAGAGGCACCGGCGCAGTGGCCAGCCCAGGAGCAGTTGGAGGGAGGAGGGGGAGGAGGAGGAGGAGCGCTGCTGCCGCCAGAGATGCCAGCCTTGATGACCTGCTGGTAGTTGCCGTTCTTGACAGCGAGCTGAGCCTCCCAGAGCATGATACCGCCAATGTTGGGAAGGTTGAGGTTGGAGACGCCCTGGTAAGCAGACAGCAGAGTGCTGGAGGAGACGAAGCCCGAGTCACCGTCGGCACCGCTGGCCAGAGCACCAATGAAGAGGGTGGCGTTGCCAATGTTCTTGCTCCAGTTCTGGACGGCGGTGTTGAAGCCAGACTGGGCAATGTTGCAGTTGCCGTTGTTGTAGAACTGGACCCAGATGTAGTCGGCCAGCTGGCAGACGTTGAGGGGCTCCGAGGCGTCGGGGAACGGGCACTGAGGAGCAGCAGTCAGGTAGTACTTCTTGCTGGGGTCCTGGGCGAAGTTGGACTTGAAGCGCTGGGCCATGGCCAGGTAGCCAGTGGGGTTGCCGGTCTCGTTGTCTGCAAAATTGTATCAGTAAAAGGCTCGGGCTAAAAGTCGTCTTCTTCACTCACCCATATCAACACCGTCCAGCTTGACGCTGCCAAAGGGACGGAGAGAGGGGTTGGCGGTACCGCCCAGGAAAAGGTTCCAGACGGTGTCGGCAATCTGCTGGCCCTGGGAGTCGCCGGTCAGAGTGACGGCCGAGAAGTCGACGGCACCACCCATGCTGAGGATAACCGGCTTGCCGGCAGCCTGGCAGGCCTGGATGGCGGGGACGAGAGGAGTGCCGTCCTGGAGGTTGGTGGCACCGGCAGCCCTCTGAGCGGCGGAGGGACCGCCGAGGGTGCTCAGAGAGAGCTCGGGGTACCCACCGCCGGCGAAGAAGCGGCTGAGGAAGGCCAGGATGACAATGTCGTAGGAGGGATCGGCGCAGACTTGGGCGAGCGTGGTGCTGTCGTCCTCGGCACCCCAGTAGACGACGACCTTGCCTCCAGCCGCACGCTTCTCCATAGTCGGTGCGGCATAAGCAGCAGTGGCCAAGAGGCCGGCGGCAGCAGCCAGTGCTTTGCTGAAGAACATGGTTGAGAGAATGTGTATGTGGTTGTATGTATATATACAGTCCAAAAAGAAAGAAACAGGCCACGAGGTATGTACAGAGGCCGAAGAGAAAGATATACCAGAACTTCAACTGCTGCTGCTGGTGATGAGATTGAGTCCAGAGAAGAACTTGCTTTCATCGATAGAGAGCCGGCGATGGCATCTCTATTTATCCATCTTGTCGACGACAGATATCGTTCCCAGGGTTCTCTCATCAAACCGCCAACAGCCCAGTGGTGAAACAGCTGACAGTGTAAGCGTCCCCGAAGCAGACAAACCACACACCCGATACGGCAGTCGAGAAGACTTGGCCTAGTTGACAATCCGGAAGGTGGCTCCAGGCCCGGCTTACACAAAGCCGCCTTGGCCATCTCCGGCAGGCTGGACGAGACCCGGGCGGCGATGGTCCAGGGCAGACAGCTTCTTAGCGCACCAAGTCTCGAGGACACCATGCCCTCCTGGGGCAGAAGCGTGTGTGTGTGTAGATGGGGGACCACTTTCACCACCACATCTGATACGGAACGACATGCAGGAACATGATTCCATGGACATTAGACAACGTTACATGGCGATGAGCCGTGACAGCTTCACGAGCGAAGTACCGATGCGGAAGCCGACGAGGTTGAGCAGCAGATGCCTCACTCGAGACGGAAAAAATAAACAAATGAAAACACACCACATCATGAGATGAAGGTGGGGGAAACCGGTCCGCGATGCTCTCTGCCCATGGTTCGTCGACTGCTCAGAAGCGCGCAGACCCGGTCAAGCTGGGTGACAGAACGCACACAGATTCTCTCGTCCACGGCGGCGAGGGTTTCATTCCGCCTCAGCCCGGAAACTCTTCACACCAGACTGTAGCAGCGATGCCGGGGCAGCCTTACAAGTACATCCAGACGGCGAATGAGAGCATCCAGTACCTGACCCGTGTTAGCAGTGAGCCCAAAAGACTGCCGTTTGTGAGACGCTTATCTGGGCCAGGGTCCCTCGGCAATGGCGCTGGTGGGAACGGGGACCTGGGGACAGGGCCAGATTGGGCAGGTAAGTAAAGCAGAATTGAATCAAACGCCCACGTTGGGGGTCGTCAGCACCGAGGTGCAGCCGGCTCGAGTCCAGTGAGCTCGCCGTATTTCAAGAAACTTCCTGTTAAGTCTAAGAGTTGAGGGCCTCATGTGCCATCGCGTGAATGCAGAAACTCATTTAACCGCGTTGCATCTGATCGGCGGACCAGGGCCGCGAGTCGATTGTGTCGCATCGCGCGCGAGTTGCCCGTTATTAGTGGGAATGGATTTCTCCGTCGTTGACAGATGTATATTGGATTGCCAAATTGCACCCGGATGAACTCGTTCGCAGCAACACAAGGCGATGCTAGGCCAAGCTCGTGAGGTTGAAACAGGCACGCGCCACACAAGGCTAGGAACAATGCAGGCCGCAGCCAATGGGCAAATCTTCACTCGGGCAGAGTAGCAGTTTGTGGGGTCGCTAAAGGGAGCCAGGAACAGGACCGTAAAAGAAACCGTTTGGCGAGTTGATTTGAATGTGCGGAAGTATGCCCGCTTGCTTGTTTTCTAATCTTCCGAGGCGAGCATCACTCATGCTCACTCAGCCCGCATTGCCGCGGCATGATTCCAGTCCCCTTCTTCATCTTTGCTGCGGGTTTGGAGCTCAAACACACACCACCTTCTATATGCGGCGGATGCGGCTCTTAGGCCTTAGTAGATGCCAGGCTGGATACGAGGAACGACTCGACGTCATCAAACTCTTCCATGCAGGCCGAGTGTTGCATGCCCCTGCGCTTTATGTCAGCAAGGAACGACAACGACATGCTTCGAGGCGGCAGTTTCAACATGAGCAGTGCATGATACTGTCAAATAGCAAGCTGGACAAGAGGGTACTCACGGGTATGTCTCCAGCTTCACGTTGAAGCCCAGCTCTTTGATCTTCTTCTCAGTGGCCGTTCCCCATTCATAGAGAACCAGAGGGTCGGCATCTCCATGGCCCATGAAGATGGGAGTATCCTTGTTGGGGTTTGACTCGGGAATAAACTCCTTGAACTTGTGGCTGAGAAGCATCCAGGACGACAAGCCGACAATGCCGCCAAGCTTGAAGGGCGCCGTCAGACCAGCAAAGATGCTCATGGCACCTCCCTGGGAAAAGCCACCGAGGACGATGCGCTCAGAGGAGATGCCGTCGGCAACCTCTTGCTGAATGAGAGAGTACAGGTAGGCGCGAGACTCGAGAATGCCCTGCTCGTCTTCATCGCGGGACTTTCCATCAAGCGTTCTGCCGGCCGAGGGGCCGAGGGCTTTCTGTTGCAGGAGTAGCGTCAGACCAGACTGATTCACACATGATGAGGGTGCTCATATGAGCGGGAAAGGTCATATCATACGACATCAAACCAAGCAGGCATGGGGAGGCCCCCATTCTATATTCGACAGACAGTCAGTCAGCATCGGCCAATCGCGTTTCTATCAAGGCATGTGTATACTGTATAACGCAGATATACGCAGACAGATTCAGGTAAATAGCCAACTGACCACTGAGATGGGCATGACGCGGGCATTTGGCAGCACAAACTTGACCTCGTCCAGCCGGTGCTTCCTCTGCCACAGCTGCACGGCATCCGCCCAGCCGTTGCCGCTGTCGCCGAGGCCGTGGACGAAGATGACGGTGGCCGTGTGCCGGCTCAACGCGGGGAAGACGACGGGGGCAGCCCGGCGCAGCGAGGAGGCCATGGCGTCGCTTTCGAGGTCGTTTGACGCTGTCGTCGTCTTGGTCTGTGTCTGTGTCTGTGGCTGTGGCTGTAGTTGTGGCTGCCGCTCTGTCAGATTCAGATGCAGGTCCAGGCCCGGCAGAATGGCCAGAGCAATCGCGAGAAGCAGCGCCGCAAGAGTCAATCCCGAAACGATCGTGCGGCTGAGACCGAGGCTGACCATGAGGTAAAATTGCAAGGATGGCGAGATGCCGTGAGGTGGAGAAGCTGTTGAGAGAGCTCAACTCGGGGCATGTCGGGGCGGGGGCTGTGATTGGTTGCTGCGGGTGCAGGGGAACCCCTGTACGATTAGTGGCTTGTCCGCTGTAGCCCCCTGTATTTCCATAGGGCATTGAATGGTGAGATTCAACGCAAATGAGACGGAGATATAGTTGAGAAAAAGAAGGATGATTTAGATCAATGTAGCTTGTCATGTGTAACGACAGTCAATACTGCAAAGAAAAAGGAGGAGATTTTTAACCTGGCAGCGTTGGGCCTGATGTGGCGATGCACCTACTGACATCAATGGACAGACACACGATGCAGCCCTATCGTCTATTTCCTCTTCCAGGTCAGCATTGACCACATGCAGGCATTCATTACCCAGACGTCGAAACAATCCTCAAACAAACACACATCTTCTCCTCAACTCCATAGGCACACGTCTTCACAGCTTCATCTTGCATGTCCGCCTTTCCAACCACCATGTTCGCCTATCATCTTCTGCTGTCGAACCTCCTCAAGCACTCCCTTCATCCCAAGCTCCCCACCCCCTCTCACCGCAGGCTCCAACCCAAACATCGTCACATTCTTATCCAAGATGACAGTATCCCGAACAGATCTGATCTCAAACTTTGTTCCCGGAGCCGCCACATACTCAATCTTGTCCGGATCATCAGACAACGGCGTAATAAACGACACGCTCTCCCACACCGACGCATCAGACGGCGGATCCAAGACGAGCAGGATCCCGTTGGAGTAATGAATCGCATCAGCCATGTTGTCCGTGAAGCTCCAGGCCATCTTGGTAGTAACCGTCCTTCCAACGGCCACGTAGCTGGCCAGAGCATCTTCCAGTGAATCCGCCAGCTCGACGCCCACAGGCCCCTCGTTCAGCGGACACTCGAGAAATTCGATCCCAAAATGCTCCGTCCCAAGCTGCTCCATATCAACCTGGCCACTGAAGAGCTTGCGCTTCGACGCGGTCGACGTCCTCGGCATTGCCTGCATGGCAGCAGCAAGCAGACGGTTCTCGATCTCGCTCAAGGTGTACACCTGGTCCATCACCGCGTCCAGCTGAGCCGTCACGTTATCGAGCGAATCCGCCGGCTCCATCATAAACGCCCGCATGTAATCCGGGTTCTGCGGCGTATAGACGGAGAAGTTGCTCTGCCAAATGTTGAGGGCAAGACTCTCGCGATCCAAAGGATGAGGACGGGACTCAATTTCTGAGCTGACGCCCGTGTACTGGAAGATTTTGAACAAGACCATGCGCGCAAACGATGCCGTTGTCCAGTCGTAGAGCGACATGGCGAGTTCGAAGTTGTGAGGCGAAAAGGGGAAGAACTGTCTGCCTAGAGCCCTGATTTCCTCTCTGGTCCTCAAAGGGGCATATCTGGTGTTCTGGTAAGGTATGAACTTCTCGTCAATCATGTTGCTAATAAAGGCTGCATCTTCGGTGGTAATGTCAGGCAGACGCTTCAGACGACCCGATACCTGCTCCGAGGTGCTATAACAATCTGCTCAGAATCAGTCTAGGGGAACATCTACTCGAGAGGGTTCTCTAACCTGCCATGATGCCGGGGACTTGGACGAGACTCAGGTTGAATGTACCGTTATCGTCGATTCCAAGTGATAGGCCCAGCGGATATGGACTATATCCTAGTAACGGACACTCGAGGGAATCGCCAAGCCCTTCATGCCTCTTCAGCCACAGAGTTGCCCCATTGGCATCAAGAGCCATTGCTCCCGGTGAATGCACCTCGGTCACGTCCAGAAACCCCTGGCCATCGACAATGAGCCGAGACGAGATGCCATGGCCACCGCGTAACATTTCAAGCGAATCCCCATCGCTGAACCAAAGCTGTGATGCTACCAGTATCCGAACAAGCTGCCACATTATATCCGATGTCGTCGCAAGCAGAGCAAAGCTCGTCTACTCAGAATCTTCTTCGCGAGTTAACAGAAGCCAGCGGCCTGACAACAATTTGTCCATGTTCTTATACATGCATAGGTACGCAATACAGCTATACAACGTAAAACTCTGAGGACCGCTCAGCATCCCCTATTTCTTTCCTCTTTCCCCTTCTCTCTTCGGCAGTTAGAATGTCTCAGTTGGCTCAACGTCAACGTGTTTGCCATCACATGCCCCTGCCACTGTGGGTATGTGAGACATCGGATGTGTTCCGTTAGGCTCGCGGTTCGCACGCAAAGTGAATGACTTGACGTATCAGTATGACCGATACGAAGGCATACAGACAAAGCGGTCACAGCACACACCAACTAGAGCCATTGTCATATATCATAGATGGAGGTGACAAGAGACGATCGCCCTCACCAGATCATCCATCACCGCTCACCGCATGGGGCGTCTGGAGAGAGCTGAGTGTCTCTGGTCGGCTGTAAGTGCAAGTAACTGCGGAGCTGAATGAGAAACAAGCGGCCACCGTTGATAGCGTCCATACAAGCAGGGATCATCGTTCAGCTGGCCAGTTTTCAGGACCAGTCTCCATGCCATCAACATCAAGCCTATGCCGTGATCCGCTAGAAACAGGGACTTTTTGTCCTTATTTAGCACAATTAAAGCAAAGAGCTTGAGAGTCATGTCTCAGAAGTCACTGGTCGATGATCAATAGCCATGGCCGAACACCGGCACTTGCTCGGAAGTATGCGCGTGTGAAAGCCGAGCCCTCCAAGTAAGCAAGTTGTCGACAGCCTCCTGTCGACTCATTCACTATTTCAATGTAATCTCGAGAATCTTCGTTTCTAAGCAATTATGAGGTGAATCGGGTTCAACTCCCGCTCCGCGTCGATTGACCAGTAATCCGCGCTTCATCGAACACGCATGCGCTTACGTGCACTTTTTCACGATCCTCCACCAAATCGCCCCGTAATCCTCGTGAACTGCCTACCCTACTATGTAGTATCTCACGTATAAGTCCAATCCCTCTCAACCATTCCTCCACAGAATTTCCACTCCACTTTCATCTCTATAAACCATCATTCAGCCTCACGCTACAGATCTCATCATCACTGAATTCAAAAACCATGGAATCCATCACCATCACCCGCTTCTCCCCCTCCCAACACGCCCACCTCATCCCCGCCATCCTCCAGATGCACATCAACTGCATCCAGTCCGACGGCGCCCTCCTCCGCTTCCACCCGCCCTTCACCCCCGCAAAGCGCCACAAAATGGAAACCTTCTGGAACGAACGACTACTCTCTCAAATCTCATCCGGTCGCCGCATTGCACTCATCGCCTTGGCAGCATCCAACATCGAGGGTAGTGACGATGTGGCTGGCATCGTAGAGCTGGGGATGCCGGACGCTGACACGGGGCCTTTTCGCGGGGACCTAGAGATGCTGATGGTTTCGCCAAAGTATCGACGCAGGGGACTGGGCGTGAAACTCATCAACGACGTGGAAGAAATTGCAAGAGAGGAAAAGAGGACCTTGTTGGTGAGCTGCAGCAAAGCCCAGTCTCCTCGCAGTATTTGTTGTCTGAAGCTGACGTGTAAGCCAGCAATTATCGACAGACGTAGGCTCAACGGCGGAGAAATATGTCTATCCTCGCTTAGGATATGCTCTGGTAAGGCACACTCTGCATTCTCTTCGAAACCCTTTGAGCTGTAAATCTCTTTTGCTCACTTACGTTATGTGTTTACAGATGGGAACAGTTCCCAAGTATGGCATCTCGCCTCTAGATGGCTCCCTAAAAGACGGCGCTTTCTTTTACAAACATCTGGCAGAACTCAATTAAGCCAATGCATATATGAGCTAGACGTACATATCAAAGATAGACTTGTATCATGTTATCGCATTCAAGAGCACCTCTCAATTTACCTCCTTGTAGGCCGCATCATGAGACTCGACGTACTCCGTCAATTGCCCGACCACCAAAGATATCAAAGACAAGGCAACCGCACTTCCCTCTCCCATCCAATCGCTCTATTCACACCCGGCTCTATCGGCAATACGAGAAATCCTCCTGCCGCAAGCCTCCCACAGCCCAAATCCTTCGCCTCTGTCACTACCAAGCCCTCAGTGGCTTGTTCGGCTCAGGGCGGTCCAATTCTGGCCCGAAGGCTACTCCACTCGGCCGAGTGGGGCACAAGCTCCGGCCGAGACGGGGGCTTGGCCAAAGAACACCCGGACAGCTTCGTGCCGACGTCCCTCCGGGTCCGGATATGGGATGCCGGAAAGACTGCCGTGAAGATGGAACAAGTCTCTTCAATGGTGAAGTGAACGTACGAAGGATTGTTTGTCTGCCTTGGCGAGGGCGATCCTTTGAAAGAGTGCCAGGTGATGTGACGGATGCGTTTTTGTGCCCCCCAATGAAGACATGTCTGGCATACGAACGTACCTTAGAAAGAAGTATATATATCAGGACGGAATCATCAGATAGAAACAAGCCTCCTCCTCATCATCATCAAGAGTCAACTTTCTTCAAACCACAACAACATTTCAATCTTCGCCATCACAATTGTAGCTTCATCTCTCACCTCCTTCCTTACACACACCAACCTCAAGCAAAACACCAACATGTCCACCCCATCCACCCCCATCGCCATCATCGGCGCGGGCCTCTCCGGCCTCACCCTCGCCCTCGCCCTCCACCGCCACTCCATCCCCTGCACGCTCTACGAGTCCCGCCCCGCCTCCCTCGACATCGGCGGCGCCATCATGCTCTCCCCCAACGCCCTCAAGGTCCTCGACGCCCTCGGCGTCTACCGGCGCATTTCCCCCCTGGGCTTCCACTTCGAGAAGCTCTACTTCCGCTCCCACGACGACGCGCCCCTCGACGACTTCGACTTTGGCTCCCGCGACAAGCACGGCTACAAGGCCCTCCGCATCTACCGCTACGAGCTCATCAACGTCCTCGTCTCCATGGTCCGCGACGCCGGCATCCCCGTAGAGTACAACAAGAAGTTCTCCCACGTCACCGCCGAGACCCCAGAGAGCGTCACCTGGGCCTTTGCCGACGGATCCTCCGCAACCGCACGCCTCCTCGTCGGCGCAGACGGCATCCACTCCCGCGTCCGCAAGCACCTCTACCCTGATCTGACCCCCAAGTTCACAAACATGATCGGCGTCACCGCCACCGTGCCCCGTGCCCAGCTCCAGGCCGGACCCGAGTATCCCCTCCCGGTGACCATCATGAGCCCCAAGCACGGTGCCTTCGTCATCGCCCCCCAGCGCGCCGACGGCTCCGAGGTTCTCATCGGCAAGCAAAAGCGCCTCGCGCAAGACTACGACCGTGCCGGCTGGGACGAGCTCATGGAGAACAAGTCCTGGTGCGTCGACTTCCTCCGCCAAGGGAGCGAGGACTTCCCCCCCATTGTCGCAAACGCCGTCTCCGACATTCCCCTCAAGGGCATCAACCTCTGGCCCTTCTACCTCGTCCCCAAGCTCGACACCTGGACCAAGGGCCGCGTCGTGATCCTCGGCGACGCCGCCCACGCGATCCCTCCCACCGCGGGTCAGGGCGTCAATCAGGCCTTCGAGGACGTCTACACGTTTGCCGGCGTCGTCGCCAAGGGGAGGGAGGAGGGCCAGCCTCTTGAAGCCGAAGGAGACGCCGTGCGCATGGGCAGGACGCTCAAGAAGTGGCAACTGGGGCGACAGGATCGTGTGGACAAGGTGCTGGAGCTGAATGACAAGCTGAACAAGAGACGACTGCCGGATGCAGGCGGGGCGGGTGACCTTGAGCCATTTGACCTGGACTGGCTGTATGGAGTGGATTTTGAAGACCTGATCGCCGAATGGGCGAGTTGATTGGTTTCCTTGAGCGTTGCTGTACTCACGAATGCCCCTTTCTCTTTTGTGTTAGCTTTTTGAGACCTGATTATCACCCAATTCGATGGAGATTCGCAATATCTGATGCCAGTATGGCTTGTTGTATATACAACATGTATCGTGCAAAGTCGCAAAGGGCTCAACACTGCGCTTGCAATCATCATCAGACCATATCACACGACGCAGCACACGCACCTTCACCACTCTATTTGCATCTTTGCATCACGTCGTCATTCAAAGCATTATCTTTCTACACCTTCCCGGAGCAGGGTCACCAGCGCCCAAGCCTCCCATTTTATAGAACCCCGTAGCTGAAAAGAAAGAAGAAAAGACGAAAGGCAATCCACGCTTCTAGTATTATTCCTAGTCATCTACTCGACCAGATAGTTGTCTGCTGCGGACTTGACGTCCTTGGAGAAAGTCACCTCCTCATTTTCTTCAATCAGTGAAACAGAAGTGACCTAAGGGGGGAATTCATTAGCAACAAGCATTCATCCGGGAACCAAAAGTAGCAAACTTACATCGACATCCACAAACGGCGTTGACTTGTTGAAACGAACAGTCATAGGGAAGAAATCATTTTCGTCATTAGTCTCTGCTTCGAACTCGAACGATCCGTTGGGGTTCTCGTCATCGACAGAGCCAATGTTCCACTCCAGTGTGTCTCCAGACACCTCATAAGCGGCGTCGAAGCTAGAAACGACGGGCTCGTTTCCCTGGTAAGGAATGACAACGCTGACATCGCGCAGGGCATCGCCGCCCGTCAGTTCGTACTCGACCGTAATGTTGTACTTGTCGGAATCCTTGTTGATCCAGACAGTAAAGGTAATGGGGCAAGCGCTCGCGTCGTCCACCTTTGGTGTAGCCCTCCATCGCAGAAGCCCGACGCCTTGGTTGACAGGGAAACCTCGAGCCGTGTTGCTCATTTGGATAACCTTGGTGCTGTTAAAGAGGTTGCGGTCGACATTGGGGTGAGGCCTGAATTGGGCACCATGTGACGGGACGGCGTGCAGGCCGAGCTTGATCTTTGTGAGGCTGGGATCTGAAACCCGCAGCGTGAGATCTCCGTTGACTGAGATGGAGTTGACTGCGCCTTCTCTCGAGAGCTTGGCGCTTATCGTCTCGGCAATCGTGACATGGATGGCATCCCGGTCCAGCGTCGATGAAATCCGCGGCTCCGGTTCGGCAGCGACCGCAGCATGTGCATGTGTGGGCGTAATGAGAGGAGCGTCGTCGGCACCGGCGCCAAGGTCTCCCCGGACCTTTTCGAAAATGTCGGTAGTCTTTGACTTCTTGCCAAGCTGCATTCCCTTTGCCTTGAGCGTCGTCGGCCTTGAGAATGGGTTAGCACCACCGACTGACAGGAGACATAATCTTGCACTGCGTACTTATTGAATGTCTTGTTCTTCTCGGCCTCGTATGAGTCGAATGCGCTTGCGCTTGGCTGGGAGGGAGGGGTGTAGGTAGGGTAGACGGGTGTCCGTGGAGCAGCGGCAGGGCGGCCACTTCTGGCGGACTCCTTGCGCTGCATTTCCAGCTGCTTCGCCTTTCGTTTGCGCTCCTCTGTAGCCTCGAGCTCTTTGTTCTGTTTGAATGTAAGCAATGGGTCGTGTCGCCGTAGCGCCGCAGCAATTGGAGCCATACCCGTGCAATAATCTCCTGGATGCGCTCCTCGTGACTCTCCATTTCCAGGAAGGTCCTGATCTGGCTGATGGTCAGGTTCTCCCGGTATCCCAGAGTGACCAGCTCGTCAAAGGCGCTGAGCAGCTCGTAGGCATTGCGGACAATCTCCCTCTCGTCTAGCGTCTTGCAGGTGCTGGAGACGACCTGGGCGAACAGGTGCAGGGAATCGATGTCTTGGAGGATGTTGGACTGGCGGTTGGTGATGAGCACCATGTACAGCTCGTCCAGCGGCTGGTAGACGAATCGCACGTTGTCCTGCTCGACGATGGTGTGCTGGGTGCCGCTGTCTGCCAGCTTGGGGAACGACGCAAGCAGGGCCTCGATGCGGGATCTAGGCATCTCCCGGAACTGCCTCGAGAGGACAGCTTTCCCGCCTCGGGTGCAGATTGACGCCGCAAGAACAACCTGACGACACGCTGGTTAGCCCTCAGTGATACCGACGGGGAATTGCGGGTGTTGGTCCGCACCATTTTGGCAGTGTCGTGCGCTGGAGAGAAGTCCGGTCGGAGAGAGAGGGAGGCCTTGGTGGGATGCTCAGATGGGTTCAATTGAGCCACGTCTAACTCAGGAGCTGGATGGCTCTCAGTGACAAGGCTGCTGCTGCTCCAGAAGCGCCGTCACGTGCTGCGCCAGTGGAGGGGCCTTCGTTAAGGTACTGGATGCTTATGTAAGACTCCGTACAGTTTGACATGACTTTGTTACTGTGCTTGAAGGAGGTAGTCGTTGACTTCCTGAATGGTCAATACCTCTATGTATGACAATAAAGCAACCAATTTTGCATCTTATGATGGCCTTGCTTCCACCATGTGATTCCTCTCCAGCGCCTCAATCTAGAGATAGTTGGTGTCATGAGCGATACCAGCAAAGAGCACAGGCACCGTCTTCTTCACTTCATAAGCACTGTCTACGCTAAGCCGCTCTTGATCTCTACTCGCTATTCACGTGTGGGCCAGCTAAGCTCCTCTCAGCTTCCAAAGCTGCCTTCGAAATCCAAAAGTCGCCGCATCCATCAGCTTCATCAGGCTTCACTCTTCGCCTTCCATCTGCCGCGCCTGCGATCCATCACCCTCTGCTCAAGCTCCGGACGACGCGTTTCTCGTGTCGCCTGATCTGAAACTGCCTCTTACTCTTCTCCTACCATCAAATGTGTCTCTCCCCTGTCCTCAGCCACCAAACTGCAGACACAATATCGCGAGTGGTGTAACGTTGGCCATCCAGCATTCATCTAGCCTCTCGACTGAGCGCAAGGCGGCCTCTTTTATTCCTGATCTTCTTGGACCAGTCCCTCACAGAAGCATCTACCCTCTTGCGAACCGATCAAACGCCAAAACACGCCGGGTGAGCGTTTGCGACAGACATCCGACATTCACGCTCTTGCGTCACAAGCCATGGCCGAAATAGAGATGGATGTCGATTTGGCGCCGTCGATCCATATCGACGAGCACGCTGACGATGATCTCATCGACTACGACATCGATACGACCGAAGACCACACCCACGACCCATGGCCATCCCACCATGATGAGCAAACCTCCAATGCGCCAGAGAATGTGAGCTCGATCGAAGAACATGTAGGTATCGATTCGAAAAACACCGAAGCTGGATACGAGGAGGTCCAAATCCAATATACAGAGGAACAACATCTTCAGGTCAACCATATTCGTTTTCCTGATGATAATGTTGACGAAGCACATGAGCAGCCAAAAGCAGCTGTCACAGTGTACGAGGAGGAGATCATCACTCTAGAGGAGGAGGAGCCAAAAGATGCCCCCGTCACTGAAACCGAACATGCCGCAGATGAGATTGATTACGAAGACAACGATGTTACTGTGACACAGGAGTCACCAAACAAGCTAGAGGAGGCAGAGGACCATGTGCACGACATCGTCGCTGCAGACGACGTTGCCGCCGCGGAGCCTGCCATGGCAGAGCCCTCCAGTCTTCCACAACCAACGGAACAACCGGCTGGTGATGCCGAGGTGCCAGAGGCAGCGGCTCAAGATGATGAAGATGAGATAACCTGGGAGCACGAGTATGATGAGAAGGGAGCTGCTGTTGAGGCTCCCACTGAGGCTCCCGCTGAGGCTCCCGCTGAGGCAACCACTCAGGAAGCAGTTCCACAGAACCGCGCTGAGTCCCAGAGCAGTGATTCACACGAGCACGTGCATGAGCCGCACACCAATGCTACCGAGACCGATTATGAGGACACTGCAAAGGAGGCCTCAGCAGAACAAGAGTCTGTGGAGCATCAGGAAGATGACTCGCGATCGCAGCCAGAGGAGTCAAGTCCTGGAGGAGAAGACGAATTCCCTCCAATCACTGTGCATTACAAAGGGAGCGAATATTCCTTCTTCTCCCACAAAAAGACGGAAGGCTTCTTTTCCGACGTATCCGTGCTGGATCAGTCGATGGAGTCGCTGCTCGCTGGCTTTCGAGCGGAGCTGGAAAATGAGATTGCTGCACATGATGAACTTGTCTTTCAGGTTGATGAACTTGGGCTCGAATTTGCAGAGGTATGCGTGAATCTCCGGCTTATTTATCGAACTTGGGAGCGGACTAACGGTGCCACAGGCCACAATCCAGAACTCACTCGCAAGCATCACCTTTCGACAAGTGTTGGAAGTGTTTGACTTGCTCGTAAAAAATCAAGATCCCGACAGTTCGCGCACTCTGTACACATATCTCTTCACCAAGCCAAACCCTAGCAAACGTTTCGAATTTCTGGTCGAGAGCGCGGCCGCTAGCAAAGGGCTTGATGAAGTGATTTATCTGTTCGAGTCTCCTGCAGGCCACCCTCATCAGACAGCCACCGAGGCTGATGACGGAGATGACTACGAACACGACGAGGACAGTGAAGCAAACGAAGCCGCCGAGGCTCATGAGAGCGCCGAGGATGGTGATGAGCATGACGAGGAACATGGCGATGTCGATGCTGACACTGAAGAGTCCCAAGAGTCAGAAGAAGACGAGGGGGAGGAAGAGACCTCGGCCGTGGAAGAACAGCGTGCCGACAATGCAGACCAAGATGATGAAGAAGACGAAGAAGAAGAAGAAGAGGAGGAAGAGGAAGAAGCTGAAGAGGACGAGGAAGATGAGGATGAGGCTGAAGACTTTATGGAAGACGTTGAAGATTTCAACGGAGAAGCCGAGGAGACTGCGAACCAGGACGAGGGAGACTACAGTGATGGTGGGGATGGGGGCTATCAACATGAACAGCTTCAGGCCGTGGTTGTAGAGGCAGCGGGCCATTCCGATTTCCCACATGCTAATGCCGAAGCCAAAGAGGCACCAGACGCCACATATTCATATGGTAAGACCCTCGACGGAAAGACGCTTCATTTGTCAAGTGCTAACGGACCACGCCTAGATGATGCAGAGGAGGATGCCGACGCCAATCCGTTCATACACGCCGAGCTTCAGGAGTCCGCAGGAGATAACGGAGGCGAAATCCAGTTTGAACAGACTGTGCCTGCGGAAGCCGGCGAGAAAGTGTCACAGGAGATGCCCATGCAGTCCATCGACGATTACATCGACGCCAACGAGGCCGACACCGGTACGACCAACACCCTAGCTGACAATGGCGAAGGCATCTCTACGCTTCTGGATATGGGCACCGTGCAAGACCTAGAGGAAGAGATCACAAACGAGGATCTAGCCTTTGAGGACGAGATGCCCGAAATTGACTGGAGAGATGACGTGGAGGTGGCCAAGGACGCCAGCAGCGCTATGCCCACGACAACCACTGGCCTACCGAAACGGCGGCGTCCCGAGGAGGAGCAGGACGAAGCAGACGAACAAGGTAAGCTCAACGCCGCACATCTCGATGAACAGAAGAGCTAATTGTCTTGTAGACGCCAAGCGCCTCCGGTCATGAGTGTCCATGCTCACTTGGACTAACGACGACTACCAAACAAATTTCCCCTAATCTTTCATGTCTCATGGCCACATCTGGATAACTCCTGAGAGGTCGAGCTGGCCTGTCTAATGTAACGGAATACTAACCACAGCCAACAGCGTGACGTATCATGTTCTTTCAACAAATAATCGACATGACCTCGGATACTCTAAAAATTTCTCGACAGTCTTTTGGAGAAGGCAAATTCCAGGTAGGAACCCAACGGCTTTACTAACAGCGCGACATGACGACTATGTAGCTGCAGACGACTTAATCTCTGGGTCGGCCAGTGACGACTTCTACCAGGCTCTTTATCTCTTTTCTCTTTTCTTCTCTTTCATTTCCCCCATCTCTTTTCCTTTCATTTCTTTCCATTTCCCCCGCTTGGTTTGTCTGTTATTCTCTTCCCCTTTGGAGTTGGAGGCTTGATACCATGTTTTCTCTGTTCAAGGGCCAGGCTAGTATCTGGTGAGGGCCTCAGAGCTCGACTTGAATTGCTAGAGAAAAGGGATAGACGATTTTTTTTACGGATGCAATACGGACGCATTCTGGGAAGGAAAAGGTATGCGAAGTGAAGGAATTACGCCGGTTGATTTTTCTTGGAGATTGGGCTCCCCCGTACAACAAAGGTGAAGTATGTCTGCACATAGATTTCGCTAGCTCTACGGACAAAGACCGAGGTCTCTGTTGCACATGTCTTCAGCACGTATCTACTATACCTAAGGTACCCTATCGACTTGGGAAAATGGCCACTAGATTTGAGCTTGTATCCGGTGCGACGCCGTGATGTTTTGTTTCGTCTGTTGATTCTTCTTGGACTTGTTGGTTCTTCCCGGTCGTTGACCTGGATATGGTGGAAGCCGAAGCAAATGAAAACTTGGGAATAGCAAAGCCATATAGAGGTCAGTATCATCGCCGTCTTGCAGCAGGTCACGGGATTCCCGCAACCAGCGCCTCATCAATCCGACGTGGTGTAGTGGCTAGCATACTGCGCTTTCATAACGAGAGCACCGCAGCGATCCGGGTTCGACTCCCGGCGCCGGAATGTTTCTTTCTTTTTTTTTTTGCGTAAAGCCACGTCGTGTGGTAATCAGAATCAGATCGAGATGGGAATCAAGAGGTCTCGGACGGACATCAGACTCAGATCGAGATGGCGCGATTTACAGGGTCCTGGCTCGCTTTAACTCGCTTTTTCTCCTATCCTTTTGTATGTTCTCTCGACAGGAAAAGAGGGTAGCAACCGGAAACTTGGTAACACCCGCTTCCATCGTCCATTGTGCCTGGCAACCTGGAGATACTATCAAGGCTTCAAAAAGGGTCGCAGTTCGTACTGTGTGCGCTTTGTTTCATGTTTGCGCGTCCCTGCTCCACTTATCCAGGGGTCCATTTTCGGCGCCCTTTTGCCCTTGATTTTTTTAGTCCGCAACGGTTTGACTGGCCCGGGACAAGGAGGGCGGTCCCCTAATTGTGATGTGAGGCAGAGAGCAGGTCGATCATCGTCTCGGCACTGTGCCAAAGCCTTGGAAGCGCTTGGATGGGGGATCCACTGGGCATGATTCAGTTGTGCGGATGGAGAGAGATGCTGTGATATCATATGAGTGAAGAGAGGAGATGACGACCAAGGAGACTGAAAGGTGCAGCATAGTTGTATGTACTATGACAGATGTGATCAATAAGAGAACAAGACGCTCCGTCAGGTTTCGCGATACCACTGGTGATTGGTATTCTGCGGTGCTTAGCACGCTCGTAACAGATCAAGTGAACCATTTGTTGGGGCAGTGAGGCGCAGCAAGTTCGTGTCTTAGACGAACAAGTATTACCTTATCCGCCAGTCTCGTGATACTAGTGTGCGAACATGTGAGTGAGATGAGGTGAGGCGTCATGCTGGGACGGGCCCTGGCTCGACGCTTGCACTATTTTAAGAAGAAGAAGGGATTGCTTACATTGGACTCCATCCCCGTGCGTGCTCAACTGCTGTTCCTGTTGAGCATTTCCAGACGCCAAAACAGCTCAAGCTTCAAGTGCATCCATCCGAGGATCCCATCTGTTGCCATCAACAGACGCTCCACCTGTGACGAGCTGACCAATGACTGCGCAAGGCCGCTCGTTCGGATCGCGCTCTTCTCGGGGAACAAAATCGAGTTCGGGTGCGTCGCGCTTTTCATCAAGGTGTGCTTTGTGACTCGGCCCATCGGAATTCGATCTGGTCTGTTGTTGTTATCAGGCCCCTTGTCTCGCGCCGCTGCAAGGAGGGAAGGGAAGGGAGAAAAGGGAGGGAAGATGCCACACGCGTTGTAATAAGAGTGCTTGTCTTTTGGAGGCACCGTAATGCTGCACACACGATGCCACGTTAGCATGCAGGGCAGCGTGCAAAGAAGTCGGTAAACTTTTCAGAGATGAGGTTGGAGGCAGCCAAGCAACATCTCCATCGTGTCCTGCTAGTCAAGATGCAGTAATATACACGACACGACACGAGGCGGTGCGGCCACGCCAGCGAGATCTCCAGCCTTGCCGTAATGAACAAACAGCTTGAGCTCGAATGAACCAGGACAGGCCAGACACGAGCCTGCAGCGTCCAGCCAGGGATTCACGTTGGAGGACCGCTGCGATCCACCGACGTTGCCCATCTTGAAGCAAAGCATCATTTGCTCTGCTTTGCAGCTGGGCTGGGGCCGGGGATTTGATGGGGACTGGCCGAGGCTTGGATTGATTGACTGGGGTTTGTTAATATACTAGCAGACAGAGAGGGCGAAGTGGGAAGAAGATGCATGCGTGTGATGATGCCGCGCAAGAACGACGGGCAAGAAGCCTGCTAGTGTCGAGGGCGAGTATGGGTACCCGCTACCTGCACTTGCACGTGAAAATGTCCTAGAGCCGGGTATCCGCTACGCAGCAGCCTATCTCCCCGCCCTGTGAGAAGCGCAGCACCCTCGCCCGCTAGCCCCTCAGGTACCCGTCCCTCCAGCCTAGCGCTGTGCTCCAGGGCCTTGCGCCTCTGTCGTGGCCCGCCGAGCCCGCTGAGGCCGATGCCGCCGCGCTGGACACGCACTGCAGCGCGCTGGTGAGACACGCAGCCCAGCACTCCATCAGTCTGAAATGCCCCAGCGCTCCGGTGCCCACATAATACATGCGCTGCACTGTCAAGCAAGTACCGCATACTTGCCTTACCTCATAACGCACCCTCTCGATCAAGTCCTTGTTCGCCCCCCCAAAAAAAGAACCGGCGCCACCAAGAGCCAACTGGAACCTCTAGCCAGACTGCAATCCAATCAGTCCAGCTCGAGCCCATTTGATCAGAAAAATCTCCAATAACCCACAAGCCACCACCGAGGACAGCCGTGATACGTTCCTTTTTCCCTTCCTCGACACTCGTTCTTTTCTCTCCCTCACTTTTGCACCCCTCCTCGCCAGATCCCTTTTTTCCTTTTCCCCCTCCCCTTTCCTTTGGGACGACTCGGCGTTGCGTCTGTGCTGCGGTTGCATCTTGACCTTTCTTTGACATCTGCTGAGACGGAATTGGACGAGCCAGTCAGAGGGCAGCCGGTGCGACACTGAGGACAGACAAACGGCAGCGATCCTCGTCTCCTCTGCTCCCTCCCTTGCGACCACGACACGACACGACACGACGGAGAAGCGACACGACAGCGACTGCAACAGCGTCGACGACGACATACTGCGAGCCTCGTTCCTTTGATAGGCCTGATCTGACGATTTTCGCCATCTTCTTACTACTACTCTTTCCACTTCATCTCGGCTCCCCCGCCTTCGAGTTGCCGCGATCCGATCGAGCAGCCTCGTTATTTTCTTCCGTCTTTCCCTTCCCTTTCGGCGTCACTCATTCGCTACCATTTGTCCTTGCGCACGCTCTTTTGACCCCGTTCGCGACGTTTCCTTTTTCTGAGGAGTCCAGCGACATCACACGTCATTTGCCTCCTGCCTCTGCGGCCGTTTTGCGCGCGCCAGAAACCACTCCTTCATCATGATTGAGGACAAGTATGTTGCGCTCCCCAGAGGAGGCCTCTTTCACGTCGAGAGGGGCTGTATCATGCTGGAAATTTGTCCCGCTGACTCTCGTCGTGTGCAGATACATCGGCCTGGCGTTGGCCATGTCATCAGCCTTGGCCATTGGTAAGTCCTTCTCGCCTCCCCTTTGCCTCTTTGGCTTTGCGACGTGTTCGTGCTGACTCTTTTGTCCCTTCAAGGCACCAGTTTCGTCATTACCAAAAAGGTTAGAGACCAACCACTGCTACTACGACGGCTCAGCTTGACGATGCCTCGGACCACTGAACCGACGGCGGGAACCTTGTCTGCTGACACTCTACACAGGGATTGATGCAAGCCGAAGAGCGACACGGATTCGAAGGCGATGGATTCGTATATCTGAGAAGCCCCTTGTGGTGGGCGGGTATTGCAACTCGTGAGCACTGAAGCCCCTCTGGACCCTCTTCCCGCACGCCTTCTAATGTCTTTCTTCTTCACAGTTGGCATCGGAGAAATCTGCAACTTCGCCGCCTACGCTTTCGCACCGGCCATCCTGGTCACGCCCCTCGGAGCGCTCAGTGTCCTGATCGGCGCCGTGTTGGGATCATACTTCTTGGACGAGGAGCTCGGTACACTCGGGAAGCTGGGCAGCGCAATTTGCCTCATCGGCGCCGTCGTCATTGTTCTGCACGCTCCTCCCGACGAGGAAATCCAGACGATTGATCAGATTCTGCACTATGCGATCCAGCCAGGCTTTCTCCTGTACGCCTTTGCTGTCGTGGCATTCGCAGTCTTCATGATTTACCGCATCGCACCCGTCTACGGCAAGCGAAACGCCCTCATCTACCTCTCCATCTGCTCTACCGTCGGATCCATCTCCGTCATGTCCGTCAAGTCGTTTGGCATTGCGCTCAAGCTCACATTCGCCGGCCACAACCAATTCACGCATCCTTCGACCTACGTCTTCATGATTCTTACGGCGGTCTGCATCCTTACTCAGATGAATTACTTTAACAAGGCCTTGGCATCCTTCCCGACCAATATGTAAGTTGCGATTTCTCTTCTCCCAATTCTATCATATAGGTATCCATACTGATTCAGAACTGCAGTGTGAATCCCCTCTACTACGTCACATTCACTACCGCGACTCTCTGCGCCTCCTTCATCCTCTTCAGCGGCTTCAACACCACCGATCCTGTCAACACACTTTCATTGCTCTGCGGTTTCCTTGTCACCTTTACCGGAGTCTACCTGCTGAACCTTTCCCGAGGCGACCCCCACGGGCAGAGGCTGGTTGCAGGACGTGGTGGCTTTGACGCTGCTGGAACAGATATGGTCTCTGGCTTCCAAACCCGCCGCAGCATGCAATCCCGGAGAAGCGAAAACACCTCGAGGCACAGTCTCAGCAGCTTTCACGGCGACAGACAGGGCCTGATCCGGGCCTACGACGAAGAGGAGGCTGCGGGTCTCGGCCTCACCGACCTTACCGAGAGCGACGACGAGGGTCTCATGAACGGAGCGAATGGGTCCAATGGCGCCGCCAACGGTTCAGCCAACGGCAAGAAGCAGTACACCAGCAATGACATTGAGCTGGAGTCTCAGAAGCATACCGAGAGGTAGTAGAAAGCTACTCGATCAATTTTCTTTCCTTTTCCAAATTTCCAAAAGACATGAGAGAGTCCAGAGTATGATGGATATACCCGCGAGCCATTGCTATGCTTCTCTTGTGTGATGAAAAAATCTCAACAGCCGGCCTCGGAGGGTCGGCCAAATCTGTATATTTGCCATGCACCGTCGTTTTCTGATAAAAACGAAGAAAGGCGAAAAGACGAGGGTCCCATCGCGTATGCAGGTCTCAGCTACTGCAAGTTCGCCACACAAAATCACGAATACGGCAAAAGGGAAGCGGAGAGTTGGGCCCAGGTGGCTTAACATCCGACATGACGTTACTCTTCTCTCCTCTTGTTCCCTTGTCTCGTCCCCTTTCTTTTCTCTATATCACTTTGCTTCTCGAGCCCTCCTGACTTGACAAGGTGTCATTTGTCACGAACGGGAGCCAAAATTTGCTGCGGCTGCAGCCTTGTGCATGAAAAAAGGGAGGCGGGGTTCCGGAACTCTTTGTTTTCTCCTTTTCATACCATATCACTTTTTCGGGGGGACGGGCGTTTCTGTGTATGTGGGATCACCATTGTGGAATTCCATCAACATCTTTTTTTTAACGGTAAACATGACTGAATCGGAAAGGGAACTGGATTTGAAAGCATGCTCCTGTTGTACGATATCTTGGGTTGGTTTGCATTTTCTTTCCTTGATTCTAGGGGAAGATGTTTTGACGGTGTGAGTGAGAGATAGAAAAAGACGAGGAGACTTGAAAGAATGCGGGCCATTGTATGGTCCTTTGGAAAAGAAAAAGAGCGAGAGACAAGCGATGGGGGGAGCATGTTCCCTTGTGAGTGTGTGAGAGAGAGTGATATATACCACACAGGCTGGTAATGGCCTATAACAACCGATTTGTTTTCTCCTTTTTTTCCCTCTCTACGCCATACCATACCATATCTTGTTTTAATTGTTTTGTTTACAGATTTTACTATTTTTAATGACAGCTCATCATCATCATCACAGCGGATACCAGCATATATAGACAGACAAGAGAGTCGGTGTTTAGCCATGAAGTTTTTTTGTTTTTGTTTCATATCATTAAAGATTCAAGGAAAAACAAGGACGGAACCTTTTTCCCATGCCCCTTTAGCAGATGCAAATGATCAATTGACGCCTTAAGTTTGACCGCCATCCCTTTTGCCCTGTGGCTTGATATAATCATCATCACCCTCTCCTCCCTCTCAAGCTCGTCCACAAAGACCCAGGTTTTCTTTTGCCCGCTCTCGGTAAGGACCCCTTTGCTAAAACACACACAAGACAACACCCTTTTCACCAATCAGAGCCGGGACCATCCTACTGCTCCTCGGCAGCGGGCTGGGCCTCCTCCGCGGCGCCCTCCTGCTCGGCAACGCGGATGTCCTGGCTGCCCTGGGCGACGGCCTGGGCGGCCTTAGCGCCGTAGTCCTGGCTGACGGGCTGGAGGACGGCCTGCTCCTCCTTGGGCTCGATGATGGTGACGGCGTCAGGGAGGGACTTCTGGGGGCCGGCCTTGCCCTCGGGGTCGGAGCCGCGCATGATCTTGACCTTGATGCCGAGGACGCCCTGGCGGAGCAGGACGTGGCGGGTGGCGCTGTCGATGAAGTCCTTGGCCGGCTGGCCGGAGTGGATCATGAAGCCGTCGGTGAACTTCATGGACTTGGCGCGGGCGGCGCGGAGCTTGCCGGAGACGACGACCTCGCAGCCCTTGGCGCCGGACTCCATGATGAAGCGCAGGACGCCGTAGCAGGCGCGGCGGACGGCCAGGCCGTTGAGCAGCTTGTAGCGCAGCGACTCGCACTGGGCGACGGCGGACAGGCCGCGGTTCTGGACCTTGGCGGCGTACAGGGAGACGGAGTTCTCGGGGAACTTGAAGCGCTTCTGGATGAGCGACGTGAGCTCGCGGATGCGGCGGCCCTGCTCGCCGAGGACCTCCTGCGTGTGCGTGGCGCGGACGATGATGTCGGTGACGGTGGGGGTGACGCGGACCTCGACGCCCGAGTAGCCCTCCTCAGCGAGCTCGCGCTGGAAGAACTCGTTGAGCTCGGCGTAGAAGACACCGTCGGCGACGAACTTTCTCCGCTTGGAGCTGTTTGGGGAGAAGATGTTTTGTTAGCAGGCTTGCCTAACGATGTGACATCAAAGTTGTGTAGTCGTGATGGTAGTGATGGTGGTGATGGTGGTGTCTTTCCAACAGCGTAGATTCCTTGCTCCCTGCTTGGGCCTGGTTTCCTCCCAGCAACGTATCAATTCCTTCGTCCATTCCCTCCTCTTCCTTTGTATTCCCCCAAGATATCGGTTCGACGCCATCACCACCATCAATCCCAACACCACCACCACAGAGAAAAAAGAATCGACGACAAGGGTTCTGTGTATCGATATCAAACACCATGGGGAAGGGGAAGTTTTCCTGCACTCACATCTGAGCACCCGGGTGAGACATGTTGGATGATGTGTGAATTCGAGTCTTTCTGACTTGAACTTGTGGTGCTTTGTCTGGCCGTGCAGAGAAGAGGGACAAAAGTTCGCGATTTCCAAGGGCTGACGGGCTTGGGGGCTTGGGCGAGAGGCTTCAAGTCACAGAGTCGCAGGCGGTTTGGCGCTTCGCAGGGTCAATTTTCGGCTTGTGTGGGTTGAGCCCTAACCGGGACAAAGTGGTTCTTGTGCCGAGTTGGAAAGTGGGCTAAAATTGTTCCTGTTCTTCTTGACTGGGATTTTTTTTTTTGGTTTCGCTCGCGCTAAGCGGTACGTACCTAGATCTATCTCATCGAGCCCGGAGAATCAGTTCTGGCGTCCTCCGGCCATGCGTCACATGCACCCAAGCTCGCACCTTCCTCCAAGACGCTGGGCCCGTAAGCTGCTGTGGCTCCTTCCTCAGCGCAATGGCCGCGCCTGACGTCTTTCGGGTTCCCTGGCAAACCCCCCCCCCGGCAGGTGCCCCGCCAGCACCTGCCTGAAGCCTCGACCTTGAACCTTGTGATGCCGCTTTGAGCTTCGTGACGACGCCTCTCTCCTGATCTACCTGTACTTATTATGCACTCTGCCTCGGGACAAAGACTCGCCTGCACTTCTTTGTCCTGCACCCGCCGCAGCCTCGTTGGCGACCCGAACCAGAGGCAGCAATGACCTTCTCCCGCTCTTCCGTTTGGTGATTTCTGTCTCCGTTTGGCGGCCCAGACAAAGAAACGGCCGCAGATCCTGTGAGGTTGGCCTGTGATTGTGGCTTGCGATTTCGCATTTCAAAGCGACCACGCATCGCCGCTTCTGCTCTCGCTGTTGGGCCCCCCAAGACACAGAGCCTTGCGATACATACACCCACTTGTGCCTAATCGCAGCATCGTACGGCCGCATATCAACGAAGTCCGCCAACTCCGCGTCAGAGTCAGGGTCGTATCGCATCAGCTGCTTACACCTCCCGGCCTGAGGGGCTCATCACGATGGAAGCCAGGAAGGTATGTGCTGTCGCGGCACAGCTCTCATGCGTCTCAGCTTCCCCTCGGAGACCCAACTTGAGTCGCAAGTCCTGACATCATGGCTATACCCCTCCAGATCATCGAACATGTCCAGGCCATCAACGGCGGCCAGACGGCCACCGGCACGCTGACGCTGACCGACTTCCACATGATCTTCACCGCGATCATTGAACAGCCACCTCAAGACGGCCAGGAGTCGACTCCTCCGCCTCCGCCAAAGAAGCGCGAGAAATGGATCACGTACCCGATGCTCTCCCATTGCACGTTCCGGCCGACGCCTCCATCGTCCCGCCAGGCACCGTCAATACGCATCCAATGCCGAGACTTTACGTTCATCACGTTCAACTTCCCCACCACCGAGGTGGCGCGCGAGGCCTATGAACATATCAAGTGTCGCACTTGCAAGCTTGGCACCGTCCAGAACCTATTTGCCTTCAGCCATAAGCCGCCCAAGATGGAGAAAGAGGTCAACGGCTGGAAGCTCTACGACCCCAGAGCAGAGTTTCGTCGCCAGGGCATCAGCGAGAAGCTGCCGGACAAGGGCTGGAGGATCACCAACATCAATCAAGACTACAGTTTTTGCGACACCTATCCGGCCGTTCTCGTTGTGCCGTCCAAGATTTCCGATAATGTTCTCAAATATGCCAAGGAGTTCCGGTCCAGGAACCGAATCCCCGCCCTCTCTTACATCCACCCGGTCAATAACTGCACCATCACGCGGAGCTCTCAGCCGTTGGCAGGCATCACCAGGAGGACCAATGTCCAAGATGAAAAGCTGGTAGCTGCTTCTTTCTCGGCTTCGACTGGTAACGGAGGCTCAGAAGACTCGTCACCAATGTCGAGTCAGGCAGAGGTATCCAACGGCAGCGTCATGCTGGAGACTCAGTTGACGGAGACGGAACGATACGAAGATGAGCTTATTTCCAGGTCTGCTGCGCTCTACGATGATAAGACCGGAAAGCGGCTCATCTACGGCGCTCAGCAGAACAACCTCATCGTTGACGCCCGTCCGACTATCAATGCCATGATGAATCAGGTGCAGGGGATGGGCTCGGAGCCGATGGACAAGTACAAGTTCGCGCAAAAGGTCTTCCTCAACATTGACAACATTCACATCATGCGAAACTCCCTGCTCAAAGTGGTGGAGGCGCTCAAGGATGCCGACCTGTCCCCTCTGCCCCCTAACCGCGATCTACTGCATCAGAGCAACTGGCTAAGGCACATTCACGATATCCTCGACGGCTCGGCCCTTATTGCCCGCCAAGTTGGCATCAAGCACTCACACGTCTTGATTCACTGCTCAGACGGCTGGGATCGCACCAGCCAGCTGAGTGCCCTGGCTCAGGTCATGCTGGACCCCTACTATCGCACCATTGACGGCTTCATCGTCCTCGTAGAGAAGGACTGGCTGTCTTTTGGCCACATGTTTAGGTTACGCTCAGGCCATCTTAATTCCGAGGATTGGTTCACCGTACAGAAGGATGCGTTCGCCGGTCTTAAGGTGCAGCCGGGGGAGAGCGATGGACGGAGCGACGCTTTTCAAAACGTTCTCAGCGGCGCCAAGCGCTTCTTCAGCTCAAATAAAGACGACGCCGACCTCGCCACCATGGGCGAGACCGCCAGCGGCCAGGTGGTGGACGAGGAAGCCACCGTGCCGAAGATGATCAGTCCGGTTTTCCACCAGTTCCTCGACTGCATGTACCAGCTGCTGCGGCAGAACAAGACGCGCTTCGAGTACAACGAACGATTCCTCCGCCGTCTAATGTATCACTCATACTCGTGCCAGTACGGTACCTTTTTGTACAACTCGGAGAAGCAGCGAAAAGAGGCCCGAGTAGCAGAGAAGACATCATCGGTGTGGGACTACTTCCTCTGCCGAAGAGCTGAATTCACCAATCCCGACTACGACCCGACAATTGACGATCATGTCAAGGGGAAGGAGCGCATCATTCTGCCGCGTCTTGACGAGATTCGTTGGTGGCATCAGCTGTTCGGCCGGACCGAGGACGAAATGAACGGTGCGCTCAACGCCGCGGCCATTGCGGAAAGCGACCGGCAGGCTGCCGTCTCGAGCCTCCACTATCCCAGCGTTGCCCGGGCCGAGGAGGCGCCAGAGACGACGACATCGTCGGCCTCGAGTCCACGACCACCCAGTTTGTCAACCAGCCAATCGGTGCTCACGTCAGTCGAGACTGCGCACGGCATCCTGACGCCCGAAGACAGGCATGCCGCGCTGCAGCACAGCGCGTCTGCCGATGGGATAGGCGCGTTTGCCGCCCTTCGCGACGGCATCGCCGGTCTCAACATTGGCAAGGCTGTCATGTCCAACTTCGGCCGTGCCGCCGAGCCCGTTGCTGAAAGCTCGACTCCAGCCCCCATTTCTCGCGAACAAGAGATGCGGGAGATGACGTAGGAGGTCATGTTTGCAGACGAGGTCGCGCAGCCTTATGTGGTTATGGAGACGCAAAACACCAAGCGCCTTGTGTACGTTCGGCCGCGTACCATTTCGGAGATTTCGGTTGTTGATATTGGGCCTTCAGAGCTGGATGACTATAGCCCTGAGCGAGAAGTCAAACCTGGAGAAGCGTTATGGTTTTCAGGATTTCTGCCTCAGCTGCCTCGGCAAGAACTGTGGAACCCGCATCATTGAAAAGTTGCGACTGGAATTGGTTTGAGCATGGTCATGTATCAAGGGGTTCGTCTGGCTACAAGAGAAGTCAAAGGATGCTTTTTGAGCAAAGGATAGACAATCATGACGCTTTCACGTCCTTATTCATGAAATGTTGGTCGAAGCCAGATTTTGGCTACAATTGGCTATTAGAAACGTTGTCATGGGTGGTAATACCGTTGGAGGGAGAGTTGAGAGAGTCTGCCGGTCGAGCAGAGGCGCCAGCCATCAGCGAATCATGAGAACCTCGAACAATAGGGTGAGGTAGATGGAGAGATTGGTATTAGCGATTGCTTTTAGAGCGTGTTTAGGAATGTTGACAATACTGTTTGAGTGCAATTCATTGATAGTTTACTGCCTACTACCTAAGTAAGTTATATCTATGTGTTATTGTAGTCATCAGGAGGCAGCCCCCCTTTCCATCTACCCTAGACTTGAACATGACATTTGCGGTTTTGGTTTGTTGCCACGGAGATCCTTTCATCTTACAATTCTGAATACGGACAATGTCATGTTTGACTTTGGAAAAGGCTTCTACTGCTTGGTTACTTTGTTGTTTCCTACCAAATCTACTTTATTCAGCTTTTTTCTTAACGCTCTCTTTAGCTGACAACCTCCAATGTTCCCGGTTTACGCTCTTGAAATGGTGTAGCTTTTTTGATGCGCGCATGTATGTAGCAGATTATAAGAAGACCTCTAGGTTAATCTCCAAAGTACTGACGGGGAATCTGTGCCATTCGTTAGCAGGTGGCGTGCATTTCAGCAGGGTGTCATCAAAATAGAGAAATGTGAAACGCACCTTAGATCAAACTTTTCCAACACAGAGGGATGCAGGATCCCAAACTCGCCAATGCGCTGCTCCTTGCCTCCCAGCCGGAGGTGGACGGCCGCCGCGTGCCCGTGGAAAAAGGTGTCCTCATTGAGCTCCTCGATCCAGTAGCCGTCGGGCTTGACGTCGGGGCTGCCGTCGCTGCCGGCGACAAAGTCGGTGCGCAGCATGAGCATGAGGCGGTCGAGCAGGCCGTGGACGACCTCGAAGCCGCTCGACTTGCCGCACCAGGCGGCGGCGAAGTGGCGCTCGTTGCGGGCGCGGCGCTCGGCCTGGCTGTCCTTGAAGACGACGTCGGCGGCCTCAAAGATCTTGATCGGCAGGCTGTGGCTCTTGTTCTCGCGGATCGTCTTGACGAGGCCGGGCAGCAGCGACGTCCGCACGACCTGGTACTCGAGCGTCTTGGGGTTGGCCAGCTTGACGACGGTGTTGCCGTCGTCCTTGCGGTTGAGCCAGGCAAAGTTCTCGTCGTGGCTGCACAGCGTCAGGGGCATCACCTCGCTCCAGCCGGCCATGGCGGCCTCGATGCGCACAATGTCGCTCAGCTTGTTGATGGGCAGGGGCGCGGCGACGGTGGCGCTGCGGTTGGGCGAGCTGCGCGGCAGCCGGTTGAAGCCGTAGCACACGGCCACGTCCTCCATGATGTCGGCCTGGTGCAGCACGTCGGCGCGGGTCGGCGGGATGGCCACCTCGAGCAGGTTCGCGTCCTTGTCCGACGGCCGGGCGACGTAGGCCATCTTGGACAGCAGCTGGCACAGGCTCTCGCGCGACTCGCTCAGGCCGGTGCAGCTGTTGAGGTAGTCGACCTCGGCGTGGGTGACGCGCGGGCGCAGATGGGGCGTGATGCGGGTCTGGTTGTTGTGGTCCGAGATGATCTTGACGGGCTCGACGGTGAAGGGCTCGGCGCAGTACTCAGAGAACATGGTGACCATCATGTCGGTGACAATGTCCAGCTTGGTGATGTCGGTGGCGGTGATCTCGATGAAGACATTTTTGGTGTTGAGCGTGATCTTGGAGTGGTCGCCGTTGATGATGGGCGGCAGCGAGCAGATGACCCGGTTGGAGTCGAGGATTAGGGGGTATACGGGGGCGTCCCGGATGATGTGCAGGTAGCGGCCCAGGTGGCGGTCGTTTTCGTAAAAGGTCATGAGCGTCTCGCCCGTCAGCTCCTGCGTCTGGTTGAGCGGGACGAACTTGAAGTCCTTGGGCGGCAGGGCCTCGTATGTGAAGGGGCCCTTGATGGTGTCGAGGTCGTGGGTGCCGATGGACACGAGCGTCCGCTGGCGGGCCAGGTTCTGGTGCAGCTTGTCCTGCAGGGCGATGAAGGACTCGTAGCGGTCCTTGGTGAAGGTGATGTTGCGCAGGATGGCGCCCGACACGTACGGCCGGACCTTTGCGACCTCGGGCGAGACGGTGATGGTCTGCAGCAGGCCGTCCTTGGGCTCTACGACGCGGAAGTTCGGGGGCTTCGTGCGGCCGAGGAAGATGTTGAGGTTGAGGGCGATGCCCTCGAAGCAGAGCATGTCATAGCGGTTGGCGGGAATCTCAATCTTGAGCTGCGGAGGCTCCTGCTCGCCGTTGACAATGGGCCGCTCCTGGTCTTCGGTGTCCTCGTCGAGCTCGATGCCGAATTCGAAGCAGAGGTCCTCAAACTCTGCCGTTGTGAATCTGTTGGTCAGAGCGTAAGCGATTGGCCATGACGAAGGTATACGGAGGTTGAATCATGTGTGATGATTCCGTGTATGGATTCTGCGATCGACGAGGGAATAGAGTCACATACTTGCGGCCGAGGGCCTCGTAAAGCTTGTACTTGTCGACGGAGATGGTCGGCATCGTGACAACGGGATTCGACTGCTGGTGATGCCGGAATTGCGAGTCGTGAGGGCTGTCTGGAGTCTGTCGCTTTGAGTCACAGGAATTTTTGGAGAGACGATGGCGGGGTGATAATGGTGGTGATAGCGGAACGATGCAGAGGGACCTGGCGGGCGGTGGAGCGCTGGGAGGAATGGCAGGTACCTCGCTAACTGACAGGCCCGGCGCTGCGCTTTTGCAGGTCCTGATATCGGCGGGGTGACGGAATATCGATGCTCCCTGTTCCCGCTGGGGCTTGTACTTGCTTGTACCGGCAGCCCCTTTCGCATGGAAGCCCAACTGTGAGGCTGGAATGCATCTGCAAGTGATGTCTTCTGACAGAGATACTGCGAATCACATGTAGAGAGCGTCTTGCTCAATAATGAAAGGCCAGAGCGTAGCAAAACATGAAGCAGCGGCTGATGGGCAAGTTATGATGGCAAACCAAGCTGTTTGGTGAAGCTTGCAATCACTGTACAGCGGCCACGAGCCTTCAAGGTCACCATTGGTGTTGCTGGTGCCTCAACATGATCCAATCTTTTTTCGATGCGTCATCAAATGAAATAATACTGCCTCTCATGATATGAGGCTGCTTCAGTAGAGCATAGGTACCTTACCATCTCTCTCGTCGATACAGTTCAGTGCTTCCCGTGTTCAAGAACCGTGCCTCGCAGTAACAACCTTGAAGTACCTCAAAGTACCTCGTCCAGCAAAGGGGCAAATTAGAGGAAAAAAGGACGCCTACAGGGGCTGCGGGTGGGGGAACCAGCGCCCAAAAGGTACAGGTATACCTCGTTGGCGGGGCACTCCATGTTAGTGCACACGCCGCAGCACCGGCACAACCACTAACACCGCGGCAGCTTGCCCAGCTGGTTGCCCCGGGTCGCTGCTACAAGCACTGAGCAGCGCTGGCAGCACCGCTGAGTCGCTGTCCAAACAGGCTGGGCTCCAACAGCTGAGCAGCTTCGTGTGCCTCTGCATCTTCACCCCTCAACCTCGACTCAACCTCATCTCAGCACTCCGCCCTTCCGCCTCCAGCCTCGCCCTGCTGCCCCTCAGCCCTGCCTCTCGACTCTCCCGGACCGCGGCATCGGCGCCCGTCGCAGCTCAATTCCGCGTCTCTGGTTCTGGTCCTGGCTCTGGTTCCGCCTCTGGCCTTGGTCCCAGTTCCGATCTGCGCAAAAGCCATCATCATCACCCATTGATTGCATCACCAGCTCCAAACCCGCCCTCGCCATCCATCTGGTTTCGCTCGCGTCGTCCCTCGATTCTCAGCTTCAACCCGCGGTGTTTCGAGCATTCCGATCCGACTCGCCCAACGCGCCCTTTTTTCTTCCGCCGCATCTCGTCTCTGCTTTTGCCTCTCCCGTGACACACCATGGCTGAAGCGCCAAACGCAAACGACGAGCTCTATCCCATCGCCGTGCTCATCGACGAGCTCAAGGTATATCAAGCCCTGGCACTTGCATACCTGCCTCTACTCCTTTTTTCTGCTTCTGGCTTGCCGTCCCTTGCTCTGTGGCGCGATGCTGACTTGAGCTCTGCTTTCTCTTAGCACGACGATGTTTTGCTCCGACTCAACGCGATTCACCGGCTCTCTACAATTGCTCTTGCCCTCGGCGCCGAGCGAACAAGAGATGAGCTGATTCCCTTCCTCGACGGTTAGTAACAAGTCGATTCCTGCTTGAGCGATGCTTCCATGTCTATCGCTTCGACCGATTGCCCTGGCTTGGTTCTAATCTGCCGTTTGTGATGCAGAGTCTGTCGAGGACGAGGACGAGGTCTTGGTCGCCTTGAGCGAGGAGCTCGGCAACTTCATCGAATACGTCGGCGGCCCCGCGTGGGGCCACGTCCTGCTGTCTCCCCTGGAGAACCTCGCCGCCATTGAGGAGCCCGTTGTTCGAGACAAGGTAAGCTGCACGCTGGCGCTAGCTCGAGCGCTCTGCTGACGCGCAAACTCTAGGCCGTCGAATCTCTCAACAAGATCTGCGAGGAGCTCTCACCGCAACAGGTCGAGGAGTTCTTCATTCCCCTCACAATCCGCCTCGCCAAGGCCGACTGGTTCACGTCAAAGGTGTCGGGCTGCGGTCTGTTTACGGCCCCCTACAAGAAGGTGTCTCCTCCCGTCCAAGAGCAGCTCCGCCAGCAGTTTGGCCTGCTGGTCCACGATGAGACTCCCATGGTGCGCCGCCAGGCCGCGTCCAACCTGGCCAAATTCGTCAAGGAGATGCCCCCCGCCATTGTCATTGACGAGATGATTCCCCTGTTCCAGCACCTCGTGACGGACGACCAGGACAGCGTTCGATTACTCACCGTCGAGGTTCTCATTGCCATTGCCGAGGGCGTGCCCAAGGAGCAGCAGGCCAGCCACGGCGTCCTGCTGACTTCGCTGCGAAATCTGATAGAGGACAAGAGCTGGAGAGTCAGGTACATGATTGCCGACAGATTTGAAAAGGTTCGTGGGCAGCCTGATGATGTTGCAGCTCTATATCTTTACTAACGTGGCTATGTGCTTTGGATTTTACAGATTGCCAAGGCCGTGGACGAAGAAGTCGTCTCCAGAGATCTGGTGCCGGCATTCGTCAAGCTTCTTAAGGACAACGAGGCGGAGGTCCGGACGGCCATTGCCGGTCAGATCCCCGGCTTCTGCAGCCTGGTGGACCGACAGGTGCTCTTGAACGATATTATGGGTAGCATCGAGGACCTCGTCTCGGACACGTCGCAGCATGTGCGCGCTGCCCTCGGAACTCAGATCAGCGGCCTGGCTCCCATACTGGGCAAACAAGAGTATGTTTGCCCCTTTAAGCCTCGAAATCTCCCTTTTTGGTTGTGGCTATGACTAATCTTGATGCAGGACCATCGACCACCTCCTCCCCATGTTCCTCCAGATGCTCAAGGACGAGTTTCCCGAGGTTAGACTGCACATCATCTCCAAGCTGGAGCTGGTCAACCAAGGTATGCGCACGATCTTGTGTATCCATTTGCATCCATAAAGGCTAACCTGATCTTTCAGTCATCGGCATCGACCCCCTGTCCGTCTCGCTACTGCCTGCCATTGTCAACCTGGCGGAAGACAAGCAGTGGCGCGTACGCCTGGCCATTATCGAGTACATCCCGCTGCTCGCCAGCCAACTGGGCGTCAAGTTCTTTGACGAGAAGCTGAGCAACCTGTGCATGGGATGGCTCGGCGACACCGTCTTCTCCATCCGCGAGGCTGCTACTCACAACCTGCGAAAGCTGACGGAGGTGTTTGGCGTAGAGTGGGCGAGTGAGGCCATCATCCCTAAGGTCATGACGATGGGCAACCACCCCAACTACCTGTACCGAATGACGACTTGCTTTGCCATTTCGGTAAGTTCTTTCTTGTACCTGTGATGGCAACAGTGACTAACCCATCGATGCAGACTCTGGCCTCTGTTGTCAGCATAGACGTCATCTCCAAGTCGATTCTGCCCATGCTGGACAAGATGACCGGGGACGACATCCCCAACATCCGCTTCAACGTGGCCAAGACGTACAAGGTGCTCATCAACGCCCTGCAGCGCCTGCCCGAGCAGGGCACCCTCTACACGATTGAGAAGGAGGGCACGCAGGCGACGCCTTCGCCCCGGGGCGAGGAGCTGATCCAGCAGCGCATCCTGCCGAACCTGCACAAGCTGCAGAAGGATGACGACGTGGACGTGCGCTACTTTGCGACACAGGCGGTAGCCGCGGCGTCAGGAACCGGAGCGTCAGGAGGCGGAGAGCCCATGAATACTTCACCATAGATGAGAAAACCCGTAATGAAGCAATGATTTTGTCCTTGCCCGTGCTGCAGCGGCTTTGGTTGCGTGTCGAGTGGACTTTTTTACTATCTATGAGTCCTCTATTTGGACAGTGGTGAGAGTTTTTGACGCCAAAAGGGACGAGAAAGAGAGAAAAAACAACAACCAATATCTACAAAACCAAACACGACCGGGGGTGGATAAATGGGAGGAGGAATCAAGGGCAAACAGATGCTCGGGGCGGAAGGTAATGGATGGAGGATAGGCAAGGCAGCAAGCATACAGGTGGGAAGCATCCGTGTAGACCTGGAGGATGATTTGTGCAGTGTAGTGTAAAGAAGCAATCTGTGTTGTTTCGTTTTCATGTTGAATGCATGTTTCATATCGTTTCTGAGGTGACTTTGTCTTTATGTGACGCTTGTTTGGCTGAATAGGGGGTTCATGTGTCGAGCATCATCATCATGACCCGCAAGCTTCCACCTTTCACTCGTCCACTCCTCCCTTGAAACCAGATATTCATGCACCCTTTAGTCTAACGTAAGTCATTCTCTTCGTATCATTCTCTACTCTATCCAGATGGTATCAAATCCAAAAACAAAAAGCCCCCCCTTCAGTCCATCAGCGTCTACAATCCAAGTTCCCACGCCCTCCCCATTTCAACCCCTCCTAAAGCACAACGTACTAATCGTCTGCCCCTTCTGCCCACCAAACGTAAACGTCGGATACTCGACCCGTCCGACAACCCTCAGCTCGCCATCCCTGTCGTCCTCGAACCAGCCCCTCAGCTCCTTCTCCGTCCAATTGCAGCTCGTAACCAGAAAGATCCCGCCGCGAGGGTTCAGCAGCTGGAGGAGCCGCTGGCGATAGATTTCGCACGGGTGGGTTTCCTGGGGGTCGTCGTCGGACGCTGCGGCGGAGAGGCTGATTGCGTCAAAGGTGCCCTTGTCGAGAACGATGTCGAAGAGCGTCTCTGGGGAGGGCGCGTAGTGTAGCGGGGAGGATGGGTCGGAGGGGGTGAGGGGGCCGGTGAGGAGGTTCCATTCGAGGAAGTTGACGGGCGGAACTCCTCTTCCTCCCTTTTTCCCTTCTTCTTCTCCGTCTTCTTCGCCTCGTGCTTCGGCTTCTTGGGCTTCTTTTTCTTCCTCAGCGTCCACTGCATCCCGCGTGGCGCCGATCCTCCTCGCCAGCTCCACGCTCTGCGCACTATAGTCCACCCCGAGCATGGTGCCCTCCCAGCCGTCGTCCCGCAGGGCAAACAGCAGCTCTCCGTTGCCGCAGCCCAGATCCAGCACCGCCGCGGTTTCTTGCTCAAGTTTCTCTTTTCTGCCCCCTAGGATTTCTTCGTTGTCGTCGTCGTCGAGGAGGCCGCCGAGAAAGGCGACGATGCGGCCCTCGGCGTTGGAGTCGTCGAACCAGTTGGTGCCCGTGTCGGAGGGGTTGGCGGCGTGGTTTGTCAGTTCGGTTGCGTAGAGCTTGTCCCAGCTGGTTTTTTTTTATATATGTTAGCTACGTGTACCTTGAGGCGTGTAGGGGGAGCTTTGGAGGAGGAGAAGAGGTTTGTTTAGGAGACGTTTGGAGGAGGAGGAGCGTGATGAAGGAAGGAAGGGGGACTTGCTATTCTTTTGTGCCGAGCTCAGAGGGATCGAGGTGAGCTGGTTTGTTCGAGGCCATTGTGACTTATAAGTCTCCCCAAGCGAGGACCTTCTAAATGAGTAAAGGCAAAGTGTTGTTGATTTGTGATGGGAGAGGAAATTATATGTAGGTTATAAATGGGCGTTTATCGGTTGTTGGAACTAATATCAGAAATACAGATCCATGGATGGCTATCGAAATATCGATAGTATGGGTTTCATGGATGGAGGGGCAGCCAAAAAAGAGGGTGCAGCCATTTGGTGCCGGAAGGGGTAGGCGGTGAATGGAGGAGCTGGGGATGAGGGGCAGTCGGCTTTTGCGTCAGAAGCAGCATTTGCTTATGGCAAAGTCCAGTTGAAGATGGTCGGAATAACCCGAATATCATATGAACAGACCTTTCGAAATCAGTCAGGATGATTGTCCAAATTGGAGGTTCAGGATAATTTCAAGGCAAATTCGGCGATATTCAGCATCACACATTTGATAAAGGCCAAATTACACAAGAATCAGCCAGTCTCGTCTATTGATCGACCAGGCTTCTATCTCTTCTCTGTGATGAATCTCCCACGATCCAACATCAGGTGTAAAAAAATAAAGAAAAAACCAAGTGAAGCCGGAAAAACCACACAAACGCCTCCCATGCATGACCAGCAGAAGCAGCCATCTCGCACACACACTCCCCGAAAGGGCTTGTGCGAAAGAGAAAGCAACGAAACGAAACGAAATCGGGAATCCCATCAACACCGTGCCTGTGTCGGTTTCATTTCCTTCAAGCAATCACGTAACAAATGCCCAGTCCAAAGAGGAAAACAAAAAAACCAAACAACAGCAACAAAAGACCAAGAAAAAAAAAGACACAAGCTCAGTAGAAACTCTCCACCATGGTGTCCTTCATCGTCGTGTTGATGTTGCTCGGTCCCTGGCCCTCGCCCAGCCGGAAGACGCTCTCGATAACGCTGAGCTCCGTCGACGTCGTATCCAGCCCCGTCACGGCCATCCAGTCGTTGACCACCATGCCGGCGCCGACGACGTTGCTGCCGCGGTTGACGCTGCCCGCGACGAGCGGGATCTGCAGCAGGCTCGACAGCTCGTCCTGGTCCTGGATGCTCGTCTTGGGGTGCACCAGGCCGCCCTGGTTGGACAGGCTCATGTAGCTGCCGACGAGGACGTTGTCGGCGACGGTCTGGCGGAAGACCTCGACGCCCAGCACATCGGCGATGATCTCCTCCGTCTCGCGCTCCAGGTCCGGGTGCACGAGCGCGATGTGGTCGTTGGTCGCGATGACGTTGCCCAGCGCGGACAGGCGCTCCTCGATGCGCTGGATGCGCACCGAGTCGGGCAGCGAGTTGCGCAGGTGCTGCAGCTCCTGGTCCGACGTCGTCGTCGGCACCAGCAGGCCCTTGCGGTTGCCCGCCGTCAGCCGCCCGATGATGCGCGTGCCGGCAATCGTCGTGCGCACGATGGGGATGACGTCCTGCAGCTCGGCCTCGAAGACGCTGTAAAAGTTCTCGCTGGCACCGAGAGCCACGAGGGCGTAGGAGTTTGTCAACGTCGAGAAGACGCCAACCCTGCGAACCAAGTCAGCAACGCATCCCAACACCGCAATCTCTTCCCCCCTCCCCCTCCCCCTCCCCCACCAAAACCCCCAAAGCAAGAAAGAAAAAAAGTGTCAAAACATACTCATTCGAGTTCTCAAACTGAGCGCGAACAGCCATGATGCCCGTAGTCGTATCAACAACAGTGTCCTGAACCTGTAGAATCGTGTCGGTATTTGGAAGATCCAGCAAAGAGAGTTGTTCTGCTTTTCCCTTGTCGATGCTGCAAGGAAAAAGAAGAAGGCTCGTTTGTAAAGGTAGAAAGAAGCTGTAGAGAGAGAGGTCGAGAGGTGGTGTGGATTTTTTTTTCTGCCGGATTTATCAGATAGAATTTTCGGGTCTCTTTATAAGTTCGCCTTGGCTTTGCCTCTTCGAGGGTACGGAAGTACATGTACCTCGATCTCCCCTCAGCCCTGAGATTGGATGACTCTTCAGTGCAGTAAGCCCACTGAAAAAAGACCCCTGGAATCGTCGACCCCCCCTCGACGCAACTTGCCAGGTGGTTCGCCGTCGTCTGTCCGAGGTACCTGTACTTGTACAGCCTCAACTCAGGTCTCAGGCAACCTGGCACTGCATTCCCTCCATCCAGAGCAACAAAGACACACCCCAACCAGAAGAAGAAAAAAAAAGAAACTCAAGCTAATCAGACAAGGCAAGACACAAAAGAGTCACAAAGCTCCATCTCACCCCCATGGAACCACAACCGCAGCCAACTGCTCATCCGCAGCACCATGCCCATGCCCAGGCCTTGCCATGCTAAAGACCCAAAATCCCCTATGACTCAGTCAGCGTTAGTAATGGCCCTGGATGGATGGATGTAGAGCTACAAGTTGCCTGTGCCTGCAGTGGCGCAGAGGGGGGCGCTGGTATTGACCATATTTTGCCTGCGACCAAGACAAGGAGATCCCCCCATGGGAGTGTGACTCAACTTCTCGACAGCCGCCGTCAGGCACAAGATTGGAATCCTGCATCGCCACCCAGATCCAATGACTCCTTCTCCCGCATTAGAGTCTTTCGAAAAGGAGGAAACGGGAAAGAATGATTCTACCTCATGCAACCCATGAGCCGCAAGGCTGACTTTCCAGTCAAGCCATCAAGTACTTGTACTGAGTCACCACGGCCATCCTCGATACAGCAACTGAGGCTTCATTGGTATTGGCCATGCAACACCCTCGGCATGTCACACATCACAATCCGCATTGGACAAACATGGCAGTCATCTCTCATGTACTCTAATACCCTCTCCAACCGCCCTTCTACTCTTATTTCCAGACGTCCCCAGGTCTATCCGCAGAACAGACCAGCCTCTCTTCCATCATGCCATCATGCCATCGTGCTGTCATTCCTCATCTGTCATCCAGCCAGGTGCTGCTTGCTAGGTAAAGAAAAAAAAAAAAAGGCAACCAGATACCTCTCCAGCCCCAATATGCCAACGAAAAGTCGCGAGATTTGTGCATTAAAAATGAAACTGGCGAATGAGCAACCGCTTATATGAGATGGATAGCCATTCGGGCCATTGATGCCAGCCTCCGTAGAAGAAAGAGATGAGAAAGGAAAGGGGGAAAGGGGTCATTTCGTCCTCGTTGTCATGATGTTGCTTGTCAAAAACATCTCCACCTTTACAACGTCCATACCGGTGCCTTCATCAAGACCTGCCGCCCTCTTACTTCGATGGCCACAAATCCTGCAAATCGCACTCGGCTACCGTCTTTAGGGAACCCTGTGATGAGCGTGTTAGCAAGTGTTTAGATTCAAAGTTGTTGAGACGCAAAAACGTGGTAAAAGTGTCAACTCACCAGCCTTGATGGAGTCTCCGCTGCTGCCATTCTTGTCCTTGTCTGCTTCGGCATCCGGCTTGGCCTCTCCCTCCTTCTGGCCGTCCAGAGAGGGAAGACCACCCTTTTCAACCTCCATAAAGGCCGCCTGCAGCACATCTCCGGGTAGCGGGTACATAATGGTCACGTCCCGGCTCTCTCGCGGCAGGTTGGCGGCAATGCCCACGGCCAGCTCCACAATCATCGACGTGCTGCCTTCCACTCCGGCCGGCGGCGGCTCGACGAGGAACTGGTACAGGTGGGCCGCCAGGTTGGTCGTCATCTTGGTGATGAGCGTCGTGCGGTTGTCCGCCGATGTCGTCGAGTTGAGCTTGTGCTGCAGCCCGTCCAGCGTCGCCATCCGCCAGTTGACCACCTTGGTCGTCAGCGCGTCAAACTCCTCCTGGCTGTGCATCGTGTACGCGTTGCCGCGGATGTGGAGCTCAATCTCCTTGAGCTGGGCGCTGAAGGCGGCGTCCAGATCCGGGTGGAACACCTTGTTGAAGACCTCATCCACCACCCACTTGGTGATGACGGCTCTGCCCACCGCCGTCATCTCCTGCTTTCCCGTCTTGAGGGCGTCTGGGCTGACAAACTTCTCGAGCCATTGGGGCAGGCGTCGCCAGTCTTTGCGAATGTTGAACGATAGGTTGTTGATGGCGCCGTTGAGCCGGTTGAACCTGTTGACGTACTCGTTGTCGTCGAGCGCAGTCCGCGACTGGGACATGCGCTGGTTGGCGACGGTATTCTGCAGATGCTCGACCTGGCCATTGAGCTGCTCGATTTGCGATTTGCCGTCAAAGTAGAGGCGCTTCACGTTTTTGTACTTTGTTACTGTAGGAGGGAGTGCACGTTAGCATAACACTATCAAAGCTGTATATGTAAAGCAAACTGTTGGCAGGGAGACAAACGCAGTTCCTTAAAGGCCTTTTCCGATTCGGCATTGTCGCGCTCGTGGGTCGAGGGCTGAGGACTATTCCGCCCTTGATCGCCACTCGCTGCTTCATATCGCGGAGGAGCACCCGCGTTACCAGCATTGCCGGCGGCGGCGGCAGCGCCAGCACCGGAGACTGCACCACCGGTAGGCTGCTGGCCGGGCTGGAGAGGCGCGCCGGGCAGCTGGCTCATGTTGGAGTTGGTGTGAGTGATGCGGAATCCCGGGGGTGCGCCGGGAAGGGCCTTGTCAGCGTCTGCGGTTCGACGGTTTGTAGGCGCGCCTCCTGCTCCTGGTGGTGCCATGGCAGGTTGCGAGAGCTGCTGCTGCTGCTGGTTCGACGGCTGGGCGGGCGGCAGAGTGATGCTCGAGACGGACTCCTGAGCCGGCACCGAGTAGTGGATGGCAGGTGACGGTTGCTGCTCCAGCTGCTGGTTCAGCGATCGCTGGTCCGCGTCGGGGATAGGGGACTCGCGTGACAGCTGGGATACGGTTTCCGGGTTCTGCTGCTGGTGCAGCTGCTGTTGGCCCAAATGCGTGGTGACGATGCGCGGATCCGTCGCCTGATGATACTGATCTTGCGGTGAGCTAGCGGTGTAATACTGCTGGGGTGGTGGTGGCAGTTGCTGCTGCTGCTGATGGTGGCCCTGCTGATCGTAGCTGACCTGCTGGGGGTCGTAGTGAAGCTGCTGCTGTTGTTGTTGCTGTAGCTGCAGTTCAAACTGTTGCTGCTGCTGATGTAGCTGGAGCTGTTGGTGCAGGGACTCCTGGGATGCAAGCACCTGTGTGTGAGCGGGCTGGGGCTGCAGCTGAGACGGCGGGGGAGGCAGCGGCTGGTGATAGCCCTCGTCGTAGGGTGATGTGATGTCGTCGGCGCCGGCTGCGTCGTGGATGGTGTTGATGGGCGGCACGGGCACGGAGAGCCGGGGGTCCTGGTGCTGCTGGTACTGGTCGTGCTGTTGGTGCTGGAGCTGCGGTTGGTGCTGGAGCTGCTGGCTGTGCTCAGCGTAGCCGTACTCGTCAGCCTCGCCCACTCCTTGCAGCGGCGAGGTCTGATGGACCGACGAGCTGGGCGTGTGCCAATCGCGGTCAGGGTTCGGCGACAGGCCCGTCTTGACGTTGGGCGGGCCGCTGTTGCTGATGCGCTTGGACGGCCGGCGGGCGAGCCCTACGGTGTTGTCGTACGACTGAGAGGCGGGGGCCTGCTGGTCGCGGTGGCTGTCGTGGCTGCGGCCGGAGAAGATGCCCTTGATGATCTTGCGGGCCGAGCGCTTCTCGGGCGCGGCAGACGTCTGGAGGGCGGAGGCGGAGGCGGAGGCAGCGCCGGGCTGGCCCTGGTGGTAGCCGGCGAGGTCGTTGAGTGACGTCTGCGAGCCGTTGAAGAGGTGGTGGAGCGAGGCGCTGTAGCGCTGGCTCTGGCTCTGGCGAGGGGCGGCGGGGGGGTCAGCAAAGTCGCTGGGCTGCTGATGCTGCTGTTGCTGAAGCTGTTGCTGTTGGGGCGGTTGCTTCTGCAGCTTGTTCTGCTGTTGAGGCGGCGGCTGTTGCTGTTGCTGTTGTTGCTGCTGTGGTGGTGGTTGCTGGATCTGTTGATGTTGATGCTGAAGCTGAAGCTGAAGCTGGGGTTGCGGCTGGGCCTGAGGCTGGTGCTGGCCTAGTAGCTGGTGCGGGTGCTGGAGCTGCTGGTGCTGGAGCTGCTGGTGGCCATCAAACGCGGGCGCTGAAACTGGCGCAGCGGCGGGGTTCTGCACTCCAGCTGGCACAGGCGAGGGGCCGACGCCGGACGAGCCCGAGTGATACAGCAGAGGCGGGCCAGGACCAGCTCCGGGCTGTTGTTGCTGCTGCTGCTGTTGAAGGTGTTGCTGCTGCTGCTGCTGTTGCAATTGCTGCTGGAGCTGCTGCTGCTGGAGCTGCGACGCGACGGCAAACGACTCGCTGGAGCTGAGGGCAGTCGGCGGCGGCAAGGCTGACTGAGGGGTCGCGTCCTGCTGCAAATCTGCCTCAGCCGTCGTCGCTGCTGGTGCTCTTGTAGTCGCCGACGACGACGACGCTGCTCCGGACTGCTGCTGCTGCTGCTGCTGCTGTGGCGGCGCCTCTGCAACCGCGTGCTGCGAACGGTTGCTGTGCTTGCCTAGGCGACCGAAGCTGGGCATCCTCGACGGCGGACAGACGAACTGCTGGCTGCGTTGCGCAGGTTTTATTTTTGGCGCCAGGCCGGTGATCTTGATGAGCTGGCCTCGCCTATGCGGCTTAGGCGTGACAAAGGGGGCCCGGTTGAATTGCTGCTTTGTCCAAAAGGTTCGGGTTCCAGCACTAGTTGCGGTCGCAGCTGTTTGACGGACGATTCCTTGCTTTGTCCCCCTCCTCTTTCTTTGTCTGTCTCCTCACCCAAGGCTGAGCAAGCTGCTTTGCTTTGTCGATGGTCTGTCCTCTTTTTTTTTTTCCCCGTCCCCTTGTCCGATCCTGGGCTTAGACGATAGAGGTCGGCGTGGGGAGTGAGGCTGTGTTGCAGAAGTCCGAACTCGTCCACGGCATGTACCGCGCACACTGGGCGCCGCCGCGGAGGTACTCAGCAGGAGCACGGCGGGAGAGCTGAGGAGATGCGCGAGGGGATAAGGCTGTGTCCAAGAATTGCTCGAGAGGGTGGGAAAAAGAGGCACAGTGGACTGTATCACTGTCCGTCGCTCATTTAAGAAGGGCTCTTCCGTGGCCAATACCCGCTGGACAGCCGGGGTGGCGCGCGACACGAGATGCAGACGGTTCCTTGTCAGCGCAGTCGCTTTGGGTGACTGGACAAGTTGACAAGACAGGCTGTGGCCCGGGCCCTGCTAGTCGGTTGATAGTCGATGGACAAAGGTCCAAGCTGAGGAGGAGCAGAACAAAGAACGGGGAGACAGCTTGAAGAGCGGCATCAATCAGGCCCGCGCATCCGGGTTCAGCCAGGGACAGTCCATGGACTTGAAGGCATCTCGAGTTGAGAGAGCCAGAACATGAGGCTGCCCGTAAGGCTGAGTGAGCTTGTCTAGTCTCGTCCATAAGTTTCGCCTCCTGCCCGCGCTCTGCCTTCTGCCTGTTTGCTGAGCTGACATGTACCCTCGCACGCAAAATGAAGTACCACCTTACATGTTACTACCACAACAGGCCAAGATGCCCGCCATGGCATCCGCAGAGACCGGGACAGCATCCACCCTCAGCGAGCCGCAACGGGCAGACAAAGAGCCACGAACCCTGCCTGGGTGGGGTAACGCCCTTGGTTCCTCCAGCATGAGGGTTATGTGGGTGTCTGGAGCAGAGGCGCTATAATTAGAACATCCGCTGGGCCCTGAATCCATGCCGTGTCTGTCTGTCTGCCTGTCTGTCTGTCTTGTCTTGTCCTGGACCATCAGCTGCACTTTTCTGTACGAGTATGACCGGCTGGACCTCGATAGCCCATTTCCTTTCATTACTCAGTCTGGGATGACAGCAGCTCACCTGGCAGCGTGGACACAAGCACAGGCGTTGCCTTGTCGAACGAACGGGAGAATAATTCCTTCTGCTCGTGTCAACGTCTCCGTCTGCCTCCAACTGCTGACTTTCCGTAGGAGGCGAGACTCGGACCAAGAGGGTCTTGTCAACTGGAACCACGTTCATCCCATGGACAATTTGTCCGACCGAGCATGAATCAGTTAATCCGAACAGATGAGCTTCAATGACAGTTCCTTCCACCGCCATTGTATGTCTCCTGCAACAAACCTTCAGTTCTGCTACCACAAGACCTCGACGAAACAACCGCCAGTTGCTCCCATCTTTCACACCCAGCAACCAAGTCCAACCTTGCAGAAACCTGTTCTTCGCATGCACAAGCAGGACAACATGGTCAAGCCTCCTGCACGTCCCTGCAGAGCCAATGCATGTAAAATACCTTAGAATAGCAACAGCCAAACACAGCCATCGGCAGTTCTATCCGCACATGCAATTCTCAAACCCGACACTCAATCTGCAGACAGTAGATAGGTATGTACTACATATCCCAAAGCTCAAGAACCGATAGATAATACGGGACGTGGCCTATGAGGATTCTCGACGGTCCGGCTGTGCTGCAGATCATGCAGGTGAGGTGTCCTGGCAAGCTGGGTCCAGCAACTGGTCCAGTGCAGCTATCCTTTGTTGCTCTGCCCTTGATTATCATGTTTCTAAAAATTGATGCAATATGGATTTCTCTTCATTTAAGCGTGCGTATAGCGGCATGGGCTTGCGATCCATTACATACAACAGCTGCCCGCAGTCAAGGCAAGGTAGTATCATCGTCTCTTACAACTGGCTCACATGTGGTATGTATCAAGACCTTGGCCACCCTTTCTACCGAAGGTACCCTATGCGGCACGACCAGGACCTCCGATCACTGGACCAATTCAAACAAAAATCAAACCAGTCCCATCCACCAAGGATACCAAAAGCAAAGTGCTCGTACTCTCACAACATTGTCCATTAACGGCAAAGTCAATCAACCGCCTGATTGCATATCCTGAGCTCCTGGTTTGACCAGCTCTCGCTGCTTTTGCGGGGTTTCGTGGGGAAGAAACGAGTCCTGGCGGGGCTTGTCGATGGCCGTTGACGCCGTTTCCGGAGGGCTTTCGAGAGGATGTGTGGCACTAAACTCGTTCGGCATCATGCCCATGATAAGAACCGTTTCGTACATGTATGTACTGTCTTATCTTGTCCCTTCAAGTTCCAGGTTTGATGCTTCTCTAAAGACCAGCTGTGGCTCTCCGTTGCTTGAATGAAGCTCCCATAGGCCATCATGCTGCTGCTCTCTCCCATCGTCTTGCTAGGGGCAGCAGCCCTCCTACTGGCCGTCCACTTGGTCCAACGCCTCAGATCGCCCTTGCGTGAGATTCCAGGCCCGGCAGTATCCAGACTCACGTCCCTGGGCCTCAAGTGGAAAGAGATCAAGGCCCTGAGAACAGTCTATATTCACCAGCTTCACCAGCAGTATGGCCCCGTCGTGCGCATTGCACCCAACGAGGTTTCGTTTACGTCCTGGGAGGCCCTCAAAGAGATTTACTGCTCCGGAGGCAGCGGCTACGACAAGACGGAATTCTATGACTTGTTCAAGATATACGGGAGAAGGTGAGCTGCCTCAAACTCGTGCTCAATGTCTGTTTGGTACGACTGACAGACATCTCCCAGGACCATGTTTACCACACTGAACAAGGCCGACGTATGTAACGGGGGTCTACATCATCCTTCAACCATTCACCTAACGTGAAACAGCACGCCAAGAGGAAAAGGATCCTCGCCGACCGCTATGCCAACAGCAACATCATGAAGAGCGCTTCCGTCGCTGGAGTCCAAGAGAGGTCATCCAAGTTTGTGCGGCGATGCGTTTCTTCTCCAGGAGGTGTATCAGACATCTTTGTAAGTGACAAAGTGTTACGTGAAAGCGCCGCTGAGGGCTCCAGACTGACAACGTCTCATTCTAGATGGGTTCGTTTAGATGACTTGGAGAGATAAACCCACGTAGCAGGGCACTAACTGTCTTCATGGTACATGTAGCCTTGCACGCATATGCCTGCGATTGTGTCACGCACCATCTATTCCATCCCCATGGCACGGACTGCATCGACAAGAAAGAAGATGAGGAGATGATGCATCAGGTCGCCGCAGACGATAGCCTGCAGAGCAAGTCGAACCCTTGCGAACTTCTGACTGATGCTTTGCGCTGACATGCCCGCTCACAGATCGCCTCATCTCACACTACGCTCCTGCTTTGCACCGTCTGTTCTCCAAGGTGCTGTATTTCTTCGCAAAGCCTCGTGAAACCCCCCTGGCCGACGACTACGTCCTGGAAACCAGCCAGCTCAGCGGCGCGGCGCCCTTCACTCTCATGAGCCGCTTTGACGAGAAGACGGGCGACCTGGACTACATCGACAAGGCAGCGGAATGCCTGGACCACATGGCCGCGGGCATCGACACCACGGGCGACGGGCTGTGCTTCCTCATGTGGGAGCTGTCCCAGCCTCGCTCGCTCGCCTTCCAGCGGAAACTGGCCGACGAGCTGCGAGCGAACCCGGAGACGCCCTTTGACCGGCTTCCGTATCTGGACGCCGTGGTGAACGAGGGGCTGCGGTGCTTCCCGCCGATCCCAATGTCGCTGCCGCGGTACGTCCCTCGGGGTGGCCGCTCCATTGACGGCTTCTGGCTGCCGGAGAAGACGATTGTCAGCTGTCAGGCGTATTCGGTCCATCGCCTCAACAGCGATGTGTTTCCTGATGGCGACAGGTTCAATCCTGACCGCTGGCTGGAACCGCAAGGAGACGCGGACCGGAGGAGGCTCCAGTTTGCATTTTCAAATGGAGGAAGGGGCTGCGTTGGGAAGCAGTAAGCTTTTTGTTGTGCCTTTATCCTGACAATGCACAGTGGCTGACTGAAGATGTGATCATCAGCCTGGCTCTCATTGAGATGAAGACATTGCTGCGGGATGTCTATTCCAGGTACAGCACGACGCCGCACGAGTCCATGGAGGAGGAGGCCATGGCCATGTCGGACCAGCTCATCTCGGCGCGGCCACTGGGGCAGAAGTGCCTTTTGCGTTTCCGCGCTCTTGAGGAGGTCGATGGCGAACAACATGAAGTCAAGGCATAGAGTAGAGCCATGTCAGGGTTTGTGCAACGCCATCGGTGTCCTATATTCCGCAACACAGACGTAGTAGGAGGGTCAAGGTATCATCACGAGTTCGGGTTCACAAGGCAGCGAATCAACGCAGCTGCCCATGCACTCCGCATCTCACGAAGAAACACATCTCCTGCAAATGCCCGACGCGAATCACCAAAGTGCCACGGCAATATCGGGGCATCAGTGCTTGACCTTGGCACGTTGGGCCACGTCGACTAGAGAAACATCGTTGGCCAGCAGCTTCCCTTGATCTGCATCCTCCTGGGCACTAGATGAATGCAAGCCCTTAAGCCCGAAGTCCGGTCTTTTCAAACGCCGAGCAGCAACAGAGCAATGCCAACTGACTGCATCTCTCTCTCCGTCTTTTTGTTGGCTAAGGTAGTCTAGTTGGTGGCGTGATGTTTGTCCCAGTTATCTCAGCTGAGCAGACTGGGATATTTGCGTCCCGGGTTCGTTTGAGTGGAAATGTGCGTCTAGGTAGGGCTCGAGCACGACGGCATCTCGTAGGTACTCGGTCTGGCATGAACAGGCGAGGTCATGGTACCTGCTAGCATATGCATGTGCCGTCCTGCAGCCTCGGAGTTGAATGGATACTTTCGCATTCACCTGCAGGGCAATACCATACAAAGCTGGCAGCTTCAAGCTCCAGTTGTCTCCCTCTTCGCCAGTCCCAGCAGCGGATGCGAGCACACGCCGAGTCCTCGTGGCGAGAGACGCCCCCCCGGACTGCCGCTATCCGGAGATGATCCGACGCACGCACTTCTGCACGCCGACTCAGAATCCCATCCATCAAGCGTCTGGAGTACCTGTACATGCCGCTGTAGCGCTAGAAGCACCAGACCCCACTGATGGATGCGCTGAAGACGCAGGCGACGCCCTGCTGCCAGCGGCTGCGTTGGCGGACAACCCGCCCCGAGGCCTGTCATTGTCCGGTACGTTCCCGCGGGCTTTTGCCGGTCTTGGCCGCTGGCTCGAATCCACTCGCCGCCAGTCTCCAGCGCGTTTTGCCCCCGATTCATTCACTAGAAAAAAACCCTTGGGAAAAAGGCGAAAAAGGCGTGAAAATTATTCTCACCCGCCTTTGCTGACAACTCCGAGCCCCCACTTGTTGGATTTCCCTGCCCGGTTCAAAAATCCGCTGCACGTCCTCACAGATTCTTCTTTCTCTTCCCTTTCTTCCCCCTCACCCAACACAACTCGCATCGACTCCGTCAGATACTGCATCTGTCTGATACAGATTCTCCGAGCACTTCGTCTCGCACGCTGAAAACCACCGTTGATCAGGCCTGCTGACTGTCTCTGCCGGTCGCAGCGCACCTTTTTCTCCTCTTCTCTCTCTGCTTCTGGCATCAACAACCACCACATAAAAGACATCAGAACAGCAAACCACAAGGGCCCTCTGCCGACAACTTCATCCTCTTCCTCTGCTCTCTGGCCAATCCCCTCGACTGTCCGTCTCCCAGCAACTCTGCCCACTTAGCAGCCCAGTCGCCGGTACATTGTTGTTTATGTATCAGCACGATTCCGCCACCGTATCCAGACGATTCTTCACGCTGCAGCTATTTCGCATACCGCGGAAACCTAGCAGTCCCGACATCAGATCCGACGGTTGATCCCAGCCTGTTGCCCTTGAGTTCCGAGTTCATGCCTATCCCACTGCAGTCGCGAATCTGTCCGGCCCGCCTCATGTCCAGTACGCATCACTGTTGAGTTTCCCAGCTTCCTCTTCGCCTTCGACCCGTCCGTCCGCTCTATCCGGCGCCAGTCTTCAACAATCGTCATCTTCTCGTCTCGAGCCTCTTGATGCCGATATCGTCGTCCTAGACACAATCCAAGCCCAACTTCGCCTCGTCAATTCAAGTCTTCACAGACAAATTTCCAAGCATCTTATCCTGCCACCTAATCTACAACCGTCACCATGGCTCTCGTCAACGTTCGCCGCGATGTCAGCGATGCCTTCTATCGCTACAAGATGGAACGCATCCAGACCAAGATTGAAGGCAAAGGCAACGGCATCAAGACTGTTGTCGTCAACCTGCCCAGCGTTGCCCAGTCCCTTGCCCGTCCCGGCTCCTATGTCATCAAGTACTTTGGTTTTGAGCTCGGTGCTCAGACCAACATCGACCCCAAGGACGACCGTTGGATCATCAACGGCGCTCACGACGCCGCAAAGCTGCAGGATCACCTCGATGGCTTCATCAACAAGTTTGTGCTCTGCAAGAAGTGCAAGAACCCTGAGACCGACGTCGTCATCAAGGACGACCACATCGTCCTCGACTGCAAGGCCTGCGGTCAGCGCACCGACGTCGACCTCCGCCTGAAGCTCAGCGGTTTCATTCTCAAGAACCAGCCCAAGAAGGGCAAGAAGGACAAGGCTGAGCGCCGCGCCGCCAAGAAGGCCAAGCAGAACGGCCAGGCCAAAGAGAACGGCCAGGGCAGCGGCGAGGACGCCTCCGAGAATGGCTCCAACGAGGCCGCCGAGAACGGCGACGTCAGCGATGACGAGTTCCAAAAGATGCAGGCCGAGGCAATCACTGCCGCCAGCGCCGACGTCGAGGTTAAGGAGGACGAATGGGCTGTCGACATGAGCGAGGAGGCCGTCAAGGCCCGCCAGGCTCAGCTGCCCGGCGAGCTCAAGCAGAAGCTCAACATTGGTGGCGACGACGAAGACGAGGACGGCGAGGGCGGTGGCAACACCGTCTACGACGAGTTTGGCAACTGGATCAACCAGCAGGCCGAGGAAAAGGGCGGCATTGACAACGTGGACTCCATCAACATCTACCTCAAGGCCAAGGAGCTCGGCATCGAGTCCAAGCACCGCTCCGTTCTGGTTCTTGTGCAGACCATTTTCGACAAGAACATTGTGGCCCAGATCCCCAAGCGAGCCAGCATGCTCAAGCAGGTGAGTTTTCATAGCACTCCATCCGAAGCAACGTGAACCCCAATTGACTAACGCCTTCATAGTTTGTCACCTCCGAGAAGCATGAAAAGGCCCTGCTTGGCGGCACCGAGCGCCTGATTGGCAGCCTCGGCAAGGAGAACCCCGAGATGTTCCAGCAGGTCGTCAAGGTCCTGCAGCTGTACTACCACCACGACCTCGTCAGTGAGGAGGTGGTCATCCCCTGGGGCTCCAAGGCCAGCAAGAAGTACGTCGACGTGTCGACCTCTCGCAAGGTCCGCAAGGCTGCCGAGCCCTTTATCAACTGGCTCAAGGAGGCCGACGAGGAGGAATCCTCGGAGGAGGACGAGTAAAATCGTCTCTCTTGACCGCTTTGACTGGCCGTCTCGGGTCATTTGCTAGGCGCTCCTTTGCTCTGTTATCAGATTGCAATTTTCAATCAGGGGAAAGGGGGTTGCCAGTTAGCTAGCCCTTGTCAAGAAATTGACAAGAATTCGGGATTCATTCACGGATGGCTCTGTTGTCGTTATACATTAATTTCTTGTATTGGGGCTTCTGTCATACTTGGACTTTGTGTATTTAGCTAGATTGTTTCATCGAATCGCAAAGCGCCCACTCCACTCTCTACACTCTCCATGATGATCGTGCCGTGCGTATATCCTCGTTGTGATGATGAAGAATTGGTATCCTATCTTTTGACTCCTTGGGGTGCTTGTCCCCGCTATCCGTTGCACCCTCCAAGTATGCACTCGTTATGAAGAAAAAAAAGAAAAAATCCTCTCGGAATGGAATCCATCGTATCGTACAAAATACCCCCCTTTTCTCCCGCTGATCACCTCCCCTTCTCCAAGATTCAAGTCTCGCCATCGACAGCCGGGGGAGCATCAGCCATGTTGGCGTCGTCGTCGCCGTTGGGTTCCTCTTCCGCCTCCGCCTTGGCGTATATAAACTCTGCGATTTGCTTCGCAGTCTTGTCGACATCATCGTCTTCGTTGTGGACAATGACAGTGTCAAAGAGCTCTTTTTCTTTTTCTTTGGATTTATCATCGGGTTCTGATGAGGATGATTTGATGAGGATGTAGCGTGCGGAAAAGTCCATGTCTTTGGCGAATTGGGCGGCCTAGATTAACTCTTGTCAGCGTTCAAACGACACAAAGACGAGGGAGTAATGAGCAGAATGATGAATGATCTACATAAGAGGGAAATAAATAGTGAATCGAGAAGTGTCGAGAGTAGTGAATGTGAAGAGGGGGATTATAAAGGGGGGGGGGACAAAACGTACCTCGACGTCAAGCTCGATAATGGGAACTTTGCCCCCCTCCACAACAGCTTCAACGGCCTTGCTGCTCGTCCCATAGTCCACGCCATCGCGCGTCCCGTACTCGATCAGCCGATCGCCGTCGCGCAGCTGATTAAACTCCTGGGCTTTGACAAAATGGAACGTCTTGCCGTTGACTTCTGCATCGCCCTCGGGATCGCGCACGGCGTGGCGCACGACGGAGCCGAAGACGCCCTTGTGTTCGCTCATGAGCTTCTCCCTGAGCGCAGACGGGTGGACGCCTGATGCTGAGGAGACTAGAATGATTGGGTCGCGATTGCTGGGCATGTCTTCTTCGCTTGCCGTCGGCTCGGCATCGGCTTCGTCTTCGTCCCCTTCGGGCTCGTCCTCGAAAATGATGTTGATATTCTTGGGGTCGTCAATCTTGTCGAAAGACGCAAGCTTGAACCGCGACGCTATGCGCAGCGCCCTCCAGGCCTTGCTCGCCTTGCCCGCCACCGCCGCCGCCTTGGTCTGAGGATTCGTCGGCATGTCAATCTCAAAGTCGTCGTCCGCAATCTTGGCCTTGAACACCTCCAGCTCGGGCAGTTGATGGCGCTCCGGGGCCTTGAGCTGCTCCATCGCCTCGCCCTCGTCCCCGTTGGCGAGAAAGTCGAGCGGCACGGCGTTGAGCGGGTTCGGCCGCAGGCGCTTGCTCGTCGCCATCTTCTGCGCGGCCTCCTTGGCCTCGACGAAGCTCTCGGCCGAGACCGGGTCGCGCTTGATGGGCGGACAACTGGCCATCTTCCAAAAGACCCAGTTCTTGTCCCTAGCCAGCACTGTTTCTACCATGCGAAAAAAGTATGGCCCGTCGCTGCCCTGCTTGAGGTAGTCTGATATCACCTTCTTCATGTCCGTGGCCCATTTTGTCTACCAAGACAAAACGTCGTTAGCAGAAGAGCAGAAGTAGGCGGATCGACGTCTTACGTTTTCCTCGCTAAGCTGGTCCGGGTAGATGACCGACTTGTTGGATATGTTAATGTTGGTTCGCTTCTCCCGTTCCTCCTTTGACAGGGACAAGAGGAAGTCGGTGATGATGAGAGCTTGCACGAGAACGTTTCTTCGAAAGGAAAGATCGCTAATCTGATTTGGCCGTCTCATTAGTGGATGACACCTTGTGTATACGACATCGCATTACTTGCCTCGAGCTGGAACAAGTCTTTGCTGGTGAGGTACTTGGGGTTAAACGCCTCTGGAAGCGTCTCGGTCCCGTCGTCGTCTCTCTTTCTCTTCAACGTTCTCTTGAGGTTTTCCATCGATTTTGAGGAAGATATGCTGTCGTCGTGGATGGCTTGGAAGGCTGTGATGGTGGCTTCCAAGCTGCCCTTGAACTTTGCAAAGTGACCGGTGTCAAAGAGTTTCAGCGGCTGACTGAAGCTCTCCTGCAATGACCAGAACATGGGGTAGAGCGTGTCCGGATCAAGGGCTTTGCTCGAATCCTGGGCGCCGTTCTTTGTAGCAGCCTTGGTGTCGCCCTGCTCCTTTGGAGTGTCCGTCTGGGTGTCAATTTCCATTTTGCTGTCGTCTTCTGATCTTTCATAGCTGGTCACGTTCTCGACGTGATATTCTCCTCGGAGATTGACTGAGCTTCTGTCCCCCAGCGGGAAGCTCTGGAACATGAAGATGAACACTCTTCCGCAAAAAGCCGTGTCCTCTGCGCGCGAGAGCCTCCGCAGCAGCTCATTGCAGCTTCGGAGGATGACGAGATTCTTCTGCTTGAAATGCTTGGCCGTGATACGCTCTCGGCGTGACTCGAGAAAGTCGAATATTATGCGGCATCCTGCGACCGTCTGGCTGTCGAGAAGCTCTTCCACCAGCCAGAACAACAGGGCAGGGTCGCATTGGCCATCGTCGGACAGGATCGAGAGGATATCCAGCAGGTTCCACATCTTGACAAACTCCGGGCTATCAATTGACGTTGTCGCCTTCATGGGATTAGTTTGCTGGACGTCTGGGGCGGGCAGAACTTGTCTCTCGGCTTACGATTAGCTTGCTGAAGAAATCGCGAGCCGCTGTTTCCACCAGGGCGAACTGCTGGGACCTGATCGAGTCGGCAGGCGCATTGCTTTCGGCTTCCGCATCCTTGGAGCGGGCGAGCGAAGCGGCAACTCGGTCGTGGATGTTGACAAAGTCGGATTTCACGAGCGCCGGCTCGATGGTGGTTGTTTGCTTTGCCGCTGAGGCCTCGTCGAGGAGCTCTGTGAGCAGATTCTCAAACTCGCTCACGGCTGGGACGCCGGGGTTTTCGATATCAAGGGCCGGCATGGTGGTGACAACTGCGGCAAGACGCACGAGATCCACGTCAAGCCGTAGCGAAGCTCGACACGGGGTCGGCTTGAAGCCCCAGGAAGATATTTGCGACGAGGTCAGGCGAGATTAATCGAGATGGCGTGCTCTCTGACGGACGTTAATAGCCTCAGCAGATGTGATATGAGGAGGTCGAGCGCGTTGCTTAGGGGAAGGAATCGCTATGCAGCAGAGGTGATGCGAAGAAGTAAGTCGTCGCGAATAGTTCAAAGGAACAAGATTCAAGGTCAGAAGGCTGAGGACCACAGAAGGCCCATTTGGTTCCCGCGCACTGCAGGTACGACGAACTGCCGCTACGGTTACACCAGCCAACAAGTACTGGCCGCGTCGAGGTACTTGTGCCGCTACTGCGCAGTGGACCCGCATTGCGCAAGGCTGAAATTTTGTGCACAGGGACTGGCAGTAATAATTCCGCTGGCCAGGCGTGGATCAACTTGGCTGATTGATTGCCCGTTTCCGACCTTCGCTTGGCCCGTCTCGAGCTTCAGCAAGTTTCCAGCTCCCGCACGAGCTCCTCCTGAAGCGTCTCTCATCCACCAGCGCGCCCATCCTTTCCGCTCGTGACGCGACAGTCTCGCAATGCCTACCGCGAAGCGAACCAGAGGCGCTGCCGGACGAGCTGCAGCTGCACGCGAGCCGCCAAAAGACACGACAGACGGCCGTCCGACCCCGGCGGAGGTGGAGGAGCAGGAGCATCAGTTTGTGCAGGTCGCGCGGCAGCATTGGCTCAAGCCGAGCAAGAAGACGGCAAAGGTCAAGGTCAAGAACGACGTCGTCAAGCAGGGCATCTGGGATGTGCTGGAGCAGGACGGGTTCTCGTATAAGCTGCTGCTGCTGCTGGAGAGCTTGCAGACGCTGGAGAGGTATGGCTTCTGAACGTCTCAGTATTGGTTTGCATCTTCTAACGCCGGCGATACAGCTATCTGTGGCCCGGATATTCTGAGCAGGCATCCAACTATCATGTCCTGATACTGGCGTTGATATGCAACGTCAAGAGGCGAGAGCACCTCGAAACATGGAGTAGGTCGGACAGGACTGACCCCACTGGAGCTGTATCTGACTGGAAGCTTTTGTATAGAAATTTTCGAGGAGAGACCCGACGACTTCTCGTCATTGTTCCGCCGCATCCTGTCCATGACGCTCGATCGAACACTGTCGACAAACCTGCGAACGCACCTCCTCTGCTTCCTCATCCACGCCTTTCAGAGCCTAGACTGCAGCATTGTCAGAAAAGAGTGCGCCCCTCTGGTGTCGATTGGCATTTGGCACAACCTCTCCACCGAAAAGCGTCAAGAGGCTCATCTTGATTCTACGCCGCACCTGAGGAAGGCTTGGAGAGCTGCTCAGAAGCGCTACGATGCCGCAGACGAAGCCACCAAGGCACGGCTACGGTTCGAGCGTTCATGGCTCTATACCATGGTCCTGGACTTTATCAATCAGCTGTACGATGAAAGCAAATCAGGTATGTCACAAGCGGTCCAAGAAGCCAGTGCTCCCGTGCTGATTTTTGCTATAGACCAGACGCTCCTCTACTGCGAACGATTCACAGAGTTCATTTGCGATTTGCAAAGCCAGCTGCCAACGCGACGCTACGTCAATGCGTTGGTTCAAGACCTACATCTTACCCCTTTGATGAGGCTTTCTCCTCTATATAATGATGCCGGAAGCGCTCTGTTGCGTGATCTCCACGCGCTTCTCTCTCACTACACATTCTTTGCCATCGATGACCAGAGTGGTATACAGCTGAGTCGGACAGAGGCCTTTGACCGGCATTGCGCGCTGCTAGGCAAGCTTCAGCGAATAGCTCTGAAGCATTTCAAAGACAAGCTCACCATTCTGGCTCTATCAAACTACGGCTCCATCGACAAGCGAGAAGACCTTGCGTCACATCTCGACCCTCTCACCGATGACGAGCTGCTGAACCTGGTCAACCTCTTGGATCTCAGGTCTACATACCCCGAGGGCCTGAATCTGACCATCGATCGCAAGTTCCTCATCGAGTTCCTCCTCTCGACCTTTGAGCGGAAGAAGACGTTCCAGGAGACAGCCCAGAGAGTAGGCATCGTCCCGACTGAGGATTCATTGTTTGACGACACCTTTCAGCGTGCGGATTCATACGACGGTTCGCGCCCACTGGCGCTCCCGAAGCTCAACCTGCAGTATCTATCGGTTGGCGATTTCCTCTGGAGAGCGCTGGTGCTATATCGCTGCGAATCCTTTTACGGAATCCGCAAAGATATTGAGGCCGCGTTGCGTCGCCTCCGACCGGAAAGCAGGCGGCCTGGTGAAACCCATTTTGCAGGCTTCTCGAAGATGGCTATGCCTATTGCCAAGCCAACGATACTGGAAGTCGTCCCAGCCCTCGTTGGAGACGATAAGCCATCCATGGTCCGGGCGGAGGTGTCGTTCGACGCTCGACGGTTAGGAGACAATGTGCGCAGAGAATGGGACACGCTTCGACCGGGCGATGTTGTCTTTCTGTTGGCTGTTCAGAACCCTACATCTGGCCAAGCAGCCACAAACGGAAGCAGGCAACCTCAGTCAGAGGCTGAAAAGGCCGGTGTGCTGGTGGTGCGGACTGCCGAAGTGCTCCAGGTTACAGACGATAGAGGCCGCCACGCCAGGGAAAAGGGCGAGCATCTCGACCAGAAGCGGCGCATCCTGCTGAAACTGGACTCGGCGTCGTATGCCCAAGACGCTGAAGAGGCAGCTGCCGGCAAGCCCGATGTCTATGCGGGCATTAACCTGCTCCTGAGACGAAACAAGAGAGAAAACAACTTCAAGCCGGTATTGGAAGCCATTCGTACCCTTCTTCTGTCGGATATGCCACTGCCATCGTGGCTTCATGAAGTGTTTTTGGGCTACGGTGACCCGGCCGGCGCACATTACAAGAACTTGCCCAACAGGCTTAAGACCATCGACTACAGGGATACCTTTCTCGGCTGGCAGCATCTAGTCGAAAGCTTACCTGGGAAGACGGTCGAGCCTGACGATGATGTTACCGGTAGTTTCGGGCCGCCATATGTCCTGGAAGCTGTCGACAGAGCAGAGGAACCCCGAGGTGGGAAGCCATCCAAGAAGCGGCGGCGCGATGCAGAACCAGCGCTGCTCTCAGAGGTAGAGGCCTTCAAGGTTTCTACCTACAAGCCTCTTAACAATGGGCCGTACCCCATCGACGCACCCAGGCTGAACACGGTGCGATTTACGCCGGCTCAGGTCGAGGCCATCATGTCTGGAACCCAGGTTGGGCTGACTGTCATTGTCGGGCCCCCGGGCACAGGCAAGACGGACGTTGCCACACAGATCATCAACAACATCTATCACAATTTTCCCGAGCAAAAGACATTGCTCATCGCCCACAGCAACCAGGCCCTCAACCAACTGTTTGCCAAGATCGTTGCGCTCGACATCGACGAGAGGCACTTGCTGCGGCTTGGACATGGCGAGGAAGAGCTAGACACAGAAGGTAGCTTCAGCAAGTACGGCCGCGTCGAGTCGTTTTTGGACAACCGCGACAGGTTCTTGTTTGAAGTGAAGAAGCTCGCAGCAAGCTTGGGAGCCCCCGGCGCACACGAGAACTCGGCCGAGACTGCAGGCTACTTCAACGTTGCCTACGTCGAGCCAGCCTGGGCCAAGTTCCTCAAGATTGCAGAATCCGACTCGTCCAGCGCATCTGACATTGTGCAAAACTTTCCCTTCCATGCCTACTTCTCCGACGCTCCTCAGCCCCTATTCCCACCAGAGGCAGACCGGGCGCAAGTCCTGGACATTGCGCAAGGCTGTTACCGCCACATCTCTAAGATCTTTTCGGAGCTGGCCGACATCCGGCCCTTTGAGATCTTGCGACGCGAAAAGGACAAGGCCAACTATCTGCTCACCAACGAAGCCCGCGTTGTTGCAATGACAACGACACATGCGGCCATGAGAAGGGGTGAGATTGCCGCACTCGGCTTCCACTACGACAACGTCGTCATGGAGGAAGCAGCGCAAATCACCGAGATTGAAACGTTCATTCCCCTGGCGATGCAAAAGCCCATCAACGGCCAACTGCCGCTGCAGCGAGTGGTGCTGTGTGGCGACCACTTCCAGAACTCGCCGGTTATCCAGAGCTTGGCGTTCCGCCACTATGCCAACCTGGAGCAGTCGCTCTTCTCACGGCTTGTTCGGCTGGGTGTGCCGACGGTTACTCTGGATCAGCAAGGCCGTGCTCGACCATCCATTGCCAAGCTATACGCATGGCGTTATCCCAAGCTCGACAATCTCCCCGACGTCCTGACCAACCCCGAGTTCTTGCGGGCAAATGCCGGCTTCAAGTACGACTTCCAGTTCATCAACGTTCCCAACTACAAGGGTCGCGGTGAGACGGAGCCGACGCCGCACTTCATCCAGAACCTGGGCGAGGCTGAATACGCGGTAGCCATCTACCAATACATGCGACTTCTCGGATACCCGGCGGAGAAGATTAGCATACTGACGACATACGCGGGTCAGAGGGCTCTGGTGAAGGATGTGCTCGCTCACCGATGCGCATCGAGCCCCATCTTCGGTCTTCCCAAGGCTGTTGCTACAGTCGACAAGTACCAGGGAGAGCAAAATGACTGTAAGTTTGTCCCTATGAGCAGATGGTTATCGAGTTACCGGCTAACGAGATTTTTTCTAGACATTATCCTCTCTCTGACTCGCACGTCGCGCGTAGGCTACCTTCGCGATGTCCGTCGCATGACAGTGGCCTTTTCTCGAGCGAGGCTGGGACTCTACGTGCTCGGACGCCGGGAAGTGTTTGAAGCCTGTCCCGAGCTCCGACCAGCGTTTGACGTACTGTTGCAGCGACCGGACAAGCTGATGCTGGTAACGGGCGAGCTGTGGCCAACCGAGCGACCAAGCACGGAAGAGGAGGCCCCCGTCGAGGGCGAAGTCGCCATGGAGGGCGTTGAACACATAGGACAGTACGTGTACGAGATGTCGATGACCAAGATGAAGCAGCTGCAGGAGGAGCAAGGCGTGCCCATGGACGCTACACTTGATGAGACCGAGGAAGAGCTACAAGCGAGATACTACGATGAGGATGAGGAGAAGGCTTTGGAGCCGGATATTCTGGAGGTTCGAGAGGGAGAGGCGAATTAGGTCATCTAAGAATTGTTGCTTTCTGAGGATAAGGTATAGAAATGAATTGATATGAAGCGGAAAAGGGAACATGTTGTTGTTCCTACAAGATGGGATGTGTCGATGTTAGAATGTTCATATGAATGTCAAGATCTTGTTACAGCACCTATGAGCAAGTGTCACCGCAGCTCGGGCTTTTCGGAGCCATGGAGGCAAAATTGTCTCGGCGAAAAGGAGGACAGCTGAATTCTTCCAGATCATCATCATCAGGTGATAGCGGGCTGCCTCTTTGTTGTTTATCTCACAGAGTTGTAGGACAGACTAGATGTTTTGGTGGCATCAGTAGGCAGAAGATGGACTTTTGTGTCTTAGCTTGCGTAACATTTCTTTTTGTGAATCGACTTTTGTGATACGAAGTACTTTGGCTACTTGAACGATGGACTAGGAGACTTTAGAGAGAAATAGCATTCTTTGTATGGCCTAGTAACCTGAGATCACATCCAGGCGTCCTCAATCTCTTGAGCCTCGTTCAGTCTACCTTACCCTGCATCGTCCTCGATTTCACACAGTGTTAGACTTGGTGAGCCCGCACATGGTAAATCATAAGCGATAAACACCAAGACTGAAACCAGCAAAGACAGAAAAAGAAATAAAAAGGGAAGAACGGCAGAGCACAAAGAGATTAGCGCTAATCAGGAAACTAGAGCCCCAGAATGCTAGTGCGAAAAAAAAAATGTTTTGAGGGGAAGCAAAGCAGAGGCAACGAAAACGAAACGAGAGAGAGAAAAAGGCGAGCACTTGAAATTTTCCTTCTTTGCTGGGCGGATAAGGCAAGGTAGTGTATGTAGATGCACGCCCCGCGGTGGGAGGGGGTGCGTTTAAAAGGGTCCGTGTTTGCGTTTGCAAGGAAGTTGAGGTGAAAATGAGATTAAAACCGGCGCTGATATTTTTTTTTCTATTGGTCTAGCGGGTTGTGCTAAATTGGGGAGGCGTTTTCTGGGAGAGACAATGGGGGGCCGCGTTTGCTGGGCTTTGGAGGTGGCTCGATGTTTGGGGACGTTGGATGAGCTGAGGGAATGGCTTTGACGAGGGTTTGAAAACCTTTGATTTCTGCCGTGGAAGAAGGTTGTTCTCTTTGTCTGTGATGTACTGCGGCACTTGTTCTGCAAAGTAGGGGAGAAGAGGGTGATGATGGAAGCTCAGAGGAATTGAATTGACCTTGAGTTGTGGCTGAGGAGGACGTGCCCACGTACCTTGGCCCTTAATCAGGTCAGCCGGAAAGTATCGACTGTGGCATTACGAGGCTTGAAGCATACCTACCTACCTACCTACTGCGAAGGAATCAGTCCCAGTTCAGGTACCTCAAAGCCAAGCTGCGCAGAATGCCGTTGTGACTCATTGTGTAGCAGTTTCCGAGTGTTGATGTCAAATGAATCACATGCCATTCATTCGCTTTCCTTGCACTCGTCAGGGCCAGAATCTGTACTCGTACATACAGTGAGGCAGGCACCGACGCCACATGTATGGCTGTGCATTGGGAGGCGGTCTGATTTTTTTCTGTTCTTCTTCTGCAGCCTTGCCTCGATCAAGGACGAATCAGAGCCGTCAAGGCTGGCCTGAAATCTGGGGCTGTTGAGCGATGGAGGCGACAAGTTGAAGAGGAGAGGCAAGGCAAGGAAGAGCCGAGATGAAGTTCAAGTCACGTGGTGAGACGGCCAAGTGAAAGACGTCTATCCTCGACGATGATCCAATGCCATCACATGTACTGGTACTTCCCTACCTTGTATACATCTGCTAGGATGCTTTCTCTGTTCACTGCTATCTATTATCTAGGTACAATTTGGGTGAGTGAAAGGCATCAAGATTCCAGAGGCTGATGCAACGGGAGCATAAGGTAAGGAGCCATCGCTGAGTGACTCGGACAGCAAGGTTCTGTTCTGAGCTGCATCACTGCGTGGGGACGTGTGAAGAGCAGTCTGCATGATAGAAGTTGTCCTCTCTCTGCTGCTGACTGACTGTGCAAGTTGAGCAGCTAATGTCCTAACTCCGTACCTACAGCACTCTACTCTACCTATAGTACTACGAGAATGCAACTGCTGCCTTGTTTGCCGCTTGTTTGCCGCAAAGACGGGCTGCTTGAGGTCTGGTATTTCCTCGCCAAATCCAGCTGCGGGCGACCAGAAAGCCTTAAACCCTCGCTGTTTAGAATCTCGGCTCATGGAAGCTTTCAAGCAACAGGAAAAGCTGGCCAAGTTGAACCAAAAGTGAAGTGAGCTTCGGCTCCGGAGTGGATTTCTGATAGTACCGCTACTTCGCTCATCCGCCAATCTGGCACAGGTCTCCAAGTACCCCTACCGCTGACCCCTCCAAACCCCAAGTGGCGCGCCAGCAGGGAAAGAGCCCGCTACCGCCACCCCTCCGTGCTAAGGCCGCCCCTTCCGCCCACCACATCATATTTCCTGCTGCCCAAAATTTTTACGCAGCCTCTCCTCTCCAACCCTCACCACTAAACATCAACCAGTGGCCGGTGGAATCTCCTCTCTCCTGGCCTCTTTTTTTCCAGCATTGGACCATCTTCTGCAGCTTCGGTAGCTGAAGATCGCTCTCTCTGCTCCTTTTCCCCCTTCCGCCGCGCGGGATCGTAGCCAAAGTCGCAACTGACGGACAGCCTACGGTCGTTTCCCCCACCCGGTCGCCTTTCCCTCAATCCTCTTCGCCCGTCGTCGTCTGTCGAACGAACGAACGAAGCGAACGATATACCTCTCGGTGCTCTGGATCGATTTGTTTCCTTCCGAGAACGCTCCTTTTTCAGAGAGACTCGACACGGATCGCTGAGCGTATTCTCAACGAGGTTTCCAGAATCAGTCGTCTCGGCCGCTTCTTCTTTTTTTTCCTAAGCCTTCGCTTTTTTTTTATTTTTTTATTTTTCGCCCCGCGAACCTTAATATAAAGGAAAAAAAGAAGAACAAACAACAACGATCCTTCGTCTTCTCGCAT